CTAAGACAACATATGTCACACAACTAACTCTTATCCGTTCACTGGTTCTCATTGTTGTGTTCATTTTAGCCATGAACACCGCCTGGTCTCATGAGTGCTTAGAGAACTGGCCTTCTTTTATTCTCCTTGAAGCGGCTCCACTTCACACTCACATAGGTGATTTCTAAACGTGTATTCCGAAAATCACTATTTGATCACACCACGTGTCAAACTTAGAAACTCTTAAATACCTTTCACATTTTTAGGTTTACCCTTATAGTTAGACATTATCTCATCATGAGAATGGACATTGAATAATTTGACAATGCGGACCATCATTCACAACTTTGTATGCTCCTTGAACCTAGAGGTTGGGTCTGCCAATCCTACTAAGGTAGAGTTACTGCCATGATGATTTGTCCTAGGCCACGAGTCCATTCCCTTCGATGATTTAATTTCTAGGCGGGCTCCCACGTTTGTTATCTCTGATAACTTCGCTAGAAATTAACCAATAATTAGTGTTATGTTTCCATTGTCTATGACGATATTTTCACATAACACTTCTAGCCCTTGCAATCACCATTTTGTGCACAAGTGCGTTCTATTAACACCAGTCTTTGCGGGCCAGACTATTGAACTTCACCGATCTTAGAGTGGGTATATATTTAGTCAACTTGGATGTTTTCCAAGGTACTGCTCCCCATCAACCATAAATCCACATCCATGAATGGATTATACCTTGTTGTTCATCCGATAAGTTCCTTTGGGTATAATACACCAAAGACTCGTCTCTTTCGATTCACTACACATCATGTGTGTTTGCCTTGATTTTATTGCCTTGCAATAAACATAACACATGCCAACTAGGGGTGTCAGTCGGTCGGTTTCGGTTTAACCGAAAACCGAATTCTCGGTTATCGGTTAAACCGAGCGACCACCCCCAGCTACCGACCACCGACCGTGGGAGATACAGCGGTTAGCCGACCACCGACCGGTCAGTTGGCCGGTTTTGGTTCGGTTAGCCCCAAGCCCGAAAACCACACCCTAATCTAAAAAAAAATAAAAAAAATCCAAAAATCCTCCCACCGCTCATTCTTTATCTCCTCAATCCTTCTCTCTCCTTCAACTTTTTCCATTCAAACCCTCCACCACCACTTACTGATTATCTCCTCCGACTCTCTCCTCCATCTTTCTATCTCCTTTCTTTTTCCACTCAAGAAGCAGCCGAGAAGGAGGGCTTGCCGCCGATGGGAGAGGGAGGAGCGACCTCGCGAAGCCGGCGGAGGGAGAAGGCGTTCGCGCGGCGGCGTTCGCGCGGCGGCGGTTGGAGACGGCAGGCGGCGCGGCGGGAGTTGGAGACGGCAGGCGGCGCGGCGGGTGGAGGCTGCCTGCTTGCTTGCATGTCGTGACGGTTGGAGGCGGAGGAGACGGCGGGGTGACGTCGACGATGGTGGAGGCGGTGGTCGTGAGGCGGCGGTGGTCATCTTCTTTCTTCTTTCTTCTTTCTTCTTCTTCTGGGTTTTCATTTTGAGAGGTGAAAGGGAAGAGAAGAGAGAGAGGATGACGGAAGAGAAGGGAGGGGTCACGGGTGTCTAGGGTTTGGGGGTTCGTTTTTGGGGGGGGGGGGGGGGGGGGGGGGGGGGGGGTCGTTTTGAGAAGGGGGCCGGGTCGTTTAGGTTAGGCTGGGTAAAGGCTCGATTAGTCGGCTAACCGCCGGTTTTCAACCTCGGTTGGTCGGTTAGCCGAGCCTTCTCCCCTCGCTACCGACGACCGACCGACGCCATTGGGATCGGTTTTTTGGCTAGCCGAAAACCGGACGGTTCGGTTGAAACCGTCCGGTTAGCCGCTAACCGGAAAACCGTCCGCCACCCCTAATGCCAACGGTGTTGAATTCTCTCTACTTCATTAACCTTATAGTACTTAAACTTCACAAGTATCTCTTCAAATGTAGTGACATTTATGACTTAGCTTAGAGTTTGCGTAAAACTCCTAAGTATTCACATCACTTCACTTTGGAATCACCTAAGCGACATTCCACATCACTTCTCCCCAATTTATCCCCAACATTTCAACTATTTCCCCATAGTTGTTGAAACCAACGTTTCCGGTTTGAGGAATGTTGCTCATATACATTCATGTATATGGTTAAAATCATCTCTTTGGGAAGAGTGGATTAACATCAATAAATATTCTAGCTCTCTGACATAATTAATATATGCTAGAGTTTACTCATAATTTATGCCATCGGACTGGGTTAACTCCACAAGGTTTAAGAACTCTCACTTTCTCATTGGACACCTTCATACTTTCAAGTATGACTTTGTTTACCTTTCCACTTTTGTCTTATGGATAGGTTTGCGTCCCATTGTAGGGCCTTGAGATAGTAGCCGAAATAATGGCTAGCTCTTCTCCCCCACAATTCTACCCTTTGCCAAACATCATGGAATAATCCCATTTATTTTACATGGTTTTACTTATTGAACTTGCCAACCACTATATGTATCTAATTGTTTACCAATGGTATGATCTCACTCGATTAGCATACCACAAGCGATTCAGATTTTATTAGAAACATCATCTAATTACTTATCAATGGTATTGGTCAAGGCAACTTGAAACGTCATAAGTAATTCAGATGCATTCCAGTAATGAAAATCCCAACTAATTACTTACCAATGACATTGCATTTATGTAACATGATATACCACAAGTAATTCAAACGAATTTCTAATTCAATTGTCTAATTACTTTCTAATGGTATAAACTTCATAAATATACCATAAGTAATCCAGACTTTAAGTTCAATAAGATCATCTCAATTGTCTCTCATGCCAAATTGTTTTCCAATGATATATATATATCTATATGTACCATAAACAGTTCTGGCAACTAGCTCCACGTTGATAATCATAATCAAATTGTTTTCCAATGGTATAGTGTACTTATACCATAAACAATTATGAACTAATGCTTATCTTGATGACGACCATCATTTGGAAAGCTTATGAAATCCCTATAAGGATCAATCATAGCTTCATTTTCCTTGCCCTTGTGGCATAGGAAACATCAAGTCCTAAACCACATACATAATAAACAAATTATCATGTATTTACAAGCATTTTAGGGATTAGAATTCCTTATCGTTTATGGCTTACTCGTAATGCAATTCTTTAGCAATGCTTTAACCAAATTTCATCTCCAACACATAGGAGGTATACTCTTCGTACTATGTTCAACTTATTTTGAACATAACCTTTGCAACCATTCCGGCTTAGATAGACTTGATTCACAAGTCTCCACTAGCCTCATCCCATAGGTTTTACACGCCTATAGTTGACATATTTTCTTACTGAATATCTTAACAATACCCTAACCACCTCATAGTCCACGAAGGTCTATCTTCCATTTATGATATGTAGGTCTCATTATCATATCGATAATGAACAAGTGTTCAAATTTAATTGCCACACTTATCATTCATCCATGCCACACATTAAAAACTTGGTGGTTGGTCATATTTTAGGATATGATCACCTATCTTCTTGAATCGATTCCAAGTCTTGAGGATGCTTTCCACCATATTGTTTCTATTCACTCCAAGATCATTTCACAAACAACTTGGTTACATAAACTAAAGTGTAGTATCTTGCAAGTACCATAATTGAAACACAACCAAACTAAGTTGGTTCAATGATCACAAACTGGCTATCGATCATGGCATCGTTAATTAACCAGACAACTTAAATAGACAGTTCCAGGGGAACCCAAGAATCGCAATCCAAACTGATCATATAGAGGAACCATAATTCCTTTCTCCTTCCTCCAACGGCAGAAACAGAAGAAATATATATGACTTTCCAAGTCTCTATATATATCATACACAGCATATATATACAATATATATACCAATCTAGCCAATTAGAAATAGAAAACACTACACAATCCCTTTCTAATTAACCGCACAAGTATCAAATAGAATCCTAGAGATGGACCAATCAACAATTTCGAAATGCAATTCTGCTCTTTAACCCAAGCAAACTTACTGTCCAATTTTCCCTCCGAAGCATGCAACGTTTCAGACCTAACGTATGCACCATTTCGGTCTAAAAACATTCGAACTGATGCTAAAAAGATTAGATACATGAACACGAGACCCTTCCAATGACAGCCGAGTTTTGTGAATCAGAACAAATACCATGTTACTATGACAGCCAAATGATGGAATAGCTAAAACAGAATATAGATGTTCGAACCTTGTAAAATCGTGATTACTGTTTCACAGAACCAAGCAGCACACGTAAACAATTCATAGTAAGATTCTTTAAGATTGTTCGGAAATTGTTCACGTACACTATTTTCTTGCAACACAAGCAAACACATAAAATTAAGAAAACATGCAAAGACACATGCAAGCGTCCTAACCGATAGAATTCACTATCTCTCCTTAAAGAATCTTATTTCCCTCTAGTACCCAAGGTTATGGAATGATTCTTCCCATGATAGAAAGGACGTACCTTTTCCGGCGTAGCAGTACCTCAAACCCCGGAAACCATCGAACGCAGCGAACCGGCGACAACCACACTTGACTCTATTTTCTCTTTGAAAAGAATGCAAAAACTAGTTTTGGATTTTAGGAGAGTTTTGGTACCAGAAAAAATCCATCTATATCTCTTACTCCAAACTAGAGGGGGGGTATGGTGCTATTTATAGAAAATGAAGGGGTGCATTGAAGGGAGTCAACTCTTCATATGGGTGGTTAAACCCCAACCAGCGCATTGGTTCGTTTTAAAATAATGAACAATTGCATCGATTTGGTCCATGGTAGTTGGACCGGTTTGGTTATTTCAACCGCCTCATCGGTTTGGTTCGATTTGGTTCAACTTGGTTTGGTTCATTTGGTTACATAAACCAATTAACCTCATAGTACATCAAATCGATAGAATTCGAGGCCATGTCTTCCCACATCTTACCAACATGGTACTTTAAGAGACTCTCTTTGATCTTTCCCCTTTCATTTCCATTCACACAAACGCTTTCAACGCATTCAGCAAAGCAATATCCTCGTCGGAACTCCATGTGACGGTTGTCATCCCTCCGCCGACGTCATTATCAGCTCCACCTTCGTCCATCTCTGCAGCCTCGACTTTGGCGTCGACTGGCTTCCTGTTCTTCAAGAACTTGGCGTATGAATCGTTGTCATCCGATTTCTTCTCACCACGTCCCATACTGCACCCCGACGCATATTAAGGCGGTGCATGTCCACGAGGGTGATTGGGATTGTCATGACACCGTCAAATTCTGGATCTACACCTGTGGTAATTACACACATATATGAGTATTTTTATAACGCTTGATACTCTGTTTTTTCATACTCTGTTTTTTTATCCCCTGTTTTTCATCCTGTACGGGGAAAACAGAGGGGAAGCTAGATGTGTTCAAGGAGAGAGTGGAGTACGACGATGCCAAGAAAACGGTGAAACTGAATGGGCCGGAGGGGGGATGTGATGAAGTTGTACAAATGTGCAATGTAATCTATGAATTTGTGGCCAAGGAGGACTACAATGGCAAGGGGAAGCCGCAGGGGGTGGCCAAACTGACGATTGAATATGAGAAGTTGAAACCAGATGTGCACATCACTCCATGCTTTCTTTTATTTATTTTAAATAAAAGTGATAATGAGGTGGAAATGAGATGTAAATTTATAAAAATTTAATTTTATTATTTTTAAATTGCCACGTCACATATTTAACGGTCAAATTTTAGAGTTAACCGCCACGTAAACAAAAGGTAACAGAGTTGGTCAAAGAGTGACCAAACGTGAACGGTTTCAGTAAACTGAAGTATCACCAATGAATTTAAATATTTCGAGTGACCAAACTTGAACAATTCTTGTAATCTCAGTAACCAACCATGCAATTAACCCATTTTTAAAATGAAGGGGCAAAGTTGTCATATTTTTTGTAATTACGGACGACAAATAGCGATTCATTACTTTAAAGCATATTACAAGTGATATCTTTTCCCGATAAAGAGACTTGACATGTCTCTAGGGTTTGACAAACCAAGTCCTCACAAAAGACTAATTTCCATCTAAAACTCTCCCAATCCCATTCACTCCGGCTACTCGCCTACTCCCAGATAGGTGCTTCGGCTTCAGATTCGTTATCTGCAGTGGTTGTAGATGGCAAGCGTACCATAATATCTATATGCTCTCGTCCAACATGCATCACTAGCTATCTTCCGGTAGTTGATCGGCCGACTGACAAAGCGTGGCCCCATCAAGCATAAGCAGCATCCGGTCACCAGCCACTAGTATCTTGATCTGCTCCTCCTCCTGCAAACGTCGAACGGATTGCATTCTCCATCAACATGAGCTCAATAAAACGGAACAGAAATTGTACAAGACACGAAAGTCAGTATCCTCACCTAGGAGAGCGAGAGTGAGACCGCAAACGAGATGGAGAACGAGACCGGGAGAGTGAACGTGAGCGGGATCTGGAATGGTGCATCCGCAAACTCCTACTCCGACTTCGACTTCTGCTGTGTCGGTTCCTTCGGCTAACAATAACAAACACATTGGAAAAGGAACTTGTTGCAGTCGAAAACTAGCTTCCTAGGAAATGGTAAAAGGAAATATAGAGGTGGTTTGGCATATATATTTCTGGTGATGGCAAAAGAGTAGTTGATGGATAGATCAGATCCACTGTTTGCTCATAAAGAAAAATGATCGAGTTTGGGTTTGATGGATTATAGACCCCAACAACCCAGAACCCACCCGTAGCTTTGGAAATCCATTAGGTCACTTTCCTATGGGTCGCTTAAATGAGAACGGGTCACTGAATGAAAGAATTTCTGAAATGAGGCAATTTAAGCCGATTGCCTCATCTCACAATTGATGCATCAATTCACAATACTTGTCTCTCCCCCTGTCAATTTAAATTGATGCAAAACGAAACTATTCAAATTGTCTCTGCCCAGTTGCATGTGAAACAAGGCTATTTGATCCGATTACTTCATTTTAAGACAATTTGACCAAATAGCCTCATCCAAACCACCCCTAAACTAATATTACCCTCCTAATAAAAGGAAAAACATTCATACACAATCCACATACCAAACAACGAGTTTCAGAATCTATTGTTTTCTAAACACATTTACTCTTCAAAATGGATCAATTCTAAAAAGACATTAGCCAAACGACCCGGTAAAAAGAAAGCATGATGTATACCTTGGCGGAGAACGACTGTGACTCCTGCTGCGGCTACGCCGTCTGTAATGACTAATCCGACTTGTTTCTGCTAGTTTTTCCATCCTCTGACGCTCTTGTTCTTTCTTTTTAGCCATTTCAGCAACAGTATCCTTCTTAACTGAAGAAAAATTGTACAAGATGTAATGTCAAATATTTCAAGCAACAAAACAAGATCAGGGAAATAGCGTGAAATCGGGGGGGAATGCAGAGTATAAAGGAGTTTAATCATTGAAGTTGCATCTTATATCATCAGAGGCCTAAGGAATTGCTGAACTGGAAGATCATGGACAAGGACATTTAGCACATACTTTGTTTATTTAGCTGTGTGTTCATGATCCTTTTAAGCCTCTCCTGGGGAGTTTCCTTTTTCTCCCCTGGCTGCTGCTTTCCAACTCCTCCAGGAACAGTTGCCTTGCTTAGCTTTGACAACCCTGAGGAGCTGCTGCTGCTACAATAGAAGAAAATTTAGTGATTCAGTGAAAACTAAAACAACAAGAAATTTTAAACTAAGTGCCTTAAAACACCAGCAAAATTATGATGTCAACGGCAGAGTTAAAAGTTCAGGAAATAGTTGTCTATCTAGCTGTATACATACCTTGCAGAAGGTTTCAACTCTTTCGCAGTTTTATCCTTGTCAAGAGATACACCAGATGCTGGGTCAACATGAAGTGCCTCAAGTATACAACCAGATGATGGCCTGCAAGAAAGCAAAGCTTTAGATAAACCTAGCTCACAGCTCCATGTAAGTCAGTTGATCATATCAGGTAGAAGTGAAGGGGAACAATGACGAGCTTCAGAAAAGGAAGCTTATTTTCCCTCCATCCCGGCAGGTAGTTATGCGGATAACCTCTACCCTGGTCTATTTTGAACCAACAAAAGTTTCCACCGGGAAACAAAACGGGTAAAGCTGCAGCAGAGTTAAAGACTGTCGAAACTATCTTTTTGCAAGAATTGAAAAGGTCGAAGTGCTCCGACCGGTTCGCCAAATCAGTCCGGGACGGAGATGGTGGTGGAGAATATCCTTTAAACTTCGGCTCTTCGGCAGTACCAGAACCCCCAAATTCAGTGATATACTCTATCTTAGGACTCTTAGCTTTGCTGCGACGAACATCGTCATAGTCACCAGCACGACTACGTCTAGAGTGTGCTGGAGAGTATGATCTCGACCTTGATCTGCAAAAACAGAAAAGAACAGCAATTTAGGAATCAGAATATGATTGAAACTCTTTCAGTGGAAGAAGGACCACAAATCACTTAGAAAGGACAGGAATACCTTCTAGAACGAGAATAAGCTTCATAAGTTGGACTCCGTCTAGATTCTCTACATAGCCATTATAGAACCATCACTATAAATACGAGTATACGACAAAGCGTATCTCTAAATCACACAATCTATAATCATAACTAAGACAAGAAAATTTAAGAACTAAAGCTTACCGGTACGGATCATGACGCAGCAATCTGGTCCCAGTGATTCTAGCAGCTTCCCTCTCTTTTTCCCTCTCTACTTGAGAGACTTTCCTTCTTTCCTTACGACTCAACTTCTTCTGGAATCGCAGAAGATCCCACCATTGGCATTAGGTTTCTGACATAAATCAAGCAAAGATGACAAGACATTACTAAAACTTACAGTTGCAGGATCGCCTTTAATAACTTCCTTCTGCCTTTTCTCCTCTTCTTTCGCCTTTTTATCCATATACACGAGCCAACCAAACCTCTTAACTCCAAATTCTTTCGCAATAACATCAATTCCTTCATCACCACTGTCGTCACTGTTGAAGTCCTCATCTTCTTCATCCTCATCATTTTCATCGTCGTCTTCATCATCATCACCATCTGATAGCTTCTCCTCCACTTTTCTGTCTCCATCGTATGAGAAACCCACTTGTGAATATGTACCCTTGTTAGCAGGAGGCTGTGACTGCTGAGATTTGCTGAATTTGTGTGGAATGAAACAAAAAGGAGACAACTGAGTCAAATAATAAGCCAAGAAAAAAATTAGGGAAAATCCGAGAGAACCCGTCAGTTTCAGATCACAACAGATTTCACAATCACTGCTCGAACACAGTGAAATTCACACCTACATTGTAAATGAAGCTAAATTCAGGCATAGTACAGTGCAAGAGCAGGAAGCTGAGAGTGTCTTCCTTGAAAATGCCACTTATATCATTTACCAGACAAGGTCATTATGACATGCTATGAATTATTTTATTTTTTTCAAACTTATCTTTTCCGAGAAGCAAATATGAGCTATTTAGATAGGTAAGTTCATTTCATTCATGTTGCCCCAAGCCAGGGTGTAACATGCTGTTACATACATAGAGCAAGGAGGGAAGGGATAAGGAGGCTTTAACATTTCACTGATTCGCAAATGACAATCCAACCAAAAAACAAAGCACAAATGAAATGAGCCCACGCCCTTGCAACAACAAATTTCATGCAAGGAGGGAAAGATCAACATAATTCACTTGCTCAGTAAATATATCATTCACTGAACAGTGAATTTGTTCCACCATCCACCTATCTAAACATATCACCAATAAAATAAAGCTAGATTCTAACACGCACTACATGGACATTCTTATCGAGCAAACATATATATGCTACAACAAGACTATGAACATAGCATGTAACAGCCCAGTTGCCATAAAACTCCAATAGAGCAAAACAGAAGTTTTTTTAGTAACCTGTTGGAAACAAATGGAGCAATCGCTTTGGCTTCCATCTCTTGCATCACATGACGGAGACCCTCTTCATCAGTTACTGTTACAACACACAAAAATCCAAGCTTGTAAAACATAGTCCCAAGCAGTTCCTCGAGAGGTAGATAGCAGAGCAAAAGCACCATAGCTTGGAATTAGATGCGAGAAGCAATAAAGAAAAACATGATAGTTCAGAACAATAGCAAAAAAGTACCGACATCCTCTACGGCGAAGCTTAATTAAATCCCGATAACGCTCAAAACTAACAAACTCTTCCAGTTCTTCCTCTTCTTCCGATTTCTCCGGCTGCCGGAAGTTTCGAGAGCCAGCCTCCCTAATAAAATCGAGAAGCGCCCGGCCGTCGAATCTGTCAATCAGCACATCGTCCTTCCCGTTCCAAGGTATCCTGAGATCGTCATTCATCAACAAGCGACACAGCGTTGAGGCACAAATTTTTTCCATAACCAACCGAAAAAGGAAACGAACGGGAAGCTTTGAATCAGTGGAGCGGAAACATACAATCCCTGCTGATCCTCAGCGGCTTGGTAGAGGCCATCGTCGCGGTACATGCGGCAGCGATTTCCGAGGACCTGAATCGATTGCTGCGGGTCGCCTCTCCTCTTCGCTAAATACACCGCTCGCCGCTGCGCTCGCTTCCGAGCGGCGTCCATCATGTCGTGGACCTTCCGTTCCGATCTTCTCGCCTCGTGCCACATCTTTTCCGGGTGGTTCTCCGGCAGAAATTGAATCGACAGAGAAACTTCAAATCGAAACCCTAATTCTCTCGCTCGCTCGCTCGATTCTTCTAATTCCTTTCTTCCTATCTAATTCAGAGCTGATTCCTTTCAATCCTCGCATTTCCACCAGATTGCATTGCGATTGGCGCAGCGGACAGCGGCCGGTTTGTCTCCTTTTGACAGGTCATCATCATAACCCAAACCGACCAACCAATAGCCCAATTGTATCACGGGCCGTCGTGGGCCCAACAAACTCCACCACCTCACCCCAATAAAAGCCCCTCTCCACTCCATTCCTTTCTCTCTCCAACAAAGCTCTCCCCCTCCCTCTCTCCTCCCACAGGCGGCCGCCGCCGCGAGGTCCTCCGACCTCCGCCGCCGGGGATCTGCCATGACACGTCACCACCACCCCTCCTCCTCCTCCGCACCTCCACCCCCACCGCCGCCTCCTCCCCCACCGTCCAACCAGCCGCTGTTCTTCCCGCCTCCGCCGCCGTCGTTCAAACACCCGTTGGCGAGGGCGGCGGCGCCGCTCTACAAGCAGCACTCCTGGTCGCCGGACATATACCGGGACGAGGCGTGGCTGAGGCGGAAGAAGAGCAGCAGGAACCGTCGGAGCAAGAGCGTGACGGACGAGGACGTCGACGAGCTCAAGGCTTGCATCGAACTGGGATTCGGATTCGATTCCCCCGAGGTCGATCGTCGGCTCTCCAACACCCTGCCGGCTCTGGGGCTGTACTACGCCGTCAACAAGCACTACAACGACTCCGTCTCCAAATCGTTCACGGAGACGCCGTCTTCGCACACGGCGTCATCCGACTGCGACCCGGACTCGCCTTCTCCCGTCGGCAGCCCGGCCCGCGCCATCTTCGGCCCAGGTATAATTCAACTCAAAATTAAAGATTTCAAATTTCAGTTTCTCTTGCTTGTTCATCGTGAAAATGATTATTGGATTGAATTGAATTGAATTGGATCGGTGGGGTGTTTTGTGTGTACAGGGGAGAATCCTCAGACGGTGAAGACGCGGCTGCGGCAGTGGGCGCAGGTGGTAGCTTGTTCGGTACGGCAATTCTCAGGCTCCAGCAGCTGACGGCGGTGGAGTCGATGAAAGCTGTAATCGGAAGCATCGAAAACGCGTCCAACTTGTTTGACAAAATGCGTGAAAGAAGGGGCAGGAAAATCAAAAAAGGTGGAGAAGGAATCCTTTCGGCGCACCAATTGTTCGTTGCGTTAGCTTTCGGCCGTCGCACCTAATGGGATTGATTGACTTTCTCTCTTTTCCTTTCTGTAATTTTCGTTTTCAGACCTAATTCTCTCTTTCCCTGATTTTGGAATTTGCTGTTTGTCTAGGGTGACTCTTCCCCTATTTCCTGGTAGTTGATTTTGCCCCTCATTTTGCTGCTCGCTTGTTCAAATTTAGAGGGGGTTTTACTTTACTTACAATGTAGTCACCGTTACATCTGAAAAACTTTCATGTGAAAAAAAATATATTCATAGTGTATCAATTCCTTTCCAGTCTCGTTATAAGATTCCGCATCCTTTGGATCGAGGATAGTTGTTACGTAATCATTGGATGGACGCGATTGCATTTTACCACCGTGACAGCATTCCCCCGAAACCTTCTAAGCGCCATAGTCGGATTGATTTCAAAAGAGGGACAACTGCAAAATCAAACCAAGGTTATACATTATGTATATTTGCTTGTGCCGCAAGGCATGGGGCAATTGAGAAATGAATTTGGTATCTTCCACGCAAGAAACAGGAGATTTATGGGTTCTTTCTTGGGTTTTTTTTTTATATAGTTTCCATCTGCAGAAGCCGGCAGGTCTGGATAATAATGGAGGGGATGATGCCTTGATTGATTCTTCTATTATTCGATGGTGTATTTGGCTTGTATTGGGTAAAAATATCTGAGTGGAAATTAAACTAGTTTAATGAGGATTTGTTGTAAGTGGGTGGATGCTTTGAGATGGTTACTTGTAAAGATGGGAAAACCTACCCACCACCTGTGACAATAATAATAATTTAAACTATAAGTGGGGGAAAAAAACAAAGATCACAATATGTCATATTATCATTATGACAATGGGGGAGGGAAGGCAGAGGTTGAGAACAACGGAGATGGACTATGGGTGGCATTTTGGTTATTTAGGTTAACCGATAACCGGCCGATCGGTTATTGGTTAACCGAAATAACCACTCCCACTACCGAAAATCGCTCGAAATAGGTTTTGGTTTCTCGGTTATCTCGGTTATTGGTTAACCGACCCACTTTTAAGATCAAAACCGTTTCGTCTAGCCTCCGATAACCGGCCGAAGTTCGGTTACTTCGGTTATCGGTTAGTGGATAACTGGCCGGTTATCGGTTTAACCAGCTGGATAACCGGTAACCGAACTACCACCCTAAGATGGACCATGCAAAATCCCAACTGGCTGGCTGGAAAAATCAAACGACAAACACCTAGACGAGACAGTCGCACATTGCAAATGCCACCACTTTTTTTTTTTGGCCTTGTTATAAGAACCGGACTGACTGATCGGACCGGTCAAATTGCCGCCGATAAATCCTCCAATAATATATAGTAGAGTTTTGTCTACTTTTCTCCATTTCAAATTTTCTGCAACGAGAGTGAAAGTAGGAAGGGTATTTTTGTCTTTACAATTAATTATTTATTTCATATAAAAAATGTCAATATCAGGATTTGAACTCGGGTCTCTTCAAACAAAGACTACAATCACAACCAATTACACTAAACAAATTTGTTATGTCCTTTTTAATACAAAACATACATGAAGTGACACTCTGAAAATCGGTGGACTATTCCATCATGATTAGCAAGCCCACTAAGTCTATAGTATGTATTTTTATGGTGCTTGAAGTTGATACTGCAATTTTCATAGCAGAGTTTCATGTATTTTTATGGAAGAGACTAATTCTATTACTACAATTTGTTTTCTTGCATTTTTCAATTTATATGTAAATTTAGTACTTTTTTTATCTTTGCTCTTAACTCTTTCTAACTTCCTCTGAAATTTTCTCCATCGTGCAATAGTTTGCTCCCCTTTCACTTTACAAATCTGCCTTTGAAAATCAATCTTCCGGTATCTCTTGGCACTACGATTTTATTGTTAGGGATTTAAACTGGGCAAGTAGAAGATTTTAAATCCGATATCAATCCATGGAGAATAGAATGGAGTTCAATAAATGGAGTTGCAAAAGGAGGATTAGAAATTGAATTTTTGGTTGAAACATACGCCTCTTGAGATTGAAGATAAAGTTGATAAAAATTTGATTGTACAACTAAGGGTGGTGGCTATTAGATCTTTAGTTCTATGGTTTTTGATGATATCACAACTTATTTCTATCTTAAAATGGCAAATCATTAATTGATTTACTGAAGTAGGTCGGTCGATTCTTTATTCAACCTACTGGGACTGATAGATGAGGAGTGTCTAATTTTGTTCCTTATACTTTGATAGAGTCTATTAGTATATTGGATGTAACCCTATTTTTGGCGTTTGCTCTCAGGTTTTTATGGTCCTCTCTTAGCTGAATTGTTAGTATATAGTTGACTTGAATCAACAACTTTCCGTTTCTTTTTTATTAGTGGAATATTGTTCATAAAATGAGAGCATTGAACCTTTATGTAGGAATGCCAAGTTTAAGATTTAGTTTCAAACTATCTATGGTTTGTGTGGGAATTTCAGTGAGCTTTTCTACTCTATCTTTCTTGACAAATGGCAATCAATTAACCAATAGCATTTTACCAGGGACTTAATTATCATTATGAAAATGAGATCAATGATACATTTTTTATATTTTATACTCTTAAATGATGATGAAATTTCTCCAAATATTTTACCTATATATTCTTTCTTTATGTATCATCTCGATCGAAAGATTGTCAATAAAATTATATGGGTTGATAGATATAAATATAACATAAAAATATAAATAATCAAATATGAATATTCCGACCAACGGGCCGGGTTATAAGCTAGTTATTATGATAGGTCGGTATATTTGTTTGGATGGTTAGCAACTATTCGAATGATTTTTAAATGGTTGGATACTGAATAGAGAATCAGTTAAATCAAATCGTTGGTTTTTAAAAATGTTGTCATGAAATAAAAACAACAACAACAATCTTTTACCAACTTTATTTATAATTACAAGGAATTCTTGACAAGGGAGCTAGGCTTTCTTCCACTGCTGGGTTTGATTCCTGTAAAGAGGATGTGTGTTTGATCTGTCTCCACCCCTTGTTTCTTTTAAGATCATTACGAATATTATTATTATTATTATTATTATGTGGGACATGCATCATCCCAGAACGTATTATTTCTGCCACTACTGTTTAGGTTTAATTGTTTGTAACAATTAGTGGATTGATAATCGGATAAAAACACAAAATGCAGCTAATGGCTGTCATGGCCCATTACTTAACAGCACTTAACCTGTGTAGGCCTAAGATGGGCCTTAATAGGAATCATAAGGATTGCCTGCCGCTCATTGCTGTGATGCAATGATGAAACCCACTGGATGGGCCCATTTACTAGGTTTCCTTTTCTTATAATAGTACCCTCAGGCCTCAGCGGCTCAGCAATAGCACCAATGTACTTGTACTGTAATTGCTACTTCATTAGATATGTGGGTTTCTACTTTCAAGCAAATTAATTGATTTATTTTACAATGGAATATATAACGGGCAATCGACAATGTAAATAAAAATAATACACATAAATTTATATGGTTAATTAATACGATATGGGTTAACTAGTCATAAATGCGAAAGACCAATTTCACTATACAGAGGTGAGTGCAAGGCACCAAAGTGGGGTGAGAAGGTTTATATGGGCACCTTTTCAAAACCCTGAAAAGGAAGAAAAATTCATTAACTAAGTTGAAGAAAAAAATTCTCAGATTGTTTTAATGGTTAAATATCTAGATTTTAATTCGTCACGATATTTTTTGATAGACTAATGTCAAATATTTAATTATGTTAACGTGTTGATCAAATAATTCAATAATAGTAAGTAAATAAGATTAAATGACGATGATTCGTTCAATGGTCCCGAAAGGTTTGCTAAAGCTTTCTTTTATTGCCTAATTTGATCGTCATGATGTAACCCTCTCAAATACTGCATTAGCTTTGCAAAATCTTCCTCCCGTTTGATTGTAGCTGTAGATTCTCAATCTATGTTGTAGTCTAACATCTCCTTTATTGTACTGTGTGTGATAAACACAAAATGCTTATTCGTTGGAAATTGCAATAACACTTGACCAAATAAACTGTGTTAGAAATATTATAGCGGTTGCCTCTTCCCCTGCTGTGAGATGGTTTATCATTGCGGTACAATAGCTGTTGAGATAGGCTAAAGAATTAATTGTGAACATTAATTGGTTTCGTGGTGTAGTTGGTTATCACGTCAGTCTAACACACTGAAGGTCTCCGGTTCGAATCCGGGCGAAGCCACTATTCTCCCACTTATAGGGAATTTGCAGCAAAATTGTTGTTACTAATTTTTTGCAACTATAGGGAATACCGAATACTTGCATTCCTACCTATATAAGCAAAGCATGAGCAAAATTGTTGTTACTATTAGTCGTAGAGAAACATTCCATATTTTGTTAAACCAAAGACCAAGTATGTGTTACATTATTTTTCAAATAATTAGCCAATAAAATTATACTATTCAAATGATAAAATGTAAGTATTGGATTAATCCACTCTTTATCTACAATTTACATAAAGACAAAACATGGGTTGAAATTCTCCAATTTCAAATTTCGTGGCCTGAGAGTGATTCTAGGAATGTCATTTTTGTCATTGCACCCAGTTCATCTGTGTATAATAAAAATGTTATCATTGGGGTTCGAACCTTAGTCAGTTAAATAAAAAACAACATTATAAACATCTACGCTACTTAATCCTATTGTTATTTTTTTATTGAACTCTAGACATATGTTTGGTGATGATACTTCTATATTTATATTTTATCTTAAGTTATTTATATTTTATAAAAAGAGATTAGTTCTGTGATTGATCAAACATTAATATTAAATTGTATCTGTAGTTTAGTTTAGACAAAATACAGAAATATAACCAATACATGGACCTTTGTGACGAGTATATCCATTTTTTGTGACAAATATACACATAATATAATGATAAATTTGGAAAATGAGAGTTTGATTTCAAATTTCGTGGTGTGAGATTGATCCTAGGAAGCTCTTTTTAATCATTGCGCCCAATTTATCTTTATATTATGTGTAGATTGTCACAGAAATTTACTATATTTGTCACAAAGTTCCATGTTTTGGCTAAACATATGTATTTTATCTAAACTAAACCATACATACAATTTAATATTTAATGTTTGAATCAATATTACTAGAGTTCCGATTTCACAATTAATCACTTTCTATAAGATATAATAATTTCAGCTAAAATACCCTTCCTACTTGGTTGAAGAAGTTTTTTATATAAGATACATCTAATGTTTTAAGATTTTTTATTTCAAATTTCGTCAATTGAGAGTGAAAGTAGGAAGAGTAAATTTGTCATCATAATTATTTATCTACTTCATATAAAAAAGTATCTATATAAAGATTTGAACCATGGTCTATTCAAACAAAAAGAATAATCACAACCAATTACACTAAACAACAACTATTTTAGCTTATTAAATTGTAAATACACTAAACGGAGATTTGAAAAGCAGAAGACTTTTCCATCACTGTTAGCTAGCCTATTAAATCTTTCTGAAAAGCAAAGTTTAATACGTGATTTATAATTTTTTATAACCTATACAATTTCAGATAATCTTAAAATTGCAACCCAAATTTCATTGCTTGAAATAATGCATATCGAACTGCAGTATTGAATATTCAAAAGTCATGTAGAATTCTTTAAATAAATATAAATTTTCAGAACTACTACGAAGCAATAATATTTTGTACAAACTATAGGTGAATGGTTCTCTAAAATTTTAGTCTGGTTAACTGCTAAACTTTAAAACTATTGCTAATCTGGCATGAATGGACCCAACAATAATGAGATGATATTGGGTTTAATGTGATGTTCATTTCACCATTTTTGGATGTGTTAGATCAATTTATAGGGCATTAACATATAAATGAGTTATAATTAACCTCATGTTACAATGTTAACTCTTCATAATAATTAATTTAATCTTAATATTTGTGATGCTTGATATATTTTATCTATGATTTAGAGGTATACTTATTATTTGTGACATAAGTGGTAGTTTGTTCAAATGTAGTATTTATTTCATTATGTAGTCAAAATAGAATATTGGGTTCATTTATGACTGTTTTTTTATATTGGTGTTGTGAATAGGTAGAAACTTAATTATTAGAATGCATATAACTATACATATGCACATGGTAGAGCTAGCACGACCCAGTTAGCGCATACCATGAAGACAATATATGTGGATCGATCCTCTACAAACATGAATACTTCATGGGTTGTACTAGACCTAAACTTCAAGGGCTCGCGCACAAGTGCGAACACCACACAGTCTATGTTGGTGAACTCATGTTTTATGGAGAAATATGTCATTTGATAATAATAAAATAAAATATTCTAAAAATAACATATAAAATTTGAATTAATGAGTAGTTTTTAACATCAATGTGTGACGGCTCATATTTAGGTTTATATAATATATTGGGCCAATACCACTACAACACCCGAACTATGAACAAAATGTCACTTGTGTCCTATTCTTTCCAATATTCCATTTGTGTCCTAAACTATTAATCTGTTAGTGTTGACCGGTGTTGACCGTTAGTTTTTAACAGAAAATCCTGTCAGCGTTGACGTGACATCTTACATGGAATTTTTTAATCCAATTTTTATTTATTTTCCAACTCATTTAAAAAATAAATAAAAATAAAGACCCTTCCTCCACCTTCCCTTTCCACCTCTCGCTTCTCTTCCAACCGACCATCGCCGTCGATTTCATCTTCAACTACTTCAACTCCATCACCTCCTCCTTCAGCCTCTTGCTACAGATCCGGCGCCGTCAAATATCGAGTCCCCACACACACTCACCAAATCCACCACCTTCACCATCTGTCGAGCTATATACCTGCAAAGAATCCACACCAGAACCTGGGTTCCGAAATCACACCAACAGAGGCGAGATGAAGTGAAGGGGCGACATCGATTCCAAAGCTGAAAATGCCACGAGGTCGTCGCGAAAATCGATCGAGGAGACGACGAAGGTCCTCTATCTTCCCTTTCGTTTCCCCATCTCGTTGAGGAGACGACGACAGAGATCGTTGCGAAAATCAATCGCCGCGAAGGGGTGGAACTCATTGTTGGCGAGGTTCCCCGACTGCCTTCATGGTTGGCGTAGCCCAACATCCGAAAAGAAAGATAAACTTTGATTAGCTAGCTGCTTTAATCATTGAGTTCGAGATCAGGGGAGGGAGCAGAGAAATGAGAGGTGGAACTCACTTTGTCACTCGGATCGAGCATTTTAAGGCGGATGTACATGAGATCTACAGGAACCCAGATCTAGAATGGCTACGAGCTGAAGTGGGCAGCTGTCAAGTTCCCCAATTGGAGGTTGAAGGTAGTGAATCAAGTACAAGCATGTGAGAATAGATCTCGGGCGGAGCGGCAATGTGATCGGATTCGAGAGATGTTAAAAGGAGCTGGTAATCGCCGGAGAGAGTAGAGCTGGGGCGGAGCGGCGACATTTTTTAATTTTTTTAATAATTTTGTATTTTACTTCTTTTAATAATTTGATTTTGAACAATAATGACATGTCAATCCACGTGGATGCCATGTCACCAAAAGTCAACATAATTTTGACCGCCGTCAAGTCAACCGTTAGATTTAACGGTCAACGAAATCGTCAGGATACAAACGACATAAAGTATCATAGTTCAGGACAGAAATGGAATATTAGAAAGAATAGGACACAAGTGACATTTTGTTCATAGTTCGGGTGTTGTAGTGGTATTAGTCCTAATATATTCATTGTTTATTTGGAGACTCAAACCTTTTCCAATTTATACAACCAAACACTCATTTATAAAATAGTTCTTGATTAACTTCATAGCAAAAAATCTTTTTACAACTTGCAGTAATAACAAACAACGTCAACAAAATTTTTTGAAGTAAGTAAAGTGAAGAAGAAATTGAGATTTAGTATCTCTTTGCAAATGTGTGTGTTTGGGGAGGGGGGGGGGGGTTTATTGGTCTAAAATATTTGAAGAAAGGGTTGAAATTTATATATAATTTTTTTTCGAATATGAGTATTGAATATGAGTATTGAACATTTGAAAGCGATATATAATTCTTAAATTAGTATTAATTTTCAGCCCGATTGACCAATAGCTTTAGACCTCTTGCTAAACTGACATTATTGGATCCAATAATCATAAGATGAGATTTAGTTTGATATGTTGGTTCAAACCATTTTTTATGTGTAATGAATTTGTACAACAAATACATGTAAACAAGTGAAGATGAACCTGATTATGCATTTTGATTCTTTTGATAAATAAAATAGTTTAAGCGATGAACTAACTATACGCTCGCTCAATTGATTTAACGAGTGTTGTTCTTATCACTTTTAGTAATTAGTTTATTCACAAGCTATCAAACTATTTTGCTCCGTCGAGGAATAAGCGGCCATCTGTTCGCCAGGTTTCAGGTGGTTTGATTCACACTATCGACTGTGAATGAAGAATAAGCATTTTGATCGCAAAATTGAGGAAGTAATTGAGATGTTTCTAGGTTTCTCTCGATTCCAGGCGGTGGGAAGGAAGAGGAAGGGAATGGGGAGAGTGGTGAGATTCAAGCTCAGAGGGTAAGGAAGAGGAAGGCAAAGAGAGAGTGAGAACACATTTACAAGAGGGGGAAAATTATGTAGTGTGATATAATTGTCTTTCTCCTTTGCTTAAAGGGTATTGTTAGCCCTCCTCTATTGAGTTTTGATTTATTTTAAGGGATGACATTATATTTGACATATTTTTTTCCATTTCAATAAAAAAATCCTAAATTAATAATATCATTTGAATGGTCTCTATTGGAAAAAACTTAAAGGGCATACTAAACTCTATGTGAGATATTTTCTTTCATCCTAAAGGTTGATTATGTATGTATTATGAGAAGCTACTCTAATATTCAACTATATGGTTTAATTAAATAACGAATGACAATTATTTATATTTATTTCTTTTTTCATTAAGTAATTATATGTAATGCTTATATCATTTTCCCCCCCTCTTTTCATGTAGGTCTAAACATTTTATGCATAGTTGGATCACTTTCAAAAATGTTATGTGCATAACTTAGGTACAAAACATTTTAAATCATGTATTATAGGCATTATTGTATAACATATTACTCGACAAATTTTTCCCGGTCAACTGGCCGAGCCCTGTGCTAGTAATTATAGGACAACCATTCATTAACTTGCATGGAAACGGAAGAAACTTCCGCCTACTCGTAACTGGGTCAATCACCAACCATTTTGAGCTGATTAAACAATGACATGTTGTCATGTACAAATACTTACTGTAATTGACCTAATTGTGAGATTATCAAGTTAATTAAAATATGTTTTAACATATAATTGCAATTGTAGCTCTGCTTTTAAAACTAGACTAGATGTCAAATTCACACGAAACCACGTCTTATTCTTGTTGTCGTGCAATAGATAATTTCCTTGACCGAACATATATATCATACCTACCAGCATTTACCAGTTCCTTGGGCAAAGGTTATGCCGTCTTTCAAATTATAATAATAAACTTTGTCGATTCCAATAATAATTAATTAACTTGATTGTTCTATGTGAATGACACCTGCATGCATGCGAGTGCCGTCGGTTCTCAACTTTTTTTTTTGTTAAATAATATATTTAAAGAGATTTACATAATGTTTGTACACGGTCCAATAGCATCCTACTTAGAAACAAAATAAGCACCAAAATAATAGAGGTGGCAATTCTCAATCCAATCCACCAACTCATTACAAATATCAACTTAATCCAATCTATTTAAATCCAATCCATTTGATCCAAATCCATTAAAAATATCCACCAATCCATGGATCAATCCATTTGCCACCTATAACCAAAAGTAACATGAAAAATTTCTTAGAGCCAAACAATTGACTAAACGATTCTCCTCCCTGAAACACATGGGAGATGCTAACCTCCCCACTCTCGTGACAAAAGGTTCTGGAAATGGAGTACTAAACTTGCGTGCTGATGCGATGGATGGAGTGTCGGTTGCAAAATAGATAATGTTGCTTCAGAGGTGTGACCGGGATTTCATTTAAAGTGGGTCCACTTAAAAAAAAAAAACAATATACATGACCTCTCAATTAGACGTGCCTTAATTCTCAGTATCAATGGGTTACTGTATCTAATTAATTTTTCTCCCGAGTTAGGATGAGTCCCAAAATCCATCCTGTTACACTCTCCCTCCAATCCTGATTGCTTACAAATCCATTCGTAAGACTACTCTACTATGTTCAAGCTGCAAATTAATCTAAGCTCCATTGCTCTTACAACTCTAAAAACCTCGAATACGTGATGTCCCCTCGAGCCACTTTTTGAAAATTCTAATAAACCGACATCTTCAAATTGACGAGTTTTGACCAGCTAACTGATTTGGGGGATAAAAACACCTGAATTGGTTTGAACGATCAGATTCAGAGGAATATGTTTCTACGAATTTTCATAGAAACTACTAATATTATTCAAACTTGGGAACCCCGTTAGGTAATTTAACTCGTTGATCAAATCGCCTACTGCAAACCTGCACTAGAAATAAGCGACCCTTTGTTGCTGAAGGAAAGCACGTTTCCACGGTTACTTTCTTCTAATAGATGAAAACATTAATTAATGATTAAAAGGGTGCACTTCGACAAATCAATTGACAAAAGCTTTACTTGTAAATTGTTTTTTTTTTTGACAAAAACTTTACAATAAAATAAAATAAATAAATCATTGACAAAAGCAAGTGGGCTCGTCAAGAGCAAGATAAGAGGCAGAATTGTTGTTGCCAATCAAGATCATAGACACGGTATAAATTTATATACTTATGTTCGAGAGACTCGATTCAGTAATTTGTTGAACTCAATTTGTGACTTGATTCGTTTCGAGCTCATAATCTAGCTCTTAATTAGTGTGTCTAGCTAACCACATCGACTAACCTAGCTAGGTGCTTATGATAAAATCAAAATATAACTTATGAGCTGGATTGTTAATAAATCATATCTTTGTTAGATTATATATTTGTAGGCGAGCAAATATATCTTATTTATAATTTAAAAGAGAAATTATGTACCACAAATTATTTAGACACTAATTACTGCTAAATAACATTACATGATTAAATAAAATTTCTGAGCTAAATAATGATATTTGAGCTCGAGCGCCCATCCTGCGAGATTATTGACGAGCCATGGGCTCGAGTATAGTGCTGAGCTCGAGTTGAACGCGAACCAAACAAAATCCGAAATTTCAATAAACAAATTGAGTGCAAATCAGATCAAAACTCGATTTGACTCGGTTTTGTTTACAACACTAAAAGAAATTATAAAAAAAAAGCGAAGAAAAGATGTAACAAATAAAGAGCAAAGGACAAACGCTAGTGGTTAGGTGCCGTGGTTAGAGAATTTAGACCAAGTTTAGAAGAAATGGATAATAAGCAATTTAAAAGGCAAAAAAGGGTTTAGCACCGAAGCTTCCGTCTTTCAAACTAAGCACCGAAAAACCAAACACTAAACCCCACCACTATGACTCTATGAGGATAAAAAATTAAAAACAAACTCTGTTTTAACATGATAATCTACAAAAAAAAAAAAAAAAACACAGACAAAAGATGCAGAAAAGAGATAAATTCATACTAAAAATGAAATAGAAACCAGAAACCCATTCACACCGCAAATCAACCTTTACCAAATCCCACATTTCTACCAATCCAGTTTTGGTTTCATAATTGATAATTACATGGTGAGACATTTTCTGATCATATAAAACAGAGCCTTAGGGGAAGAATATGCGTATGGGGCAGGGAAAATCATGACCAACTCCAGCCCTATTATCGTCAATTTCATTGCGGGTTTTACTTGTCTCTCTCATGTAACAAAATAGAACATGAGAATTTCTCGTATTAACATCGCTACCTTATAACATTAATCTCACAGCGAGCTCAAATCTCAAGCGTGTTACATCTTGACCAGTACTGAGATTCTAGATCCAACTCAAGCCAGGACTGAAAATAGATAGAGAAAAGAAAGGACAGGTGTGTGCTTATTTTAATTCGGAGTCTCCATAGCTTTTGTGCGATCATTCTTCTCCATCATCATCATCATCACAAAAGTGGCATAAAAAGGAAAAGAAAACGTTTCCATCTGAATTTTCTTTTCTTTCGACAACAGTGTTGTTCCGTTTTCTCCAAATTTCTAGAACCCACACCTCATTTTCTTCCCTCCACTACCTCCTCTCTCTATAAAACTCTCTCTCTCGTACACGGAACCTAAGGAAAAGAAGAAGAAGAAGAATTCTCTGTTCTTCGTTTCCTTGATTGCTTCCTTCATTCAATCCTCCCTCTGTTCTTGCTTCCGAGTTATGATCTGTTTGGTTCTTCGTCTTGGATTTGCAGCAAAAATCTTCCATGGATAGGCAGAAACAACAGCTATTCGACACCATAGCTAGCTCCAACTACTTCCTCTTCGGATTCTACTGCTGGGATTGGGAATTCCTCACCGCTCTCCTCCTCTTTAGTTGCTCCATCTGAACAATCCATCCTCTCCACCCTAGCTGATTTTGATTCCCTTCTCCCACAATTTCAATTTCTTTTAGCTCTAGCTCTCTCTCTCAGATTTCTAGTACAGGAACCAAAACAGAGTTCCGCCTGTTTTCTTTTTTATTTGTATAGATTTGACTTTGTTCACTGAGTTTTCCCCAAAAATTTCCGGGGGGATCTTGGTGAGGGTGGGGGAAAAAAAAAATGGCGCAGAGATCGGTGCCGGCGCCGTTTCTGACGAAGACGTACCAGCTGGTCGACGATCCGGCGACCGACGATGTGATTTCGTGGAGCGAGACAGGGGCGACGTTCGTGGTGTGGAAGACGGCCGATTTCGCCAAGGATTTGCTGCCTAACTACTTTAAGCACAACAATTTCTCCAGCTTCGTCCGCCAGCTCAATACTTACGTAAGTTTCCTCCCCCTGCCTCCGCCATTTTTCCCTTTCTGCTGCGATGCTCAGGAGTCAGGATTGTGCGTTTTCGGTTAGTTCAATTGTTTTCTTTGATTGGAAACGGTTGAAATGAATGAGTCGTGATTGGTTAGCTAGCCATTAATTAAATTGAAATTTTCTCGGGAACCAAACAGAAAAATACAGTCTTAAAAGAAACCGGAAACTTCCTCGTGATTACAGAGTAATTAGGGGAGAAAAAAGATTTCTTTGCTTAATCTTTGATTCCTGCTTCCGAGTTTGTAGGTTGTAGTTAGTTCCCGTCCAAATTTTGCGTGAGTCAAATATGGTGATATATATTTTTTTAGCAATAATCAATGGTTGGGGTAGTGGTAATGCGAAGATAAGAACATTCCATAATCCGTCCATACTTAGATTCAAATTTTGAAATCAACAACCAATAATATAAAACCAAAAAATATAAATATATATTTGCAATTCAAAGTTTCAAACACCAATTTCAATGGGGCCATCCATCACTTGTCAACATAATTCAGTAGTGACAAAATGTGGAGAAGGTAAAAGAAGTATGAATCCGTCACATGTTATTATTGTAGATATATGCAAGCCCCTTTTTGTTAACGATTTAAGCAATTATAACATTTAGCTAGGCACCAAAACTGAAAATTCCCTTTTCATGTGTCCATACATGCTATTGGCATCTACCTACATTGGTAAGTTGGATGACATTCTACTAAGATGATAAATGCCAAGCAGTCAAAACAATAACAACATTCTTAAATTATTTTTAATACAATATTTTTAGATAAATCTAAGATCTGATTTTTCTCATCAAGTGACAAATATGACACGCTAGGTTTTAGTTATCAGTTCAACAATGAACCAAACATTCTTAACAAAATTTATAGTTAAACATTGTGGCCAAGTTATGGTTGAAATTTATTTTCTTATATGTGTTTTTTCGCTTTGAAGATAATGTATCGGATCTATCAAATAGAATCAAATGTATCTAGTTTTCATGTTGAGCCAAATCTAATCATATAAAATTAGGTAGAGGTATATTCTCATTAATGATCCTCGTGACACCGTAAAATATATAGTTATTATGAGTAATTTTGGCTCTTGGGTTGGTGGCAATGAAAAAAGAACCATAGAAGAAAAGATCGTGTTTACATTAGTGGAGAATTTTCCAATTGCCATCAAAATCAAACACTTGGACAAAATTTTCAATTGCGTACTAATCGGTCAAATTTCCAATTTAGTCCACTTCCACAAAAAACATACATTCCACAGATTGGCTGCGCCGATTCTTCACCTAACCTTTGTATCCACTCCCTGCTCGCCGCGTGTCACTGTACCACCTGATCTGACGTCATTGCTTGCGCAGGGGTTTCGGAAGATCGTGCCGGAGAAATGGGAATTCGCCAACGACAACTTCCAGCGCGGCCGCAAGGAGCTCCTCTCCGGGATCCGCCGCCGCAAATCCGTCACTCCGACGAAAGCCGGCGGCCCTGACGGAGAAGGGAATAGCAACAACAACAACGACGGCGACGACAACAACAACAACTCCTCGTCGCACTCCGGCGACGACATGGGTTCCAGCTCGACGTCGTCACCGGATTCCAAGAATCCGGGGTCGACGGTTGAAACGGCGGCGGCGACTACGCAGTTCGCGGAACTGTCGGGCGAGAACGAGAAGCTGAAGAAGGACAACGAGCTGCTGAGCTCAGAGCTCGCTCAAGCGAAGAAGCAGTGCGACGAGCTGATCGCCTTCCTGACGGATTACGCCAAGGTCGGGCCGGATCAGATCCACCGCATCATGCGGCAGGGGGAAGCCTGCTCCTGGTCCAGCAGCGATGAGGTTGCGCTGGCAGCCGGCGGTGGGGCGGCGGACGGCGAGCGGCGAGATGATGATGACGAAAATGAGAAATCGGAGGAATACGGGGATAACGACGGCGGAGGAGGAGACGAGGACAGCGGCGGTAGCGGTCTGAAGCTCTTCGGTGTGCTGCTGAAATGCAATGCTGGGAATAAGAAGAAGAGGGGGCGCTCCGGTGAAGAAATTGGGTTCGGCGGTGCCGGGCCTCACGCCAAGGAAATCAAGATCTGCCACTGAAAGGAAGATTTGGGTGAAGTGAACGAATCTGGGCTGGGTGTCCACGGTAGATTTGGGTGGGCCTGGCCCATACAGGATTCGTAGTGTCCGGATAAAAGTAAAACTAGGTAGGACGAGAAAAAAAGAAAGACGTGAAGAAGGGTCTAGGACTCTATAATAATGAAGGGTTTTGTTTTTAAGCTTTGGGAACTCTATGTAGTAAATTGTCATAAATAAGATTTACAAGTACACTCCATCCTTTCTGATCCTATTTCCTTTATATTTATATGAAAGCATGCCTAAAATTGAAAGTTTGCAACGGTCTGATTCATATCAGATTGCAACAGATCAAATTGAACAAAAATCAGAGTGGAGTGGAGCGAAGTGAGAGAAGAGCTCGGTTTGTGGCCAGAAACTGATTAATGGCTGTCAGAATCACCACCACCGCCACCTCTTTCTTCACCGTCACCGCTCCCTCCTCCTCTCCATTCCCTTCCAAACCTCTCCCTCTTCTCACCTCTTTTCCCTCTCATCCCCACAGTTCCTACAGTTCCCCGGCGACGAAAACCACCTCCCTCTCCGCTCTCTCTTCACCATCTTCACAAATGTCCGACGACGGCGGCCGCCGCAAATTCATGGACTTCCCCTTCGCCGCCGGTCCCATCAGAGACGCCATGGTTGATCTCGTCTCCACCGTCGAGAATCGCCTCGCCTCTCACCTCCTCCCTCCAGCTCTCCCACCGGACGTCCAGTACTGCCGCAACGATCCCGGCACCGCACATGCCTCCCTCCACATCCGCTCCGGCTACAATTCCTCCCCGGTATAAAAAAAATCCCCAATTCAGTTAGGGTTCTTAAGAAAAGAACAACCGAATCGTAGCTAATTTTGGTCAATTTTGGGGTTTAGGTGGATTTCATACTTGGGAGCTGGCTTCACTGCAAGCTACCCACAGGCAATGGATCGCTCAACATAACGAGCCTCTCAGCGTACCTAAACACGTCCACCGACGCGCCCAATTTGTTGATCGAGCTGATTCAGAGCAGCCCGGATTCGCTGATTTTCATCCTCGATTTGCCGCCTCGAAAAGATCCTGTTTTTCATCCCGACTACCTTCAAGAATTCTACGAGGAGACGAAGTTGGACACCCAGAGGCAAGTTCTGGAGAAGCTCCCTGAAGTTCGTCCTTACTTCTCCTCGTCGCTCTACCTTCGGAGCATCCTCTCCCCCACCGCGATCATCGTCAGGATCGACGGCGGCGGCCGGCCTGGTCGGGTGGAGGAGATTGTGAAGGAGTGTGTGCATCCGGTGGCGAAGGAAGTCGTGGGTATCTGGTTGGAGAAATGTGCAATGGAGAAGAGGGGATTGGGGGAGGAGGAATTGGCGTGTTTGAAGAAGAGGGATGGTTTGATCAAGAGCAAAACGATCGAGATTGATCTGGGTTCGAACTTTCCCAGGCTGTTTGGGCCAGAGGTTTCAGAGAGATTGCTTGGAGCTGTAAGAATGTATTACAATGTCTGAGAAAGTGAAAAGCTTTTCGTGTGAAATAGAATAATGGAAATAAAGTTGGAACTCTTTTGATGGCATGTAAATCGAATTGCATTGGGCGATTTGAGGGTAGAGTTCTCTGTTCTATCTGGGTTCGTAAACTAATCAAACAAGCACCAAGAAAGGACAAATTTAACACGTACCAACTACGGCGTGATTCTCATATTTCCTTTTCCTGTTATCCTGCTCTGTTTACTACCATCATCAATCCTAGCTCGCCAATTCTCTATTGCATTAACTAAAACAGGGGGGAAGAGGTTAGCTTGGATGTCTCTGGATGTGGACGTTGAGTGTCTTCGGTGTGGTGGTGACTTCAAACTTGCAGATGTCTCCTTTGTTCAGCAAGTTATCAGTGGCAAACTTCATCCAACCTCGGCACGGCATGCTGTAGCCGTGTTGGTCATAGACCAACAGCTTCACCGCCCATATGCTGTCACCAACTCTAAGCTGCAGCCACTCCACGCTTGATCTGGTGATGTGCTTGTGGACAAATTCCAGCGGAAACCTCTGCACCAGAAAACCAAACCCAGAAAAGGGGAGAAGAAAAGAAAAAGGGGTTTCATTTGTAAGGACTGATGCTCACAGTAAGCCACTATTTTGCAGAAGGAATGTCCATAGCCTGCTTAGGTTATATATAACTCACCGGGCCATTACTAGAACTGTAACGCGCTGTGATCACTTTACTGAAAAAGGGCTGCTCTGTGGGAAAGTTTGGGGCAGCAGCTGAAATGCCAAAATCATTTGGAAGGTTGGAGGACGAAGGTCTGAACTGGGTTTCAGCATTGTCTATTAATACACACACAAAGCAAAACAAGCTGTGGCCCCTTAGGTAGATGGTGGGAGTAAAAAGGTGAGAAGAAAGAACATTACAAGGTAAAGAACGGTTTCGAGTTCTTCTCATTTTTACCTGTGAAACCTACTGCAGTAGCAGGAGCTTTGCCTTTGGGATCCCCCATCTTCATCCTTCCAACAGCAGGAGCTAGTTCTTCTGGGCAGGAGCAGTCAACTGGGAACTTTGAGTAGTCAATCTCTGCTGCAGATCGTTCGAATACGAGAACAAGGAAACGGGATGTGCCCTGACGCTCGAAGACCAGAAAGTCGCCGTGTTTGAAACAGTAGTGTCGCGAGAACTGTTGCCATCCCTTCTTAAACCAAACCCTTCCTTTATCATCTCTAACCAGCTGCACAAGCCAAGCATCGCCATTTGGGAGCTCGAGAGTAACCATACTAGGGAGACCATAACAATGCTCATCACTGTACTTCTTGGGAATCAGCTGCCGAAACAAATTTTTTTAACCAAATAGCAGAGATTCATGACCAGAATATATAATTTATAAAGGGGCAAATGTGGTTTAAATATAAAAGCAGAGGCGTATATATAATTTATATATGTTTACCATGTTCTTGTCTTGATCAATGTCTTCCTGAAGTAGTATTCTGACAAATCGTGAGCCGAGCCATGAAACCGAAGCATCCATTGTTGAAGAAGTAAGCTCGACAGTTGCAGCTTCTTCGCTGGAAACGGAGATATAGTATATATGAGTGTGGTTTGGTATGTGAGTAGAGAAGATGAAGAGGCAAATGGGGTTTAAAAATGAAGAGCATTTCCACTGCAATAATGGTGAAAAGAAGATATAGGTTCTGACGGGCTCTTATATGAGACCTTTCACAAAAATAGCAATGCACAGCTGTGAAAGCCACAACATGAAGCAACTCACTGAAAAAATGAAGTGACTGCTGAACTTGCTAATGAAAGCAAAGGTATGGAGGGAGTCACTTAAACCAACGCACGAGCTTAAATCTTGGGCCACCAGGTTCTTTCAAGTGATCTAAGGTATAAGATATGTCAAAGAAGCAAAAGTTATTAGATATGTTTTCCATATGTGACTAAGAGATCAAGCTCCAAAACAAACCTTTTCCATCGTCAAACTAAACTGGCCTTTTATTATATTAGAAAGCTAGTTGTAATCGACTAACTCTGACAATTTATAAGGGATAGTACTTTGCTGGAGAGTGGATGCATTTAACGTATCCAAAAGCTTCTGAGCTAATGCTGTTAATCAGTTGTTCTGGTATAATTTTTCTAGAGCTGCAGATTGACTATAACAACAAAAGGAATCTAATAACCAAGTTGTTCAAACCAACTAAAACTCAACTCAAGAGCATAATTCTTCCTTTCAGCAGAAGGTGGATTGAGTATGATTTTTGCGATCATGAATCTCACAATTAACATAGATCAAGTTTGGAGCCTAAAAATATTTGATTAAAATTTCACCCTTGCAATTTATATAAAGTATTTTCACCACCAAATTGACCTTGTGTCCTAAATTTATTCTCAAGTTAGTTCCCTCGTGGAAACCTGCCGTTGACTCTCGAGCTAACTGCAGAATTTACAGAGGAATGATCGAGAAGAACAACATCTAGAGCAAGTCATCTAAAGGGGTTTTAGTTTTTTCAGATTGATGCATTATTTCTTTATAATAGGCGGATCTATGAGTTCTCGCAAACGATTCAACTCATTAATCACCTTGCTCGTGGTTGTTTGTGCATCTGTTGGTGTTTCTAGTTCTCACTATTACTACTAATCAAAAGCTACGGAGATTGTAAATGCTGGACGGTTCAAATCACCAATCACAAGCCTGACCATACCTCTTTGTAGCGGGCGAGTGACGCGGTAAAAAGCTTAGTGTCCTTGTTCCTATCTTGAAATCTGAGAGCATCTTCACTGATATTCCAGCTCTTGCTCAATTCTGCAACTAGCCATCTGCAATACCCTAAAACCATAAATTCTGAACATCCACCAATTAAAAAAAATCATGGAGCTGTTTATCATTCCCGCCATAGTTCTGCTAATATGTAATACCTTCTGCAGTGGTTCTAGGCAGTGGGCGAGTTGAGAACATCATTTACAACTATAGATTTGCCTCGTTCCTAGGCAGCCACTGGCGTAGCCTTTTGCATTTTCTTGGCCGACCTTTGAAGATGTAATTCCTGAGTTCACACTTTTGCCTTAGAAACCTACAAAGGAGAACAAAAATGCATCAGAAACACGTCAACCCCAAGCTTAACAGAGCAAGTGAAACTTTTCTATACCAAAATGATGTTTAATGTGTTTCTCTAGTCTCTACTTAGAACCTTTACATCTAAAAGTAGTAAAACATTGTTTTAGTGATGGGATAATCATAATTTTTACACACAAAGCCTTGAATTATTAGCAAGTACTATACAACAAATATAAGGAGCCCAACACAGTCAACTTCCAGGTTCTTAGAGGCGAAATGTTCTCATGAGCAGATAGCTTATTATAAGTAATATCTATGAAAAAGTGTGGATCTTTTGAAAAACCCAAATACATTCACCGAGAACAAAAGCCTAAACTCACCAGCATGAACAAAAGCACAGAGTAGTACACAAATGAACTTTGCCAAATGGTGGCAAAGAGGAACAGGCATAACACCAAACTCGAAATGGAAGAAGTTCATTGCAGATCACGTAAATGTTGAAGCAATGAAATTCATAATTCAACACATTAACCAGGTCACAGGGGGCTTAACTTGAACCAGGGGGCGTTTTCCCAAAGACCTAGGTCATCGTATTCCCGCGGCCGAGTACCTGTCTAACACAGGCAAACTCAGCTTCTTCTTCAAAGAATGACGGTGGCTTGCCCAATTCTCTGAGTTTCCCCCCTCATCAAAATATCTCCGACGTTTTCTGCAAAGCATGATGCAACGGAGAATTCTGGCACAACTCCGCTCTGTGGTCTGAAATCGTTCCATTCGATCGATACGCTACAGAAAGACTCTTCCAATTCCAGTCCTTCACAATCCTCAAAGCCGGCGACGATCTCCTCTTCCATCTCCTTCTTTCGTCTTTAGGCGCAGTAATTGGCGCCGGCGCCAACAAGAGTGATCATCGCCGTCGGACGTCGGTCGGAGGAGAAAAGAGGGAAAGGAAGGGTTAGTGGACCTGGGGCGTTCTTGGGCCTGCTGGGCAATTCATAAAAGGAGGCTAAGAGCATTGGACTATGCTTGTACATTTTCTGTTGTACTCATGAGCCCATCTCCTGCCTCTCGAGTCCTCATCGTTTAAGTCCAACCCAAATTTGGCATATAATAAAGGTGGCTATCGGTTGATTATGTTCAGAACCGGATCAAATCGGGATAAAATCAGACTAAAATGAAAGAAAAATTGAGAATCATAATCAAAATTAGATTTGGTTCATTTGGTTTGACTCAGTCCAATACAAATTTAGCTTTGGTTTACTTTTCCTTCATACTTAATATAATTCGTAGGATCGAAATTAAATCAAAATATAATTGATCCAATTCAATTCAATATCAATTTGGTTTAGTCTAGAGTCTAGACCGAATTGTTATCCACCCCTAATAATAACTCATTGGCACCTCAAACAAGATTAAATTGTACATCTTACGTGATAAGTCAACATGACATGAGGAACAAAGTCTTGCCCTATTGTTTTTAAGCCAATTAGATTTACAATATATTCTAGGTATTGTTGTCGCACTTTTTTAAGAGAATTAAACTCTAACATTGATATAAAATAAGCTTTACACAAGTCAATACAAAGTTACACTTACCTTGTCATGCAATTCATATGTGGTAGTTTGCAAGCTCCACATCAACATCATTATGGTTTTCATCCTTGATGCCACAACTTATGCTTGACATAATATCATATTGGGTCGAGAAATTTTGTGGTCTGGCCTAGACCATACCATACATAAGGTTGATGGTCCTCCAGACCTAGAAGATAAAGCATAGACAAAAAACTAGATCAAATACTAAATGGTGTAATACCAGACCGTGCCTGTGTGGTCGGGACCATGCAGAGCACATTAAAATAAAAATGAATAATTTGTTTAGTTAACCACAATCAATCAATAACCAATCAATAATCTTTTTGTCCCTTAGAACTTAAACTCCAACACGCATGCGTAATTTTGATACCATAAATCCAAGTAGATAACAAAAACATAAAGTCAAAGGAATCCAACTTGCACCATAACATCAAAACATATTGTCATATGGAGACACGATTGTCTCTACTCTGTGGCTGAGTGATGTTTATGAATGAAGGGGGTGACGAAATACACAAAATTTTAGTTGAGACTTGGGTGTCGTTGAGGAGTTGAAAGAGCGACTGGGTGAGCTACTAACACGAATCGAGAATTAGGTTAGATCCATGGTTTGATATGATAAACCACGGTCCGGACCAGACCAAGAGATCAATACAACCTATAAAACAGACCATTCTAAACAATCTATGGTCCATACCAAACTGTGGAATCTGGTTCGGCACACTGTTTTTCAAACGACCATCAGGTCTATTTTTCTAGCCCTAGCATCAGATCCTTCTGTAACCGAGATGTCTTACGTTCGAATCACGACAACCACATTTGTTAAACACACGATATTCCGACCAATGCAAACATCAAACCTATATTTTGAGACACTTTACTACACAAAGGATCTGAACCGAACAAGGTGTTTGATGTCTCACCCTTATTATACATTTTAACCTTAACACTCATCCATAACCAGTCCTACATAACACAAGAGTGTGTCCTAGAATGTCATTCCAACCACATGAAAATTGTTCATGATAAATAGTTTTCGTTGCTTCTCTTTTGTCCTTCCATCAACGTTGGATTCTTGACAGAGTCAACAAGTACTATTGAGATCATGAATCTTATCAACACCGCAAAAACCATCACATGATGATCCAATGCCAGCAGAAGACACCTGAGCCATAAAAAACCCATCTTCCAATAGCAGTGCATCAGTTATCTGCATAGTTAACATCACCGATGAAAAGCTCCACCGTCGTCCCACCCACGCAATAGTTTCTGAATCGTCGGGCAGGCGATGAGGGGAACTGGGAGAGGAATCTGGGCCTCATGATATTATTGCAGAGGATGGATCACAGCCCTTGATCATGACATGTCAGCATGTGCACTGTATCAATCAGACGGCAAACATCAACCAAGTCGAACTAGTACACTCCTAGTAGCTTCCCCCACATGGGAAAGTGGTGGTGGGCAAGAACTCTCAATGGCTATACTGCAGCATCCTTCCACCGGCCTGGCAGCACTGGTTCTGGTCCAATCTTTATCAGTGCTCATGATCTGTGGTGAATAATTAAGCAGCCTGTCCATCTTTTTCCCTCCCTTCTTGATAAGTTGCTTTCATCCTGGAGTTGGTACTTGTGACTGTTCCAGACTCCTCTTCAGTGATTGTGACCTCAAAACTACTTTTTTTTCTCTCTATCGAGATTACTCGTATTATCAAGAAAAAAGAGTTACATTAGAGTTATATATGACTGATCACAGCCAAGAACGAAAATCGAATCCTAGGCCAACAAGACCGAGGTGGAAAACAAGGTGGCTTAAAAAACAACCCAATTTCTGGCATTCCAAATGCATTAGAAAACAACTATCAAGTTCATTATCTCCACCGTATAAACATAGATCATAATAACATGGATCTTAGAATTAGATGATTTCACGAATCGATAATAGATCGGGGAAACCTACCTCGATCCATGACGAGAGCGGCGGCGGCGGCGCTGGAGTAGTAATCACCGGAATTGAGTTTCTCCCTCTTGACCCCTTCTGTGATGGCTAAGAGATTCTACGTATGGGTTGAGAGAGGACCAATCCTAGAGCTTCTTTATATAGACCCACCATCAGGGTATATTAGGAATTTACCTTTTGTTAACCTAATCAATATAGGATTTACCTTATATATTAAACCATTAAGTGATAATTACACTTGAGCCACAATTATTCCCTAGTGACCTACGAGAATTGGGCTTACACACCGATCCTATTTCTCCTAGTGGAACTCGGCGCCAGAATAGTTCAACACAACCAAGAGGGAAGGAATCATGAATATCAGCTAGGCTAGATGCCTCGCAAAGATCCTTGCATGGCAAGGAACTCGAAACTATTGTTTACCTAATCCTCGTCACGTGGTGGTGTGTTTGAATTTGAACGACACCCAATATAACATTTGATTTCAGCATAAAGTATGGTGGGCCTGTACAAACTTCAAGCCCCATGAGTTGACTTTCATTTGAGAGAACGTGTAAGAGAGTATTATAAGATCCATAATTAACCTTCTATCAAAAACTCGAATTATTGGAATAAACTGTTTCTTTACATGACATCTAGATGACACACACAAGAGATTTACCAGAAGTCCAGAACTACAATTTGGCAGCAGAAGATGCCATGCTCACTAGTTCGTGGATAAAGTACCATAAGGTTGCATGATATTTTTGATGCCTCAAACTTGCTTCGAGTTCTACTAGGGAACCTCACTTCACCCTTTACCTAAATGCATGTGCAGCAAAATCAACACCCCAAAAAATTTGCCTAATATTCCTTGTTAAAGAGGTTGTCATGTAGATGTAGAAATTGATGTTGTCCTTGGACCTATTTCGCTTTCAGGTTAGGCATTGTTGATGAAAAGAGACCAAGCACTGTCCTTTTCTGTAGGATCTAGTAGTTTGATCAAAAGCCAGTTTTAGACCAAATATCGAACTTATATCTCGTTTGATGAGAGCTAATTAATCCCATTTGGTGGCCGAAAAGCGTTCCTTTGTATACATGTAATCAAAACGATAAAGATAATGATAATGCAAGTATGGCGTACGTAACAAGGACATTCACTGTGCTTTTCAAATTAATCGCTATTGCGTACTATAAGTGCATATAGTCCCGTCTGGTGTCACCCATCCTTCATTTCCCTCTCTATATAAACCCCTCCAACTCCAACCCTTTCAAGGCTCTACACAAATTGAGTTCATTCATTGAGAGAGAGAGAGAGAGATCAGGCTAATTAGGAATCAAGAAGAAAGAAAGGATGTCTATGGTCCTTGCAAGCTACCTCCTTTGTGCCATTTTCTTCCTAGTACTCCTGAGAATCCTCAGGAGGAAATTTCCAGTGTACTCAAAACCAAACCTGCCACCTGGCTCAATGGGTTGGCCTTTCCTGGGAGAAACCCTACAACTGTACTCTCACCACCCTGATTCCTTCTTTGCCACCAGACAAGCCAGGTTGAATATTTCACTTCATCCACTACTGGTCCATTCCAATATCTTCATTCTTCCATTGTTGGCCCTTACTAATTATGAGTTTTTTTTTGGGTGCTGCAGGTATGGAGAGATATTCAAGACACACATTCTTGGGTGTCCATGTGTGATGCTGGCTAGTCCTGATGCCATAAGGTTTGTGTTGGTGGCACATTCAAGCTTGTTCAAGCCAACTTACCCTCCAAGCAAAGAGAGGCTGATTGGCCCATCAGCTCTGTTCTTCCACCAAGGTGCATACCATTCTCAGATCAAGAAACTGGTTCAGGAATCACTGTCCCTTGATGTCATCAGGCACATGGTTCCTCAGATAGATTCCATTGCTGTCTCTGCTTTGGAGTCCTGGTCCTCTGCTGGAATTGTCAGCACATTTCACCAAATGAAGGAGGTATGGAGATGGAAATTTCATATTTGATCACCGCTGGTTCTTTTTCTTGTATTTTTTTACTGGGTTTTCAGGTCTGAAATTTTCCTGTTTGCAATTGCAGTTCACTTTTGATGTTGCTGTTTCTTCCATCTTTGGTCACTTGGGTGCTTGCCACAAGGAGAAGCTGAAGAGGAATTACTTTGTCCTGGACAGAGGCTACAATTGCTTTCCACTCAATTTTCCAGGGAGTCTGTACAGGAAATCAGTAATGGTAAGATCATAATTCCATAAACACAATGCTTCTAGGTTAACAAAACGCCCTTTTCGATTCTAGAAAGTATCAGCGCTTATGTTCCTTCGAAGAATCCTCTCAAGTTTTTCCTTATCTGAGTGGATAGGCGTAGCGAAAAAATTGGATATAAAATACTATATCATTTTTGAACAAAATTTAACTCATACATTTGGAGTTTGCAAAGACTCTTCATACGATGTATGTAAATCAAATCTTACTATTTGCATCTGGAAAAAGGGAATCAAACCAGAACATTACTCGTTACCAAGATTCAAACAGCTGTCGTGTCAAGAAACCAACTCGTCCCAGTAATCCAAATTCTTGGAGAGAATCTGAATATCATACAAAATTCCTGAAACTCTGTATTTATCCTTCTATCTCTGTCAGGCGAGGGAAGCACTGAGCAACATAATCAGGGACATAGTGCAACAAAGAAAGGAGGAGACGACGATGCAGAAGAGAGATCTGTTAGGATACATGTTGAACTTCAGGGGACAAGAAAAGGGTGAACCTTTGACAGAGAACCAGATCTCCGACAACATAATTGGAGTTCTGTTTGCAGCTCAGGACACCACCGCCAGCCTCCTGACATGGATTCTCAAGTACCTCCACGACAACTCGGACGTCCTCGAATTAGTTCGGGCAGAGCAGGCAGCAATCTACAGGGCAAATGAAGAAGGGAAGCAGCCATTGACGTGGGCACAGACAAGAAAGATGGTGGTCACCAACAGGGTGATCATGGAGAGCATGAGGATGGCTAGCATAATATCGTTCACTTTCAGGGAAGCTGTTGCAGATGTTGAATACAAAGGTACCATTCCTCTTCTTCTTTACTTGCATGCGATTTCTGCTCTGCAGAATTTCAGAGTCTTGCCCCATTTGGGTAGCTAGATGAGATAATGTCAAATGAAATTGGGATGTCTCTTTGGTTCTGAACTCAAAGTTTGTTTATCAATGTAGCGATCTGTGATGATCAATGATGATGATGATGATAAAGCAGGACACAGTTGCAGTGATAAAGCATCAACATATGGAACAAGACTACAGATTCAAACAGCTTCAGTTTGGGGGACATTCCACTTCTTTTATTTTCATGCCTAAAACTCTTATCTCACACCGAACATCCACCAAATTCGAACTTTAGGCTAACTACTATCCGAGAAAATTATTAAAATAGAGGTCCGAGAAAAAAATGGCTCTAAAACAATCTTTTACAAAAAGAAATTTCTCTTTCGACCATAAATATGACCTACAATTACAACTAAACTCAGCGTGAGAAAACTAACAGAGAGTCTACTAGGATTCAAAGCCAACTATATCGGCTTTATGACCTACAATTACAACTAAACTCAGCGTGAGAAAACCAACAGAGAGTCTATTAGGATTCAAAGCCAACTATATCGGCTCTATCATGAAACTGTTAGGATAGAACCTCATTGCCATTGGTCTTAAGAGTTATATGTGAAAACATTGATGGTTTAGCGAACGAAAACCCGAACCGGAGTATATAAAGAGTTCATTGATTTTTAATCTTGAGATTACCCAAAGAAGATCAACTTGGGAAATCATAATTTTGTTTTAGAAGTATTTTATATGTCAAAGAATTGTTGAATACTTTTCCTATCCAAATCATCAATTGTTTAAAAGAAAATTTGTACAAAAGGCTTTGTGCTGTTACAATGACTTTTATTTTATTTTAAAAAAATGAAACCACAGCATCATTATCTTAGAGAACTACCCCAGCAAAGTCTCCATCAAATAGGTCTACCACCTTTCTTAAACATTGTAAATCTGTTTTGACCCAAATTGCTATAAGTTAGAATGACAAATTAACTCATATGAAATTGGTTTTTTTTTTTTTTAATCTGGGACAGGATTCTTAATCCCAAAAGGTTGGAAGGTACTTCCATTGTTTCGCAGCCTGCACCACAACCCAGATTTTTTCCCAGAACCTCGACTATTTGACCCCTCAAGATTTCAGGTATTATGCACATGCTAAACATGTCATTAATCATCTAAACAGTCACTTTTAATCACCACAGTACAATGCTCTAAGATGAACTCTATACCAAAATTCTGCTGACATAATTTACTGTGTGCTGAACTAAAAAAGGCAAGTCCAAGGCCCAACACATTCGTGCCATTTGGGAAGGGAGCTCATTCCTGCCCAGGAAATGAACTTGCCAAGCTAGAGATGCTGGTCCTGATTCATCACCTCGTCACCAAGTTCAGGTATCAACCTCTCTAATCATTCATTGATTCGTCGATCTGACCGGAAAAATCTTTTACGTTGCATCATGACACATCGATTTATGGCGAAAACTGACAGATTGGGAATCCTCTGGGTTCTTGGAATTGGTTCTCTGCAGATGGAAAGTTGCAGGAGGAGGTGATGGTGGGTCTTGTAAGAACAAAGAAGTTGAGTACAGGCCATTCCCAATTCCACATGGAGGGCTTCCAGCAAAGTTTTGGAAGGTAGATAGGGATTCTCGTGCACCGGCAGGCAGGACGTGACAAGAAAGAACTACTACAACACACATTAATTTTCAGACTCTTGTTCATAATATGTATTGATAATTGTTACCTATAAAAAAAAAAAAAAAAATCAAAGTGGGTTCTTAGATGCATCTAATTAATGTATATGAATTAACGAAATCGTTTATAAAGTAAATAGTTTAATATCTGTATGTGATATTACACACGTGTAGTGATGACAATTTTGATTTGACCTGTCTTACCCGACTTATATAGCCTATTCTGTGACGTTAATTCGCGTTTCAAGATAAATTACCCAACATGTCGAAGGAATGAGTATGAGTACCATGACACCCTTCCCGACATGCCCTTTCTCATTCTTAGATGTGCGCTTAATATTATGATAAAATTGAATAATAAGAAATTTTCATCGTTAATTTATCTAGTGCTTATATACTCTTTTCGATATATTTAAGTCATAAATTTTAACTTCTTCGTATCAGTAGTATATAAACAATCTATACTACATACTTTTTCTTCCAAATTATAAGTGAGATATATTTATTAATCTACTCAAAATCTTAAACGCCGTTAAATATTTGATCTAACAAACCTATAAATTATCAATAAATTATATTGTTATTTATTAACTTATTAACTACTAGTTGAACTGACTCACTAACCACGTTGTATAAAGAAGCGGTGGAAGAAAAACATAAAGAAGCGGATTAACGGTGACCTACAGTTGGGCCGGGCCAACAGGCCCATTTAGTAAAAAGACTTTACTAGGGAAGACTTTACCAAAAGCGGCCCAATTTCTTCACCGTGTTGATAATTCTTGTGCTGCGAAAGGTTTGCTTAACGAAGGAAACGAAGACGACGAACGAACGATCATCCTTGTTGGGACATTTGCAGAGCTTCGTGAAAAGCCAGAAAGTCGGTCAGATTTCCATTTCAGCCGGGAAGTTTTCTCCTCTCTGTTCGCCGTCGGGAACCTCATCCACCGAAATCCATGGTTTGTTCTTCAAGAGAATCCCCCAACTCTTACTATACATTCCTTTTCGTTCTCCAGTACATTTTTGGAGTTGGATGAACCAAGAATCCTCGTGAAATCTTGTGCTTGTCTCGTAACATTACTGTTTTCCGGCTTCTGTCCATTCGAATTGAAGTTTCCCTGTGAAACCGTGTTAAGCGACTGCCAGAGTCTTGAAGATCTCAGCTTTCCTTTAATGGGTTTCCTTATCTTCTTCCCCGACCTTGGACCCAACTTGCTTCAATTTTTCCCTCGTTTGGACTGTGGATTGAACTGGCCTAGGCGGATGATTTTCCACTTTCTATTAATCCTTCTTGTTCTTCATAGCTTAGCTTCAGAGCGAGTTGCTTCTTTTGTTAGTCGAAACTTGAGTTTTTATCTACAATTAGATGCCCCTTTTCGGGACAAGATGTCATCTAAAATTAATTGTGGTAGGGGTTTTCTTGTTGGTAGATACGTTAAGATCAAATTAGTGATGAAGTTTTTGCAGAAGCTTAAGACTCATCCTATGCCATACACATACAGTGTCTGAACGATAATGTTATGATCGATGTGAACTGAGTATCATGGTCTGAGATAAACACAATGTTCTTTTCTTTATGTTCCTATTGCTATTTTCACTAGCTCTGTGCCATTTTCATCAGTCGTAGTAGTATAAAAGCATTCGCCAAAGTGAGGCTTTCCATTTCATGTTCGCACATGCTAAATCAAGATGTAACTCCTTTTGAATGTCATTTGAGCCACTTGTGACATGATTGATGATCATTTGCGTGCACTCTCCCTTCAGTCGAATCTCTATAGAGGGGTATCGAGGAAGGATAAGCCGAGATCCCGTCATCATGGTGGGTTAACCCAGCAGAAGAAGCAAGAAATCAAGGAAGCATTTGATCTATTTGACACTGATGGCTCAGGTACTCTTGTCTCTTGTTTTCTTCGTCTGTTTTTGTTACCTTTGCTGATTCTTCTGTTTCATTCCGCAGTTCATTAGATTATATCCCAGCATATTAACTTGTGGTTGGTCCTTTTAGGGACTATTGATGCTAAGGAGCTGAACGTTGCCATGAGGTATGAATTGCTTTTCAATTGTCATGTTTTTTTTTCTGTTTATCAAGGTTAAGCAATTACTGAGACAGAACTTATCTTGTAACAGGGCACTCGGCTTCGAAATGACAGAAGAGGTATCTTTCATTCCGATATCGTATTCATGTTTGTGGTGATTCTGCTTTGCTATTGAATGTCTAGCATCAGTTTTTTGTACGATGAAACATGAGTGATCTCTTTACTCAACTGTTTATGGGCTTTCATTAAACTGTGATCATAGTTCAACGTGAAAGAAAACTGTGATTGTATATTGATTTTGGACGCCCTACCAGTTCTAATTCTCGTATTACCGATGTTTTCAATTGACTGCTTGACATATTGGTGTGATGCCCTCGACTTTTGTATGGGTAGCAAATCAATCAAATGATTGCAGACGTGGACAAGGATGGCAGTGGCTCAATCGACTTCGATGAATTCGTGCACATGATGACGGCCAAAATTGGAGAAAGGGATACTAAAGAAGAACTCATGAAAGCATTCCGCATCATTGACAATGATAAAAATGTGAGGTTTTCTCTGCATTTGTTATACTGGTCTTTGCTTCAATGTTCCGGATTTCACACTCTATCCTGTGGTCCCATCATTCTGATTCAGGGGAAGATATCGGCCGATGACATTAAGCGAATAGCAAAAGAACTTGGTGAGAGCTTCACCGACAGAGAGATCCAAGAGATGGTTGATGAAGCTGACAGAGATCGTAAGTAACACAATAGTTACTGACTAATTAATTGCTTTAACCTCCCAATCTTCTTTATGTCCCGTCAATCGTCATCTCACTTTGAGTTTCTAAAAATCTTGCAGGGGATGGAGAAGTGAACATTGAGGAATTCCTGAGGATGATGAGAAGAACATCGTACCACTACTGATGCTTCCGACGATGAATTTATGCTTTTGCTCTTTAATCATTTTCCTGTTGCACTATATACATGTGTTTGTACAAACCGGATATAACATCGACATATCTTATGTAAGAGATCTATGGGCTCTACTCTATCTAAGCTTCTTCAAGCTGTTGACACTACTACATAATGTATTTCTGAGTTTTATGCGTCATTCAGTTCAGAGATCTGTGGATGTTTTGAGAAGTTTATGATTAGCACATCAATTTCTCTTACGTTCTTTGAAAAAAAATAAAAAAAATCTGCGTTTGACGCCATCTCAAGGCCACCTTCCAACTTCCAAGTGGCGCGGAGGTTATATTAAAAGGCATTGATGGGTTCTTTTTTGCAATTTGTGGCCAAAACTGAATTCCGAGCCGTAATTCTGGTTCAGGAATGCAGCCCAGCAGCATCTTTCCCCAACTCTTTACACACTACTGCGTCAGCACTATCCAATTGAAGTCGCTGCTGTCAATTCTCATAACTGGAGGTCTAATTCGTCGCCGGCATTTCGTCGAACACTTTCTAGGATGTTGTTTTCATTCGGGCTCCTCGGACTTGGCTCTCTCCACCTTCGCAGCTAGCAAGATACGAAATGTTTCCCTCCAGAATCTGATACTAAGAGGGCTTGGCCACTACGGTCTATACGAAGACGTGCTGTCTGTATATAAAAATTGCCGCGCTCTCCGCTGCCCGTCTGACGATTTCACCTTCCCTGTTGTTATCAAGTCATGTACAATTCTGGGTGCTTTCAGGAAAGGGGAACAGATACATGGCCTTGTATTGAAATCCGGGTATGGCGAAAATGTAGTCGTGGGAACCGCTTTGGTCGATTTCTATGCGAAAAGCGGGTTTCTTGGTCATGCACGCTCACTGATCGACGAAATTCCTCAACCAGACTTGGTCTCTCTGAACGCTCTCCTCGCTGGCTATTCTCTCCACGGGCTCGATCACGAAGCTTTGGAGGTTTTCAAGCGCGTGTTCGTTCTCGGTTTAAAGCCTAACTCAAGCACTTTGGCGACTGTCATTCCAGTCTGCAGTAGGTCAGGCCGTTTGGACTTTGGAAGGTCCCTCCATGGCTATGCTGTTAAGTCTGGTTCCTTCACCACAGATGTTTTGGTCCCTGCATTGATTTCAATGTATGCCGGCGGTGGGCATAGCCTTCATTTGTTTGCTGCTAGAATGCTGTTCAATGATTGTTACCCAAGAAAGAACGTTGCTGTCTGGAATTCCATGATTTCAGCATACGCTCAAAGCCAGATGCTTTCAGAAGCCATTGAAGTTTTCCAGGAGATGCTCCATGCCGACTTGGAACCCGATGTAATCACATTTGTGTCCATCATCCCTTCGTGCGACCATGTTAACGATTTATCCTCCTTCGGTGAATCTCTCCATGGCTTCGTCATCAAACATGGATCAGAACTCAAGATTCCAGTAACAACAGCACTTGTGTCAATGTATGCCAAGTTGGGTGATTTAAGTAAAGCTGAGTTGCTGTTTAGTTCCATGCCTTACAAAAGCCTCTTGTCATGGAACGTAATGGTCTCTGGTTTTGTTCTCTGCGGGCAATGGTGTAAAAGTAGGGCTGCATTTCGTGAAATGCAATTGGCTGGGTTTATCCCAGATGCAGCTTCTATTGTCAGTGTTCTTTCTGCATGTGATGAATTAATGGAGGCAAAGTCTGCTCATGGGTTCTGCATAAGAAAGGGGATTGATTTGAGCATCAACGTCTCAAACGCACTTCTTGGGTTCTACTCTGAATGCGATCACATGGCTTATTGTTTTAATTTGTTTCAAAGAATTGAAGAAGCTAGGGATGTAATATCATGGAATACCATGATTTCTGCCAAAGTCCACAGAGGAGAAGTGGAAGAAGCGATTTGTCTTCTTCGACAGATGCAGAAGGAAGGAATGACAAAGGATATGGCCACTCTAATAAGCATTGTTCCCATTTGTGGGAACTTGTATGATGGGAAGGCCATCCATTGCTATGCAATCAAGAGTGGGGCTGACTCTGACGTCTCTTTGGTCAATGCACTGATAACAATGTACTGCAAGTGTGAAGAAGGAGAGGAAATGGAGTCTGGAAGATGGCTTTTCGAAGCTATGACGAGAAAGTCTATGGTTTCCTGGAATTCCCTGATATCTGGCTATATCAATCACAATCGAATAAACGAGGTCTGGATTCTCTTGGATCGAATGATTGCAGAGAATCAGTGGCCAAATTCCGTGACTTTGCTAAATTTGCTCCCCTTATGCTGTTCCTTATGGCAAATCAAGTCCATTCACGCTTATGCTGTTAGGAGAGGTGTTCTTCCTTCACAAGAAATCCCTCTCCTTCCATCTCTAATCTCTGCATATTCCAGATTCGAACACATCGAATCCTGCATTTCCCTATTCAATAGTCGGAGATATACCAATGTATCATCATGGAATGCGATTATTTCTGCACATATCCAGACCCAGAACCCAGAGAAAGCAGTGGAATTCTTCCACCACGGCTTCATTGAGATGGGTTTACAGCCAGATCACGTCACGCTTCTGAGCTTGATATCAGCAGCTTCTCAACTCAACAGCTCGAAGAATCTCATCGATTCGATCACTGCCTACGTTCTCATCAAGAAGGGGTTCGGCAGAGATACATCCATCAACAACGCCCTCATAGACTCCTACGCCAAAACTGGAAACATCTCCACCGCTCGCATGCTCTTCGACTCATTCCAACAAAAGAACGCCGGATCCTGGAACGTGATGATCAATGGGTACGGCCTCCACGGAGACGGAGAATCCGCTGTGGAGCTCTTCCTCGAAATGAAATCTTCAGGGTTGAAACCAGATCACGCCACCTTCTCCACCACTCTGTCCGCTTGCAGCCACGCCGGTCTAGTTCGTCAGGGGTTGATGGTGTTCGAATCCATGGCGGAAACCTGTCTGCAGCCGAGAATCGAGCAGTACGGTTGTATGGTCGATTTGTTGGGAAGAACAGGGCACTTGATGGAGGCTTATGAAATCGTGGAGAAAGTCTGTGATCATCCGCGGAAAATCGACCTGCTCGAGTCGCTCCTGGGAGCCTGCAGAGTCTATGGAGACGTGGAAGTCGCAGAGAGAGTTCATCACACGATGATGATGATGTCGTCGGGGAGGGAACGTGCGAGTTCAGGATCGTATGTGGCGTTGTCCAACCTGTACGCCGGAGTAGGAAGGTGGGAAGATGCCGGTGGAGCGAGATCGAACTTGGACATTCAAAAACTGAAGAAACCTGCTGGTTTCAGTGTACTCTAGCCAGCCACCGTCCACCTTTGGGTCCCGCTTAATTTGACGGAGTCTAGGAAGAAAGGACTGTTATCGCTACTGTATGGTACGAAAACAACAGGAAAAAAAGGCAGCAAAAGTGCAGTGGACAGACAGACAGATAGCAAGGAGCTTTCTGTGTAGTAACGTTTGCAGAATTGGTGGCGCGTGCCTCTACTTGTATTTGATGGGCCGTGTGGTTCGATGTCTGACACTCTACAAACAAGAGAGGGCCACAGTCTTCAGCGAACCAATCAGCGGATGACACCCACTCTCACTGTGTAAGTACACACATAAAGGACGCCACGCGCCCGCCGGTAATTGGAAGCAGCTCTTTGTTTACGGCTTCCACGCCCCGCCCCGCCCCCCCCCCCCCCCCCCCCCCCCCCCCCCCCCCGCGGCTTTATCCAATCATGTATTTGATTTCCGGTGCTGAGAAGCTTTATTAATCAGAGACTGCTCTAGAATTCTTTGAAAATGTCTCTCTCCTCTCTCTCTCTAACGGTAACGTTCTCTGAGCCAATCAACGGCTCCTTTTCCGTCCCCTTTGCTGGGACTGCTCCAGCTCTTGCAGAGACCCTTCTGGTGAACAATTCACCCATCAATCTCCCTCTCCATCCTGCTGTTTCACATAAAGATGACAATAGAACCATAAGTCCAGGGGCAGAGAAGATTCCCACAGTGATCAGACTTAAAGTTAAAGCAAGAAAAGATGGTAAAAAGAAGAGGGAGGTTTGGAAACCTCCAGATGACGGCAATAAAGGCTCTCTCAGCCACCACAGAGAAAGGAGAAGTAAGGGGAGAAAGGCAACATCAACTACAAAATCTCTGTTCTGTAACAACGCCATCTACCTCGAGCAAAATGGAGGCAACATTGAGCCAAGAGCCGCGTTACTGGCAGTGGGAAAACAGGGGAAAGCTAGGCATAGTCTGCAGAAGAATAATGAAGGGTCTGATGAGAAAGACAACTACCACATTCAAGAGGGAAGAGAGGCGAACATCAGGGGAAAAAGCTTTAAAGGAAGGTGGAAAAGGGGAAGAGAAGGTTGTGCTCATAACTCTCAAACCACTGCCACTTCTTTCTGGTTCCTGCTTTTATCAAAACATAACCTTCGGGAAGGAAAACACCCTGTTTCTCAAACCAAACCTCTGTGCATACCAATGGAATCCATCAATATCGAAGCTACCAGCAACCAGAGGAGGGGGAGCATGATCCCGACGTCTTCCAGGGGCAGAGGAGGGCGCCTTGTTCTGTCCTCGACGGGTGGAAGAGGGATGTCCATGCTGCTGGGGAAGATGCTGTCAGAAAACAGGGTAGCGATGGCAAAGGCAGCAGGAGCGGCTCGATACGCTTGGGGTTGCTACGGAGAGGTGAACATCCAGCCAACCGAAACCCAGAATCTGTTCTTGTTTACCTTCAATAGTGAGGAAATCAGGGACAGGATTTGGAGGGACAGACCTTGGAGCTTGTCCAACACATTGACGGCGATTGAGAAATATAATGGAAGGGGGAAGCCTGAAGATGTCCCGATTGAGAAGATGTCTATGTGGGTTCAGATCCATGGTTTGCACCAAAACCAAAGGAGCGAGGAGAATATGGTGGCAATTGGGTCAAGCTACTTCCTAGAGCTGCTGGATATTGACAGAGCAAGCTTGGAGTATTCTGGGTACAGGAGGTTTCTTCGCGTTTTAGTTGAAGTGGATATCAGGGAACCCATCCCAACAGGCTTCGATTTCCCGTTTCTTGATGAAAACTCAGGGTTGGAGCATTGCGAGGTAATTGATTTCAAATACGAGAGATTGGTAGAGCTATGCTATTTCTGTGGCAGAATTGGGCATAACTGGCCAACATGTAGAAGAATGAATGAGGAGAGGAAGAGAAGTGGAGTGGCATACCTGTCAGAAGTTTACAATGCTTCTCTAAAGGCGGGAGTGGACTCGCCCCATAGAAGAGCTGAGCAGCAAGCGAGGAACAGGGGAGAAGGAAGAATGATGCAGAGGTGGAGCGAAGCAGCGGAGGGCGATTCGGCGGCGTCGATGGGGGGAACAGCGGGGGGGATTCCACTTATTCCACCTGGGTTCACGGTGCAAAGAAGGGGAGAAGGGCAAATTGAAAGAGAGGAGCAAGGGATGGTGGGAAGACTAAGGGGGAGATACAGGGAAGGGATGGGAGCAAGAGATATCTCCATTGATTTGGAGAGGGCAGCGGAAGAATTGGAATGGGGGCTGGTGTTGGAAGAAGGCGGCGGAAATCTGGGCGGCGGAAATTTGGGCGACGGGGGAGAGGTCAGGAACGACGGGCTGGAAGGGGGGGGTCAAACAAGGGGAGTCGGGCTGGGCTCGGGCGGTCAGGAGAGGGATGTACAAACAACACTCTCTCTTGGGCCTGTGATCCAGGAAATTAATAACCAGGCCCAGGGAAATATTAATCTTGATGGAGTGGGCTTGTATCAGCATGCTGAGGAAGAGCTGGAGGGAGAAGCGGGCCGGGCCAAAAAGAAAAGGAAAGGGACTAGCAGGCCTGAGTCAGCAGACTCTTTTATCTCGGATGGGGCGATTTATATGGGAGGGCAAGAAGGAGAGACCAGAAAAAAGAAAGGCCAAAAAGGAAAGAAGATTATACAAAGGGGGAGAAGATCAGAGGAAGTGGAGGAGAATCTGGAAGATGGAGCAAGGGCAGCGGTGGTTCGCCATAAGCCACCTCAGCCAAAATGAGTATTGTAAGTTGGAACTGTAGGGGGTTTGGCCCGCCCCTTACAAGAAGTTATGCAAAACGTCTCTGTAGACGTTTAGGCCCTTCTATTGTTTTTCTAATGGAAACTAGCAAGAACGAGGTTTTCATGGAAGAGCAAAGAAGAAGTCTCAAAATTTTCCCCAATAGAGAGTATGTGGAACCGATTAACTCTTCTAGGGGCTTTGCTTTATGGTGGAAAGCGGGTATTAATATTACTGTGTTAAGTAGTGATAACTACTACATGGATGTTAGTATAGAAATGGGTAGGAAATTTTTCTGTACTTTTGTTCATGCACCCTCTACAGCTGTTAGTAGAAGGGATTTTTGGGAGCAACTTAGCTCTCTGCGGAGTAGTAGGGATGATAACTGGGTGGTTGTAGGGGACTTCAATGCTGCGGTTTATGAGAATGAAAAGGAAGGGAGATGCCCTCTTAGGTACGAGAATGTTGAACCCTTTAAGAGATTCATATTCCAAAATGCTCTTATTGATCTCAGATACAAAGGGGAACCTTTCACTTGGACCAATAAGAGAACGGGCCAAAACCTGACGAGGGTGAGATTGGATCGTGTGCTCTGCTCAACATCCTGGCGTGCACAATTTGGAGAAGCAGTGGTCTTCCATGAGAAAATGGTGGAGTCTGATCACTGCCCGATCAGACTTGAGCTTCACTATCGTGGTAACAGGAGGAAGAAGACACCCTTTAGGATTGATGGAAGATGGTTGGAGAAAGAAGAATGCAAGGAGATAATAGCAAGAGCGTGGGACCCGGGAGGACTCTCAACTGACCAGCTGACCAAATGTCAAAGAGATTTAAAAGAGTGGGCTAAAGACTTCCATAAGAGTAGTATGCAAAGGGAGCAAGATATACTTTCTAAGCTCGAAAGTCTTCAACAACCGCCAAGAACGACAGAGAATGTGGAGGAGGAAAAGAGGTTGACTATCGAGCTGACTAAGTTGTGGAGGGATGAAGAAGAGTTCTGGAGTCAATGCTCGAGAGTTAACTGGCTCCAAAAAGGTGATCAAAATACTTCTTTCTTTCATTCAAGCACTATCCAGAGGAAGCATAGGAACAAAATTCTGAAACTCCAAGATGGAGAAGGAAATTGGATCGAAGATGAGAATAGCCTTAAAAATCTAGCAGAAGGTTTTTACAAAGAACTCTTTAAGGCCAGGAATCCTTTTCCCTTTAACCATTTGTTAGAAGGCTTCCCTGAAAAGGTGACTACGGAGATGAACGAGGATCTTTGTGCTACGGTGACTAACGGGGAAATTAGAAAAGCTGTTTTCTCCCTGGGAGCTCGCAAAGCTCCGGGTCCCGATGGGTTCTCAGGAATTTTTTATAGGAGATACTGGGATATTTTAGGGGACACATTATGTCGAGAAGTTCGAGGATTCTTTGAAACTGCGAACATGCCAGATGGATGGAATGAAACTCACATTGCAATGATTCCCAAGGTCGACAACCCGGAGTTGATAAGCCAGTACCGTCCTATTAGTTGCTGTAATTTTAGATACAAGATCATATCTAAGATTATGACAACGCGTCTTAAGAGGTGGACTCCAGAGCTGGTTTCAGAGCTCCAAACAGCATTCACTGGGGGAAGGCTTATTCAAGATAACATTATCATTGTCCATGAAGCCCTTCACCATTTCAAGAACCACAAGCTTGGGCGTAGGAGGGATATGATGTTGAAACTGGATATGAAGAAGGCTTACGATATGGTGGATTGGGATTGTCTGGAGGCTCTTCTCAAGAAATATGGGTTTGACAATAGATGGTGTGGTTGGGTCAGTGCATGCATTAGAACGGTCAGCTTCTCCATTCTGTTCAATGGAGAAGCAACTGACTCGTTCAAGCCTTCCCGGGGAATTCGACAAGGAGACCCACTATCGCCTTTCTTATTCATTCTCATGTCTAACGCCCTTACCTTCCTTATTGATAAGGCTGTGGAGAGTGATAAGTTGAAAGGGATTAAACTGAATTCCAGATGTCCAGTGCTCACTCACTGCCTGTTTGCTGATGACACGGTTATTTTCGGGAAAGCAGATTATCAAGAAGCGCAAAATATTATAGATATCATTGGGGAGTATGGAGCTATCACAGGCCAAGAAGTTAATATTAACAAGTCTTCAGTGTTCTTTAGTGCTAATGTCCCCGACGATGTGAAAGATCATATTATTGCGAGCATTGGATTTGCTTCCTCGAATTGCCACTCAAAGTATCTTGGAGTCCCGACGGAATGGGGAAATTCGAAGAAGGAAACTTTTAATTTCCTCATTCAAAGGATGGAAAAAATGGGGGAGGCATGGAAAAGTCTCCTTCTCTCTCATGGGGGAAAAGAAATACTTCTGAAAGCGGTTATTCAAGCTATTCCATCCTTTATCATGTTCTTATTCTATCTCCCAAAATCCCTCACCAAGAGAATGGACTCTCTCCTTAGTAACTTCTTTTGGTCAGGGTCTATGCAAAAGAGTAGCCTCCATTGGTGTAGGAAAGAGATTCTTTGTCTGCCTAAGTCAGAGGGAGGCCTGGGCTTCAGGAGCTTCAATGACTTTAACCTTGCTCTACTGGCTAAGCAGGCCTGGCGCCTCCTCACGACCCCTGATTCTTTGTGGAGCAGGCTCCTTAAAGGGTTGTACTTCCCCAGAGGTGATTTTCTTAATGCTAAAAAGGGAAGCAGAGCGTCGTGGATCTGGGCTAGTCTCTGGGAGGCAAAGAAGGTGATTGGGTTAGGGGCAGTTAGAGTGATTGGTTCAGGTGAAGAAGCGTGGGTCGATCAAGACCCATGGATCCCCTTTTTGGAGGGTTATACTCTCAGGACTGGCCCCCAGAATCATCGGAAGGTCAACGAGTGGATTGACCCAGGAGAAAGGAAATGGAAGACGGATGTAATCAAGGGACATGTATCTGACTCAGAACTTGAAGCTATTCTCAGGATACCCATTGGGGAGGAGGGAGCAGAAGACTTTTGGGCCTGGAACTTCAATGAGGAGGGAAGATTTACTGTGAGATCTGCATACCATAAGATTCACAGAGCCAACACTAGTGCTCAACCAAGCGGGAATACTGATAAATGGAAGTGGATTTGGAGCCTTCACCTCCCCCCGAAGCTGAAGTTTTTTGTTTGGAGATGCTCCAGGAACGGGTTAGCAACGAAAGAGAGACTGCTCCAGAGAAAATGTGCTCCCAACTCTTCGTGTCAGGTGTGTCAGAATCCCGTGGAAACGATTAATCACTGCCTGTTCCATTGTCCTCATGCCAAGGTGGCTTGGAATGAGTTGTTTCCGTCCCTTCCTTTACCCCCTCAGGGAACCTTGTTCTTTGACTGGTTATGCTCCCTTAAAGATGTCGTCCAGCAAAGCTCTTTGATCCATATTATCTTCCTGTGCTGGAATATTTGGAAGGCAAGAAACGAATGCTCTTTCAAAGGTAGAGTCCCGTGGCCTCCAAATGTGTGTCAATGCACCTATAAAGAGCTCACTGAATGGAATTCGTGTCCGAGGTCCCCACCTCCCCTGCCTTCCCACCCCACTCAGCTCAGGGGAACCCAGTCTCATACGAATCCTCCGCCAAGTAATCAGTCTTTGATGATTCACTGTGATGGGTCGTTTATTAGCGACTCCCAGCCGGCGGCATATGGTGTTGTGGTTGTTAACCACCATGGACAAGTGTGTGATGGGAGAGCTGAGAATCTTCTTTGTTCCACCCCAATTGAAGCGGAAACTAAGGCCCTTCTCGAAGGAGTGAAATTAGCTCAAGAATATGGATCCGAGTGTACGGTTCTATCCGACTGCCAGGTGCTGGTGAAAGCTTTGGACAACGATCGCTCTCGAGGGCCGTGGAGGTGTGCAGCCTGGATCAGTTCGATTGTTTCTATCCTTCGGACAAACCCTCTCATCAAAATCAAAGAAGTGCCCAGAACACTTAATGTCAGAGCGGACTGGGTTGCACGTTCGAAAGCTAGAGCGTCTCTGCCTGATGATTGGATTAATATTCTTGATCTCATTTCTGATCTTCTTTAAAGAATTGTAACCGAGTTTCTCAGCTTTCATTTGATTGGTGGAATAAAAGTTGATACCCTTTGTCAAAAAAAAAAAAAAAAATCAGAGACTGCTGAGTTATAGCTAGCCCCTACTTATGGTTCGTAATGTGCAGCGGCGTATCCAGAACACAGAAATGCACTGGACCGCATTTTATTAGAAAATTAGAATAGTAAAAAAGTATCATGATTATAATTTTTTTACAATGTAAATTGTACACGACGGTATTTTAATTTAGCGAATGCATTAATGGAGTGCACATCCATACCAATAGTATACACTGTTTCAAATAAAATACTTGAGCAATCGACTAGAAATTCATCGCTCATTTTGTTGCGCAAATCAATTTTCACGTGTTTCATTGTTGAAAAGGTTCTCTTCGTATTAGCTGTTGAAACAAGCAGCATCAACACTAGACAAATCAATCTACCAATCAATTTGCATTGTGTTTCCATCCCTATATCCACCCGCTGCTCTAGTAAATTTTCAAGGTAACAAACCTCATATATGTTTTAGTCTTTTACGTTTTAAACTTTTTGAATTTTTAGGTTTCATTGTTTTTTAGATGAATAACCTTTGGGGTTAGAATTTATAAGCTAAATTTAGAGTAGTGATTTTGAATATGTTCATCTAAATTATTTTTCTAATTATACCCAATCTTATTTTAAAATAACAACGACCCGAATATCTAAAATCGAAAAATTCATAAGGCTTATACTAACTATGGATCCAGAGAATGGCTGGGCCGGGGCCCGGGTGGCCACCTCTGGATCCGCCATTGGTAATGTGTCTTTCTCCACTTAAAATTTTGTACTTATAATGTGTACTCAGCTCATAGGAGGGGTCCATGTACTTATAAGTGATCATGGTATATTCACATGTTGTGCACATATATATGTCAGAAGCTCGTGTTTCGTGTTGACTTGGCCAAATTAATTAATTTCAATCCTATCAAAATTAGAATGAAGAATGTCTTGCCAAAAGAGGAAATATGAAAATTAGAGATGGAGTTCAGCAGGAGGGAAATATCAACTTCGAACATAAATTACATGTGCATCATCCATAAAGTGCTTTGCTCGGTTCAATCCTAACAAGCCAGGACTGATTTTTTTTTTTAAAGAAATCTGAATATTATTAATTAAACCGATAAAGTGTTGTTACAGTCCTTCTCAAGAATGTTGAGAATGCAAATTGGGGGTCTCCCCACCGAAATTTCAGTCTCTTCCCATCTGCAATTCGCCCTTACCATTTCATGCGCAACGGCATTTCCTCCTCTACCCCAGAAACGCCATCGAACATCTCCTCTTTCTGAGCACCTTCCTTTGATCTCCTTCACTATAACCCCCAGCTCCGTCTCAATGTATCCTCGCCGATCCAGCTTCTGAATCAGGGATTGACAGTCCGACTCAATTAGGGTTGGCTGGCTGGCGTGGATGTGCAGCAGATCGAGATCCCAGAGAACAGCCTGAGCTTCCGCCATCTCTGGTTCCCAGTCTACTCGCGTTCGCCGCACCGCTGCTAGAATCAGTCTTCCTTCATCATCTCGCACCACCAGACCCAGCCCTGTTCCTCCCTCTTTCATCTTGGTTGCATCAACATTTGCCTTCAGATGGTCCTTCTTGAGTTTCTCCCATCTTGCCTCTTGGCGGGTAGCTCTCGCCGGGCTTGCAGATTTCACACCCGATCGGAATTCTTTCAGGTAAGCTTCCGCCCTTGCAATGACTTCACTTTCCTCTAACTTAGAGTTGTTGAAAAGCTTATTGTTACGTTCCTTCCATAAGAACCAGAGCGCCATAACCATCGAACATAACTCATCATCCGAGACTTTATCAATTAGGTCGCACAACCATTCCTCACTTGACTTCTCCTCCCCTTCTGAAAAGAGGGTTCCCAATGAGCTTGGTCGCCAGATTCTCCCTGCCCAGTCGCAATCCCTGAGGATATGTTCCTGGGTTTCGCGCAGTCCACAAAAAGGGCATTCATCACAAGCCTCTCTAATTCTCTTCGACAAATTCACTCCTGTAGGTAGAATATTGCTCTCCCATTTCCATAGGAATACTCGGACTTTAGGTGGCAAATGAAGGTGGCACATTCTTTTCCAGTCGACTGGGATGTACCTCTCTCCCATCTCATTTAGCTTCTTTTTCCGCCAGATGTGATACCCAGATTTCACAGTATACTTCCCAAGCTTATCCCACCCCCAAACTCGCACATAAGTCAGGACTGATTTGGATGGAACAATTTTTATGAGTTTTCGTTCGGCTTTGAATTAAATATTAGAAATAATGAATGAACTATGGTATCCTTAATAAATATTTATAAGGGGTTGTATTAGTTTATTGAAGATAACACAATCATATATAAACCATAATTATGGGAAAATCTCTTTTTCCGTTGAGCACGGTAACTTTTTTTTTTCTGGTGTTAAACTACAAATTGGCTTCTCCTTAATTCCCAAATATGGATGAAATAAACCAGGCTAGCCTCCACTTAAAACCAAAAATAAAATAAAATCTCTCCGTGGGAATGCATTTGAATCCAGAAAGGGAAAGAAAAAAAAATCCAAACGAATCATTTCCTCCATGAATTTCAGAAAAATCCAAAACGACACGTCGCATCAACCACTTCATACATTACTAGCACCGGCCCCGGCACGTTTGCCGGGGAAGCAATAAGAGCATCCGCGACAACGTAATTGCAAATGTTGTTTTTATTGTCATTTCACAATTTTTAAAAAATCCAAATCATTTTAACTTCATTTTAATTACATTACATCAATACATTTCATTTGCAATTGCAATTGATTTCTTACTACAATTCTATAAACATAAAACAATCAAATAATAAATAATTTAATTATAGTGTGGCTTGCAACTCATAATTGAGTTAGATGCAAGCTTGCAAAGATGCAATTGCAAATGAATTTCATTTCATGAACTCATGATGCAATTCCAATGTGGATGCTCTCTCTCTCTATATATACATATATATATGGGTCAGACTGGTGTATTACTGGATTATACTATACTCCACATATTCTTAGTGAGATATCTCTATCTAGACTATGAATTAAATCGAGTTTGAGTTATATACTTTGCTCTATCCTCTAATAGATAACCACAAACCCCAATTCTCTACACCGAAACTTGAAGTTCAATTTAATAGAAAACAATAGTTGACTATTGAGATTTGTCGGAGCTCATCGAAGTACGAACATCCTGTTCACCTAGAGTATACTATACTCTTATAGTTTACCAGTCTTTACAATATATATCACAAAGGCTAGCATATGCTTGGCGTATGCTATACACATGCGCTCACACCTATTATCTTTACTTGATATATTTTGACGAATCAGAAACGTCGGTTATTATTATAAAATTGAAAGAATCTCATGGTTCGGGTATAATATATAGTTTATGCTAGTAACCGTCATGGTCTAAATAACACAACACAACAGGCGTAGCGTGAACCATATATATAGTTTAGGCTAGCGTACGTCTGGCGTATGCTTACCTTACCGTATGCCCGTTCATTTTGTTATTTAGATATTGAATTAGTTTGAATTTGAGGCATGATATTATACCCTAATCTTTAATGGGTGAACTCTAGTTTCCAATTCTCTTAACCAAACTATAAGGTTAATTTCATCTTAAAATGAAAACTAAGGATTCTTATTTGTAGAAATTATCCAAGTACAAATAATAGGTGTGAACGCAGGGTAAAGTGTACGATAACAGTTTCCATATATATATATATATAAAATATGGGTCGGATTGGTGTACTTCTGGAGTATAGTACTCCATGTATTCTTAATGAGATACTATATATTAAATATAGTTTAGAGTATTATACTATACCCTAACCTATAATGGATAAACCCTACGCCGCGATTCTCTAAACCCAAATCCGAAGTTAAATTTATAGAAAACACTAATTAACCGTTGAGATTGATCGGAGCTCTTTTAAGTACATCTAATGGCCAGATCACATGGAGTATATACTACTCCTGTCTCTACCATAGTGCGTCTATCGTACACCAGGCAAGAGTTGTTGTATGACGTACACCAAGAAATCTCTATCGTTTGCGTCCATTTCAATGATCAACATAATGCGATAATTTATTTTATAATCTTAAAAAAACAAAACCCACAATTATAATATTATACTAACTGTTGAGATGGTCTGTGTACTATATACACCAGCTTTTGCTTGGTGTATGATTGAATATATATATATATATATATATATATATATATATATATATTTATTTATTTATTTATTTATTTATTTGGAGACTCATAAAATGTGTATTTTGTATGGTAGCTATGTAAATAACATCTTGGCAAGTGGTCTAACTATGGAAATCGGCTGAGGTGATTGAATGCAAGAGAATTCCCTTTTCAATTGAAAGTATAAAATATGGCTATATAAGTTTAAATTCTAACAATACCAAATACTCAGAAAGATCTATGACAAAACAATAAAAAAATAATACTCAGAAGGATAGTAATCTATCAGTTATGGTAAAAAAATGCTCAAAGAAGATTCATAGCTGCTCAATGTCATGAGAATTTAATCTACGCTGTCCATTCCAGCCTAGCACAATCAATTATTCTCTAGTTTCCAACATGGAAACAAAAAAGTGTTCTAAAGTGGTAAGTAGGATGCGATACACCGGGTCCGCACGTGGTGATATGATGATTTGAGTTTAACTTGTGAAGGGGCCAAGGGGGACCCATAAATCCGGTTGCCTCAGTGGTTCGCTTCAGAAAGGTTAAACCGAAACATAGCGAACTGTAGAGCGCCAGCTATCCCCAAAGAATCAGTGGTGAAGAATGACAGCCGCGGAATGTCCTGGCATCCCGATCGATCGCCGAAGAAACATTGGTGAAAATGCCAGTGCCCGGCGAGATGGTTGGAAAAGGGGGAAAGGGAGGTTAATTTGCAGCAGAGTGACGTACGTGGGAAGTTACAAAACTTGGCGCTCTCTGGAGCTGGCAAGCGGTGGAGAGCTGAATCAACTTAGACTCTTGAATTACCAGCTTATGAACTGGGCGCTACTGTTGTGCGTCAGCTGCATGATGAAGGAACTGGGACATATACATTCAGGCTCGTTCTCTTTGGTGTTCTTGGCAGAAGCACATCATTCTTTGTAAGGAGATCTTTGTTTCCCCTACGAAAAACCTAACGTCATCATGCTCTGCGAATTGGGGAGACGCAGGTAAAGGACGTCAGCTTAGGAGTGCCTTTGTTAGGAGTTAAGACGTGTTTGGTTTGCGTCTTTGCGATATTTGTTTGATTTGTGCTTGGCTTTGCATTTGCTTAGCAATCCACCACGTTCCACGTCGAGCCACCATAGTAAATTCGTGGGCCTTGAACTAATGGGCTATTCCAAGAGAGCTTTCCAGCGGCCAACAACGCCCTCGAAGTCCATAACCCGCCCATTATGAAAGCCTTAATCCGGGAGCCTAAACGCAGAGCGTCATTAATATAGGCTAAATGTCGACAATACCCTTCCGGGAAACACTCCCAGGGCCGGAATTTCAAAATGGAGCAAAACGGGGTGATGAATCTGCTTTATATGTGTTCTAGACTAGCTGACATCGGCGCTCAACTCATCCTCGGACGGGAACGAAACCACTATCGTAAAGTGTCCACGCTGGACAAAACCGTGTCCATCCCGAGTCCCAACCCGCCAGCTGGCACCCTATCAGCCACGTGTACCCATCCTCCCCCGCCCTTTATAACGATCCCCCTCCCTTCGCCAATGCCTCCGCTCCAACACCCAAAAAAGAAAAAAATACAATTGAAAATTTTCCCGCGCTGCCTCTCCTTTCAGTCGAGCAACTTTCGTTCCTTTCTTCCAATTTTTCAATGTCAGAGTTTAACGGTTACACCGCGTTCTCCTCTCCTAGCCGCATAACCAAGCAGGAGGAGGACGCCATCCTGGTGTCCTCCTTCAAGCACGTCATCTCCGGCGGCAGCAGCGACGACAGGCTCGTCACTGAACAACTAGCCCTCCTCTCCTCCTCCTCGGCCGCTGCTGCAGCGGCCTCGTCTTCGTCGAAGAAGAAGAAGGGGGTGTACAGAGGAGTGAGGCAGCGGCCGTGGGGGAAATGGGCGGCGGAGATTCGGGACCCGGAGAAGGCCGCCAGGGTCTGGCTCGGCACGTTCGAGACGGCGGAGGAAGCCGCTAGGGCGTACGACAGGAAGGCCATCGAGTTCCGTGGGGCCGGCGCCAAGACCAATTTCCCCGCCGCAGAGTACGGCGCCGGTGGAGGCGCGATTCAGGAGACGGCACTTCCGGTTCGAGAGGCAGTGGAAACGACGTCGGACGGAGCGGGAGGAGGAGGAGGAGGAGGAGGAGGAGGAGGAGAGGAGGAGGACTGGTTGTTTGAAATATTTGAAGAGGAGGAGATGCGGAGGTTGATGATGATGGACTGAGTTTTAGCGACCAATATGTGTGTGTGTTTTTTTTTTGTCACCGTAGGAAAATAAGTTTGATAGACAAGAATTCATCTTCATGATCATAATATATATGGTCGTTTTTGAAGGTGTAGAAGCTAGGCAAGAGATCAGTATTTGTTTGGTTCTAATGGGATTGTGATATTCGTTGGTAGAGGTTTCATTACAAATAAGAAGCGATGGTTGTGTGATGTATACGTACAGAGTCACAATCATCCGAAATTTGACGAAATCGCAAAATGGCATGTTTGGAGCAGCAAATTAATGGCAGTTTGCGCGGTTTTTGAAGGTTTCATAAAGTTATACGGAATAAAAAAAATAATCGCTGCGATCAAATAACCTAACACAACGCGTTAAGGATCCTTTGAAATTTCGACGTAAGTTAGGTGTAGATCGCCGGACACTCCAACGATTTTTTTCTCTCTAGCTAGATCGCTCGAGTCATTAACCATCTGGATGGATCGCTTTGATTAGTCGCAATCTGGAGTGGTTTCGCGCTTTTGTTGATCGCTATACAAACTGGTTCGCTCCCTCGCTCCAGCAAGTCCATCAATCATGTACCTTGATCGTTGAACGTTCTAATGTTCTACGATAAACTTGTGTATTTTGAAAACTTTCAGGTATGTGTTGGGTATTGAGATTTTTTTTCTAAGTCTTGTATTTTTTTTAAAAACTCCACGATTTCGAAGGTTTGTTCTATTTTTAATGGTCACCAGTCAAAGAGACTAAGTACGCTTCATTTTTCTGGTAGCTATCTCAGTCACAGCCATAGTAAGACCCAAAATTTCGGCGCCAGATAGATTTTATGTTATGACGGCCGAGTGCGGCGACTGCGGGGCCCACGTCCATAACGAGTTTGGTTTTTTTTTTTTTGTCTTTTAGCGCGGGGAGCCACGTTGCTTGGAACTTTCTCGATTTACTTCCGCCGCTTTCCAACGAACATTCTTTTTAGTTTCTGTGAAGCAATTTGGATGTTTCTCTCAACAAAGTCAAATCCAACTTAATTTAGATTGACTAGTGACTAATACTGTATCACTTCATCTAGTGATTAGATTGTATCGACTCGTGCATATATATATATATATATATATATTCGCTTTTATCGATGTTTTATTCAAACTCATTATTCACAAGCTTTTGACGTAAGAGAGTGTCGTAAGATCCATAATTAATAAACATTTCACAACAACTCAAGTCATAGGAACCAAGTCGTTTATAAAAGTGGTATAAGCTTCATTACTGGGAAAAAAACATGTTATGAAATATGTTCATAGTTGTGTTTTTTCTATTTTTGAATTATTGCAATACAAATGAGACCATGAAGAGGATTCGTGGTAGTTGGAGCAAGAATTTTTCAACCAGCTACTACTTTTACAAGAATGAAACATAGCACATGACATGAACAAATGCTGCAAACGGAAAGGCTAAACCATAATATGGAAAATATTCTTTTTCGTTGAGCATGGGAAATTTTTTATAGTGTTAAACTACAAAAATTAGAATAAATCTTGTGCAGATTTAAAAATTATATGTAAATTTTGTGCAGATAGAATAAATTGGTAAGGCTTTAACCTCTCATCCTCCATTATCCGCACGAGGCTGCCAACATTATCGTAGTAATCAAATTTACGATTTCGAAGGTTTGTTATACTTTTAGGGTCAATTGTCAAAGAGTCCAGGGACCTTGCATGGTCGCCATCACACCATAGTAAGACCCAAAATTTCGGCGGCAGATAGATTTTATGTTATGACGGCCGAGCAAGGTTGTAAAACCGATTTATACCAGTGTGCCGATTTAGCAAGTGGAATGGTTCGACTGGTGGCACATACTGGTTTGTGTCGGTTCATGCTGGTCAATATTACAAATAAGATTGTAAATACTCATATTTAAACATTACATTTAACGTCAATACCTAAACACTTATACTTGAATCCAACGAATAACATCAATATTTAGCTTTTATACTCATAAAATAAATAATAAAATAATTTTTAACAATTAAATTCACTAAAATAAGGTCATAGAGATTCGTATATCGATCATGTCGGTCATACCGATAGTGTCACGCCGATTTTAAAACCGGTACCGGTTGAACCAGGTACAACCGATGGCACGCCGGCCGAGTGAGCGAGTGAGTGTGGGGCCCACATCCATTACACACCTTTTTTTTTTTTTTTTTTGCCTTCCGCCGCTTTTCAACTCAACATTCTTTCCTCTGAGGAGCAAACAAAGTCATAAAAAACTTAATTTAGATCGGCTCCTCTATCATTTCGTCTACCATACTAATACGTGCTTGTTGGGTTTGTCCAATCAGGTCGGTTATCTCGGATTTCATATAAACGTTTTAATAAGAGTTACTTATACCGTTAGGTGATTGGATGGTATCGACTCGTATATATATATTATATCTTCTGTTTTTTAGAATTTTTATTCGGACTCATTACACACTAGCTTTTGGCGTAAGATAGTGGCGTACGATCTATAATTAATAAATTTTTCACAACGGCTAGAGTTATTGGAACCAAGCAGTTTATAAAAGTGGTATAAAATTCATTGTTGAAGAAATACATAATGAAATGGATCCACGTATAAAAAGGGGTCGGCATGCTCATAGTTGTGTTCTTATATTTTTAAATTGCTGCTATACAAATGAGACCATGGAGAGGATTCGTGGTAGTAGAAGCAAGGCGCTTTTTCAATGAGCTACTACTTTCAAAAGATTGAAACATAGCACATGACCTGAACAATTAATGCTGCAAACTGAGCCCTGATGCTGGAATTGGCATTTTGGAGGAGGAGAAAGCGACCCTCTTTTGTGGCAGATTGTGCAAAAACGAAGGAAACGCGATGCTGCCATTCAAAAAAAATACAAGAAAAAAAGGAAAAAATTACATTTGGGGTGAAGTAAGGGGCCCTTTGCGGCTGTGTGTATAACACCAAAGGAAAGCAATACTGCCATTCAGAAAAAATACGATTAAGAAAAAAAAAGGAAAGGAAAATCCACATTTGTAGTGGATAACATGATCAACTGATTGGTTGGAAGGTAAGGATAGCATGCTTCACTAGTTTTGGATCTAGTGGATAAACTATTTGGGTAGAAACCACTAAATACCATTTGAATTAGTCAAGGTTATATGGGCTTAGGCGTTTTGATGGATATCATTTCTAGGCGTTAACTTATTGGACTTTGCTACGGTGACATGCATGTCACGGTGACATGCACTTTTCGGTCGACCTCATATAGGATCAGGTCGACCCAATCAGTTGTTTCAGTGTAAAAACAGTTTCATGGTGCCTACTTTGGAAATTCATATCTTACAATTGGCTAGATGGAAATTGGAGATTAAAGGCTTGTTTTGAAGCTGAAGTGTCCATCTACACATTAAATTACTTGGGAGCTCAATAGAAAGTCCAGAAGACCTTTTTTGAATCTGACCAAAAGGCTATGCCAAAATTGGGAAACTGCCTGAAAATGGCTAAGTCTGGCAACGTGTTTGTCAAGCCTACTTTGGAGCTCAATTTGAGAATCATGGATGTGAGTCAAGTCCAGGGGCCTCTACCACGTTAAATTACGTATTTTTTTATACAAAGGCAAGGCATTGGATGAAAGATTCAATATCTTTAAGGCTTCAAACAAAAGGCTCGAAGTTGCTACGAAGGCTGTTTTTCTGGCAGCTTGCTTGTGCTCAAAGTCTGCCAGAAAAACAGCCTTCGTAGCAACTTCGACCCTTTTGTTTGAAGCCTTAAAGATATCCAATCTTTCATCCAATTCCTTGAATTTGTATAAAAATATACCTAATTTAACGTGGTAGAGGCTCCTGGACTCGACTCGCATTCATGCTTCTCGAATTGAGCTCAAAAATAGACTTCACAAACACGTTTCCAGACTTAGCCATTTCTAGGCAGTTTCCCAGTTTTGGCATAGCCTTTTGATGAGGTTCAAAAATGGTCTTCTGGACTTCCTATCGAGCTATCAATCACTTCAATATGTAGAAGGACACTCCAGCTTCAAAACAAGTCATTAGTCTTCAATTTCCATCTAGCCAATTGTATGATATGAATATCCAAAGTAAGCACCGTGAACTGTTTTTACACTGAAACAACAGATTAGGTCGATCGGATCCTATATGAGGTCGACCGAATCCTAAATGAGGTCGACCGGATCCTATATGAGGTCGACCAAATTCTAAATGAGGTCGACCTAATCCTAGCTGAGGTCGACCGGAAAGTGCAAGTCACCGTGACATGCATGTCACCGTAGGCACACCCTAACTTATTATGTATACAAATATGAAGGTTAATCTATACATAATATTATGACAATTCAAAAGTAATTTTTTGTCACATAAGCACTTGGAGAGTTTACAAGTTGCTAAGCTGGAAAATTTTTATAAAAAAATAAAATAGTTATTAATATATTTATTGACCTATCTCTCTCTTTTCTTAAATATTTGTTTTTTTTATTTTCTCCAATAATTCCTTTTTGTTTTTTTTTATTATTTTTTATTATTTTGATATATGCAGCAATAGACTAATTTTTTTAGATTCACACATTTCACATTTTTTTAAACCCAAAGTATCCGATTAAAGCTTACTAATTAAATATTTTTACTAATTTATACTAAAGTTTAAAAATATGTTATATTTTGATGAACAATTTAAACGGCCACATATAAATAATAATATTTTATGGAGACAAAATAATGATGGATTGACTAGAAACTTGATCAAGCAATAATAGTTATTTCTTTTTAAAAAAATATTATCCATTCTAATTAAGTGAAAACATAAGAATCACTACAATGTCTCCGTTGACATTACTAATATATGTTATATATTATGTTAATTAAGCAAATTCTATTGTGGTCTTAAGTCATATACTTGAAAATTTTATTTTCAGACTTACGAGTTATTGATTGTTGAGGATTATAAATCAAAATTTTCAAAATGACTTAAATATGATTGTTGACTAATTTTTACTTTGTATCTTAGAGCTAGGATGAGACACGAGATACCTTGAAAAATAACACGTGGGAAACATAAGAATTCTAAGTGAAAACATAAGAATCACTACAATGTTTCCGTTCACAATTCTAATATATGCTATATATCATGTTAATTAAGCAAATTCTATTGTGGTCTTAAGACATATGCTAAAAATTATTTTCAGACTTAGAAGTTATTGATTGTTGAGGATTATAAATCAAAATTTTCAAAATGACTTAAGTATGATTGTTGACAAACTTTTACTTTGTATCCTAGGACTAGAATGTATGTTAAACATATTGTTTCATCAATCACTGACCTAGACATTAATCAAATAAATGTTGAAATCTTTTATTTAATTTTTGAATATCTTGGTAGACAAAACTAAATTCGATGATTGATACGGTAAATAAACATAACTGTGTTAGTTGAGATATCCAAACAAAAACTCTTTTAGTTGCAAGTGTCTAAACTAATGTATTAGGTTATTATGAATATCTTTAATAAGGATGATTTCATTGAGACAATTGTAAGAAGTCATTTGGCATTTGATTATATGGTCGTGAGCCTGTGGTTCTATTCCAAATTTTATATGTAACAAAAACTTTTCCTATATCAAAGTCTAAAAAATGTTTTAGTTTGTAAGAGTAAACAATTTGTATATACATCGAGTTATCCTAGCCAAAAAATTGTTCTCATATTCTCCAATAAGATGCGTCCAATGGTACTTATAAGGATTGAAAGTACAATAAACTCTTTATATATTTATATGTGTCGATATTAACAATATATGTGCCTACAATACATACAAAACTTATACGCATGTGAAATGTCACAATGTTTGTATGAACAAATACCAAAGATAAAGAAATTTAAGCGAATGCACATTCATACATTTGAAAAATTATACATTGAAGGATCATGTTAAGATGAGAACAATCAATAATGTATGTGAATGTCTTGGATTGGGATTCTAAATCAATATCTAGACAACATCATGTGTTGAGCGTTAATCCAAACTTCAAACATTAGCAACTTATACGTGTTGTATAAGATACTAAATTTGAGTGTGTTGATAGACAAAAATTTTCATAAGATCCTATATCGATATTTCATGAACATACACAATAAAAAATAAGTAAGGATTAGAGAATTTAATAATAATTAGAGGTACAAGGTGTCTCAAGTTTTAGATGGGATAAACTGAATTAATTCAGTAATCAAGTATCTTTATTCAATAATTTGAAATCTCATCAATTAGTTGAGAGTTCGTCCAAAGTCGAGAATCATGAATTGGTATATGTTAAACAAGATAATAAATTTGAGTGTCTTAGATGGAAAATCTTGATATACAATCTAAATGGGATATGATAAATCTTCACAACATGATTTATGATTACAAAATCAAAACATCATAAGCAACAGTGCTAGCTATTAAGATTCACAAAAATTTAAACATATAGATAGATTAATTAATATAAATAACACCCTAAAAAATCAATATGAATAACAAAATAAAATTATCCGACCAACGGGCCGGGTAAAAAACTAGTATCTTAAATGGCCCAAAATAATAGACTAATTTGACTCATGCTTTTAAATGTCTATAAATGCCAGACGAAGTGCAATCCATTTTGCATTGTGAAACGCAGGGATTAAGAGCCCCAAGAGCTCGTTTTGGTCAGCTATAGGCCAAGGGCGTTTTCTTCACCAAAACACCATTGTGACTTGGATGGAAGGCATATCAACCCTTCTTAACTTCTCGGTAGGAAAGCTCGCTTCCCCGGTAAACTGTTGTAGGTTCGTTGCAGATATATCGACTAGATCGCTTGGCCATCTGTGGCCATCTCGTATATGTAATGTAACCAATTCTGGTCCATCAATATGCAACCCACTATATCCCCGGTTCCAGAAACAATCAAACGCCTCAAACCTTTGAAGCTTTGGCGTGCAATCCATCGACCGGCAACATGAGCTGATCAACACACCATGTCGTCGTACTTATACAAAATCCTCTGCCACCTAAATATGCAGTGGTGGAACGATAAACTTGTGACGTGTGGAAATCTTACCCACTGGAGCTCATGGTGGTCAATAAGTAAGCCACCCACAGTGAGCTTTGGCGTGCAATCCATCGACCGACAATTATTTGGGTAGAAACCACTAAACATCATTTGGATGAGTGGAGGTTATATGGGCTTAGGCGTTTTTAGGGATATCATTTCTGGGCAATTTTGAAAGTTTAGCTTATTATGAAGGTTGATATCTTAAATGCCCCAAACTATAAACTAATAGACTAATTTTACTCGTGCTTTTAAATGTCCATCATGATCTAAACTAATTTGGCAGAATCAGTCGGTCGACAATCAAATCGAACGGTCAATGCGCCATATCATTGTACCAGTATTATTATCTTGTATATAAAAGCTAGGTACACTTTTTACCAAGTTATTATTTCATTTTGCCATCTTACATCATCCCTCACACACACTCAAATATATTAAAAGAAAAAATCTTTATTAAATGATCAAAAATATTGTATGTATTAATAGGGGGAGATTGCTTTGTCTGAATCGAACTGGAAATAAAATCGAATAAAATAATTTCCTTAAAAATGAACTGTTAAGAGGGTTAAACGGTTCGATTTGATTTCAAGAAAATGAAACCCGAGGCTTAATTGAATATTGAGTGTTTTATTAAAAGAAAAAATTTTGTTATCTTACCCCATTCCTCACACACTCTCAAATATATTCAAAGAAAAAATCTTAATTATTTGGTTAAAGATATTGTATGTATAAGTAGGGGGAGATTGCTTTGTCTAACCGAATCGAACCGGAAATAAAACCAAATAAAATAATATATTAAAAATAAACGGTTGAGAGGGTTAAACGATTCAATTTGATTTTAAGAAAGTGAAACCCGAGACTTAAGCGGTTCAATATGATTGCAAGAAAATGAAACCCGAGGCTTAGTTGAATATTGAGTGTTTGAGTATTGGTTGTGATTTTTTTTTTTCATTTTTATTAGTTTTGACCAAACAAAAAATGATAGGCACAAAAAGTTTGGGAACGAAACCAAAAAATGATAAGAGCACCTTATATGTTTGTTTTATTGAAAAACAAAAATTGAATCCAAACTGATAGTCTTATGTATGGCACACTTTGTCATCTTTTCGATCTTCGTATCATCCAAAATATTAATTATTTGATTTTTTCATTGTTGCTATGAGGGAAGTAGACATTGATGATGAATTCATTTTCTTTTTATTACACATTAGGTAAGTTGTCAACTACTTTCAGGAAAGCTCTTTGTGTGGTTGGGTTTAGCCATTGAAAATCATTAATAGGATACCACAGACAGAGGAGAGATTCAAGTTCTTTAGGTTTGATGAAAATGTTGTTTACAGTTACATGAAAAGGATTAACTGAACTTTAGTGAGTATGACTAGGGTGAGAGATTGCTTTGTATAACCAAGTCGAATCAAAAATAAAAACCAAAAAATTCGAAACAAGTAATTTCCTTAAAAATGAGTTATTAAAGAGCTTAAACGGTTCAATTTGATTTCAAGAAAATAAAACCCGAACGAATTTAATAATGAGAAAATTTATCTCCTAATATATGTTGCTCACTATGCACATCTTACTTTCTTTTTCCCATTTACAACGTGGTCTTATTGGTGGTTGTTGGTCATGAAACTTAGTGCTTTATATTCTTATGGATTTGGTCAATTTGTTCAGCATTTGAATTGTTAAGTTTTGCCACATATATAGGTGATTGCTACAATTCTATCATTTTGCTCAATCTTTACTTATTTGATCGGATTTGTGTATCCGAGGGTTAATTGCATGCTATACCACTTAAGTTTTGGCTTGGTTGCACGTTAATCACTTAGATTTGTTTAGTTGCAACTAAAACACTTAAGTTCAATGTTCGTTGCACCGTCACCTTTTCCATCCAAAAACTTAACGACGGGTATGAAAAAGTAATTTTACATGCCACATGGACATTCTATTTGTTTTAGCTTCTACAATGATCTGAGTTTTTTATTTTCTTTCGACGATTTCAATTTTATCATTGTTCAATGAGCATGAGATTCAAAACCAATATCGGCAAGCTCTTGTCTTTCAATCTCGACAAGCTCTCTTCTTGCTATCTCTACTCTCTCCGAAGCCTTCTCCAACTCATCAAGCAACGCTTTGTTATCTTCTCTCCCCAATAGTTCCTCAACTTGCTTGCCCACCATGCCGCTGAGCGCATCCTTCAGATTATCGTCGCCGCTGCATTTTGCGATGACCGATTTGTTGGGAAACGAAGAATTGGGTCGAGAGAAGAGAGGCGGCGACGATGGGAATTTGTTGCCTAATAATGAAAAAATCGGCTTGGTCGTGCTCGTTCTTGAAATGACTGGATGATTATACGATTGCACTGTTTGCTTGGCCGCCACTTTCCCCCCAATCTTAGCGAGAAGCAAGCAGGAATGGAGAAGGATTGCTCTCGTGTGGGATTGATGGCCCTGAAAACCGAAACGTTTCTTCTCTTCCTTGGGAGGATAATAAAACGAGGTGAATTTGACGAAAGGAGGCGGCTTTTTCTTTTGTTAATTTGGAGGGGCTATGTTGGGGGTTAATTGCATGTCATGCCACTTAAGTTTACCCAGCTTATGTGAGTCAGCAGTCCAAAGCTGCGCTAGAATGTCCATGTGGCATGTAAAATTATTTTTTCATACTCGTTGTTAAGTTTTTGGATGGAAAAGATGACGGTGCAACAAACATTGAACTTAAATGTTTTAGTTGCAACTAAACAAATCTAAATGGTTAACGTGCAACCAAACCAAAACTTAAGTGGCATGACATGCAATTAACCCTGTATCCGACGAGTTAACTAGTTGATAGAACTTTGATCCAACAATTTATATTATGAATGTTCTTTATTTTTTGCTTAATAAATTGGACTTGCAAGAGACAACGATTAGTGGTGTCTTAAGTTGTATGGACAATGAGAAACCAAATAATTATTATTTTTTTGTTAGTGAATTAGAGGCGAGGTGTTGTGCATGTTAGGCTTATGAATAATAATCATATGTATGCGTTCACTTTTGGTGTTGAATTCGTTTATCATATGATTATGCAATCCCTCCATGTAGTGATTAATTCATTTTATGTTTCATGATCCAAGTCAAGGTTGTGCTCGATTGATAAGCTTCCAACTCTCTTTCTCACTCACAACAAGTTGAATGTTATTATTCAAAGAATTTTTTTTAATTTTACCCGTTTTTTCCGAGAGTTTTAATGATGTGAGTTGCGATGGTTAGGCGTAGCTTTCCTATTTATGCATTGTTCACTCAATACACAAACTTAATAAATATGTTCATTCCCCATTTTAATGGTGATTAGGTAACTAAGTATGGTTGGAAATCATCACCAGCTACAAAAATGGTTAATAATATAATGGATGGCGAAAGAGATATGAGGTATCAACAGCTACTTCACTCCCCATTTAGCGAGAAAGGCTAGCTAGATAATAAGCAAATAAGAGTTTTTTGTTCCCAGTTTGTTTGGACCTACCAAGGTTCTAATAAAGCATGATGATTGTTTCTTACACTTATGTCATGTAAATGTAGAACAAGTTTTTTTATCAAATTTTAATTGGTTTTATGTTCTTTGACATCTGTTGTGTACATCATTGTTTTTCTTTCCTTTCGTTAGTTTTAAGTAAAGGAGTACAATAAAATGAATTATGATTAGGGGTCTACATGAATCGGGGTGAGTTGGTTTTGAACCCTCTCAACCATGCAACTCATATGCCTCGGGTCAAGTGATGCACGACCCAAATCAAATTATAAGACACATAAATCCATGTGTTTTGGGTGATACGCGGGTCGAATTGGATTGATACTAAACATGTCTATACATTAACCAAATAGGGCTGAACCTCGGTTCAGTTTATGTTGATCAAACCAAATTGGTTGGTTATCCAAAATCGAATTTTTGTCATTTTAGCAATTGTAATTGTTGTTGTTGCAGTTACTTGAGAACCGGATATTATGATTTTTGGTTATGTTGTGGTTAACTGCGTTCAACCAATTAACCTATTTGTCATTCTTTTTGGTATGTTGTTACAGTTACTTGAGAACCGGATATTATGATTTTTGGTTTTGCAGTTAACCGCGTTCAACCAATTAACCTATTTGTCATTCTTTTTGGTTTAGGTTATCTAATGGGGTAGGCCATTAGGTTTTGGGTAGTTTAATTTTGCGTTTATCTAGGGTTTTTTGTTTTGCAACTTGGTGTGCATTTACACCAAACACCATAAATTACCTAAAATCAAATCCGCAACTATTTTATTTCCTTCATTTTATTGTTCTCGTTAACAATTAATAGTAAAATTCAAATCCGACTTCGGTTAGCTTGCATGACCACAACCAAATTTTCTGCCCTATACCCAAATACTCTCTGCGACCTAACCGTGGGTATTGATACTAGTACAAGCTACGAAACTGCGCATAGAGGCGATGTCATATTCCTAAACTAACGACAGCTTATATTGGAGGCGAGAAACATGATTTAACAAAATGAGACTAGAGCTTGGGTGGGTTAACTACCTCAGAAACAAGAAACCGCTTAAAAGCAAAATTATCGCTCATCAAAAAAGCCCAACAAAAGATGGTACACAAAACTGGAACCCAAATCCCAATAGAGGAAAAACAACACCTGGCATTCCTACCCTTATGCAACTACACTTCTTTCTCTTCTCTTACCTAAAGAAAAATCCCTACAATCCCAGACACATTCTTTTTCCAAAGGCCCCAAGGCCTTCCTTTTCTTTTGGATGGGTGTAAATACCACCTCTTGGAATGCCAACAACGCAAAATTACTACACCAAATAAAAAAAAAACCCCACTACCAAGTGTTACTTGAGCAAAGTCCCAAACCTCAACTGCTTCCATTCGAGGACGTCCCTGTCGTTCTCGTCGCAGGCTGCTTCGCTACATAAATCTGCTTCATCTTCGAAGGAGGATAGTTCTTCTCCGTACCAAGAGATTGATTATTCCTTCCTTGGTATCCGGTTCTTCGGTGATGAGACCATTCACCCCCGGAACTACTCTTCTGAGAAACTCCGCCGCCCCTCTGATAGCTGTTATACCCAGATGAGCCACCACCACCATACGATGTGTTCCTCTGATGAGGCTGTTGGGGCTTCAAGTTTGGCCCAACGCTGGTGGTGGTATTATTACAGCTGCCATTCTGAACACCGTCCTTCTTCCCACTATCTGACGAGCTCTTGGGGACAGTTGCCTGTGTTGAAGAATTGCCAGCACTTGTCCCGAGTTCTTCTCGCAGCCGTGTGATAGTTGCAGAATCAGTCGAGTTTCTGGCATTGTTTGATGATGACTGCTGTTGCTGACGCGATTCGCTGAATCTGTTGCTGGCCAGTGATTGGTCTACTGCAGGTCCATGGGAAAACTGAGACGGAAGAACACCTTCTGTCTGTGATTGCTGCAATGGCATTGATACTGTAGCAGACTGAAGAGTTGATGATACTGGAATATGGGACCAACGAGCCTGGCCTGACATATCAGGTGATGACTGGCAAAAACAAATCAGGATGTCAGAAGCCTAAATACAGACTATAATCCCGACTCATGCCAAACAGCCTGTTAACCACCGGGGGGGAGGGGGGTAGCAGCCATTAGTTCTGCAGTTCAAAGGTTTTTGGTGCCGGAAATTTAAATTCTACCTGGAAAGGAGAAACGTCAAACAAGGCCAATGGGGAACCCATGGGCAGAAGAGGGGCGCCAGGGGCAAGATGCTGGATGGTAGGAGGCATGTTGTTGCTGGGATTCCGCTGTGCCGAGACAGCAGCATTTATGTTATTCATGTCGACTGCTTCACCAACTCCCATTGGAGAAGAAACCGGATTATGTTTCCAATCAGGTTGCTTCCCAGATGGAATATATGTAGTCCCCATAAAACTCAGCCCGACTTGCCCAAACTGCCCAACTGGAGCGAAGTGATTGTAGACAACCATGTGTGATGCGCCCTGAACGCCCGGAATGCTCCCCGGGGGAGGAGTCATGAACGGGCCAGTGAAACCTGGATGGGGGCCATAGAATGAATCCACACCAGAGTGATGTTGCCATGTCCCAACTGGACCAGAAACCGACACATTATTACTCTTCTGGGACTGCTGCGAGTGAGGAGATGCAGATTCGTCGTGCGGACCAAATGCAAAGATTGGCCCACCCAACATGGGATGATTCATCTCATAGAACGGGAAGTGATGAGGCCCACCAGGAACATGGGAAAGTAACTGACTTGAGGATGCATTGTGTGGGCTTGGTAGAGTTGGCCATAATGATATTGGAGGGTTTTCAACAGATAGATCTGCTGGAAGAGCCACACTAAGAGAATCCTCAGCTCTTGACTGACTTGTGGATGGCTGATCACTAGGTACACCTGCCAACAAACAGTAAAAAGAAAAAAAATAAAAACCAGAGAAAGTTGCAGGCCTTAAAGCATCATGAATGTAGATAGGGTAAGGTGGAAAATATTCTACTAGCTGCAGTACCATTTAGATCAACACCACCATAACCCTTGGAGTCTGTGGCAGATACAGGTCCTGGCCCTAACCCACTCCCAACTGTCTCATCATTGCTTATGGCTGCAACTGCAACAGCTGAAGCAGCTGCCTCTGCTTCTGCTTCGCACTCATCCAATCGAGCACAGGTCTCGCTGGAAGAATGTTTTTCTTTTTCAAAGAACAGAGAGCAGTTGTTTTCTCCAGAAGACAGGTTGTGAGAAAGCTGGATGTCAGATAGAGATGGCACAGGAGGGAGAATACCACGGCTACTTGGAGGTAGAACTGTCGGCGATGTAACTGCACCTGTACAATTAAGGGAAAATTTTGAATTTTCTAAATAAGTTCTTGGGCAAGTTTGATTGGGCTTAAGAAAAGAAACTTCAAAATAAGAAGACTGAAAAGCTCAAACAAAACTTTGTCAATCTAACTTATTAGAAGAACTATTCAACTCAGACCCAACAAATATTTATATATAGAAGTCTCCTCACAAATAAAAACTAATTTTCTAATTTGCCCACCCATAAACCAAACCGCTTTACTTTTAATTTACTAAAACTTCAGAAAAATTTATCAACTTTTAGCATAAGTGGAAACATGACACAGACAATATTAAGAACGCTATAGGAAAGTAGAAAGTTGACGTGAAGTGCAATGGCTCACCAAATTGAATTTTCTCCCCAGCAAGCAACGAGTTGATGGGGCTGGCAGCAGAAGAAGAGGGAAATGGTTTTTCTTTGCTCAAGATTGATGATGGCGCCAAGCTGGGTTCATTTGGTGCACTAGAAGGATCGCCGACGGAAGGGGCAGAATCAAACTGTCCAGGCTTCATAGCTTCATCAAATTGAGTTTGAGTTAAGGTCATAACCTACAAGGCAATTAGGCAAAGTAACTTAGCACCTAATTCTTGGACATATAAAACAAATAAGAGATAAAAACAGAAATTAAAACAACTAAAATGGATATTATGACGCTTTCCATGGAAGTAACATGGTAAGAAGGCCAAGCAAAAATTTAAAATGCCTTAAATGGAACAGGAATTCTTGTTCTGCCAAGTACTAACAGGACATAACCAGTTAGCAATACAGAATTCATGTTTCTAGAACATTAATATAGTAAAAAAAACTATAATGATCCAAGCATAAACTGCAATTTAAATCACAGTCCCTCAGGGGCGAAGAAAGGGTGTGAATGTCAGGGGTGCTTACTGAGGGTGGTAAGACATCAGCAGAACTACAATTACATGTTCTCTATTGAAATTACAAATGATGTACTCGTCAACTTATTGCTTTAACAGACAAACGGTGCAAAAAAAAAAAATAATAACATGCCTGCTGATTATGAAGTCGTGGATTGCCCCAAGAGCCCAAAGATGCCTGTCCATTATCTAGAACCTTGCCATTTCCATCAAACATTATGCCAGAGGCTAGGTTCTTTCCATTATCTGCCACAACAGGTACATTACTCACCTGAGCGGACCTGCACCCAAAAAATATATGTTAGATGTACATGTCCAAGTATCCTTTCTTGACTCGAGAAATTTCTTTAAACCATACTTAGTAAGGAAAATTTTTAGAGACAAAACAAGTTGAAGACGCATACTTGATCGTCTGAGCTTTAACATCTGCTGGAGCATCATTTTTCAGTGAAGGAGTACCAATTGGAGGTAATTGCTGAGACATCACAGGGGTTATGAACCCTGCTGAAATTTCAACATTTGCCAGTGCATTTCCTTGCTTCAGAGCACCTGAACGTATAATGTTTGATGTTTCTCCAGCAACCGAAACTTTGCTTGAGGAGGCAGGACCGAAATTATTTCGTGAAGTAGAACGATCTTTCCTTTGCATCTGAACATGAGGAGCCAAAAAAAAAAAAAATTTGAAGCCACAATAAATCAATCATACAAGAAACCAAGGAAAGGAAGGATAGCACAGAATAATACCTTGGAAACACGAGATTTCGCCTTAATTTCCTTTTCTCTCTGCTCACGACGATCATTCAACATTTGCCTTTTTGACCTCACCTCAATGAAGTCATCATCATCACTCGGAGCTTCTATGCCAGGTTGCTCAAAAACACGCACTACTCCATTCTGTAAAGATGAATCAACATCTTCTCCAGAATGCACAATGTTCTGACTCTTTCTAAGAGGCTCTTTTCCACTGGCAGCCTTCCCCACCCTGTTTCCAGAATCAACTTCTCGTGTGCTAACAGGCCGCGAAGTGAAGCCTTCTGAATCAAATGACTGTTTTGGTTGTCTATTTGAGACAAACACCCTCCTGGAACCACCTCTTGCTCCACCTCCCCTACCAATGATGTTAGACCTGTCATCTTGCATTGAGACAACCCCCAAGGATTGTCTCTTATCAAAATTTTCCCGGACTCGAAATTCAGTTCTCTGGCGACGAGGTCTTCTCTGGAAACCCACACTAGCGTCCATACGAGAAGCTTCAGGAGTTTGAAATGATCTTGGACCGGAATTTTTCATTTGGAAGATGTATCTTTTCCCTCTCCCACTTGATGTACCAACCCCTGCGCCCCTTGACATACTGGGTTGATCTTTTTCCTTTGAAACTGACTGAGAGGGCACAGTTCTATATTGTGATTCGTTTTTCACAAATGAATCTTCCAATTGCAAAGATGGCTCAGGCCTTGGAAATATGTCAATAGAGCGGGAAGGACCTCCACAGCTCTGCTGTACATTACCAACACTGTTACCGTTATCTTTCGACAAAATGCCTTGCGACAAGTTCGATTGCCTCGGTAGGATGCCTGGTTTGTTATCAATTGATATAGGCATAGCCTCGCTTTTAACAAAGCTCTGAGCAGAAACATCTTGACCAGGTTGCAGAGGTAAAGAACCTACCATGTTTTGATTCAAAGGAAAATTGGCAGGAACAGTTGGTTGAATGAAGGGCAAGGATTGTGGAGCCAACGGTAAAATCCCCTGGGACATAGGGGACGTATACCTCAGTTGGCCAAACTGAAAGAGGGGAGCTTGTGATGGGTGCATATGACTCAGAGATGGACCTACTGGGGGATGCAGATGAAGAGGCATCTGAATGGAGCCAATTTGTATAGCTGGGATTGGTGATGGTATAAGAGATGGACCTGAAAACAGACCAAACTGAAGCTTCACTGGCACCTCAGGCTGAGTTGAAACAGGAGGAACGGAGGATGTCGAAGTCTGAGCGGCGGAGTACAGGACCTGGGACAGGGTGGATAAACCAGCACTACCAGAAGGATCCAGCTGGTTAACAAGCTCTGGAGCTGCTGACTCGGGAGAATTTGTCGGTTGAATAGTTAAATCTTGCAATCCCTTTTCAGTCTCCTGGAAGATTCTGGAAGAACAGTCAGCATTAGTATGAGTACTATCTACAGGTTGAGTGCTCTGTCCACCACAGCTTGTTCCGTCGAAGGAATCCTGGCCATTGGTACTTTCAACAGGAACCTGAGGTAACAGAAACCTACTTTCATTATTTCCTGAGCTTCTTTCCAGCTCATCATCTGGCAACTTGACCTCTACCCCCTCATTGAAACCTAACACTAAGTTTTCTACCATATCAATAGAATCTTTCTCCTCCATATGCAAACCTTCAAACTCTTGAGTAAAGTTGATATTGTCCTCTTCTACCTCATGCACTTCATCTTCCTCACCATAACCATCTTCTTCATCATATTCTTCTTGTTCTTGTAGCTGGTCATTATTGTCCATTGCCCATTCTTCGTCATCTCCAGTGGACATGATGGCCATGCCACCTATCGCGTTATCTTTCTCAACATCAGTAGGCAAGGCTCCAGATTCATTCATATGTCTCAACAAAGCTACATCTTTCGCTTTACCAGTAGATACAGGAGATCCAAGGGAATCATCCAGCTCATCATGAGAGAGTTGGACTGGAGAATCAGGAGGGCTGGAAACAGACAATGAAGACTGTGACTCGCATCTCTCTGTACTTCTGTCAAGTTTTGCAACCTCATTCTCCTGTGTATCTTGCAGAGTATCAAATGCTTCAGCTCCACTGAGATTGTCTGTGTAACTGTTGCCATATCTTGGTTGCACGGTAACTTCATCTCTAGCACCTTGACGGTACTGTCTCTCACTTCCCACAAAAGAAGAAGTACCGGAACGTTCATTGACCCCCCTGTAATCACTTCTCTGCATTGAACTAATAGACGGAGGTGGTAACACCCGAGGCTGCCTCGTAGAGTACCTTGGCCTAGCAAATGGATAAAGGCCATCCGACTCCGGGTTTTGGTAAACTCGCTCATGGTATGGAGGATAAAAATTACCACGAGGTCGACCATATCCCCAGCTCGCATCACCGAATCTCTCCACAAAGTTCTCACTGAAATCAGGTTCAATATCTAAGTTTCTGCTATACGGATCTCCTTCACCAGATGTATTCCATCTTGGACCTTTAAATTGACCAAAATCATCAGTTGGAGGGTCAAGGATCCCTCCCCTAGGGTAAGCCCTTGAGGGCACTAAACCAGGTCCACCATAGAATTCCCTTTTAGGAAAACCTCTACCTCCAGAAATATCTCGCCTAGGACTATGATGATTTTCATGGTCCTGTGGAACAAAGGCTGAGGTGTCACCACTGTCAAATGGATCTCTCTTCCATTGATTCACAGGCTTCCCTCTGTCCATAAATACGGAAGAGCTTTCTCTAGAAAAGTAAGGCCTAGAACCGAAATCAAATGGCCTATTCATTCCTGGCATATCAGAGGAAGCAGATGTTGTGATCCTGTCCACCATTCTTTCGCCTTCTTCCCAGTCACCCATGTCTCCTAACTTGGAAGCACATGTTTCATCCCCCATCTCCGTTGTGTTTTGATCAACAACACCCGAAGAATTACCATTCCCACCTTTTGCCCCTTCGGCATTCCTCCTAGCCATCCTTTCCTCCAGTTCCAGAAGCTTCTGCTTTGCAGCCTGTGCCCTCCTCTCCTCTTCCAGAAGAAACCTCCGCTTCTCCTCCTCTCTAGCTATCCTCTGTTCTTCTGCCCTTCGAACAGCTTCCACCCGCTCGTTTTCCACCCTCCATGCAGCTTCTCTTGCTTCTTCTTCCAACCGCTTCTGTTGTTCTTCCTGTTCTCTGGCTATCTGTATCCTTTCCTCTTCTTCTCTGCGTGCTAGCTCCATAGCCCTTTCCTGTTCTTCAATTATCCGCTGACGCTCCTGTTCCTGCATCTTCTGAACCCTTTCAAGTTCAGCCTCAAAAGATTCTCTAACAGGATCATGAAAATCCGTCTGTTTAACCACATCTTTCCTCTTCTTTACCAGCCCTACAAGAGCACCAGAAAGTGGATCACGTCCATCAAAACCCACCCCATAATCCTTCATGAAAGGATCCTCTAGATAAGGCTTCTCACTTTTTGCAAACGACCGTTTCTCCCTTCCGAAATTCAATATGGGATCATTAACAGAAGGTCCTTTAGCACCAGAAGAGAATGACGATTTCTGTGTGGAACTATTGCAATGTGAGTCATCTCTGTATCGGTTGTGCTGCTCATTTACTGGTCGGTCTCGATGCATCCACTCAGGCCCTCGACTTCCAGCTGAATCAGATGAATTGCTCCACGGTACTCTTGCTCCCTGCCCATATCCCACATCCTTCCTTCCAATATCAGCATAGGAATGTGAGGACACATGCTTGTTGTCCCTAGTAGTGTCTCTGTTCGGAGTAGATATTTTACCACCAAAATTAGTATTTTTATTGTTGCCACGCTCAAATCCAGCATAACCATCCTTTGAAAGAGATGAGGAAGATCTCCATGAGTTCCCTTCTCGTCCCTCTCTGCTCGAGGATCTCAGATCACTGCTGGGAACATCTACCTTTGTGACTTCACTGGACAAGATTTTGCCAGTTTCATTGTCATGTGGTATCCTTCTGTCGAAGTTATTATTATGTGCTGCTTTCTGGGGTAGGACACTAGGCCTTGGGAAATCAAAATCCCTATCCCAGTAGACTTCACCCTTAGGAAACCCGTGATCCCTGCCCCTCTCAGTCAACACATGCCCTGTATCACGCTCATCATCTGCCCAATCTGACCTGGGATTCAACCTAACTAATGGCAAGGGGCCGGGGAAGTAATCCTCCTGCTTTTGGTCTTTCCCAGAAACAACTGAACCACTGAAACCGCGATTCGGACCATCAGTTTCTCCAAGCCCACTGCCGACTTTACTTCTAGACTGAAATTGTGGGCGCATGTTGACACGGCCACTCGTAACAGAACTGTCCACTTCTCCATCACCAGTTGCCTCGCCCTGCATCTGTTTTTGTTTCTGACTAAAGCCATCCTTATGCTTCTTTTCAAGACCTGTATTGATAGGCAATGCTGCTTGTAAAGAAGGAAAATCCTCGCCTTTCAACACTGACACTTTTTCAGCTACAGAATAACCTTGAGAAGGAGCAGATGCTGCTGAAACCATTGGGCGTGCAGAAGGGGGAGTGTATACACGGGCCTTGCTCAACCCATTAACTGCCTCACTTGATCCTCGATCAATAATAAAGTTCTGCACTACATTATTATCAGCTGAACTATCCCCGACGCCAGCACCTGTTCCTTCTTTCTCTGGCTGACTAGCTGCAGGCTTGGTCCATCCAATTCCAGAAGAACTAGGCCGGGGACCATTCCCAGAGCCAGTGCCAGCATGCCCTCCAACCACCCCTGCAGAATCAAACTTCTCGTGTTCCTTCCTGAGTGAGGGCAGATTCAAGGGGGGTGGAACAGAAAGCTTCGGCGCAGCAGCCTTTTGTGAGCTACGAGGGCGAGAGAGCACAACCATCCCTCCTCCTCCTCCTCCTCCATGCCTAGCCCGATTGGCCCCGTAAGAAGAGCTTGAATGATACTGGTTACCGTGGTGGTACTGCTGCTGTCCATACGACTTGTTCAGATTAACAGACACAAATTTGGACGTCCCGACTCCGGGATTGGCCATCTCAGGGTCCGACCAAGACTATTCAGCAGCACGGCGGATTCAGATCCCCGCCCACGCATCAAATAACAAACCACCACTAACCTTAAACAAATTCACACACAAGAGAAGAAACACTGTCCCTTCCTTCCCTCTGTTATAGCTCTCCAGAGATCAAAGTGCTAAATCCCGAGTAGGGCCTCCTTCTAACCCTGATCAAATCACCCACAAACAAATGAACCCTCATTAACAACAACAAACCAAATACACACTCTGAGGGGCAACACTTCTAACTCGACAACGAATAGAATTCGAATCGGGGTTCAAATTAGGGTTTGGCGGAGAGAAGTGTACATCTCGCCGTGGATGGAATGATCAGGAATGGGGGGAGGTGTACGGTAAAGAAAGAGAGCTTACCTCCGGGAGCGTGTGATACAGACGGCGATGACTAAGGCGCGCCGCGGAGAAAGGAGTACGAAGAGGAAGGGCGTCTGATAGAGAAGACGAAGAATAAGAAGCCCTACTGAGGTCCCTCAAACCAAACAAAAAAATAATATGACCAGAGAGAGAAGCCAGTAAGCCACCAGATCGAAAACGTCACGAGACGAAAACGAGGCCTCTTTCTGTTTATTTATTTATTTATTTATTTTCTTTGGCCTTCGGTTTCGGTTGCTTATTTTCTCTTTTAGCTTTTGTTCTTGTCTTCTTGTTTTTTTATCCGGCTTAATTGCAAGTTTGGTCACCCGAATTGCTTAAAAATTTCACGTTTGCCACCCGAATTGATTTATTCCATTTATAGTCACTCGAATTAGTTGAACAGTCCAAGTTCGGTCACTCTCCGTTAACCTCCGTTAGACTCCGTTAATGACGTCCGTTAAGTGATGACGTGGCTAACAGAAAGACACAGTCAGCACATTTAAACATTAAAAAAAGACGACCCGACCCGCCAATTCAGCCTTACTTGCCCAACCCAAAAACCAACCCAGCCTAATTCACCCTAAACCCAGACCCGAGACCCAACCCCCCTGAAATGAATCCCTAACCCTCTTTTCTCTTCCTCTTTTCTCTGCGCGAGAATCGCCCCATCCCCATCAAAAACCCTTTCCTATGAAGTTGTGATTCGGTGATTGCTATTTGTCCCTACTCCATCCTTCAATTTCATCTTCTTCCCCAGAATTGAAATTCTCCGCTCCGCCGAAAATGATATCGCCGGAGCTCCAGCCCCGATCCTTCCGCCCCTACATAGCCTCCTCCCTCAGCGCCCCATCTTTCTCCTCCTTCAACAACGATGGCCGTTCCTACTCCCCCGAACAATCCGCCACCGCGACCGGCGGCTCCAACTCTCACTACCCTGCCGGCGCTCAGTCCTCCTCCGCTGCCTCAAGATCCCGATTCTCCCCTTCATCCTTCTCCCACAACGCCAGAATCGCCATTGCTCTCGTCCCCTGCGCCGCCTTCCTCCTCGATCTCGGCGGCGCTCCCGTCGTTGCTACCCTCACCCTAGGCCTCATGCTCTCCTACATCCTCGATTCCCTCGACCTCAAGTCTGCCGCCTTCTTCGGAGTATGGCTCTCTCTGATCGCCTCTCAGATTGCTTTCTTCTTCACCTCCTCCCTCATCTCCGCCCTCAGCTCCGTCCCCCTCGGGCTCCTCGCCTCCTTCCTCTGCGCGCAGGCCAATTTCCTCATCGACGTCTGGGCCGCTCTCCAGCTCAAGTAGATCCAGCTCGAGAACCCTAGCATCGTCCTCGCGCTCGAGCGGCTCTTGTTTGCCTGCATTCCGTTCACTGCTTCCTCCATCTTCGCTTGGGCCACCATCTCCGCCGTCAGTATGAACAACGCCTCGTACTATCTCATGGTCTTCAACTGCGTCTTCTACTGGCTCTTCGCCATCCCTACGACGGTGATTTTCGATGGTGTGCACAGGAGAGAGGCGGCGCGGGAGGATGAGAGGATGAAGATGGAGGAAGGGAAATGCCCTAATCCATCTGCGATTTAATTTTCAGGGGGTTGGGTCTCGGGTCTGGGTTTAGGGTGAATTAGGCTGGGTTGGTTCTTGGGTTGGGCAAGTAAGGCTGAGTTGGCGGGTCGGGTCGGGTCGTCTTTTTTTAATGTTTAAATGTGCTGACTGTGTCTTTCTGTTAGCCACGTCATCACTTAACGGACGTCATTAACGGAGTCTAACGGAGGTTAACGGAGAGTGACCGAACTTGGACTGTTCAACTAATTCGAGTGACTATAAATGGAATAAATCAATTCGGGTGGCAAACGTGAAATTTTTAAGCAATTCGGGTGACCAAACTTGCAATTAAGCCCTTTTTATCCCTTTGTTTACGTCTATTTTCGTTTGTCGCCCGCATTTATTCCGTTAATTTGACGTTATTTTATTTACGTCTGTGAGCTTTCCTTTCAGTTATGCCATTGTCACGACGTCACCGCCCGATATAGCAAACGTTCCAAAAACGACGGCTACAGAATTTTTCGGGGACCATATTGTAAAATGTGTGTGACTTTTGTTACGATGGAAATTCTTAGTTTATGTTGTTGTTGTTGTTGACAATTAAGCAACTGAATTGCTATTAGTCGCCCTAAATTTTAAAAAATTTCGCCCTAAATCATATTGAATTGCCGCTTATACCCCTAATGCCAATTTACCTAATTCCTACCTTCTTGTGCCGTCTGACCAACTAGCCGATTTCCGGCCGCCGCTGCCGTTCACCAAACCATCCGCAGCTTCCCCCAGCCCACCTGCCATCGTTCCATTTCCCCATCACGCCAACCTGCTGCAGTTACCCAAATAAATTCTGGTCACCTGCTGCGATTCTCCCCATTGCCGACCCGCTCCTGATGCCGAGGAAGGAGAAGGAAGAAGGTCCAAGCGGGTAAAACCCAATCCGCCGCAGCCGTCCCCAGCCGGCCGACGAGCTCGGATGGCGACGGGTAGCTCACGGTTTTCAAGTCAAACGTGTCTCTTTGGTTTGCTTTTTTGCATCATGCTGATTGTGTGGATATGTTTTACCTGTTTCTGTTTATTTATGATTCTGGATATATTTGATTTCAACTATTATTGTTTAGAGTTAGAAATATGCAATGATGAATCCATTCTAACGTTGCTATGAAGTATGAACTACAAGTGGATCAGTGGATCTATGTTTGTTTAAGGGTTTAAGTATTTGAAAAAAAAAACTAAGGGTATTAGAGTAAATTTAACCTAATTAGGGCGCCAAATAAGAATTTTTAGGGCGACGAATAGCAATCCCCTTAAGCAAACACTATAAAATATGGTTCACATTAACTGTTATCATAAACTTGTTTCTAACATTTTTATCTTTTTTTTTTGTTGGTAATATTCTAACATTTTTATCTACTAACTATTTAGTATTTTCCCAACTAATCTTAATTGGAGTGAACTAAAGCACAATTAAGTTCTACTTTCCTCTTTGAGGGACTACTAATAGGAGCTCACGAGACTAATACCTCGTTTAGTACATTTTGTGTTAATGTGGTTGTAGTACTATTGTGATAATAAAGTTAAAACCATAACACCATGAAGATGAAAAAAAGATAAATACGTTTAGTTGATAATTAGTTGATAATTATGAGAAATTAATTAAGTTGACCAATGATGTTATGCCGGCTTCTTGTCGGCCGGTTCAACCGGTACCTTTCATCAAACCATCTGGAGAGGAGCTGGTATTTACCTTTGGTCAATGTCAATCAGATCTGGTCAAATCGGGGAATTCCAACTGGTTAGACCAAAAACAAAAATTAAGTGAAATGACACATGATATCCAAAGGACAAAAATAATCTCCATGATTTAAATAAGCTCGTTAGATACAACAATTTTGTGCGGAAGTCTATAAGATACGTTGGGCTTATCGTTGGGGTCAATTGCTTTTAAGATGGGCTTCAGATTTTTTTTCAGAAACCAGAAGCTGGCAATAAAGCCCACCAGAAAGTACGATCTAGTGCCCTTGGGCCTTAATGGCCCCCCTCATTTTAACTCCTCCTTCCCCTCCCTTTCCGTCACCGTCAAACACTTAACATCACATCCCGACAGACAAATCTAAAAATTTCCTTCACGATGCTCTGTTCAGTCTGTTGTTTATACTGCAAAGTACGATTCTGGTTTACCACGTACCTTATAATATATAACATTTATCAAATGTAATGTAATCAATTAATCGTCATGATTTAACCTTCACGATTTACAACTTTGCAGCGTATTTCCCCCAATCCATGTCTCTTTTGTTACGGTCCAACACTCCACTATGATGAACTCATCGTCACCTATCAACCAATACGACCCGACCCGACTCATTTGTCACCTGCATATACAAATACTACTGGTTATAGATCAACAAAACACAACCACTGTAATGCTTTGTGCATACTTTATACATGGATGCTACCAAACCTTAAACTTGGGAATGAAGAACTAGATCTTAACGGTTAATCAAGTTGCTCTATCCAATTCGTTTTGCTGTAGCTCAATCCTTTCTTGTTTCTGTTTATCTGTGATATATATATATATATATATCAGATACCCATTGATCCCAAATCAAGTGAACAGTCTTACCAAATCCAGGGGTCAGTAGAAGGTTTGCCAACTAATTGTCTCAGTTTTAAAATTGGAATCTAGAAGCCCATTTGGAAATCTACCCTTGAAGTAGAATCAAAGGCAACCCACTGGAACTAGCTAATGTGCACCAGATCAAGGATTCTTGTTCATCTCTCTGGCTCTCACCATTTGCATGTGTGCCAGTGGAAGGACCAACCAACGAAAATTATAAAACCTAACACACAGAAAAGCTATCTAAACAAAACTTGATCTAATAGTACTATCACTTAATCTTGAAATCTAATAGTAATACACAGAACAATGTAAGGACCTAGGCTTGTTCGAGTGAAGCTTAACCGTATTTAACTGGCAGTCAATGATATATCTGAATGATCATACAGCAGTCCAAAGAGATCAGGGAATTCAGGATCTTGGAAATGACAAGCGTAAATCTAGTGGAAAAGAAAGGATATGCATGTGCTTTGCTTGAACCAGACTTAAACCCATGATTTCAGGCGATATATTATCACCCCCTATTATATGGTGGGTCGACTCTGTGATATGCATACTCTTCCAGCTAGCTAGGACTTTGAATCTGTGATATATGTGCTGTGTGTACTAATTTAAAACACTATGCGTGAAACGAAGAACCAAAATGGGGGAAGCAAGAAGGCCAAACATAGGAATCGATTGAGTTTGAGCCAATGCAAATATGTCGGTGGACTGACCTGAGAGGCAGAGGGGAGGTAGAAGTAGAACAGAGGAAAGGGAGCTGGAGGCCTCTCTCTTTCACGTGCTGGCTCGCAGCTCACAACGTTAACACCCCACCAAGCTTCTCAAGTAGCGTGAGTAGTACCTGGTATTTGGTAAGAAGAAGAGAAAGGCAAATAGGTCAATATTAGTTACAGCATCGTAGAAAATTCATTACTGCGTAAAAAACAGAAAAAAAACATCAGGTCAGGTAACATTTCACTTTTAATTGTTGAAAAAAGATAACCGGGCATTACAATTTATTAGTGCCCTCTCCTACAAAAGGGCTAGCAGTCCTTAGAAGAAAAAAATGGAACTTTTTTTTTTTTGGAGAAGATGGCCTGCTCACGTGGTCCCTTCTGAGAGGTCGGTATCTGCCAGCTCATTTACCCTCTGCCCTGATTTGCACCAACAAGTCAAAGCTTGGTCAAAAACTATTAACAACCCCAAAACTATGAATAGTGCCATAATCAATCCTCTTCTTTAAGGCCTGGCCACGCTCCTCCTACTGCTACAATACAATACTATCACCCCTGCACTGGCCTGCTACCCACCACCCACATCCGCTAGCCCGTTCAGCATCCTTTTTTATCTGGATTAGGACTCTGCACACACTGAGCACTGTTCCACTCACTGTTGTTTTTCCCCCCTGCCCTAGAAAAAAAAAAAAAAAAAAACTTAGCTGAAAACTTGAAGAAAAGATGGAGCCTTTCCTCCTTCTTTTTTACCTCTTTCCCAAAGAGTCCTAACCATATATCTCTAAATACAGCAGCACTCTTGTTGCTTTCCTTGTGCCAGCCAGCAATGCTCCTGGGGAAAACTGCCCCACTCCCCTATTCATCTGCCACATTACCCCACGGGCCACGGCCCTCCTTCCCTCTTATTTTGCTTGGTAGTTGGCTTTTCTCCACATGCAAATGAAATATGTGTGTGTGTGACATGACATGAACATGGATAGCCATAAAGACAAAGACATGAAAAATGGTGGAGAAGGGGGGAAAAAAACCACCTACCAAACAGCCATTGACATAGGAAAAATCTTGTGCAGACAGGCCTTTCGTTATTACTGCTAAGTAAGCTACTTGGTGTTCTCATGGATTTTTCTAGCCGTTGGTTTTAAAACCACAAAACCTTACAAAGGTAGTTCCATGCTGGTTTCAATGAATAAAAATACTACTTTACTACAGTAGCTGCGATGGAATACCAGGAATATTATAAAGGGTGAGAAGAACATTTATGAACACACTGATACACGGTAATTCCGAGAACCTTCGAGGAACCTGTCCAAAATAATTTTCAATTGAAAAGCTTGGCTCCTCAAACAGAGAGTCAAATGCCTATATATACATAAAATAAAAACCGTATTGCAGTATTTTATTATGATAAAGGTGTATGCATATCCAATAGCAGAAGAGTGAGGAAACAGAGTGTCTTTGAGAATGGTGCATAAATGTATGCACAGCGGCTCTGCAATCAGCTTTCTCTTTACTTTAATCTTGAACAATATTTTTCTAATGAAATTCTTTAAATGATCCTAAGTGTCACAAATATTATAAAAAGGGGTGGAAATTAGCACAGAATCAATTATAATATGGGACAGTGTAGCTTCAAAACTGGTCATATCATTGAATGCCCAGTATTGAACATGTCATGACAAAACAACACATCATGGGCATGCATGCAAGCAAGAATTCAAAAATGGAAATTTTGGGACCAAAAAACTTAAAATAAAAAAAAAATCCCACACATACATCCTAGCACTTTCACACTTTGTTTTAGCTAGCTTCCTCCCGGCCTAGATATAAATACAGACACTCCTTGGTGGGTTTGCAGCAGTGGCTGAGGCTGAGAGAGGGTCCCCTGCAGAATTTATTACAGGCCTTCTACCCGCTTTCTTTCTTTTGTTTGGTTTTGGTGTTATATTTCTGTTCCCCTACCGGCTATTCCTTGTTAATCTCTCTCACTCATTCTCACTCCTCCTTCCTTACTCTGTTCTTCTGAGATCCTTCCATGGCATGCTTAGACATGTACAACTCCGACCAGCACAAAGGCCACCATTGCCCTGCAATGAGCCCCAGAATCTCCTTCTCCAATGACTTCGTCGATGCTCAACAGATGATGAAGCAGCAAGAAAGAAGCCCCTTATCTCATCCTCCAGCTTCATCAGACTTCGAATTCTCAGTCACGGGCTACTCCATGATGAGTGCCGACGAGCTTTTCTCCAAAGGCAGGCTGTTGCCCTTCAAGGACAACGGTGGCAGCAGCCAAATGCAGAGGACTACAATAAGGGATCAGCTCCTCGTTGATGAAGATGGTGATGTCGAAGTCTCGCCCAGGCCGCCGAGAGGGTCGTCGTCGACAAGGTGGAAAGGGCTTCTGGGTCTGAGAAGGAGCCACATAGGGTCGAAGAAAGTTGAGAGGGTTAATAGTAATGGTGGTCAGATTTCTGTTGGTGAGATGAGTAGAAGGCCTGGTAGTGGTAGTTTTGTTCGCGAGCAGGATCACCAGCTAGTGCATGTTAGCAACGGAAGTTCCCAGGTCAGCAGAAATTTTACTACCCGTTGATTACTCTGCTTTTATTATTCTTTTTGGTTAAATCATTATTCATTGATGGTTGGCAAATTGTTTGAATATGGTTGACAGGAGGCTTTGAGTGAAGGAGGATCAGGATGCAGGGATTTGGAGATTGGAATATAGAGAGGAAGAAGTACTACTGATGAAATTGAAGTGAGTAGTACTGTTTGGAAAGGTTGTTGGGGAAATGACAGTTTCTGTTTTCTTTCTTGTTCTTTTGATTCATCTTATTGGTTTTTTGGTCGGTAGTTGGGAGAAGGGGTGGGTGGAATTTTAGTTGAGTTTTCTTTTCCATAGATCTTTAGTTTTGAAGTTGTGAGGGATTATCTTTTGTATTCATCTCAGTTCTTTTTGGCTTCCCCCGTCACTTGGGGAGAGCTTCCAGATCTCAGTTCTCCTAGAAGTTAGAGTCTTTCATGTTTTTCCTTTTTCTTGTACAAAAGTGATTATTGTTAATTTGGAAGAAGCTTCTTTGCGTCTTCTAACTCTCATTCTAGTTGAGGGCTGAGTGATATAGATCTGTCTCTGTTAACTCTCACCCGAGAAAGAAACGTTTTTTCTAGCCCTCACAAAAAAACCCACTTGACAGGACAAAAAAAAATTACACAAAAAAAAACCCAGAAATATTGACCGTATTAAGATGGGGTTTGAATGAAGGTCTGCATTCAAAATGTATAAGACATGTGAGGGACAGTTGTGGCTTGTCAGTTGCTAATTTCTCCCCTAAAGCACAAAACAACAAATGAAAATTTGTGAAGATAGGTAAGTTGGAAGATACATTTAATAGTGTGCAGAAGCATGTGGACAGCAAAAGATCTTTGGTTGGCGATTGGCAGATGACATTATCAATTCAGCAGTTAAAACCCTAGTGGTGTCCTCTCATCTCTGATCTACAGGACTTGTCATTTGATCAGTTTCAGGATCTTTCGACTCTCTAATGTAAGATGGTGAACTAGTCGAATTTTGCTAAGATCCTGATTGCCCATGTTGCCATCCTAAACCATTGGATGCATGCCAGAGCGTTAAATATCTAATAGTTCAGAGTGCGAGACGCTCGACCTATGGAGTCAACACAGACATCTATACTCATCAACATACTAGCAGAGTTGGGAGTTAGTCCAGCTAGTACTGAAACCAATAGCTAACCAACTACCGGGTCCAGTCCTGAGGAACTCAAGGGCACTGTAAAGTTATTGTCTTAGTCTCCTAGAGCTAAGTTAGCTAAATGTGATAGAAACATGGTTGTCACGCCGGTCGGCGTGCCACTCGTTGAACCTGGTTCATCCTGTACCGATCGTAAAACCGGCATGACACCACCGGTATGACCAGCATGATTGATATACGAATCTCCAAGTAAAATGATCTTATCTTAGTGAATTTAATTGATAAAAAGTAATTTATTATTTATATTATGTGTTAAAAAGTTAAATGTTGATGTTATTTGTTGGATTCAAGAACAAATATTTAGCGATTTACGTTAAATGTCGTGTTTAAATATGAGTATTTGTAAATTATTTGTAATATTAACCGGTATGTACCACCGGTCAAATCATTTCACTTGCTAAACCGGCACACTGGCATAAACCGATTTGACAACCTTAGAAACTAGAAGAACCAATAAAGACTTTTTGGGGTTGAATGCTTACCTGCTTCATTTTCTTTGTTATGACCACCACCTTTATTTTCTGTGCAAAAGCTTGCTGATAAGTCTGGCTAATCTACCGCTGAAACCAGCCCCCCTCAACAGTCAATAGGGTAGATAGAGTGGCTCCCCATCCATCATCCATCCAATCGAGAAAAAAGCGCTAATTCTGCCACAAGATAAGTGAAAGAACATTAGTCTCAGCAACCTGCCAGTCCATGAGGTAAAATAATAAATATCAAGGGCAAAGATCTCATACCTAGCCAGACTTTGCAGCCTACTGGGAGAAGTAGCCACAGGGTCCGTAGCTGCCTGCATCTCCAAAACAACAAAAACCGGCTTGTTATGTTAGCAGTATGTCGTCACATGCGAACTTGAGCAAGCTGAGAATGTAAGGAAGAGGAGAAACATAGCAATACATGGTTCTTCTTGAAATCAAGAAACAACATTACATCGTCTACAAAGATTACACCATTACCCTGCTTACAACAGTAAGATCATTACAGTGTTCTCTCTACATTTGGAGGCACGTAATGTAAAAGTTGAACAATTAATTGTCTACCACATTTAAATTCGGAAACATTACAGCATGTTTATCACACTAGTCTACACTACTGTTGCTTTCCACCTCTGTTGTCCAGCAACCACATGCCATGTAGAAACCAAACACCTTAGTTTCCGAGTAAGAAAACACTCTCCAACACCATAGTGAAGGTAAGGCGACTCTCGGTGATGTTTGAATCCAAAGTAAAGTTTACCATGGAGCGAGAACCTCCCGGTTAAACTTGACCTCGTATCTTTCAGCTCTTGTTTTCAGATTCTCAACATCAGATCCATACCTTTCATGGGTTGCTTTCAGTCCTACAAGCTTTGCTTCTAGGTTTCTTATCTCATCTTCAATGTGGAGTCTCCCAGTTCTAGCTTCCACGTACCTTCTTGTTTTTGCAGCATCTTCAGAATCAAAGGCAAGGGTAACAAGGCGTGTTAGCCTAGCACGTAGAAACGCAACATTCATACCGAAAAGCTCAGACGCTTTTAATGTCTTATCCCAGGTAGCAAACTCATCTCGTGAAGTTGAAAGATCGCAACCTCTCATGGCATCAGCAATACTAATGATTTCAGAAATGACCCCAGCAACCAGCTTGAAATTGAGCCCCTTGATGAGATCTTCATGAAGGAAAGCATTTTGACCGCAACAGAGCTTGTAGTACTTTCTCCGTACGTCTTCAGTTAGTTCAGAATCTAAGACTAACCCTTCGATCACAATGCTAAATTCCTCAAAGCTCTGGATGTCTTTAAACTTAAGTCCAGGAAAGGATAATTTGAAACCTTCCAATACTTCAGAACCAACTTCTTCACTGTCGTTTTCAGATTGCTCAGCCGGCGGTTGCCCGGTGGTGTCATGGAATGATGATCTTGGCTTGCTAGTCTTCCTCTTCTTCTTTCGAAGGAAAGATGATTGAGGCGCTTTACACCGTCTTTTCTTGGCAATTTTGCTGGGTACAATGGCCATTACTGTATTTACATGACCTTTTTGTTCCATGAAATCTGCCGTAAAAAAACAATAGCATTAATCAACAGCACAGGAATTTCACTGAGAAATCAGTAACCTTGGCTGTATTATTAACTTGCCTGCGTCATTTTGTTTTGTATGAGCATCCAAATTCAGTAGACCTAATGCCCCATCAACTTCAGCCAAATCATTGGCCCTTATTATGTAAACCTGCAATTGAGTAGAACAATGGTTGTAATCATAAGGCATTTGAACTTCCCCAACAAACCACGGGCGCGTAGACTCTCATCATGCTAACTATACCAATCTTATCGTATTTCTTGGCTTGAAATTGACCAACTTTCACCAGCTCGCCAACCACAAAGCAGTTACCACAGTAAGCTACATCCATAACTTAATTGTAATCACCTACTTCAATCCCCATCTTCCAGTTCACTCAGCATTATAGTACACAGGTCTAGTTCCTAAACATGCAAGACAGCAGGCAACGATATAATGACCAATGATAAAGTGATCTCCTTCACAGTGTGCTTAATACCTTAAGATATATGTTATCATTTGTCCCCTCAAATGTTTCACTATGATCATAAATACAGCCCCATACAGAACTGCTTGCTCAGAGACTAATAAGATATAGTGGATCCAGTTCCGTGACTCTCAATGGTCTCAAACATCTCGGAAGAATTTAAGGATTTAATAGGTCTATGCAACATGCCACTACAATATCAGAACACTCAGAGACAGATATCTACTATGCCAGTTAATAAAGCTATTCTGTTGCTTATATATACAAAATTTACCAGCAATGGCAATCCAAACAAAGAGTGGCCAAGAAAAGAACATAAATTATGGAAAGTGAAAGGCTGCTCAGAACTCACCTTGAATCTGCAGTTTCCAACTAACTGGAACACTAAAGCATCTCCCTCGAGCAAGTTATGGGCAACACAGAACTGTCTCCAACCAGCACTCAATCCTGTCTTGTATCCAATGTACTTGATGTTGAATTCCTTCCCATCCTCATCTTCCAGAGTAACTGTAGTATCCTCACTAGGTAAGTTTGCTCTACAGAAAGGCCCAGGAAGACCCTGTCACAGAAACAATCACTCATGTCACATTGACAGACCACTGATTCTCCGACAAAACTACTAATCCAATAAGAACACCATGCTCACTGAGCATACCATCCAAAAGCAACTTCCAACATGTGATCTGACTAAAGCTTTCAGGAAGCTAGGAAATTCAGGTTCCAGATTTGATTGGATCTCTTCAGCACGAATCATAGCTGGTGACTTGACTTCCTTAGGGGTGCTCAACACATCCGTCCTGGTCCCGTGTTGCTCACAACTTCAAGAAGCATTTTCAACATTCAGTCTGATTCCAACATGTGATCTGACTAAAGCTTTTAGAAAGCATTGTTAACATAGAAAAAAATGAAAAACATACTGTTTTTTCGCTCGCACTGACCTTATGCACTTCCCTGCATGACTGGACATTGCCTGCTCAACAAACAGTTCAAAGTTTCCATCGTTAGAAGAAAAGAAGAAAAAAAAACATAAGTAGATGGGAAGAAGTTCATTGTACACAATAGTAAACGGCTAACTATGTTATCATACGAGCAAGTCAGACAGCAACGAGAGCGGACAGGAGAGATTTAAGCAGGCAACAATTACTTCCACCAAACAATATCTGGAGCCACTCTTAAAATGAGTTTCACTTCAGCACCCAGCTAGCTGAAGAGTTGCAGTCCAGGAGCTTGTTAATACAAACCATTAGATCTACCCTCGAGACTTGGATCAAACTGTTACCATCTCGAGAAACGACCTCTTGGAAAGTGCATTTTCGCCACCAAAAAACTATGAGTCTTCCACCAAACTACAATACGCAAGAAGGTGGAAGTGTAGCTCTCTGAAACCCTTGTCGACATCGACATTCACCAGAGCCGAGAAAGAATACCTAATGTCGTCCCGAAAACCTTACCTGACGAGAAAGAAAGGGAGAAATAATGAACTCTTACATGATCAATTTTGGAATCGGAACAGGAGAGCTTGATCGTCAAGCGCCTCTGTCTCTTCTCAATCGGATTGCCCAGCTGCACCTGGCAAAAGCAAGAAGTCGCAAAATGACGCCCAAGTCAGTTCGCACTCCAGCCGTCAAACCTCGGCAGAAAACGGGATCAAACGCCAGAATCCCGCATTTCGAGGCTCGAACTAAACCGGATAGCAGGAAGTTCACAGTCCGACTGAAATTGGAAAGGAACTAAGAACAACAAGCACTGAGATCTGATTCCATCTGAACTTCCTCCCATTCCCTTCCCCGCCATCGCCCGAGGTTTCCAGAGCTACCGAACTCGACAGGACGACCGGCGAGACGAAGCGAAAAAAGGAAGCAAGCGCGGGGAGTTTACCGAGAGCGGAGCAAGATCGGCGTCGGGGTTAGCGTCAGCAGCAGAATCAGGGGAGAGAGACAGTAGCGTAGCAGCGTCGTCTTCCCCGGCGGATTTCGAGTCGTCATGCGGCATCGGAGACGCTCTGGTGGAATCTCCGTCTTCCACTTCCTTCTTCATGGTTGTTTCTCCCATGGCTTATTCGCTCCGCCGAAGTGTGACTACTTGCTGCTTCCAGGCACGAAACCCTCAGGAAAAATGCGAAACGGAAGAACGGGGGAATGGCCTTGGAGACAAAAAGCAACTCTACGCAAAACAGGAAAGGTAAGACGGGGGAAAGTCGAAAATTAGAAGAGAAAACAAAATCTGTGGTACGATAGGAATTCGGCATGATGTACATGTGGGTCGGTACAATTATTAATCATATTCAATCCGTATTAGAGATAAGTAAGTTACTAACATCATTGATATAAAGTAATAATCAAAATCGATATAAAATTATTAAAGTCGTCAAAATCGAGAAAAAAATACATGATTTGAGTAGAATGATACATGATTTCTGTATGAACAAAGTGACATTGTTTTGGTGTAATTGAAAAACAAATAGAAAGAAATTTGTTGGATTCAAATAAAAACATTCAATGTTGATGTTAGTTGTTGGATTCAAGTATAAATGTTTCGATATTAAGGTTATATGTTGCATTTAAATATGTTTTTTCACTTTGCTTATTATGTGATGTGTTATTTAAATAATGATGTGAATTATAGGGAGATTGTCTCAATATATTTCATATTTTACAATTATACACAATACATTTGATATTAGTGGTTTCGAAATTCTCCCACGTGTTTTGTTAAAACCGGCATGTGAAACAACATAAAAATCAATTGTATTTTCAAAGTATATCACTTGTTAAACCGGCATAAAGGTATGAATCCATTGACCACATTGGAATTGGAGTTCTAAGTGTTTAATACTATAATACAATAATCGAAATTAATCGTTTAACTATTAAAAAAATTGATTTTCTATTTCTTCGCTCTGGCCTCCAGCAAAAAAAAAACTGTTAAACCAAGAAGAATTAAACAAATAAATAACCATAAAAAAAATTAAACAAATAAATATTTTCATGGTTGGTAAATTCGGTTGGGCTATCACGAGCCCGCTATCACTGATTTACTCACTTGGGCTACCGTGGCCATGATTGTGGGCCAGATAGTTTTTCGACCCTTAATCTGTATGGGGCTTTTGCAAACCGGGAGAAAATGGTTTGGTTTAAGACAAATAGACAATCCACATCCATAAAATCTATCATTTCAGAACCAGAACAGATGTTTAACAGATAATTTAAAATTTAAGGTTAAGTATTAACTGTTGTAGAAGCGTTAGTTAATTGTTGATAGAATCGTTCATCCACTATAAAATAGAAGATACTACTCATCAATAAATTCAAGTTGGGAGAAGATCACATCTTTTAGCCTCCTCTCCCACATTTAACAATGTTTTTACAAGGGCCCAATTCTCGAGTGATTATCATACGTGTTCGGATACAATGTTCCACTATCACCGTTGTTATTTGCCCTCTATACATGACGATTCTCGACATTACTTGAGAAGGATTTGGTGTCAGTCGCTTCATGGAATTAAGATTGGACGATATTGCTCGGAGGCCTCACATCTCGTTTTTGGCAGACCATTTTTACGTGCTCCTTAGGGGACCGAAGGAGGAGTTTGAAACATTGTTGGTGATCGTATAAGAGTATGAACAAGTGAGTGAACAGAAGGTAAACTTGGTCGAAATCGACAATTTGTTTCAGCCGAATAATTTATGCGTCGGAAGCTGCTGTTGAAATGGTTGTTATGCAGGGAGTTGGAGCAATAAGTGTTAAAGATAAATATTTTGATCTCCCTTATGTGATTGGGAAGTCGAAGAAGGAGACATTTCAATTCCTTTTGGAGCCATTGTTGAAACGAATGAATGGATGGAAGAGTCGTATATTACAGACTTAACTTGATTATATGATTTATTTTGTGAGACGTAATTGGGGATTAACCCACATGGCCATATAGATATGTACATTTGATTTTTGTAAGGGTCTACATTTTTTGTGAACCTGCTGTAACTATAGCTCAGTTCTGGTTGAATGCAAGTTGCTATTGGCAAAAAGAAGAGGTTACTTGCACCAAAGTCTGCAAGTACAAGAATTACTAGAAACAGATGCTTTACAGATGTATCACAAATGAAAATATTTCTCCCCCCCAGACCGCAAGAAACTCCCAAAACCAAACGCCAATCTGCCTGCAAAAGGTCAAGACTCAAATGAATAAAAGAAAATGTAGGGGGGGGAAACATAAGAAAAGGACAATAGACAGCAATTAGAATAGTCAAACGTTAATATCCGCTTGGTATGTTAATTAAGCCAGACGAAGCAGTTATGTACAGGAAGGAATGAATTTGATTTTGATTTTGACTAAACAAAGAAAGGAGAAAACGATGATAATTTATCACAGTTGGTAGCAATTAGCCACAGAAACACATGGCAATGGCGCCAGCCCTTTTGTCAGCTTCTTTCCCCTCCATTTCAGCAGCTCAATTCCCTCGCCTAAGCAACAAGCAAAGCCTGGCTTGACTTCCACTCTGGCTGACAGGCTATCCCCCCAAAATGATTCTTCCTTCTTTGATATCTTATAGTAATCTCGCCCAAAGATATTTCCCTCTTTCTTCTTTCCTTCTTTCGTCCGGTTCCATCATAGTCTTTAGTGGAATCCTCAACCCACAGCCGTCTGATTCAGCCATCTAGTTGAATTTCTTGCATACTCCCTCCAGCTCTGTCTTTTGAATGTTCTTCCAAAAAGTCGGGCTCAATTTTTATGTAATTAATTGTCGATCTCCTTTTCATTCATCTGGGTTACGTTGTTTCTTTCTTAGGGTTCCCGAAACTTTGCTCTGTTTCGCCCTTTTCGTCTAGTTCGTCAGCAGAACACGCTTCCCATCCCATCACTTTGTTCAGTTTCAGGGGTGGCGTCTTCCCTTGTTCTCTGCCTTTCTGTTGAATCAGTTTTCCCTCGTTACAAAAACCCAGAAACGGATTCGTCTCCCTTTGTCTCTAATCTTCTCGTTGATGGTAGTCGAGAGTTATGGCGGCTGAGTCGAACTTCGCCAGAAACATACTCGAGTGTTGTTTGACCATCCTCTATGTCGTCTTCGCCTTCTGCTCTGCTCTCTTACTCGGCGCTGTCAAAGGTTAGTCAAAAAAGAAACTCCCTTTCCCCTGTATGAAGCTCCGGTAGCCAATTTGACAGTTTGGCAATTTGTTCTGTTTCCTTGCAGCTGTGCTAGTCGGGCCAATTGCAGCTTCGATACTGATATTTGGGAACATCGGGGTCATTCTTGGGACGTTCCCTTTACACGTTTTCTGGACAGTTTACAGCCTTGCCAAGTAAGTTAACTAGCAGTTCTAATGGGATGATCACTTGAATCTACTCATGGGCGTATTGATGGACTGTATGTGTGTGTTGTGTTGACTCAGTTGCAATAGATTGGACGTGCTGCTGAAAGCTGCGCTGTTTCTTGTACTCCCGGCTCTGCTGGCCATATGGTTGGGTCTGAGCATTGCTGGGAGCGTTCTGATTGGGTTGGGATATGGGTTTTTCACCCCATGGATTTCAACCTTCGAGGCCTTCAGGCATGGCGATGGATCCAAGAAACTTCGTCACGTTTTCGAGGTAAAGTTTGATTCTTTTGGTGGAAAAGAACCCAATTTTTGAATGTTTCTGGTAACTCATGGGAATTTCATCATTGTGTGGACATGGAAAACATGTAAACAGGACGGGACATGGGGAACTGTCCTGGGAAGCTGCACGGTGGTCAGGGATTTTGCTGATATGTGTTACCACTCTTACTTGCTCTACATGAAGGAGCTCCGCGATTCTTCCTCCTCCCATGAAGTTCGAACTCTTAGGTACATTAACATACACATTCGTTCGTCGTAATCTCATCTACAAAATACATGAACGTGCGTCAGATACATGTACTCAAGATTAGCCAACACAATCGTTTTAGTTCTGCTGCAGAACTCATTGCTTTTCCTTTGCTGTTCTTTGAAAGAGAGATGCAAAATCATCTTTGTCCATTGATTTGTAGGCTGATTCATCTGCCTGGATTCATCGTAGCCGGATTGCTGGGGCTGCTAGTGGACATCCCACTTTTCACCATGATAGCCATCGTCAAGAGCCCTTACATGCTGTTCAAAGGCTGGTTCAGGCTGATCCATGATCTCGTCAGCAGAGAAGGCCCCTTTCTCGAGACGGCCTGCATCCCAGTTGCTGGCTTGACCATCTTTCTATGGCCTCTTGCCGTTGCAGGCAGCATCTTGATGGCAGTCTTCTCCAGCATCTTCATTGGACTTTATGCCTCCGTCGTGGTTTACCAGGAGAAATCGTTCTTGAAAGGTGTGTCGTATGTGATAGCCATGGTTGCGGAGTTCGATGAGTATACCAATGATTGGCTTTACCTCAGAGAAGGAACCTTCCTCCCCAAGTAATTAACTTAACTAACCTCTTCTAGTTGGTTTCAGTATCTTCTGTTAAGTGTTTGCAAAAAGAATATGTAGCAATGAGGTTATTGACTATTCGAATCCGACAGCCAGGCCCCGATATAGGAAGAAAAAGGCACATTCTTCGTCTGAGCTTTCAGTTGGAGGGAGTACACGCTCCAGATTCGCTTCTTCTGCTTTCACAGAGGCGCCTGCTATGCTTGTTCCTAGCTTGGCTCCTTCCAGATCAGTCAGGGAGACCATTCAAGAGGTCAAGATGATTCAGGTAATTTCAAACTCTGTTCGATTTATTGTGATCAACTGGTTTATGACGACTAAATAAATGAATGTTGGTGCGGTGGTGGCAGGTATGGGAGCACATGATGAAGACATGCGAGACGAGAGGGAAAGAGCTGCTCGACAGCGAAGCCATTAAGCTGTGCGACCTCACAGACTGGCTCAAGGCGAAGAGCACCAGCAGCGGAGCAGTCATCGGAGTCGGGCTGCCCTGCTACTCCATGCTGCTGATGATGATGAATTCCATCCGGGCCGGATCAGATGGATTCATCCTCCACGACGGCGTGGAGATGACCCATCTCAACCGCCCCAACGACGCCCTCCTCGATTGGTTCTTCCACCCTCTTCTTGTCCTGAAAGACCAGATCAAGGCCATCAAGCTCGAAGATGGCGAGGCCAGGTTCTTGCAGAAGCTGGTCCTTTTCGGGGACGACTCCGTGAGGATGGATGGCTGGGAGAATGGGAGCGTGGTCCCCCTTGAAGCCATGCGAGCTGCTCAGATTCAGGGCATCAGCAGAAGGTAAACCCCCTATAACATTCTACGAATTCTCACAATCTGAAGATACCGTGTTTGCCAAGCAACACCCCCTGATTGTTATTCTTCACTGTTTTGCTCAGGATGATGGGAATGGCGAGAACTGTGTCCAAGTATCCAACGTACAGGCGGAGGTATCGGCAAGTGGTGAAGACGTTGATTGCGTATTCGGCTGAGAAAGATGGGGTGAGGTTGGGGGGATCCAGTTCCATGAGGTTGGTTGCATATTCTGCAGAAAGGGAAGAGTTGGGGAAATCCAGTTCTGTGAGGTCGGTTGCTTGCATCGAAGAAGTCTGAAATGCCAAAGTGAAAGGAAAGGGGTGTGGGGGTGATTTTGTTTCCTTCAATTTTCATACATTGTTTGTTGGTAGTGTGAAGGTTAGCAGCATGTGAAATTGTAGCCAACATTTTGTAAATTTAAAGAACGATACATTTGCATAGTGGAAGAGTGGCTGGAAATGAGTTGGTTTGCATTGACTAAGATCCACTTCCAATAGATATCCCTATTTCTTCTCCTTTGGCTACTACTAAGCAAAAATTTAATTATGTTGGGAAATAATTTACGAATTCATCGATGATTATCTTATTTTAAGACTGGATTCATATAGCTCTAAAACTATAGGGTGATTAATAACTCATAAAATCAATTTCAAATTAAGAAGCAAATGAACTAGTGGATACAACTTATTAGATTACTCGCTCATTAAGAACCGAATAGAACATTATAATATAAAATATTAATCAAGCTGTAAAATAATTTAATAGTTAAACATTTAGCTTTCCATCTGGTCACTGTGATGTGACTATTAATGATGACGTGATAAAAGATCAATCGTTTGACTGTGCCTCATAGATATATGATAGACGAGTATAATAGTCAAACTCTCAATTTTAAACAAAACAACATAAAAAAACCTTGAACAGATAATATACAGTCAAATAATAATTTTTTGTCCGCTCAAACGACAATTGACTCTAATGTGGCGACCAATTCTTGTTGGTGTGGCAAAATTAAAAAGTTTGACTCATCACATGGATATATAATTAAAACAATATAATAACCAAACCTATGAAAAATAATACAACAGTTGATCCAGTTGATCCAATTGTAGTACGCAGTCCAAATTTACTTGGCCCAAAGACCATAATCATATTTCCTAGTGTCTCTCACAAGTCACAACCACTACTCAAGTGATGAACAAGTTATATATTTGGAGAGCTTATGTAGGAGGTTGAGATGCGTTCGAATTTGCAAACGGAAAGTAAATGAAGGAAAGGTGTGGGAAAGGAAATATATAGCTAAAGGACGAGAGAAGAAGAAAGTTGCTTCCATTTTTCCCTGACTCTGAATCCCTCTAGACACGCGACGAACCCTAAGAGCGTATTGCTCATCTCTTCCTCCAATCGATCACGCTGGCGTCGCCACTCCCCTCTCTCCATGTTCCCCTAGATTGATCTTCCTCCAATCCTTCGTCGTCGAGGCTCGATTCTCGACCCCGACAGAGAGAATGGTGGATGGAAATCGGAGAGGCCGGATGACGGATGTAATTCACAATTACGAATAATCGATCAACTGATCTGATCTATACTCAGTTTCGATGTCGGCTAGCCGAGGTTTCGTGTCGGTGTCGTTTGTGGTTGGCAGTGATGGCCCCAAACCAGTAACGATTAGCCGATAATGTAGTGCGGTTGAATCGATTAAGCCTAAATTTCAATAACCATGGAATAAATGTCATAACCAAACCGTCCAAATTAACACGAAAACCAAATTACCAAACCAAAGTTTAATTGGTTTGGTTAATTGGATAATCAGATTAACCAAAATAACATTACATGAAAACAATTATCAATGTTAATGAATAAAACATAACCATATATTCTTACTATCATAAACTATCATTATATATAAGCAATAATAATAAGACTAACCATCTATGATTATCATCATCATTCGAGTTAATACATCATTCATCATCTCTACACCTAATATAGTTAGCTTACAACAAACCCTTTAACATAAATATTAAATACATACCAATACCACTCATCAGGAAGTTAAGGCTCTCCTACAAAACACTTAAACTATACATAGTTTAAGGTGACTGTCATGGTATTGTACGTAATCCGAAAGTCTAGTAGCTGTCCAAAATGTTTTGGTTTAGTAAATAGGCAGACCCATTTAATTTTTGACCCATAATGCTTTGGTTTGTTGTGCACCTGGAAATAAAATAGGGAATCACGAAAGTTTGGTTTGGTTGGTTGGATGGAAGTATAAATAATTTTATATATTAGGTGTATCATTAATTGGTTAATTGGTTTCATTGGTTATTAGTATTGAAATCAAACAACCTAAACTAAATAAACTAAATTATTTAACCAAATTAAACCAATTATCTAAATTAACCAAACCAAATTAATCGAATAGTATAGGTTAATATCGTTTGAACACCCCTACCGGCGAATCTAGTTCTAGTGCTGGGGCACCCGGTTTCCTTGGAAAACAAAGGATCAATCTTCAATCTCTTAAACCCTAAATACCAAAACCCCCATATCGAGGAAAGGTGCGAACTTCATCACTCCTTCCCCAAAGAAACTCTCCCCACCGCCGTGTAATGGCGGGTCCTCTGCTTCGCTCCATTTGGTCATCCGCCAGAAGGTCTATCTCTTCTTCTTCTTCTTCCTCCTCCTCCTCCTCTTCTGGCCGGCGACCCTTCTTCAATCCCTACTTTTCCTCCCGAGTTGCTCCTTTGCTTTCTCGCCCTCCCGGTGCCACTCGAGCTTTCGCTGCCGCCCCTGCCTCGGCGGCCTCCGCCACATCATCGTCGCCCAATTCGGCATTGGATCCCAGCAGATTGAGGAACGTGGCAGTGATAGCTCATGTCGACCATGGGAAGACTACCCTTATGGACCGTCTGCTCAGGCAATGCGGCGCCGATATACCCCATGAGCGTGCCATGGATTCCATCAGCCTCGAGCGCGAACGGGGCATCACCATCTCTTCCAAGGTTCGCAGCAATTCCAATCCAACCTGCTTTTCCCTTTTCTCGAAGTGAATAAGGGATGGATCTTTTGCTCTTTAGTATAAGTTGTTGCGAGTGGTTTGCTGGTAATTCAGACAACTGAACTTGCTCATTAGCCTGGAAAGCGTTGCCTAATTAAAGTAATTGAGGTTGGAATTTTAGCTGCGGGCTAATATGTGACAGTAAGTTGAATTGCCCGCACGTTTAGTCTTTGTTACACTAATATACTCTCTTCTTCTTCTGATCAGTCTGCCTTTTTTTACTTATTTAACACAGTTTCTTAAGTAAGTTTTTTTAGATAAGTAGAAAGGAAATGCATCTCAGCAAAAGCCCTTATGAAGCGTGTGTTATTTATTTCATCATTTAGTTGTTGAAAGATCAAGGGGGTGCCATTTGGATAGTAGTGATATCTTTGACCTTGATAACATATACCTTGTCTGCAGTGTTTGCGTTACTCTTATCTTTGTAGTTATTCTGATCAAATTGATGTTACTATTCAGGTTACATCTATTGCATGGAAGGAAAATGAACTAAACATGGTTGATACGCCTGGACATGCAGACTTTGGGGGTGAAGTATGTTTCTTGCATTTATTCGTCTAAGTGTCTGAAGCTTGTTTCTTACTTTCTTCCAGTTCATTTTACTCATAAGGTAGTGGTGATGAACAAAAAATGTGGCAAGTATCCATGCCATACGTTTGGCGGATGATTGGTTCGTTATTATTAGGAAAAATCTTTACTTCTACTGTTAACTAAATCATAATTGTTATGATCCTGTACAAAATATGCTATTGAATGTAGGTCGAACGGGTTGTTGGAATGGTTGAAGGAGCAATTTTAGTAGTAGATGCTGGTGAAGGTCCACTTGCACAAACAAAATTTGTTCTTGCCAAAGCATTGAAGTATGGGATAAGACCTATCTTACTTCTGAATAAGGTAGACAGACCTGCAGGTACGATTAAACTCTTAATACTGCTTGCTTTGTAATAGATCACAGTCATTGCTGTTTTTTGAGATTCAGCATTTTGGTTTTCTGTGATGCTATTAATTATTATGTATGATCACATTATTGGCCACCAAATATGCAGTTTCTGAAGAAAGGTGTAACGAGGTTGAGAGCTTGGTTTTTGATCTTTTTGCAAATCTTGGTGCCACGGGTGAGAAAATTTAAGCACTATGACTCTGGTCTCCGCCCTTTAGTAATAAGTGAAAATAGGTTTTTCCTGCTAAGTGGATATGGCACTGATGTAACTTTATTCAACTGTTTCAGAGGAGCAACTAGATTTTCCTGTGCTCTATGCTTCTGCTAAAGAAGGATGGGCATCCTCCACCTACACAAAGGATCCTCCTACTGAAGCAAAAAATATGTCAGAGCTGCTCGATGCTGTCATTAGGCATGTTCCCCCACCCAATGCAAGCATTGATGCTCCATTCCAGATGCTGGTTAGTAAACAACGTCCATATTCCTTATAGCGAATTTCACTTGCATTCGTTTGTATTCCACGTCTGCTTCTGGATTATTTCTACTCACTGCTCACATGTGTAAGTTGTATCAAGGCAATACAATCATGTTGTTGGTTGGTACAGGTTAACCTTTCTGCAACCTCAAACCCCTCCATTGCATTTTGGTAGATCTATATGAGCAAGGCATGTAGCAAGAAGATAGTAATTATTTAGATTTTAGATGTTGGAAGTTCCACTCTCTGTCATGGTTAATTCCAGGACCATTAAATGACGCAGGAGTTGACTTTCAAGTTCAGCGTGGTTATAGAAACTACCTTTCTCTCTCTCTCTCTCTCTCTCTGGCCTCACTTTTGTATCTAATTTTAGGTTTCCATGATGGAGAAAGACTTCTACCTTGGCCGAATCTTAACTGGACGCGTCTTTTCTGGGGTTGTCCGTGTTGGTGACAGAGTGCATGGACTGCGTTGTACAGATTCAGGGGCAGAGAAGATTGAAGAAGGAAAGGTCAAGTATCTTGTTCTGAATGCATACCTTACTCAATATGAACATAAATCATACACATCTATGGTGATGCTTCGTCCAATTCCCATAATGTCTTGCATTTATTTCTGAAGCAAGGCTTCACTATTAACCATCTTTATATGATAAGAGTTTGAAGAACTGGATTATTTGTAAATGATGTATGTTCTCTGCAAATCCTCAACAATTCCAGCTTTCAACTTTTTTCTGTTAGTTTCTTGGTGGCTCAGAAGATAGACTGTGAATGCAGATTCTATAGGAGGAGCGTTGCATTTCTTTTAGAATTTTGTAATGAGCTATTGTTCTTAGCACTTTGTTCAGAAACTCTGTATCCAACTGTGTGTTTGATGTGCTATGTACTGTTTGTTTAGCTTAGCTTCCATTGTTTACTAAAGGGTCCCTCTATTTTAAGGTGGCAATCTTAACATGCTCTACACTTCTGCATACAGATTGTGCTCGAACTAAATTCCTTGATATTCTCTTCTCTATTTCAGATTATAAAGCTAATGAAGAAGAAAGGTACAAGTATGATTCTCATTGACGCTGCTGGAGCTGGTGATATTATATCAATGGCTGGAATGGCAAGTCCATCAATAGGCCATACAATAGCAAACGTAGAGGTATGAAATAAGTTTTTCATGGATGGTCTTTTTTGGATGGAAAGAACTATAAAATCTGGACTTATTCTTAAACTGTGTGGAAAAAAAAAGGAAAAAAAAAACATACTGTATTATATTACCTAATTTGTCATAGGCCAAGCTCTTAATCTTTTTTCATCCTTTGCTCTTTCAGTTAACCGTAAATTTATAGTGCTCCGTGTGTAAGCTAGATCGCTTAGGTGGCAACACATAAGATATAGCTCTGTTGCCTAGTTTAGAATATTTTCTTTCTTCAATTTAAATGCCTATAATATAAGGATGTCTGATATTTCATACACTCGGGAACTTGCTTGATGTCAAACTTGGTTACATGCTGATTCACAGTTGAAAATTTTCCGGTTGTATTCTAACTTGAAGTTTGACCATCCTGAAGGTGGCAACTGCATTACCCACAGTTGAACTGGATCCTCCTACAATTTCCATGACTTTTGGTGTAAATGACTCTCCGTTGGCCGGTCGAGACGGTACCCACGTGAGTCCAAGACCTTCCTTTTCTTGCATTTAATTGAAAATGACAGTTCTTTTAATGGAAAGGCATCATATTCAAACTACACTTCTATACTCTCGTTACTGGTCATTTTGCATGCCAGTGTCTCCCATCATGTTCATAACAAACTATTATTGTACATGTGTAGTTGACTGGTGGAAAAATTGGTGATCGTTTGATGGCCGAAGCTGAAACAAATCTTGCCATAAATGTGCTTCCTGCAGTAGGGGAGTCATATGAAGTGCAAGGGAGAGGAGAACTTCAACTAGGTAAGTGTGCAGCCGTTTCTTATCCTTTTTACCTGGCCAACTAGACAGCTGAATTGTGCGATTGAGTTCTCTGCAGGTATTTTGATTGAGAATATGAGGCGTGAAGGATTTGAGTTGTCAGTTTCTCCACCAAGAGTCATGTAAGGATTTAGGGATTGACTTCTCATGTCTCCTTTCACATGCAATATGTGTTTCCCTTGACTCATTAAGATTTAATGTGTTCATCGTAGAGATGACATGGTAAATATAAAACCTTGTTGAAAATAGTTGAGTATTAGAGCATTTTATGCTTGAAACCACATTCTCTGCTTTTACAGTCAATTATCAGCTGTATAACACTTCCTTGTGTCTGGGAATCATTTTAACCTCCTGGATAGGTATAAAACTGAAAGTGGCCAGAAGCTTGAGCCCATTGAAGAAGTCACGATTGAGGTAAGAACAGAAAACTTGTATAATAACAGCAATACACTTTCTTGTGTTCATGGGGTCTGTGAAAATAATTGTTGCATTCCATGTTCAAATTTGCTTTTAGGTAAACGATGAACATGTGGGATTGGTCATGGAAGCTCTATCGCATAGGAGAGCTGAGGTTGTTGATATGGGTCCTGTACCTGGAAATTTTGGAAGGACCAGGCTGTCATTAACATGTCCATCTAGGTAGGATATAGTTTCTCAATTCACTGCCATTATTGTTTTCTGTGCTCCCCTCTCTTATTTGTTGTTTAATATATGGAAGCTCTTATTTGTTGTTTAATATATAATCAATCAGGGTTCAACTCTCAATGTAACAATGACTCATGTATCCTATCTTGTTCTGTTGTCAGGGGCCTGGTTGGTTACAGGAGTGTGTTCAGTAGTGACACGCGTGGAACTGGATTCATGCATCGTGCCTTCCTGAGTATGATTCCCTTTTTGAGACGCTTACTCTTTCCCTTGCTCCGTGAATTTACAGACTCTTCACTTGTTAATGCTGTGACTATGGCCATTCATAATTACATGTCAAGTCAAGTCAGCTTTGTGGCCATGACGCCGTGTTTAATAGCTCTGCAGTTTTCCCTGAGTTAGACCTAGGAGCCTCTATATTTTTCCCTGCCATGACAGGATGCAAATGAATATATGCTGGATTCACAGTTGAGTTATTAACCAGACGTTTGGCTGGATGGCTTAGGATATCATATTGAACTGTTCTTTTTTGTGCATCCATGTACAGGAGGTTCAGGTGTTAAATAGGTTGAATTGTTCTCCTCTTGGATACGGGGTGCAGAATGACTTGATTGCTGAGTTATTTTCTTATGTTGCCAATCATTTCTATCCTTCTTTCTATTTCTGTCAGTTACCCAACTGCTAAAATGTTAGATGCCAAGTGTCCTGAATTATTAACTATATGCGGATCCAACTTATCAGTATGTGTACGCTCATATGTTGACCCAGCTTATTTGGTTCTTTGCAGCATATGCAAAATTCCGGGGTCCATTAGGAAATGTCCGGAAGGGTGTTTTGGTAAGTTCCCCTTGCCTCCATATCGAGACACAGAAGCCTGAAGGGATAAAATCTTTAAGCAGAACGATTATAAAAGCTGAATAGAGTGGTTCTATTCTGGGCTCTAGGGTCATATGATGTGAAAACCTTGTATACAACATATTTAGATGTTACATTAGTGTCACATGGTTATTGATGCAATCTCTGACTCATTTTGATTCACTTGGATTTTGTTGAATAGGTATCTATGGGATTTGGTACGATCACAGCTCATGCGTTGGTCGGTTTGGAACCTCGTGGGATACTCTTCATTGGCCCAGGAGTTGACGTATGTGCTCTATTTAATCTGCAAACCTAATAATTTCAACTAAAATGCATTACCGCTTTACTATGACCATTTGGGTCTTCTCCACCCATTCAAAACCAGAGTGAGCTGAAGAAGAACTACAAGTGCTAGCGCTGCTTGATTTACAAGTTCAAATGCTTACCCTCTTTTATTGTTCTTTGTCCTGTCTCTTGGCAGACGTATGATGGCATGATTGTGGGTGAACATACACGGGATACCGATCTAGATGTAAGAATCGCTATTAGTTCTGTTTAATTTTCCTTACACCTTAAGCTAACTTTCATGGAAATCCCTCTCATTTCTAGGTCAACCCGGTAAGGGCCAAGGAACTGAGCAATATGCGATCTGCTAACAAGGATGAAAACGTTAGGTTATCTCCGCCCCGCCTGGTATGTCACTGGTTCAACTGTAAGGCAGAAAATTGTCACAATCTTTGGCACTGAACGGTTTTATGTAGTAGTGGCATATTAGTTTCATTACCTGTGAGCCATCTCTGGCTTGCAGCTGTTACCATCGACGTTTTTGTCCGGAGTTAATATCAAGTTACCATTTCACTAAGATATTATATATGGTTACTGATAACATAACTGGAACCGAACTATATGCAGATGACCCTTGAAGAAGCCATAGGTTACGTTGCTTCTGATGAGCTTATTGAGGTTAGCTTCTTCTTACTCATTTTTGTTGCAGAAACCCGTCGTTATAATGGTACTATTAGCATTTGTTGATGAACAATCTGCCATTTTTTCTCCGCTGCAGGTTACTCCTAAGGCCATTAGGTTGAGGAAAAGATACCTGGATGTTAACAAACGAAAAACCATGAGTAAGAGGCCCAAGGAATGAAAAGAACTGTATTGAATCAAAGGAATTTGTATCTTGATCACACTGTTGCTGAGAGTATACATACGACAGCAGAGCAGGTAGCCAGTAATTCTTTGTACCTCGATAGAATAATCCATCCGACGATAGCAACAGTTTTGATCAGATAAGAAGGTTATTTATATTCACTGAGAAATTGACACAGTTTACGACGACAAGGGCATAGCTAGCTATCGCCATGGACGATTGATTCCATCTCATATAGTGCAATACTTGTTTGTACAAGAAGCATCTTAATTATATTGCAACTCTCTCTTATTGCTTTTAGCTGAAGATGTTATCGTTCATTGTTTATTTACCATTCGAGATATATTAGATTTACAGGAACAAAGAGCTTGCCTCATTTTACAGATATCAAAATGGTGGCGGGTACGTACATGACCACACCGAGCAAGAGCCAGCAGGCTGGCTGGGTTTACTCAAAAGACTAGTTTCCGACTTGAACCATGGCTACTAACTATGTAGTTACATTTTCTTACAGATGCTAACCTTCTGCACGCATATATCGTATATACAGAGTAGCGACCCAGTTCAACATCAGCGAAAGATCTGAACTTTGAGAACCATGATCGAGCTCTCAGGATCAGGGCCGCGTCGCTCGCCGCCGAGATCGAATACACAGACATCATACTGTTGCAAATTGTTGTCTCGAGCGAATTTCTTCCATCCGTTGGTCAGCCCTCCGGCATTCTTGTTCACTCTGAGCTTGAATTTCACCGGCCATTCTTTTTCTCCCAGTGTCAGAATCATATCCTGCCTCTCCCTCTCGTCCATGTGTTTCTTCATCCACGAGTATGGGATTGCCTGCAGAAGTGGTTCCATGAAATGCAGACTCGTAGAGAAAATGACACAGTGAAACAGAGACTAATCTATTTAATACCAGGTAGAAAGTCCGCTCAACGTGGGTGGTTTTCATTACTGTGAGGAACCCATCTTTGCTCACAGCTAGCTTCGCCAATCTGAGAGCCTCTAGTTTCGATTCCGTCGGCGGCGGGGTCGGAGTGGACGCCCCTCTGTAGCTATTGAGACTGACAACCTTCTTTGTTAGTACTTTCTTGGCCTGTTTGTTCGACAACTTGGTAATGAACGGTGGGCAAGAGGGCAGCAGCGGCGGCGGGGGAGGCTGTGGCGGATGTGGAGGCAGAGTATCAACGTCAATCTCAATCGGCGGAAGAGGCCTCCCTGTGCCATCATCAACCCCACCAACGCCACCATCGTGTTGCTCTGGCGACGGGATGAATCCTCCACAGCCGTCGCCGGAAGGCGTCGCCGCAGCTGTACTTCCCCAAGCTTTCTTCACCTCCATCGGAGGCCCCTGTTTCATCGACAGGAAATAGGATCGCGTCTTCTCGCACGAGCTCTCCGATTCCAGCACCAGCACGTCGAACTGAGAGTGTCCATTGAACCTGAAGATCAAGAGATCACCCGCTTGTAAACCATGGTCCTGAGCGAACTCCTTCCACCCCCCACTGAAGAACAGAGTCCCGTCGTCGCTCATCGCCACGCCCACCGCCCAGTCGATTCCGCTCGGTCCCCTGAGCGCCACAGTTCCCGGCAGTCTGGAGCTCATGTGGGTTGAAAATTTCGTGGGGATTGCCTGTCAATTACGTGATATCGAACGATCAATCATTACTCCCTCACACGGCGGGAAAATTAACAGAGGAGAAAAGGTTGAAAGAAGGAATCTTTGAGCTTACGAGGCTGTGGTGGAAGTCGGAATGAAGGAAGCGGCAGAAATGGGTGAACTGGAAATGGGTCCAATACATGTACTCTTCCCAGCTCCTGCCATTGCATGTGCGAGTTCCTTCTTCAGCCTCCATTGCTGAGGAAAGCGTAAGAACAGAGGCCGAGTTGAAGTGAGGCAGAGTGTCTACCCTGTTTTCCGGTGATGTAGAAAAGACCCATTCATCGGACGAAGTGGCACGTGTAGATTGAGCTTTGCCGTTGGATTCCCATGCAACCTAACATCTGTTGAACACCGGATTACATCTGTTGCCATAGGGTACGGATTTCACTGCCACTCATCCTTGTTTGCTAATCCTTGTTAGTGCTTACTAAAGACGGTTGGTTAATGTGGCCATGTGGGAGCTGAGGAACGATGAAGCGTGGCACCTCTCTATTAGTGATTGCAATGGGTGGGTGGGGCGGGTCCTTAAAACTCAGTGTGTGTCAGGTCGTGTAATACTCGCGCTAGTACGAGGTGAAGTAGATCAATCCATTCTTATATGTTATTTAAAAAAAAAAGAATGTTGATATGTAACTCTTTTTCAAGGAGACATAGAGACAACACTTTACAAAGTAACGAGAAATGTAGTACAAGGAATTTTTTTTTTTGTCAAAAGATATCATATATTGATCAAATCAGAAGATAGTTACACCCTGGAAACCAGCCAGGTCTGGAAATCAAAAAAACGACTCATAGTCGGGTACAAAGAGAGAGGGCTTTCCTAGCTACCAAATGAGCTACCCTATTGTTTTCCCGCCCTACAAAACGCACACTAAAGCCCAGCTGAACACTAAAGTAGTGAACAATCTCTTCAAGAACAGCACCCAGCCGGCTATCTCTTGTGTTGGCCTGATTAATTTTGTCGATTATCACCTTCGCATCGCCCTCAAAGCATACCTCCGACAAACCCTTGCTCCATACACCAAATAATAGCTTCCCTAAGCACAAACAATTCTACCACCGCAGGATCATCTATTTGAGCGAACTGGACCCCTCTAGCCAGACAAAGAGTCCGAGCTGGGTCACAAAGAACCATCCCACCAGACGAATGAGACCCACTCTTGGTAGCCCCGTCCCACATGCAAACCCAATGGGCACCCTCCAAATGTGATGCTGAGTGCCTTATGAGGGGCTGAACCCTATGCAACTGATCCGCCGGAAGACCCATCCATTCCTCACACTGCTGGAATAATTGAGTCTTAATAGGAGAAATATAGAGTTTCAAAATTTCTTTGAATAAAAATATGATTTTAGAAAGGTCAAAAGAGGAGACATACGGGTGGATTTTGATGCAAGTCATGTTACATGGGGGAGGTCGAAAGTGATACCCATACCTCGCGCCCACGCTACTGTAGGTCGGGAAATACCCGCCCCAAACAGGTCGGAAATTGCCATCACTAAGTCCTCTATAGATGGCGATTCATCTGTCTCCTCCATGATAACCGGTATTTTATAATTTTGACAACTGACCATCCTATATCGTGGCAATTAAATAGCTTATCACATTGCTCCCAATCTCATCTTTCGCAAACAAATCATACACGTGAAGATAGATTGCTATTTCGTTCGTGAACGTATGACCTCTCACACCATTATTCCTCATAAAATTCTTACAAATAACCAAGTCATCAACATCTTCGCCAAATGCCTTGTTGGTGAGCGATTCAAATACATACTCTTCGAGTCTTGTACCCTCTAGAACTTGTGATCTTCGTGCTCCAACTTGAGGAGGAGTATTAAAAGACCATACTCACCCATCAATCATCCCTCCATCCCTAACTCAATTCTCACCACCCATCCCATCCCACCTTCAGGTCTTCATGGCCTAGCATTCATTTCCTCAACCAACTACATGTAAATGTAATTACTTCCCCTTTACTGTTATGCACGTGTCTACATAGAGAGTTGGCTTACGTGTATCAAACCAAGAGAGGAACATATTTCATTTAATAGAAATCATTCCATATAGATTTCTACAGTAGGGGGGTGACGGGACGGGATACCGTCCCGTTTTAAACGGGTACCCAGTCCCATTTGGAGACCAAAGTCCATCCCATATCCCAAATTCATATGGAAAACGGGTACCCATTACCCGTACGGGCCGGATAACGGGTACCCGTACGGATAACGGGTACCCATACTACCCATAAAATACCCAAAGTTTAAATGACATCACATTACATATCTTAACAATAACATGCTCTTGCGGGGAATAATAAGAACACGATATGATAAAAACATAAATTCAATCTCTGTATGCACAAGCATTCATTTCAAAACATCCCAAAGGCAATTACATCCCAAAGGCAAATCCACTGCCATTTTCCCCACTGTATCGCCAAAACTTAGGGTGCTCCCACACTTTCCTCACTGACTACTTGTCCCCAGCATATGAAGTACCAAGATCCTGGGATACTCACCTGCCAAAAACGAAGCATATATTTCTCATCAGTATGTTTTCCTTAACTCAATCAATGATGCTAACTTGAGCTTCTGTTGTGGACACTTAAGGGCAGATAAGAACAAGGACAACGTATCTAGAAAAGACTAAGCATCCATTCCAACAACCCATTTCTTCAAACAAGCAGCCTAATACTATTCTACTGCGATATCAACAACAACCCATTTCTTCACTTTGAATGATGTTAATTGCAGTCTAAATTTAGAAACTAGGTCCACTTCGACCAACATTTTAATCAAATACTCAGCTTCTCGAAAACGATGGTTATACAAATAAAATTCAACAAGTACGACTATTTCGATCAACTTCTTCGCCACCAACTGATAGGGCACCTTGGAAGTAAGGCTTAATGTCCATCGCGATCAATGTTCTTACAATCAACGAGCTCTAACGCTGATAGGCTCTGTGCCAAATACTGAGAAGGAAGTAAAACCAAGTACATAGCTTACTTACCAGCTTCTTCTCATCAATTGCAGACTGAAGAATGATCAGGCAGAAGGAAGCCTGGCTGCTGCTGCTCGCCGCCGGGTGAGAAGAAGGAAGACTGCTGCTGCTGCTCCGCTGAGTTGAATGGAGGCGGCGGCTGCGCAGAGGAGAGGGACTGAGAGGGAGAGCTCAGAGGCGGCGGCGGCGGTGAATGAAGGAGGCGCCGATAGATTTCGTCTCTTCTCTCTCGTCTCGAAGACGACTCCTCCAGGGACCAGAGAACTGAGAAGCTGCGCATCCAGAGAAGCTGTTACGCGTCCAGAGAAGCTGATAGGGGTGCGTCTCACGGTCTCAGTGGGTAAGGGCCGAAAATGAGTTTTGAATTGGGCTGAATTAAATCTGTCTTTGTACTTTGAATGGGTACAACGGGTACCCATATTACCCAAACGGGTATTCGTGGGTACCCCGCGGGTACCCATATTGGGACTGTACAATCCCAAGTTCTATCCGTTTAAAATATTACGAATAATATGGGTACCGGTAACTCTTAAAAAACGGGACGGGTACGAGTATACCCAAATACCCGTTTTCCGTTGCCCACCCCTATTCTACAGTATGCTAATAAACATTTGGAGACTTACCAAATTTTGGATAGAGAAACAAGTTATAACGTTCAGCCATATATCTCAAAATCCAATTTGTTCCTCTGATACCAAATTACCAGCAATTCACCATACACCAAGTTTTTAATACCAGGTAAGTTGGCACGTGCTTCGCAGCGAATACTAAAAAATATATCGAACAATTAGCATGAAAAGAATCTTGACTAAAATGGAGATGAACACTTTTAGTTCATTAATTGGCTTTCAAAGTTATAGAAAAAAAATTTGGATTGAAGATTTATGCATAAAAATACAGCAAAATAAATGAAATGTTCAATTACATAGAGTAGCTCAACATTAAAATAGCTATTAGACAACAAAGAACACTCTAGAATGATGACATAATTTTATCAAAAGGGTACAAACTGAATACCTAATCTTAAGTATTTGTAATAGTTTCCTATGGAAACACTGCAGATTTTGTTTAATGTAAGCTAACCACCAAAACCCTCCCAAATTAAAAAAAAAATGATGATGCAGATCACACATTAATGGCAAGGAACTAAATAATTCACCAGCCTGGAATTTGAGCACATAATAAAAATTTATTTATAATTTAAAAGAGAAATTATTTTAACGTAAATTGCTCAAATACTAATTATTATGAAATAGCATGAAATGAACAATTTGAAATTATGAACTTAAGCAATGATATTTTAGCTCGACTCAATCTCACAAACTCGTAAAGCTCGTGAGTTTATTAATGAGACGAATTCGAGTAGAAGTCTAATCGAAACACCAAGTCAATGCTTTAATAAACAAACCACACTAGCAGTTTTATTTACAGTCTGAACCATAAGATCAAAATTCAACTGGACCCATTTGCATTACTATATTTCTCCTATTGCATCATATGCAGCAGTAGGATCTTTCGGAAACTGATAAATAAGCAAAATCCGGCCGACTAAAGCCGTACCCGCAACCAACCTTGCCGGCAAAAATGGAGTTCCTCCTCAATTGCTTACTCTGCCTCATCTTCACCGTCACCATCCTCCGACTCCTGCTGTCAAGAAAACACAGCAATCAAACCCCGGCGGCCAAACTCCCTCCCGGTCCGACCCGACTGCCAATCATCGGCAACATCCACAATTTAGACGCCAATCCTCACAAATCACTGGCCGAGCTTGCCAAAGTACACGGGCCCTTGATGAGCATCAAGCTCGGCAAAGTCACAACCATCGTCGCTTCTTCTCCAGCTGCAGCCAGGGAGATTCTCCAAAAGCAAGACAAGCTCCTCTCCGACCGCTACGTCACCCTGGCCATGGAAGTCGTCGACCACCACAACTTCTCCCTGCCGTTGCTCCCCGCGGAAGCCAAGTGGAGGAACCTCAGGAAAGTGTGCAACTCGTGTATCTTCGCGACCCAGAAGCTGGATTCGTACCGGGAGCTCCGGAGGGAGAAGGTTCTGGAGCTCCTGGAAGCTGTTCGACTAAATGCCTCTGAGAGGCCAGGGGAGGCGATCGACGTACGGAGGGAGGTGTTCAGGGCGACGTTGAATTCGCTGTCGTCGACCATCATTTCGCTGGATCTGGGCGATGTGGAGAGGTCGGAGACTGCCAGGGAGTTTAGGGAGCTTGTGAGGAGGATTATAGAACAGACTGGCAAGTTCAATTTGGGAGACTACTTCCCTGTTCTGGCGAGGATGGATTTGCAGGGGATACAGAGGCGGCTGAGGCCTCAATTGGAGAAAGTTTTGAACTTGTTCCAATGGGTCGTCGACGAGCGGCTGGAGAAGATGAAGTCGGAGAGCTATGTCCCGGCAAACGACATGCTTGATAAACTTCTGGCCATTGGAGAGGACGACGAGGACAACCACGAGGGAGCTACCATGGATCCATTTTGCATCAAGCACTTGTTGTGGGTAAGAAAAATCTCCACTCTAGCAATGAATGGTGACGGATAGATCACAGGTTTTTTTCGTTGATTATTATATCGGATGTTGGTTTGACCTATCAGGATCTCTTCGTAGCGGGTACCGATGCAACGGTGAGCACAATAGAATGGGCCATGACAGAGCTCCTCCGCAACCCCGTCACGCTCGCTAAAGTCAAGGAAGAACTGGATCAAATCATCGGGAAAGGCAACCACCTTCACGAATCGGACATCCATCGGTTACCGTATCTGCAAGCGATAGTGAAAGAGACCTTGAGACTGCACCCACCAGGCCCGCTGCTACTTCCACGTAGAGCAAGCGCCGACGTGGAAGTCTGTGGCTTCCTCGTTCCCGAAGGTGCGCAAATTCTCGTCAACGTGTGGGCTATAGGTCGGGACTCTCTGACATGGGACGACCCGAACTCGTTCGTGCCGGAAAGATTCCTGGGCTCCAAGGTTGACGTCAAGGGCAACGATTTTGAGCTGCTTCCATTTGGCGGCGGGAGAAGGATATGTCCCGGGGCTTCGTTGGCACTGAGGATGCTGCATATGATGTTGGGCTCGATGGTTCACTGGTTCGAATGGGAACTTCCGGATGGCGTCCCGCCGGAGAAGGTAGACATGGAGGAAGAGTTCGGGCTGGCTCTGCAAAAGGTCAAACCTTTACTTGCCGTTCCGACTCCGAGAAGTGCCATGTGAACAGGATAAGCACGGTATTCCAAAATTGTTGTTGTTGTTGTTGTTATGATATAGTAACCAATAATATGGATTAGAAGCTAGAGCTGGTCAGCTAGCTAAGCAGAAATAATACCACATCGGCAGCAAGAGGGAGTGAAAGTGGGCGGAGACTGAGTATATAATCGCTTGGCAGGCCGAGGGAAAAATTTATCTTTGCGCTTGGGGCAATGACGCAGCTAGTGAGGTAATAACCGAGGCGCGTCAATTGCTGGTTGAAAACTATTTCCAAACCCCCTCTTGGGCCGCGGCTTGCCTGTGGCCCTCGAGAATTTCTGGAAGGGCTCCCTTCGGGGTAAAGCCCTACAATTCTTAGTCAAATCTTTTTTTTTCTAATGGGCCGGGCCTCCTTATAAACTATGTACAATTGGGCTGTAATAATTAATAGATGTAGCATCTCGTTTTGGTAAGTTACAAGGCTAATCAGGTTTGATGTGCAGTGAGCTATATATAATCATATTTGCGCTGCTACTGCTTGTTGAAACTCGAAAGAAGAATTGCAGAATACCATGTTTGAGCAGAAGAATTCCTTTGCTTATACGAGCAAGAGCGACATTCAAAAATGGATGGCGGGCTTCGATCTTTCGTGCCGGTAGATGTGGGTAAACGAAATGGGAATCCCAGATGTTCTTTTCTGCAGCAGCTTATTGACTGGGAGAGTAAAATTTCTCACATTCCAGCATATCCTAATGCAGCAGCATTGTGTCCAGACTCCAGTGCTTTCCCAGAATTAAACACCACATCGATGATGGACGTAAGACCACCGCTTTCCCTAGCACAGTATGGCTATATAATCCAACTCGAACTGTTCAGATTTCTTCACCCAGCCTTGCAGTGAGTACATAGCGAACTATTCTTTCGCCTTTTACTAAAGAATACCAGTTTAAGGAACAACCCTCCAAAAATAACCTAGTTCAACAAGTTACGAGGTTTCTCTTTAATGAAATCAAATTGATCCAACTTCAGCTGCCATACTGGTAAAGCTTGACAGGAAACTGCATATAAGGAAAGACTTGCTGTCTGTTTCTACATCCATTGTTCTTCGAATCAAACATCAGAAGCATAACTTGTATCCATAGATCGAATCCGATAGTATTCCTTGAAACATGTTATACAAGCCAAGTCGAACTTGTCCCCCTTTTTTTCATGCAGAATTGCTGTGAGTAAATATCGAATTGGCGAGGACGGGACAACTAATCATCGTATCAACATAAAAAGCAATAACGCTTAGTTCATAGTAATGAAATCCCAGGGAACAAAAAGGGCCATATCACACTAATCATAGAGCCAAACTGAGTTCATCCATGTTGAAATACCACATCGGTGGTGGACTGAAGACCACCCAATCCTTGGCACAGCTTGGCTATATAACTGAACTCCAGCATTACTGTTTTCTTCACGCAGCCTTGCAGTGAGCACATAGCGAACTATTCTTTCGCCTTTTACTAAAGAATACCGTGTGCGCGCTGCTTAAAGAGGCATACGTCTATTTTTGGAGGGTTTGTTCCTTAATTGGATCAGGCCCCACAATACCTAGTTTAATTTTTATATCAGTCAGTGGTGCTCTGCTTTTGGTTCTGAAGTTGTGTATTTGGTACCAGGTTACTAAATAACTATACTAAATAATGATAAAAATGTCTGGATTCTGGATCTATTCCTAAACGTGAAGCATTGCAGAACTGCCAACCTGCTTCCAATAGAAATGTCTTTTCTCTAGAATTCCCTGTTGCAGAGCTGTGAAACAGCTTTGTGTTGATACAACAGAACTGACTATCTGCTTGAGCAGAATTCCTTTATTGATATGAGCAAAGACGGGCTTCGATCTTTGGTGCTGTGGCTCTGGGTAAACACAATGAGAATCTCGGATGTAATTTTCTGCAGCTTAATCGACTGGGGAGAGTAAAATCTAACACATTACAGCGTATCCTAATGCCAGCAGCATTTGCATCCGGTACCTCCCGAAAAATTAAACACCACATCGATGCTGAACGTAAGACGCACTGCTTTCACTGGCACAGTGATCTATATAAAGCCTACTCGAACTGTCCAGTTTTCTTCACGCAGCCTTGCAGTGAGTACATAGCGAACTATTCTTTCGCCTTTTACTAAAGAATACCGTGTATGCGTTGCTTATAGAGGCATACGTCTATTTTTGGAGGGTTGTACCTTAATTGGTTCAACCCCATCAATTCTTAGTACAGCAGCTTGATGGTTTCTTGTTTACCAGCTTCTTGAGTAGTAAGTCTGGAAGCAAGTTTCCAGCAAACACCACAAAAGGGCAGTCATTTCTAAAATAAATTGCACAAGGTCCTGAAAAACAAACGATGATTTATCTGCACACCAATCCAAGTTACTATATATCTTGACACTGAAAGGTACAACGCATTTCGGTCTTCCATGGATGGCTTGGTCTCTCTCAACCCTGGTGGGAACATGCTTCAATGGAGAAGCCAGTTTTTTTCCTTTCTCTTTTCTTCTCCACCGTCATTTTGTTCTTCTTCTGCATACGCTTCGCTGCAGAAATTTTGGGAGAAGAATAATTCTGCGTTAGTCTTCTTCTGCATATCCTGAACTAATAATCATGGATTAGAAACAAACCTTGGCAATGAATTGAGCACTTGAACGTTCTGTTCAACACAATTTCCTCCTCAACTTTTGACCTCATTCAACAACAACCTATTGCCAAATCAGTGTGCAGGCCAACAGAAGAAAGCTAGTTCCGAGCTAAGATTCTACACATTTGCTGCCTTCTTTTTTCGAAACTCCAAACAAACATAGACAAAAGTTTTCAGCTTTGGAAGCAGATTTGACAACCAGACTGAACAGCTTCAAAAACCATGTAGCTGAAAGAGAATTCACCACTGGAACTAGAGACTAGAAAGGATCACAGAGGGAAAAGAGTTCTTACAATTTTGGATTCCTTCAGCAAGACCCTAAGAAATGGGGCTTCATCTTCTCCATATATCTGTGTTAAAGATAATAGCTTTGCCCCTGAAGGGCCAGATTTGATACTCCTAAAACCATGGCAGCTTTCTGAGATTTGTAGCCATTTTTGAACTAGTTTGGAATAAGTAGAGGAGGTTCGACAAAGGCCGGTTTCGATCTTTCATGCCGGTAGATAAAACGAAATGGTAATTGCAGATGTTATTTTCTGCAAGCTTATTGACTGGTGAGACTAAAATCTCCATACTACAGCTTATCCTAGTGCAGCAGCGTTGCATTCATGGCCTTCCCACAATTAAATACCACATCGATGATGGACATAATACCACTGCCTTCCCTAACGCAGAATTCTATATAACCCAACTCCAGCGTTACTGTTTTCTTCACGCAGCCTTGCAGTGAGCACATAGCGAACTATTCTTTCGCCTTTTACTAAAGAATACCGTGTGCGCGCTGCTTATAGAGGCATACGTCTATTTTTGGAGGGTTGTTCCTTAATTGGATCAGCCCCACAATTCCTAGTTCAATTCTTCTGAAGAAGATTTCTTTGTTCTGGGTCTGCCTATTTGCTATAACAATACCAAGTAATAATTTTAATAATTGAGCAATCTTAAACCCTGGTCTTTCATAATTAAATCAAGATGTTTACTGTGGTTTACAATAGAATTAAACCCAACTAAACTTGCACCTTCCTGAGTTATAAATTCGCAAGCAAGTCGACGTGAAGTTCTCCTTACTGGAAATCATTCTACAATAAATTGCAGAAGAAAAGTTTCTCCTCACCAATACTAGTTACTCCAGGAAGGAAAGACAGCATAACAGAAGGAAAGACTTTCTGGCTGGCTGCTTGTTTCATCTCCGATACTCGCTGGTGTTTCTTTGTGCAGGCCGTTCGTTCCTCTGTCTGCTTACAGAAAAAAGGATGCATGCTGAGTGTAAAACTTACCCATAAGGCATTCTATTCTGTGAAAGAGTGCTAACTGCTAAGTCGACATGTCTAACTCCTGCTGAAAATCCTGAAGGAAACTATTATTTGCTTCTTTACCGCATATGGTTCGGGTTCTGACTTTTTCGACTCTGAACACCCTCTTTTTCTAGGAAATGAGATAAACTGAAGTCTACCTTGGTGAAAAAATTACAGGCAAAACAGAAAAATAAAGACAGTAACAGCTCCACCAAGCTTGGCAAATGAAAGATTTAAGATTGCAACGAGCACGGTTGACCTAGCAAAGTGTAAAATGGGAAATTTTCGAATCTTCGTCAACCAACAGAAGTACAAAGTTCGAGGGGGAACTATGAGATAGCCACCAGTGTTACATTCGTAGCGAAACTCCAAGCGCTCCCAGCCCATGGCTGAATCCAAATTGGTTGAATAGAGAAGATGCATGCTTCACTTCACGCACAAAAATTAAGCTTCTTCATGACCTTTGCATAAGCTGCTGGCACTATGGCGGGCTTTCTAAGCCTGCGCTTTGCTTTGCTCGACTGCAGCAAGTAACAAAGAATCGTTAACCATTCAATATAAACATAGATGGCATGTGTGTACATCCAAGTTGATATCTTAATAAATGTTATGTGCAGACGAAAAGGATTCAATTAGATTTAAATGCTTGTCTTGTCATTATTCAAACATCTCTACCGAAAATGTGCTTTTCCAAATGAAAGCCTATTTCTTTTAAATCTTTCCATACAAGTAGGTACTATTGCCGATGCAATAGTGGCATGGAAATGGAATCAACTTTGTTCCTAAAGAGTCTAAAAATACTCAGGTGCATCTCGTTTCTACTATATAGCTGATTGTATTACTCTTGCCCAACACAACACACATGTCTATGAACTTCCACATGCAGAAGCTTCATGAACTAACTCTCATAATCCAGTCAATAAATTACCAAACATGTACTTCAAAGCCATCTGTCATTTGAGGTCCTAAGTTTCAGATAACAGCTCTTGAAGTCCCTGTCCTCAATTAGTACAAGTGAATATCCCTTTTGCGCTAGAATGGAACTAGGGTAGATTGGTAAGAAATAATATCCTCCTATGCGTAGTGTAAGACTCTTTAATTGGCTAGTCTTCGTTTTTAATTATAAAAGTTCCTATGAGAATATTTTTCTTTTTAGGTGATGATACCTTCACAGTTGATTGTATCCAGATAGAAACCCGATTCTACAAAATGAAGCATGCCTATACCCAGCTATACATGATGCTAAGGATCCTGTGTAATGTATAGAATCATTCTCACACTATCAGATACACTTGTAAAGCCATGCAAAACCCCTTGTTTTCATCTTAGAAACATGGTCTAATTTCACTTCAAAATCCTAGGAAAACGTAAGATGATCCATAAACCTATCTGGGCCACCAAGCATTTATGTGCTTACAAACACGAACACGTTTCAAGTAACTTCTGGAAAAACAGCAACCCTAGTGGCTTACCAATAACAGCCCCGGAAACGGTTTCAGTATATAAACTAACAGTAGCTAATGCATGTTGAGGGAGCCTGGGGAGTGGGATAACAGAAGAATCATGGAGAAGTTGGCACTACAGCAAAAGAACAGACAAAGTTCTAATGAATCAGCCTCTTAATATGCAATGACAAGAAATGCAACTCTTTAGGATCTATCCCTGACATAACAACGGTGCAAGATAGGATATTGTTGGTGAACTTAATGTGGCACTGATGCATCAAGTTCTATCTTAATGAAACAACTTCATAGCATTGGTCGGTCTCGGGTTATGGGGAAAAGGATAACTAGCCAGTTACTTTATGATAAGGCAGAAGGGAACAAGCTTCTAATGCGAGCACAAAGGGGTGTATGATCTGAATGCTAGGCAGACAAGTGAAAGATAAAAGGGATAGCAAAAATGATCAAAGTCATACCTTCAAGTGTGCATTGTGCCTCTTACCCTCGTGCCATCGCCGGATAGTCCCATCATTCAGGGTACGAAATCTTCCCTTGAAGGAACTGAAATGTCATAGATTGAGAAATGGAAGTCATTAAACATCGCAAACAAACGAGACACTCAAATTTCCAAGTAACTGCTTCATGTCTTACGAGTAACCCTTCATTTTTATCTTCTTAACTTTGGAGGTGACTGGTGTCATGGGCTTCCTCCTCTTCTTCCGCTCCCTCGATGAAACACCTCGGACACCCACCAACTATATTCAAATGAAGAATTCAAACCCTCAATTCGGATACGAGGAACACTCTAATTGAAAATCCAATCCAAATTCTCGCTCAAATGAGGATTCAAGTGCACTTCTTTCCAGCATTTTGTCAGTCACCTTACTTGCAATTCAGAATGACCAATAGGGAGCAAGAACTTCAGAAGCTTACAGAGAAAGGCGATGAGACAGATTGAGACGGCAACACAGGGGACGATTTAGACGCATTGAGGAGCTGCCCACAAAGACTCCAAGCAGTAGAAGCAGCGGCGGAATGGAGTGGTTGGCTTTTACATGAAATCAATGGAGAAGAGTGGAGAATAAGGCGACGGGAAGAAGAGGGTAGGAAGACTGGAGATCGATTAGAGGATTGCGCCGCTAAAGAGCGGAGCTTGGTGCAGATTCTCAGCATCTTCCGGCTTCAGCTTTCACTTCCTTCCCTCGAATCACCACCTCGTTCTCGCGAAAACAGGATTCTTCAATTTTTGCTTCGTCGTCCGGTGAAAATATTTAGGAGCTTCTTTCTTGGTTTGCTTGCGGGCTTATCATTGGGCCTTAACTGAACCCAAAGGGTCAAAGGAGAAAGCCCATTCATTCAGTTGGGCTTGGTGTGCACCTGTCCGTCCGGTTCAGAGAGGATCCATGAGAACCGCGGTCCAATAATCAAAAGAATTCAATTTTAGAAGTAAAAGAAATTGTAGCATGAATGATCGGATCAAATATTGTATGATGTGTGGTGTGATTAATTTTCTCCTTCATCAATCCTGTAGTGGGTGGTTCCAAATCCACATAAAATCACTCACAACTAATGTTATCTTGCACAATCTCCTCAAATGCCGAATCTAGTTGTTTCGTTCGGACCTCAATAATAATATGATTCGTCGACTCTGATACCAAGTTGTTATATGGAATTTTTCGGAGAATAGATTTAGGAAGGGGTTGTTATGGAAGGAAGAAGAATGGAAAAGAAATACATAGAATAGCTTAACTCGAGAAAAACCAACCTCCCAAATTAAAAAAAAACACATACATGTGTAAATCCTCTTTAGTCTTTTTTAATTATACTCAATTCATAATCTGTACACTAATGATTACTCCTAGTCTCCTACATCTTAAGTAAGTAAATTACAACTAATTGCATATAATTTAGGGAACTTGATCTGCAAATCCTAACTAGTGAAATCGGAACCTTCCACTAATTGCACCCACTAATCCACGTGATAATCCCACCCCTAACAACCCATAATTAACTAATAATAATAATAATAAATAAATAAATGCACATGAGTCATGACACTTAAAAGTTAAAAGACTCCTGCTTTCACTTGCCAGGTATACTAAAGACTCCACCTTTCCTTTCCCTCTCATTCACCTGAGATTCGCATGAGTTTCATTGATAACGCAATCAATAGTAAAATTCTTCCAGGCACGGAAAATCCCCATTGGCAAGCCGAAAGGTTTCAGACAGAAGTTGAAGTGCAGAGCATCAATGGCGGAGGAGCTTATCATCACCATGCCGGATGACTGGCATCTCCACCTTCGCGACGGGGACCTTCTTCAAGCTGTTGCGCCCCACAGGTGAGAATCTTAATGCTGCTGCTGATATTGTTGTAGCAATTAACTGAATAGCTTGATCAATAGAAGAACAAGAGTTTCTGATGGTTAGGGGGAACTGATTAGGTTCATGAGTCTGCACTTTGCAGCTCAAGTCAATTTGGAAGGGCGATTGTGATGCCAAATCTGAAGCCTCCCATTACCACCACTGCTGCAGCCGTTGCTTACAGAGATTCTATTATGAAAGCTCTGCCTGCTGGTAGTACATTTACTCCTCTTATGACGCTTTATTTGACGGATAAGACGAGCCCTGAGGAGATCAAGCTTGCAAGTAAGCCCAAGTTCTTGACTATCCCATTTGAAATGTCTATTTGTTTGATCCACTTTTGGGGTTTTAGTTTAATGTCATTGCAATTTGCTGTCTTGTCCAAATGCCATACATTTGAATGATCTTTGCATTTCCTGCTTATCAGTAAGCACAGATTTTGATTCCACTTGAAATGGAAGACTTGTGGATAGTCTTGTAATGATTGTTCTGATTCTGTTGATAGGAAGAAGTGGGATTGTTTATGGTGTGAAGTTGTATCCTGCTGGTGCTACCACAAATTCCCAAGATGGGGTTACTGATCTTTTTGGGAAATGTCTTGCTGTGCTGGAAGAGATGGTTGAGCAGAACATGCCTTTACTGGTATTCTCACACTTCCACCATGTTTGACTAGCTGATTATGCTTTGGGGTTTCTTTTTCTTTTCTTGTGGAAAGTGCTTTGGTGTTTCTAGTAGGGTTACTGCTTCATTCTGTTTCTTCTTGAATGTGCGTCATTATTAACCCAATGGTGGGTTCTTCAGTAAGTTGTAATGGTGTATTTTGTTGATGAAGAGAGAGCCATTTTTTGGATGATCAAGCCAGTCTCGTTTCGTCTTTGCCTAGAAATGATATATTAAATCGTCAGGTACAGACAGAGTGTACTGTATAGAACACCTTTCTTCGAACCATAAGCGACCTTCAGAGCTCCAATTGATATAAGATATAGCTCATATAGCTGTAGAATATTTTCACTTGCATAAACCTGTGCTGGTTGGATTATTAAATCATTCTCAAGACTCAGAAGCTGGATTTTAACAGCAGCTTGGACTAAGCTCAACTTTCTATTTTCTTTTCTTGTTGTTTCTTCAGGTCCACGGGGAGGTCACAGATCCAAAAATCGATATTTTCGATCGTGAAAAGGTCTTTATCGAAACTATATTACAGCCTCTAATCAAGAGGCTTCCCAAATTAAAGGTTGTCATGGAGCATATCACAACAAAGGATGCTGCTGATTTCGTTGCATCCTGTAGTGAAGGTATGCTAACTATTCATAGAAGACTTTTTCGATTTGCTGTTGAGTGCTCGTGCTTTCAGTTGCTTGGTCATAGAAAATTTTGATGCATGTGCTCCCTTGTACTTCTACCTTGTAGGATTTGTTGCAGCAACTGTCACTCCTCAGCATCTTCTTCTAAATAGAAATGCTATCTTCCAAGGAGGATTGCGGCCGCATAACTACTGCCTTCCAGTACTCAAACGAGAAACCCATCGTATGTTACGAAGCTAAATTTATTATGGTTGTGTTTGCTAAGCTTTTGCTGAAAATGAACTTGTTATTTGCTGTTAAGTTTCTTGTCGGTTGGTCTTTTCATAGTAAGCCACAGTTGGGGGTTAACATAGAGCTTCAGTATATATGTTATATGTATAAGAACTCTCCCAAGATGATGAGTAATGTCTGTTTATTTGTGTTGATCCTTTCCAGGACAGGCAATCGTTTCTGCTGTGACTAGTGGAAGTAAAAGATTCTTCCTTGGAACCGATAGTGCACCTCATGAGAAGCAATGCAAAGAGTCTCCTTGTGGATGCGCTGGCATTTACAATGCCCCTGTTGCCCTGTCAGCATACACCAAGGTTTTCGAAGAGGTGATTTCTTTTCCTGTGTCTGTAACTTAGGGCTACTAAATGGATTTCGGTTTTCCTGGTTAACCGCTTTAAACACCATAACGGTCATTCTTGTCGGTTATAAGCCAGTTAGCAAATGATTTTGGTTAACCATTAACAGTGAAGGTTTGGTTTCTGTTACATGTAATATGGACATAACGATTAACTGTTTATTGGTTAACTGAACCGGTTTACGAGTCCTCTGTATTAAGCTTTACAAGTTATGCCCAAAAGAAATACTGTCACTGTCACTTTACATGGTTTCTTTTTGAGCTTGTTATAGGCTGGAGCACTTGACAAGCTAGAAGCATTCACCAGCTCCAATGGGCCGGACTTCTACGGCCTCCCCAGAAATACATCAAGAGTCAAACTCACCAAGACTCCATGGAAGGTACCGGAGTCGTTCTCATTCTCATTTGGAGAGATTGTGCCCATGTTTGCTGGTGAAACGCTGGATTGGCAACCTTCCCTCGTCTGATTGATCGAATGTACCCCCATATGCTCATCGCTCTGGTCATGTCTACGCGGTACAAGTTCGACGAATGTCGATTGTTAGCTTGAAATAAAATGTTTGTAGACAACAGCAAATGGTGGGATGAAGTTTTATATGCACCTGAAGTCCTGAATGAACATTCAGGGTAGGACAGAGGTTGTAAGCATATACTACAATACCCATGATGATTCCTCTACCATAATTTCTCCTTCATAGGCTTGGGCCTTGGCCCACGAGATCCAAGTAGTGGCAGGTGGGCCGCACATGGGCTTGTAACCTTCAGGTCCAGCCTCTGCTTTGTTTGTTGTTCAAAGTTTTTTTTTTCAATTATCATTTCCTCTAATTTTGAGTGACTAATGCTAATGTATACTCTACACCTATCAAAGGGATTACACATTGGTAGTCGTAGAGTTATGCCTTTACATTATGACCTATTTCTAAGTTTGTACCCTCCATGTATATTATGTGCTTTCATGTATCATCATCTTATTATGCTTCATTTTCAATGTTCGCCTTTCGTCTAATTTTCTATCAATTTTTCGTCAAATGATTTGATTCTACGAAAGATGATAACTCATTGTATATATGAAACGTCAGAAATGCCCTACCTTTAGACCCCAATTTCTTCTCCCTTGGGCTAAAAATCTTTGTTTGTTGCCACAAATCTTTCGCCGTCCTTCTTGAGAGCCTCGTACCTAGAATCTTAGTTCCCATAAATTTCGTGAGAGAATTAGGGAACAAATTAGGGTTGGTTCTTCCATCCTTAATTAACCTCCTCTCTGTCTGTTTCAAATTTCACAATTCTCGACTCAAATTTTTTTATAAAAAAAATCATACACAGTTTTGTTTTAATTTTGTCTTAAATCCTCTAAGGTATCAACCGACTCTCTTTAATTAATCGTTCTCTAAATATCAATCCTTCATTGCACATGTTCAAGCGAGTGATTCCAGTAGCGGAAATAGTGGGGTCTCTTTCCACATTGGTGATGTTCAGAGGGTAAATATAAAAGCAAGGATGGTAGTCCTCACGAGTCATGAGGAGGCTAACCAAGGGAGACGATGTCAAATGACAACTCAAGAATTTCAGATCGAAAATGGGCACGACTTGGGTTTCAAATAAGGATTGTTGGAAGGATATTAAATCGTTGAATCGTCATCTCGTATTGAAATCCTAGTAGATTTCGCAAACCTACCTTACCATCCACCCTAAATTAAAGGAATTATCGAGATTTAGATACTCAAGGGGGGTGGTAAATTTTGGTGGAACCCAACATCAAATATCAAACGTGGAGATGAGTGAGTGAGTGAGGCAAAGTTTTTGTTGTTTTGTACATTAGTTGAATCAAAACGGGGAGGCTTGGGGAGTGGCCCGTGGGATTGGAATATGGGCGTGGCACCAGATCCAAGAAAGCTTCTCCTCTTAAACAGCAATGGCGTGTGACACTCTGTTTTAGGCATCTCTCTGTTTCTTTCTTTCTTTCACCTTCTAGCCCTCTGTTTCCTTTTGGTTCCATCTGATAACATAACAATAACACCAAACAGGCAAACCCTCTCCTTCTTTGCGAAACCTTGCTCACGGTATAGAGTAATGACAAAGATCGGTGTTTTCTTGGAACCCAACAATGAATGACCAAACCCCATAACAATACCGTCGTTTTGCTCTGTCACAGACAAAGCAAGAGAATGAAAGAAGAAAAACCCAGAAACAGAGAGAGAGAGAGAGATGATTTTTGGCGGATGGGTCCAAATTTCTTCCCGTGGGGCAATGGGGGCAGGAAAGCCATACGTTCATAGAAACCTGATCTCCAAAACGGGGCCCGTTTCATATTTCCCCTCCGTTATTTTTGAGTTGCCCGTCGAACAAGGTAAAGAAGACTTATTACCAGAGATTCCTTTGAGAGGGGCATGGCGATTGAATGCGGATCCGTTGTCATATGGCTCACTAGAGGTTAGAGAAAGAGATGGATTTGTCGCTTTTTCAATGGGTTGTTGTTTAGGAGTTCTATCACTGTCATCAATATAGCAACACAAAGTACCGTTTTTTTTTACTTAACCTGGCTTTGTTAATTATTTACATTCGACACTTATTTTATGCGGTTATCACTTCTGAGAGAATGGTTGTTAATTCTTGAAGCACGAGTATCAGAAGAACCTGCACAATATACACACTGAAACAGCTCTTGGAATCGAAAGTCTTCCTTTCCTACCTCATATCAATATCAAGCTGATTTCGAATCCGATTACACTCAACATTCACTTTTGAATCAAACACAAGGTTGTCTAGGCTAATTAGTACAAGATTCACGCCACGCCCTACTGAACAAGTTTTCAAAAGGGTAAGTGACGACTTTCCACCATTTTAAAATCTCTGATTCCTCGTTCATTTTATCTAGAATTACAATGGTAGTTGACGGACATGCAAAAATTTGTCTTTTGTTTAAACTTTTTTTTTATACTATTTGCATCATAGGATAGGAGAGGAGAGTATATGTGTATGCTTTTAGGGTACAAAATGGGATAGTTTCCTTTAAACGATTATTATCCCATGCTTTAAACCTATAAGGTGAAGCTTATCCCCTCACATTACATAAACGTACCAAACCCCTTGAAGTTAAAGTGAGATAGTTGTTGGTAACGTATAATTAAGCAGTATTATGAAATTTGTTATATGATCATGTGTTTCATAAAGGTACGCGAGCTCGGTATGAACAGTGAAACCTGATCGAAGAAAGAATGCTACGAACTATATGTTACCTACAGATACTAACAAGCCCTCGCTGCATTGCATGACCCAAGACCTAACCGTTTCCCTAGCTTTCGTTAGCTTACGCGTACTCGGTTGAAGGCTCGGTGAGACCTTTGTCTTCTTTTCGAGAGAGATAGATGAAGGCTTCCTTATTGTAATGGTAGGGTAGTTATTGTAACAGTAAATGAATTGTACTTCATATAACAAAGAGCAGATTCAGTAATAACATAGTTGCACCAATTGTAGAATTCCATTTTTTTTTTTTTACATGACACAGTCAGAATAGTGGGAAGCAGAATGTTTTTCAGAACATAGATACAGCCAAGCTATATCCCATTTTTATGCAGGCAGATTGGCCATCCTCCACATTGCCACCACCACAAGACTGCCACCCTGAACTCAAAGAAGATAAAAAAGAGAGAAGGGCCGGGTAAAAAGTAAAAACTGAAAAGCAAAAGAAAAGAACACCACCACTGTCCCAATCTCTCTTCCAATAAGGAAGGGATCGTAAAGTTACAACACTGGAAAACACACAGTAAAAAGTGTTACCCTTTACACCATTTAAAGCCATGGAAGAAAGAAAAATGTTTGGAAAAGAGTAGGAACGAAGAAGGGGATGTTTGGGTAAGAATCCCTTTTCAAAGGTCTATTTAATATTTTATCGTTTGCTGATTTCAAATCTTAAAATTTAAGACTAATTCGTATGTGTGATCTAGATCTATCGATGATTAAACGTAATGTCTCAGTGTTATTTTCTTTGCGTTATTCGGGAAACACAAATCACAATCACCTTAGATAAGACTAGAGAGACAAGCTATGAGTTAAGGCATGAGTTTAACCCTTCCTTTTTCTGTCTATGGTGAAACATGAAACATGGTGTTTGGTACTATCCCAAACATTGATAGTTACATCCACATTAATGCTGATCTACCAAGTACCAACCTAATGCAATAAATAACAACCCTCCTGAAAGTTGTAGGTGATGTTTTTTCCATGGATCGATTGTGGTAAATAACGGAGTTCTAACATTGATTAACTTTACTTTCTGGAATCCAATGTTCGGAGAATTTGAACTGTGATCATATCCTTCATTAACTCTAGAAACTTTGATGATTCTACAAAATTGGAAGGTTTCAAGAATGCTAAGTCCGTTGGGTCATGACTCGTTTTTCATCGCGCAAGGTCTCCACTCCAGTGAGGAGTTTATTGTACGGAGGATGTGTTGTATTGTATGAGATTATCTCAAGTGTTGTGAGGTATGAATAGTCTACTAATGTAGAATTTGTTCTTGCTTTCACAGTTATACGATCCTACACTTATTAGGATATGACACTACAGAATCAAATTTAAATCTGAAGAGGAGCAAAAACTATTGACGGTAGTCATTTGCCGATTTCCAAGCATAAGTTTTAAGATTAATTCGCATATGCAGTAGTACAGGTTTATCATTTTACAGACGACATAATTTAGGAAATTATAAGTGAACTATTAAATGTAATGAGGAAACACATACAAGTCACAATCTCTAGACTAGAAACAAGCTAGGAGATAATGCATGAGTTTAACCCTTCTTTTTTTTTTTTGTCTATGGTGAAACATGAGATTTTGGTACTCTCTAACATTGATGGTTACATCCATATTAATGTTGATCTACCAACCTAATGCAATAATAAATAACTGTCCTCCTGAAAGTTGTAAGGACTAAGGAAATGTTTTTTCATCGCTTGGTGGTAGAAGCTCGGAGTCCTAAACCCAGATTAACTTTACTTCATGGCATTCAATGATTGGGATTTTGAGCTCCGATCTTATCTTTCAGTAACTTTTGAACTTTGATGATCCTCTTTCTTTTTTTTTTTGTGTGTCAAAAACTTTGATGATTCTCCAATCTTAGAAGGTTGAGCTTCACAATGCTAAGTCCGCGTGACATGAAACTCGTTGCTCATCGCAAAGTCTCCCGTGACTAGTTTATTGCATGGTTGTGTTTGTATTGTATGAAATCATTGCAAAGTGACGACATTGGTTGTGAGGTATGAATTAATAGTCTATTAATGTGAAGTGAGCTCTTGCTTTCGCATTTATATGATCATACACTTAGGGTATGAAACTAGAATCATTCGATGTAAAGATTAACGACACCCGGAGTAGACAACGTGATGAAGAATACAAGGTCATAAACCATCGATGTTGGATTAACATGCCTTGTAAATCAAACTTCATGATAAATATGTTTTCCACTTTCACAAGTCTCGATTGTAAACCTAGCTAGATCAAAGGTTTCAAAAAGTTTTCTCCCTGTGTTTTTACGGGTCCTTTTTCCTCAAATACATGCATTTCAAATAATGTACACGTTCGCTCCCCTTTCATTTTGAAATTAAAGCACAAGCATTGGTTTTCTGCTCTCTCACTTTCTGCCCTTTCTTTTAGTTAGCGGAACGGAATATCCAATCAGAAGAAAAGAAAAGACGAGTAGGGTGCGAAAAAGGAAGGACGATTAAAAGTAAAACGACAAAGTCAGCAATTCATTCTTCCTTCACCTCTATATTGAAACAGAAGCAGCGGTAATTTTTTTTACGGAACGGTAAAAAACAGCAATTCTGCTTCTGGAATTAAGAACACCTAGTAATTCTGCTGCCTGACAAAAGATACGTATAAATAATAGTACTACTCTACTCTACTCTGTACAAGTTATCCAGAGCGGTAAATTAAATTTGACAGAAGGATAAAAATCTTTATGGCCATTTGGGGAGATTAAAAAAAAAGAAAAAGGAAAATCCCTAATATAATAATAATATTAAATTGAGTTAACCAAAGAAGGCGGCAGCTACAAAGAGATCGGCGATCCAGAGAGAAAGAGATACCTAATTTGGGAACAATGGTGAATGAATCGTTAACAATTACGAGGCTGCTGCTGCTGAGTAAGGATGAGATCAGCAACCACCTTCTTCTTCTTCTTCTTCTTCTTCTTCTTCTTCTTCTTCTCTCTCATGGCTTTAATGGAATCCACTCGTAACGTCCTTCCAACGGCTTCTCGTTGGCAAAGTCGAAGTTGTACCTGACCACAGCAGCAGAAGCAAGCATCAGAAACCACAGCGACAATAAAAGTAAAAAAAAAAAAAAAGGAAATTACAGGCAATTCAAAAATTTCTCGCCCTTTTCTCAGGAAACAAACAGTCGTGGAGGGAGAATTCAGAGAAAAAATTATGATGCATGCATGACTTACTTCTCATTCAATCGATTCAGTTCCTGCTTCCCGCCGTTCATACTGCTGAAGAACAGCTCCAGCTCCGCTTCCGTCACCACTATCCTCTGCTGGTTCGCCGTCGAAGAATTCCGCACAGCCGCAGAGGATTCCTCCTCTCCCATCTCCACCGCCGTGGAATTCCGCAGCTCATCAGGTCTCTCCATTGACTTGAGCTCGTCGGCAACCTCTTCTCCTGTCGCCGTCTTGATTATCACCGTCGACCGACTACTCGTCGTCTCTCTCCTGCGAGCAACCGAAACGGACGGAAAGAAAGAATTGAGAGAAACGGACTTTTATGTAAAAAAACCGGAGAAGAGGGGAATAAATACGCCAACCGCGGAGGTTTTTGAATTCGAAATTAATACGGAGAGAATTCGAAATCAACTCAAAAGGAAACGGAAACTATTATAAGAAAGTCCGACTTGGATAATAAAACGACTACAAACCTTTCTCTCTCGCCGCCGCAATTCGTCGGCGATTCGATTTCAACTTCAGCCTGCTCATCCTCCTGCTGGAAAAAAAAAAAATTAATATAAGCAAAAGTAAATCAAAATTCTGACCGAATTCTCCAAAATTTCGCCGGCCTTTTCTTTCTCACCTGCAGATCTGAGAATTTAGAAGCTCCCTCGCTCGATCCATTACTGGAGCAGCAGGAATCGTCGGAGCAAAGCCGATCAACTCCCTCCTCCTCCCCCTCCTCCGCATCCGCCGCCGCCGCGCTAGGGCTTGTAAAACACCTCTCGATCTCTCCGCTCCGGCGACCGGAACTCGAATCGCCTGCTGCAGCGCTAGTCGCCGAGTCGCCTCCTCCACTCGTTAATTCGTGTTCTCTGCCTCCGGCGGCGCCGCGGTGGTTGAATTTCCGTCGCTTGGTGGAAGAGGAGGAAGGGGGAGGGGAATTAGGCGTGGAAGAGGAAGAAGCCAAAGGGAAAGGGCGAGGCCTTGTCGTGACGCCGACGCGAGCCATTTGCGCGAGAAGACTGACTGACTGACAGACAGACAGTGTGGGAATGGCGTTTTGCTGCTTCTTCTTCTGCGGAGAAGATATGATATGAAGAGCTCTGAGAAGGAAGGAAGGAAGGAGGGAGGGGAAGAATTTGGTTGGGCGTTATAAGTGTGGGAGAGAGAGAGTGTGTGGGTGGGGGGTCCGTTAACAGTGACGGGGAATCTGTAACGGTGAATTTGACGGCGCCGTTATGCAGATCGGGAATGCGCCGATTTCGAAGCAAATGAGTGGAGGACACGTGGGGTACGCGCACGTTAGGAATGTCAATTAATATATTTTTTATTTTAACAGTGGGGGAAGGATGAGAGAGTGAGGGAGTAATGATTTGATGCAGTGGGAGATGGTACAGAGGATGTTAAATTGCAGAGAGAGTTTTTTTTTTTTACAAAAGATAATCTAGCATTAGATTAAAAATGATAGATAGTTACACTCTGGAGATCAGCCAGGTCTGAAAATCAAAATAACGATTCATAGTCGGGTACAAAGAAATGGTCTTTCTAGCCACCAAGTGGGTTACCCTATTGCTACGCCGACCTATAAATCTAACACTAAACCCCGAATTGCAGGTAAAATAATGAGTCACTTCGTCTAATACAGCACCAAGCCTGCTATCCCTTGTATCCGCCCGCTTGATTTCATTATTATAATGCGGGTCTTCTTTGATAAAATCGAGAGAGAGAGAGAGTATTAATGCGGGTCTTCTTTGATTTCATTATAATTCGGAGTTATTATATTTTAGGTCAAGTCTGATTATCAGATTATGTGTAGTGGATAGGCATAATTATAATTCTGTAAAATAATTAGTATCTCAATAACCACGAAGCACATAACAATATTGTCCATTGAGTAATGGCTGGCTTAATAATATGAAATTCAGTTGTTTTTTGTACAGATTTTAGGTGTTCCGTCTTCTAATCTCACTCATTTTGTACAATGAGAGCTTTATCCGCTATACGGATTGATGATAATCTAGTGATGTATTAGCGAACAAAACATATCAAATTTGACTGTAATCTTTCTTTGATTAGAGAACTGGATGTGTCTTTCTCTAACCAACACCCATCCGCTCTGTCGAAACGTAAACACCAAGCATTAAAATTTTGTTAACAAGAGTTGTCATTAATTAATATTTTAACTACGGCTGTTAGGGCTGATGGCAAGTGGCAACCCAAGGCAAAAGCAACGAAATGCGGGAAAACAAAAGGAAAACCCCCGTTTTGGAGTTTGACTAAGTAACTTTGGGGATGTTTAATTGGAACGGAACCGATAGTTTAATGGGCAAAATTGTAAAACAAGACGGTTCAATGAAGTATTGTTGCTTCAAAATATAAAATAATTTGGTACCATAACGTTCTAACATAAAAGTTCAGTTCAATTTGTATTATAAATGAATTTATACTCTTATGTTATAGTATAAATTCAATTTGTATCATAATATAATGATATATATTCAATTTATACTATAAAATATTGAATTTGTACCATTATGTAAAAGTGACAAATTCAATGTGTATCATAATTTTTAAAAACTAAAACACCAATATTATCAAGGCATTTTAAAATTACTCAAAACAAAATGGGAGGTATTATTATGAAATGGGTGTAGGTAGGGGTGTGCAACCGTTCGGTCCGGTTCTGACCGGACCAAACTCACGAGAACTGCGGTCCATTAGTGAAAGACATCTTAGGACTGGACCATCATTGCGTTCGGTCCATTTGATCTGGTTTGGTCGGTCCAAAAATAAGCTCGGTTCATCTTTTTCCGTAATTATAAACTTCATGTGCACCAAGGACCAGACCGCATTATACTCGGTCCGGTGCGGTCCGGACTGGACCATTGCACACCTATGTGCAGGGGACATGACACATGATTGTTTTAATTTGGGCCATATCGGCTGGACGATTAGGTGAGGGGAAGGAATTAATTTGAGGCCATAACGACTTCAACCATTATTCTAGCAACATTTTTATCTCACATCCCTCATTGCAAATGGTTTTGAAGAATTTTGAGGGAAATTATATGAGAACTAAGACACCAAATCACCTTTGTAAGTAAATAAAATTTAATTTTTACGAGATGATTAATCAGACGTGTTATTTAACCAAATGAAACAAACTAACCACGCAATCATGAGTTTTCATCTAGGTATGGCATTGAACCGTGTTAAGTTGGATTGGATTTAGGGTGCATAGATAAAAAATGAATGACAAAATACCTACAGGGTTTTTGAAGAGAAAATCCAACTCAGTCCAATCCAACAAGTATATGAGGGTGCATGGGTATCCATAGATTCACGAATATAACCGCGAATAATTCTTTTCAACACGTGCATCCTTATATTATTAAAACTTTTTCTATAACTATATTGCTATGAAGGCTAAAAACATCAATAATTATCCATATCATTAGAATTATATTTTCACAAATACTAATATTCATAAATTATTCATATTATAAGGATTGTATACAAAACGATGCCATTTTTCTTTCCAAGGACGGGTCATGTGGATAACGGGTTGATCGAGTTTTGGCTAAACCCGCATCCTACCCAATCCACCATTTCCAAAAGCGAGTTTTACCCACATCCAACCCAAACCCACCAACTTGAATATTACTCATTTTATCAGATTGAATTGGGTTGGGTAATCGTAGATACAGTTCAATTGTCATCCCTACTTAGCATCATTCTGTCACCTTGGATAATTGGATCATACGTACCATCTCACACCATGGGTACTTCACTCCACCACACTACCAAACATAAATTGCACTATGGTTCTGCCTTCTTCCTCCAATAATAATAATCTAAGAAGATGATGCCTTGGGTTCAAAACTAAAAGGGCACCCAACACTATGATCATTTCCACCCACAGTTTCCTCAATGAAGGGGGGGGGGGTAAATAATGATATTGGATAAGGATATAAAGTAAGATTCCTTTGGAATTAGATAAATTATAGTAGTAGACAAAGGCACATGGATCTGTATATTTGTAATGCCCCTTATATGTACCTGAGATTAGAGACAAATTAAGGACATGTCAAAGTACAAATGACTTAATTGGTAATTAAGGTATGGAGTTGACATGTCGTATTTTCGAATATAATTTCATGTGCATGTTAATTCGAAGGAAATCTTTTGAAGATACTCGTAGAATTACAAATCTAAATTGATAGTAGGGGGAGTCCGAAGATGGGATGATGTGCATGGTTTGCAGGTTGCGTGAAGACATGGGGCATCAACAACAGGTAGTCCTCCAAATGAACTCACAAATGGCGATACAACGGTTACAATATTCGGAGATTCGTCACGTCCTCATTTTGTCACGACGATTGCTAATTATAGGGATTGCGACGTGGTTGCGAATTATCTAGCATCAGCAGGGCCTATGTATACCATTGGAGAGCACATTCTAGCAACCCCAAATCCCTAGTACTCCAAATTATTGGTTGTGATATGCTTTAATTTACACCATGCACTATGCCTATCTAATGTATGTTTACCATTCGTTGATCCTTTAATAAAATAAACCTCTATAGGACGGCAGTCAGTGACCACAAAGAAGGGGAAAAACAATGAACTTTAATCTCTCATCAAAATGCACCCTTTTTCTTTTTGTTAAGTAACTTTAAGTTGAATCTGTGCAACATAAATTATTGGGAAAAGCCCGATTTGAATGATTAGGCTGACCTCACCAAATATTCCCTCCCATTCAGCAGTGTTAACCACTAGCCAAAGAAAAAGAACAGAGAGTTTGGTGCAATCTGATGATTTCTAGTGTATTTATGGGCTATACATGAAGTCAATGGGGGGGATAAGAGATGACTTGCCAAAATTTTCCCCGATCTGTATTTTTGGTACAATTGTCAATAATTTTTTGACGTACAAAAATAAAGTTTGATTCATTATGGGGATGAATAATTGTCATAATTGTCCTTTTGGATTTCTTCTTTCTGCCATGACAAGCACCAAACATTCCTTCTAGTTCTAGCTAGCTTCTTGTTGATGCTAAAAATCTTAGATAGGCTAAGTGAAGAAACTCACAAAAATACAGCTATGCTGAGAGGGAGTAGGAGGAGCATGGCCTTATCATAGGAGGAGCTAGCCATGGCATCCTACACTAACTGGCTAACTTGTGCCCTTTATTCCTAATCAAATGTAAAGCTAGTACTAACTCTACTGGTTGCGACTACAGGTTTTCGAAGACCATTTTCAGCTGAAAGCAACATTAAGAATTGAGTTCTGGAATCAAATTAGGGTCAATGCTACATTATCGATTTTATGCGGTTAAATTGACAAAAAAAAATTTATAACACCGGCCACTTTAGTTTCATATTATATCGTTTAATTGCCAAACCATCCATACAAATGCAATATATACAGAATTTCCTCATGTTGGGCTAGTAAATAATTTCCTACACCGAGATCCACCTAAATAATAATAATTTAAAAAGAGGGTAGGAATAACTTTCACATAAAACATTCCCCAATTAATGATGAGCATACAATTCAACTGAACAAATGAAACTATATCAAATTTTGAATCAACTAAGAAAAAGGGTAATGGAAAAAGAAAATAAACTAGTTCATGGTGGTGGATCCAAGATTGAGTTATAGGGGAGGGAACATCAAATTTTTAAAAAAGAGGGTCTCACAGTTCTCTAGTTTTTGCACACATATTCTAGGCCTGGTAATCAACAATATTTGTCGCACACTTTGCAGACCAGGTTTTACAACCTAAAAGCAAGAGCTCAAAAAAAAGAAAGAAGAAAAAAGAACATATGTATATGGAACCTTTCTCTTTCCTTTTCTCAGTTTTGAACAAAAGAATTTGGGATCACAAGGAATTGGGTGTTGGGAGATCTAAAAGGGCAAAAATGGGTTGGCAACCTGGGAATGTTTGTTTTTAGAAAGAAAAAAAAAAATGGGTTGATAAACAATTAGGCAAATACAAAATAAATTGTTTCGTAAAATCTAATCTTTCTCTAATTCAGTTGAATCGTCTCTCGTTCGTTCTTTTTTGACCGTCATCAGCAATAGCTCCCCATTCTCTCGCTTAATCATGTTCCTCCTTGTTCTTAAATTCTACCATAGTGCAGTCTCCTCTAAATTCTTTGACATTTCCTTATCTGATGTGATCCATTAGGGTTCTTGAGACGCGTCCAACGATAGATATACAATCTCGATTATCTGCACATATATATTAAAGCACACAAATTCTGAAGGAAAAAAAAAACGTTCCTTTATGCTTTGCAAGGACGTTGAATATCTTAGGGTTACACAAATTTGAACTTCCTTGTTCTGGGTTTTGGACCCTCATCTGCTCTGCTTTAGATCAAAATGTGACTTTCTGCTGCTCTATTATCTCATCCTGTGTTTCCCCCCTTTCTTTTCAAAGTCATACACACAGAAAAAAAGGGCAAAAGGAAAGGGAATACACTGAATGATAAAGAGAAAGAAAAAGTGGCATCGCAGGCTTTCATGGATGATGAGAAATCATGTCTGCGTAATTACTCTTACAGCTTGCAAAGCTACACTTGTGGGGTTTTTTGGGAAAGGTGGCTAGTAGGAATCCACGATTCTTAATTTGCTAAAAAATCCCTAGTTTTTTTTTTAAAACCTTTTATGAGATCGCCATGGAAATGGAGGGACCAAGCTAACAATGATCAGGAAAATTGGCGGGAATCGTTATCACCCAACCAATGTCCTTTGAACTTGTTCATGTTCTTCTTCCAATGGCTTTAATTATTTTTAGTTGGGATCCTTTGGATGGAACCTAAAATGTTGAAGATGCATGATGGTTTTTGTTCATAATTAACAATGATTTATGTCCCAAGTCCCGATGATGATCATGATGTAGAGAAATCGTCCTTCAAATCCTCCATTCCTTCTTTTGTAAATAACCGAACATTCAAATATAGCTTACTTTTTGAACAAAATTTTCTCTCCATTTCAATGATACTAATTGAAATGATCCACTTTATTTGACTCTATTACAATCTTAGCTTTAGGTCAAGAAAAGTTTCCTATTCCAAGTATTTCCATGGGTTTTATTGAATTTCATGGTTGTGATAGATCTCGCGAGCTCGAATAATCTAAAATTGGTGGAATGAAAAAGAAGAAAGAAATTCGTCTCATATCGAGTGAGAGTTAGATTAATTAAGTGTGATTTTATGTGAAGGCAATTGTGTAGAAGGAGACACTAGTTTTTACAATCTTAGATTTCGAGTTTAAATGATCTAAAACTGATGGAAAAGAAGGGAGAAAATCTGTCTCATATTGGATGAGAGTTAGATGAAAGTTAGATTAAGTGTGATTTTATGTGAAGACAATTATGTAGAAGGAGTCACTAGTTTTTGCCTAGACCAAAACCCTATGGTGCGTTATATTGAATTTCATGGCTGTATATATATAGATCTCGAGTTCAAATTAGAAACTAGTGGGAAAAAGAGAGAAAATCGCCTGATATGTGTGGAAATAATTTTGTGGGAGGAGTCACAATCAAATCCTTCGGAGTGAGAAATTCAATGAATCAAAAAAACATTTATGAATGAAAAATATTGATTATAGAATGGGTAATTGAGTTTAACAAATTGAAAGATCGACTCTAACTAGTTAAAGAAAAGTCAAAATACGAGAAATATGTATAGATACCGATAGAAATTAAGACAAAATGAATAAAAAAACGAGACGACACAGAGCTGGTCGAAAGTAGATGCCCATATCCCCGCCCCACGCTACTACCATCGCGAATCAGGTCGGGTAATACCCGCGGAACGGGTTCCAATTGCCATCAATACTAGTTGCAACTTGCAGCATTGAAAGGATTTTGCAAACCCTCTCATGCATTCTAATTTATGGACCATTTGTGCAAAGATTTAGGTTAAGGATTAGAAGGGAAAAAAAATGGCAAGAATCCTTAGATTGCTATATGGGATTTGTGCAAAGGTTTCTAGGCACAAATTTATTATAGATGACCAAACTCGTACTCTTTTAGAAACCACCAATAACTCCAAGAAAAAAATCTAGAGTGTACGGGTCGCAATGAATTTTCATCATTCATTATTCAATGTGGATTTCAGGCATTTATGAAAGAGAACACGAGCTATAGGAAATGAGTTTAAAGTTTGCATAGATCGTTCACAACTAACGTGAGACAGAGCAAAGATGATTAAGTACTTCAGCCCCAGCATCCATTTATTCGATCACAGAGATCTCAGCTAATGAACTATGGCACGCTCACCTGCACATATATGTCTCCAATTAGACGCTTCGCATGTGAGCTGTGCCTTCTCAGAGAACCAAAGATCTCAATAATAATTAGGTATACATGTAGCGCAGAATTACAAGTAATGATGGTAAAGAAGATGCTGAACGTACAGCCATGGAGGTTTATAGCACATGAAAGCTAAAGTTTGATTTCCCATGTTGCTGAAGTGGTCCTGATCAACTTATAACAGCGGAAAAGAAATGGTGAAACTGCGGTCCAGACATGGTTAAATTAAGCAGCTTAGGCTGAGGATTATTGCAGATAAAGCAGACCCAAAAAACAACTTGTCTCGTTTATCTTTCTTTTTATTTGTCCTCGCTCTAATCTTAGTTACAAAGCTCTCCTCCGTAACGGTATTTGAAGAGATGTGAATCGTAACACAATCGTCACTTTTATGGAAGTCAAATTGCGTATTAGTAGACTTTATGCATAGGCTGTACTACTACTTCTTCTCATGTTGAAGGTTGCCTGGAGTACTTGTTCCTCGTATATTCAACGCCTTGCGACTACGTACGGTGGTTTAGTTAACATACATATATCTCTCTCCATCATTGCTAAAAAGAATATTAAAGACATTGAAACTGTTAGTTAGGTATAACAATGCATATGCACATAACGAACATGCACATGATCTCTGTCTAGCCCCATCACTTTGCGTATATCTTTTGCACCCACGACCACGAGTGAGATTGTGGTCCATATATAATTCCCTGAGTTATAAACAAAAATGGTAAAATATTAGTGGTTGTATTGATGTGACTTGAATCGGACTATCAGTCGCTACGACTGGATTAGTCGGGAGTATAGCTGCCCGGTCAGTGAGTGGGGTCTAAGGGCAACGCCCCCGGCCCGTGGTGTATGGGCTCAATGTTATTTGGGTTCGGGTTCTGGGCCTGGTCTGTAACTGTTTCCTTTGCCTGTTTGCCAGATTGGATTAGGTTTATACCCACATGGAGAAGTGCTATAAATACTTTCCAGACTCCTCTGTAATCTGTAATCTCCTCGATATAGTGAAACTGGCTCTCTCTCGCCTGTGGACTAGCTAACGCACATCGTGTTAGTGAACCACGTAAATCGTGTGTCTGTGTTTTTCGATTCTCGCATTTGTATTCTTGCTTTGTCGATTCCGGCGATTTCTCGATCCGTAGCAGCGCGTTTATAACAGGTTGGATTCAGTGACGGAGCTAGCTTAGGGGAAGGAGAGGCCATGGCCCCCCTAAAATTTTGGAACTGTCTAAAATATAACATGGACATCAAGTACTCATGATTCCTTAGTGGCATAGTGGTGAGAGTGTTCTTCTCTTTTCTACAAGGACGAGAGTTCAATCCCAATATTTGAAATTGTTTTTCTTTTCCCATCTCATTTTAGTTTCTTCATGTACATTTTCCAATTCATTTTACATTTTAAGGTGAATCTTACGTAATTTTCAAGTGAATATTATGTATTCTTCTTCTTTTGGTGATATACCATAATGTTTAGAGTGAACACAAATTTATGTGATTTTTATAAAAAAATTGCATGTACAGTTTGGTATTGATATTTCCTTTTATATGTGTTTTTTTTTTATTATTAGTTTGTCGGAAAAAAAATTTGACTGGCCCCTCCTACCAAAAAATTCTGGCTCCGTCCCTGATTGGATTGAAAAAGTTAAAGAAGTGTGGTATTTTATGCTGAAATGTGGCCAAAGTCATATAGTTTAGCGTTGAAATCTTTAGAGAGTGTTCGTTCCGGGAAGTGGCAGATTCCGTGTTAGTGTTTCTAGCGACATTTAATGGAAATTTTAGTGAAAATGTTACTGGATTATAAAATAAAACGTTGAAATGTTGTTTAATCAATGGTTTTGTATCGCTAAAAATTAGCTACCAATTTAAGTTCCGATAGAAAGTTTTTTTTTCACTCGCACTGTCGGTACGACGATTAAGTATCTTAAGGGGCAAATGCACGGAACCATCTGCAGAAGTCCCTCTCTCGGTTGCAAATTGGAAGCCATAATGATGGAGTAGTTAAGGACAGCAACAATAATTGAAAACAATAATTAACTTCGATCTGCATGCCCTTTTTTTTCATACTTCACTGCTTCTTTCTGCTGGCTTTCTGTTTCGTTATATTCATTTTGAAGGACCAAGGTAGCCGAAGCGTATTCACATAGCCCTAGCCTTTCTCTTATGTATCCTTAGCCTTTACTATTCTTGTTAAGGACATGGTAGTTATTGGTATAAACTGTGCATATTGGCTGCAACCGTAACAATTACATTGATTGCCTTGTCTTGTGTATTGCCTTTTTGCCTCGACCTGTTCTTTCTATCACTACTTTAATTTGTAAGATAGATAGAGAGACATACATAAGCAATTGAAATCGGATAAAATCTACCGTTGAAAGATCTTTTTGGGTCGGGTGTACTTTTGGAATTGGAAGGTTAAGTGTGAGTTTTTCCAAAATTCGACCCGCGCTACAAAAAAACAGAATGTCGTTATTTTGTATTTAACCCTAATAATAAGAGCATTCACACTTGTTAACATGAATCCCGCAGAGAAGAAATCTAACATATAGTATATCTTCGCCAATAATGCTCCGGACTTTCTTGTAGAATACGACCGAGAAGTCTGAGGGGGCCTAGAGCTCGACGAGGATCCACGGAGAAGATAGCTTGCCGAACATCCTTACCCGTCACCTCACCACACAACCGTTCCACGTCTCTCCTTGGCTTCATGCTTAGTTACAAGCTGCTCTAGCTTAATGGATGTTATTAATTACTTATTAGTCTATGTGATAATATAGTCTTAACAATATTGATAATTTATAGATGTTATTATTATTATTATTATTTATGACAATACTGTTGAGGGAAAAAAAAGATATACAGATGTGGGTGTTCGGAGGACTTATATATAGTTAAATTTATGAAAACCCCATGAGGGACATGCACCCCGGTATTCATTTGATTGAATTTTATTTTTCAAAATCCAATATATATTTTATCGAGTTTTTTTTTTTTTTGGTGCACCTGTTGGGATGATTCTGGATTTGGAGAAACCCGACTCATTGTCATCGAAAATTACATCCGTCTAATAGTTGTGAAACGCAACACATAATAACGAGGGATGCCAAATTTACCAACAACAACCTCGGCGACCCAATCAACCAGGAAAATCCCCACAATGATCAGGAACAGAGCATGTTGAATATTCACAAAAAATGGTGGTGTCATATTATCCTTCCCTTCTCCATCTTTTACTAAAATTTAAAAATAACATAACCATAAACACCTTCATTTCATTCCCCCACCACCACCAATTCCATCCCTACATATTAACATATATACCACCTCTTTCAACCTAATTTCCCATAAGAACTTTTTTTTTTAATGTTTCTCATACTTTTTTTGGTTAGTTTATGATAACGTTTTAACTTTATGTGTCTTCAATTTAATTATATTTGTTTTGAGTTGAATTCATTTCAAAATATACTGACTATATAGATTATCCACATGTGTTCGAAAATTTCAAGAATGAGACGGACGACAATGGACATGCAATAGTATCAAGTATACGAAGGAGAATATCCAAATTCAGATAATATCCTCTTCTCTTACTTTTCTGCCTTTTTCATCTACTTTAATTCCTGTCAGCAAGAACTATTTCTATCTATCTATCTATCTATAAATACCAGTTTCTGCTTCATGAATGATGATAAAAATGAAGCAAAAACATTTTTCTCGCAGAGCTGTGTTGTGAGTGAGTGTGTCTGTTTGGTGTTTGTCATTTCTGTTTGTATGGTTTCATGTGATGATTGTTAGTGGAATCCTCTCCTCTTCTTTTCTGGCCCAACTTTGAGTTTCAATCTGCTGCTGCAAGTCTCTGCCCACTTAACTTCCATTCTTGTGTCTTTTAGCAGTGCTGTTCTAATCATGGAACTGTTCGGATCCCAACTCAGAATCATAATTTATTTATAAATATATGGGGTTTTATTAAAAAAATAAATTCAAGGAATTGGAAGAACATGTTAACGTGAGAAAAGTTATGGTCAATCACTTTCATTGAAGAAAAAGAAAGGAACCCAAAATGACCCCCTACTGTAGCAAAACCATAAAAAGTTAAAAACCCCATTTCGATCTTCCTTCCAAACCCACTTTTTTCACTGTTCCTTTCCATCACCATCCATGTCTTATTTATCTCTTTACTACAACAAAAATTAAAAACAAGACGAAAACGACACAAGGAAGAAGAAAATGGAAGTGGGGGGGTTAAACGTTAAAGGCAACGGGGGGCCCACAATGGGATGGGCCAGGCCCACTAATTGACCTTTTTAACGAGTTTTTTTATTTATTTATTCAGGGAAATATTATTATTATTGCATTGGATTCCCCCCAAAAAAAAATTGTCCTCGTGGTTCCCGTCAAAAAAAAAAAAAAAATTGTCCTCGTGGGGGTCACAGAAAACGACAAGTCGTTGTGGCTTGGAAATGACCGCATTCCCATTTCATAGTGAGGGGGTCCATACTCCATACTTCCCTCCGTTCGCCCGTTCGCCGTATCATGTAGGGCTCTGAGTTGCTTGCTAGCGACTTGAGTCGAGTTCGAGTAAAGCTCGTGAGCCCGTTCATTATTATGGTCTATTGAGTTTAACTATTAAGATGATTTGTTTTAAGCTTATGAATATACTTATTGAGTGTGGTTAACGAGCTAGCTCGATATATAAAAAAAAAAATTAATCTATAGCCTATGAGTTAGGTTATTCATAATTCGTAGGTTTGTTATATTATTATATAAGGTAATGTCTAATTTTATCCAAATTTGTTTTCAAATTCTTTTACATTATCCCAACCAATTAAAATGCTATTAATTAGCCAAATCTTTCGTAATGCATCAAAATATTAGCAATTTTTTCGTTATCGTTAATAATTTTGTAACTCTTTTCTTAGTTAAAATACTAAAATTTTGGAATGTTGATCTTCATGGGTCTCTTCCAAGTTACTATCATGTTGCCAAGTCAATAATACTAACAAGATTTCTCACTGAAAGTTAACATTTTGCTAATTCTTAGTATTTCGATAGATTTGAATAATATAAAAGAATATGAAAAAGGTTTGGATAAAAAATAGACATTACCATATTATACATCTCACTGTATGTATGTGATATTTAATACCTACTTATTTAATAGCCTATGTTAGGTTATTCGTAATTCGTAGGTTAGCCTATAACATATAGGTCTCATTTATAATTTAAAAGAGAAATTATGTATCATCTATGTTTGGATAATAATTACTATTGAATAACATTATATGATCTGAATACAAACGAGTATTTGGCCTAGTGGTAATACCACTAGTCTAAAGTCTGGAGGTCTCAAGTTTGAATCTATTAGGTAGTAATTTAATTATAATTTACAACATAAGTAAAAACCTATATCACATTTATAAAAAAAATATTATCCGGAATAATATGATGTATGAGCTCAAGCCGAACTCAGAAAATTGATTGATCAGCCGCAAAGTAAAGCTTGTGAGCTTATTAGTAAGTCAAACTCGAGTTGAGCTTGAGTCAAACTCGAGCCGATGTTTAAGTAAACACATCAAAATCATCATTTGCTGCCTTAGTTACATGTTACCAACATTAACCTTTTCCCTCTCCCTATTTCTTGTCAAAACATTTTTCTAGGAAGGACTACTATTTGTCAATCGGGCTAAGATATATGGTTTTAACTTTTAAGTATGTCAGCCCACTCAGGATGTCGGCCTGCTTTAAGGGAAAGTCTGTTTCAGCCCATTACTATACTACCCAGAAAATTTTCCAATTGGGCCGACGATGGCCCGAAGAAGAAAATTATTCAGTCCGTCCTCCTTCCATGCTGCAAAATGCAAAGCAAAAATCCTGTTCATGTTCAACGGATAACAAAACGCAGTCTAACCAGAGTCGAGCTTTGTGGAAGAAGAAGCAGCAAAAATGGCGGCCGCCTCGGGTCTGCAACCAAGGCTTCTCTCGACCTTCGTTGGCGACCGTCTTCTCCATTCCCGACTCCCCCTCCCTCATCTCTTCGGCTACAAAACAGGTGCTTCTTCTCCGTGTCCCTGTTTCACTTCCCGCGTGAACTCTAGTCAACGAAAGAGCTCACGAACTCATAATTGCTGCTAGCTTGGAGGAGCTATGTTATCACAGAAATGGTTTCTACACTTACCGTTTGGAATTTTCTATAGCTGGTCATGTTTGCCCTTGAATTTTTCTTTCTTTCCATTGTCTCAGACCAAGTCAAATCATTTCTGTGGGGAGCTTCGGCTCTACAACTTCTTATGCTGATTGATTACTCATTACTTCCATGATTTTGTGTGCAATTTCTCGAGCAGGAGGTGGGCATCATGTGTCTATGCGATTCTCCAGGGCGTTTTCTGGATTAACCAACCTTCTTTTCAATAGAAGGTACGCCTTAGATGAGTTGATAATCCCTATTTGCAGTCCTTGTTTGCATTCAATGCAGTGGTTGTCGCCATAATTTTCTGGTATGAAAAGATTTATAAGTGTCCTGTTGACGAGCTGATTGTCGGATACTGGGCGGATAAAAAGGGTATTGATTACTAGATCATAAGGATATCAATTGGAATGGCGATACAAAGGATATGCATGCATCATCATAGCTTCAAGCAATAGAAAATTGTGCTCTTTTTTTCCCCCTAAGAGAATACTTGTGGGTTTCTTTTCATTCAACGATAGTTGTTCTTCTTGGATAAGAATGAAACCACAAGTATTCTCATGAGATGAGAAAGGATCACACTTGTCTCTATTAATTTGCTTGAACCTCTTATGATGTACGTATATGCATTGTCGTCGTACAAGGTGGTTCCTACTAAACTCGTCGATGTTTATCATTCCTGTACCCAACGATAAGCACAACATGATCCTTGTGGTTGTGGATCCCTGGATCAAGACTGTTAATAAACCTTTCGACAACATTTTGTCTCTTTTTTGCGGTAAAATATGTGCATTTTGGAATGATCAGAATTGTAGAAGAAGTACCAAACACCAAGAGGAAACCTCTACGCCCGGGGAAACTCTCTCCCCGGCGACCTGTCCCTGATAATATTTTGAAGCCTCCTTATGTCGACACTCGGCAGTCTCCTGGAATCTCGAGTGGAGCTGAAGTGCATGATGAAATGGGGATAGAATGCATGAGGGCTTCTGGAAGACTTGCAGCACAAGTGCTTCAGTATGCTGGGACTCTAGTAAAGGTAACATGATCACTTTGTTGGGTTTTCTGAAACGGTTGAGGCAGATCAACAGAGGCACTGTATGTGTCTTCCGTAGTTTGAGATGCAGAACTTCATCTTAGTGTGACGACCATTGATTCTTTTGGCAGCCAGGTGTAAAGACTGACGAAATTGACGAAGCAGTGCACCAGATGATAATTGAAAATGGTGCATATCCCTCGCCTCTAGGATATGGTGGATTTCCAAAAAGTGTATGCACATCGGTTAATGAGTGCATCTGCCATGGGATACCAGACTCCCGTGAGCTAGAGGTGCTTCTTGTTTCGATGTCTTTAACACTCCTGAACTCTTATGATGTCTCGCTTGAAATATTACCCTACTTAAGCTTATTTGGTTCTTGCACTTTTGCAGGATGGTGATATAATCAACATTGATGTTACAGTTTATTTAAATGTACGAACTTCTTTTGCACGAACATTTTCTTTTGTACTCATTTCCAGAAGGATTGGAAATCTGCGATTGAGCTCCCTTCATTATATGGTGGCAGTCCCTTCCACAAGTTTTCCTCTCATGATCCATTGTTTGGGTGTAACTTGATATTATATGCAGGGTTATCATGGTGATACATCAGCAACTTTCTTTTGTGGAGATGTTAGCGATAGTGCCAGAAAGCTTGTTCAGGTAACCATTTGTAAGTACGAACTCTGTAGATTAGCTACAATGTATCTACAAACAAATTGGAAGTTTTGCATCTTTGTGGTCTGGGATACAAAGGATAAGTGACTTACGAATGTAGGATTTTGTCTTTTTGTATCTGTTCTGACTATGATTCTATGCTTACTATCCTTCAGGTAACCAAAGAATGTCTGGATAAAGCAATCTCGATTTGTGCACCAGGAGTGGAGTTGAAGAAAATTGGCAAGACTATACAGTAAGAATGCTCACTTTATTACTTTCGTTGCTCTTGGCTCTCTGATTAGTTCTATTTGAGCAGAAATGTGGGAAAAAGAGCATTGTTTTAGCAACTAGAGATAATATGGATCGGCCAGTTTAATGCACCTGTTTTCATGCGGACATCATTACTTTGTCTTGAATATTTGTTTTGTTGCTTAGTCCAGTGTCTTGTGAACAGTACTTGCATGTATTGAAACTTAATGATGAAATCACTGACCATTTCCTGATTCTTCAGTTCATTACTGATATGGCCCGATGCATCACTTGGAATTGAGGTTTTTGCCTTAATTGTGTACTAAATCATATTTTATATCTTCTTTCCAAGTGATCATGCAGATAAACATCGGTATGGTGTTGTTAGGACCTTTGTTGGCCACGGTGTTGGACGTGTTTTCCATGCTGATCCAGTTGTTCTTCATTGCAGTAAGGGCCCTCTGCCATTCAATTTGCTTGTTACTAGTTTACCTCCCCGTCTTATTCCATGTCTCGATATATATTTGTATAGTTGATTGATGGGTTCCTTTATTTCACTTCATTTCCTTCATCTAGATGCTATACTAACAACCAGACTGATTTTTCCAGGGAATAACGAGGGTGGACGCATGAAGTTGAATCAAACCTTTACAATTGGTACTATTGTCTAAATCCTAAATCCGGCTTCCTTGACAAGTTCTTATGTGCTCCTTCTCTGTCTTTTTTTTTTGTAAAAATATGTGCTCCATTCTCTACAGACAAACAACAATTTCAATTTGTCATGAACTCCATAGATTGCAATTCTGCCATCGAATCTCATGTACTTCATTACTTTGTCTTGTATATGTACCCAGAGCCAATGTTGACAATGGGCAGCATTAATCCGGTGATGTGGGACGATGACTGGACGGTGGTGACCGAAGATGGGAGCCTGTCAGCTCAGTTTGAACACACCATTCTCATTACTGAAGGTGGAGCTGAGATACTGACACAATGTTAAAAGGCCAAACTAGCAGAATAATGTGTTGGGCCAAACTGCTTTCCAGAGCATGTGCATTGTGATTCTTTGTAGGTTGGATTGATTGGAATGAATTGTACTCTGTCCAGAAGAATTCACATTTGATTGATTGGAATGAATTGTGATGTCTTTGTCATTGCACTCTCTTCAGATGTCAATAAAGATTGAAGTCTATTAAAATTTAATATTGAATTTAAGTCATCAAAAGGTTGAGATGGCCGAGTTGGTCTAAGGCGCCAGATTAAGGTTCTGGTCCGAAAGGGCGTGGGTTCAAATCCCACTCTCAACAATTATTTTTTTCCAATATAGCTAGGGTTCCTTTCATATAGTATACATATTTCAAAAACTCCCCTTAGTTCTACACGTTGAATCTCATTGGGAGTTTCGTTGGTCACCTTGATGGTAATTGTTTTTTGCCAATATAGCTAGGGTTCCTTTCATGTCTAGACATTTATTGATCTTGACTATTTGCTTAAAATAAGAATTAAAGTTTTTTTTAGGTTCGTTCGGATTATGAGTAGTTCCTCCTCCTTTTCTATTTCCATTGTTGTCGTTTGGTTTCTTGGGATGAGTAATGCTCTTTTGCTCCCTAGCCATAGATTTATGATGTCTCAATGTCAGTCATTCCTCGTGAGATCTTACTAAATGAATTTACTCTCACACCTGATGGGGCTCTTGCCTCTTGGTGGCGTGAAAGAAGAGAGGTCATGGTCGATTTAGTTGGATTAACCCCCACACACATGGTGAGAGAAGGAACAATCAAGGGCAACATCGTGCAACTCTAGTGGTGGATGATGATCCATGGATACATCAAATATGTGATGATGACAACAAGTGTTCCAGCAAATGGGGGATCCTGCCTTCCTATCGTCCCCGTTTCAGTTCAAGGATGTCTCCGCCTCCATTGCGAAACACATAGCTAGGCTTTTGCTTCAACTGCTTCAGAGAGACCGGCTACACAAGTCCGAAGTGAAAAAGGGAAGGTAAAGTTATAGCCACATAAGGTGAATAAGAGGATGTAGATAAGGGTGATCCTTTCTCTTCTTCCAGGTTTGTCCTTCCATTTGTTACTCGAAAATTTGTTTTGAAGTTCAGGGATATGTTTAGAAAATTTTTGAAGTTGAGGGTTGTTTAAAGAAAAAAGTGAAATGGATGAGCAGTTTCATCATTTCACATAACAACTAACTGACTGAAGAGCTTGATTAGGAGAAGTTTTGAAGTTAAGAGACTTGTTCAGGGGAAAAAAATATGTTGAGGGGCTTAATGGAGGAAAAATCATTATCGAGTGGCTATAACTTGTGTATCAACTAAAATTTAATCAAAGTCCTCTTGTCTATGAACTATAATCTCCAACCCTTAAAGGCTTGTAGTAGGCCTAACATACTTAAAATCATGATTATAAATCTAGTGAATGCTATAGTAATTTATGGAGAGAAATTAACTTGCACATACAAAAATTGAAGCTTATTCGAGCTTATAACTTAGTCAAATGCAGTATGTTAAGACTTTAACCCATTCTGGTCTAAAATTCAGGACCGATTTCACTTTAAAATTTATCATATCAATTAGGTTGGTTTTTCTATTTTCTTTCCAATATGAATGACGGAATTGTACACTACATTTTTTACTCTACTTTTTCTTTCATGTGGATGGAACTTGATAAAAAAAAACATGATAATTTGACAATATATTGTATTCACCCTATGAGATAAAATAAAACAAAATACAATGTGGAGGATTTTCTACATTTTCGGCACTCAATTGCAACTTCTTCTAGAATTCAGGGGTAGTTGGAGTAATTATTCATTCAGATTTCAGCCTTAATAATTTTCTTCAATCCGCTTTCCCTATTCCGGACCTTACGTCGCCGCCTTTCCTGCTTTCTGAACCTTGCGATGCCACAAACCGCCGGAAAGGAAAACCGTAGAGATAGAGAAGCATAGGAGAGCGCTCGCACGGTGAAAGAAACATTAACAGAGAAACCAGTGCAATTCTTTCCTTCTCCTTCCGCCGAGAGCTTTTTTGCTCGAGAAAATGGACGACGCTGCGCCGGTGAATTGGGAAGCTCTGGACGCCCTCGTCATCGATTTCGCCACATCCGAGAATTTGATTGAGCAGCAGCCGCAGGAGTCTCTGGCGGATTCCCCTGCTTCGCCGTTATCTCCTCTATCTCCGTCGTCTTCGTCTGTCTCGTATTCTTCCTCATCGTCTTACCATTCCAGGCTGATCATTCGCCAGATCAGGCGGTGCCTAGCGGCGGGGGACATTGACGCCGGAATCGAGCTTCTCCGAGCTCACGCTCCTTCCGTTCTCGACGATCACAGGGTTCTATTTCGCTTGCAGAAGCAGGTACGAAATAAAAAAAAATGTAGCTGCAGTTAGAGAACTGAGAGATTGGAATTGACATTGATGTGTGCCTCTCGTCTTGTTACCCTGATTTTGGTTCGCTTTCTCTTTTTTGCCTTTTGGATTTGGATGCTAAGGTAAGTGACGAGTTCTCTCGGTTTCCTTTTTTTGGGTTTTCAGAAATTCATCGAGTTGTTGAGGAAAGGGACGGAAGAGGGGAGAGATGCTGCGATTGCTTGCATAAGGACGGCTCTTGCTCCCTGTGCGCTTGATGCTTATCCGGTGCTTACTTTGCCCCTTTCTTATCCATGCTTTAAATAATTTCGTGAACTGAGAAATGGGTATTAAATAGAACACTTGTGTTTATGTTTTCTTTTTATTTAATGGTGATCCACTGTGCTTGGTGTTAGTTTCATACGATTGAAAGAGGAAAGCAATTACCTTTCCACTGGGATTGAGCTTTTGCTTTTAGGATTTTGGTCTGGGAACCTGGTGGCACTGAATGGAACGAGTATTGGAGTTATGCAGTCTAACTTTAGTTGCCAAAGATGGCATTTTGTTTATGTATGTTTCCAGTTGAAGAAATGGTGGGTTGTAGAGGAAGATGTCGGTAGTTTTGCCATTTGATACGTGAAGCTTTTCTTTTTGGCTGCTTATGTCACTTCATGTGTTGGTTTCTTGCTAAGAATTGTATTGTAGCCTGTAGTGGATGCCCCCTTCCTTTCACCTTCGTCAGGTATTGGGTTTGGTTTTGCTATGTCTGATAGCTCAGGAGTTTAAACCTTCTGGGAGTGACCATCTCTCATTAGGCCAGTGATTCTCTTATTTTTAGCTAATTGTAGATGGAAGTGCATTGTGATAGTAGCGAGGCCGGATACTTCTGCTCATGTTTTGATCACTGTGTTATACTACTGCATATCAACTTGCACCAAATCCTCAATTTATTATAGCGCTGATTTGACAATTTTAATTTGAATTAAACCTAATTGTTGTTGCATTGTTGTTAAGTTGCTTTTCGTATTGTTCTGCTGGACAGTTGCTTTTGCTTATCAATCTCTGCTGTTCACCGCGTGGGGACTGATGATTTAATATTTGTTTGTTTAAGGAAGCATACGAGGAATTCAAGCATGTTCTCCTTGCCTTTATATATGACATACATGATAAGAGTTCGCCTGTGGCAAATGAGGTGGGCACTTTGCTATACCTTTCGACGAGTGACATTCTTTCTTGCATTAAGTTTTGTTTGGTGTTTGCTTCAACTATTATTTTTTCTATATCTGAAGGAAATCATGTCCAGCCCCCTATTACGGGTCATGCAATGAATTTGTGTACTAATGTTCATTTTGTTAATGGCTTTTAAAGTACGAAGTTTTCTTGCCTTCCTTTAGCATCGATTTTTTTTTTTTTTTGCTTCATGATCATGGGAAGGTTAGGATATTGTATCGACTTCAACTTTGTATGAGTGATATTTACCTTCTGTTTCTTCTATAAATCCAGCAATTATGCTGTTTCTTCATCGTAGATATATTTATAGAATGTGTTAATTTATCCTGTTATCTTTTTGACTGAAGAGGTTTTTTCTGTTTTGGTTGAAATCTAAGATGAGCATCATGATTCAGATATGAATGCCAGTTCTTTATACCTGTTAAGTTTATATGTGATTCTCCGTGATTGTATTGAGTTTATCTCGCTGGGGAAGGTGAGGTAAAGAAAGGAAAAAAAGAATCCCTTGTAGCTACCATTAAAAGGAAACGTTGTTAGTGTTTAATGTTTACCTTTTTAACTATGAGCAACCTTGGTTCACGAACCTTCAATTTTGCTCAAGCAAACAAAAGAAACAGAGTCACGCAGATATCGTTGAGCATAGTATTCCGAACATTGGCAAATCTGTATGAGCTTTCTGCAGAGCTTGCATCTATGCTTATATGATAACCAAGCTGTTTTTCCTTCAGTGGTCTGAAAAGAAGAGGTCCGAAATTGCTGGGTTGATGACTTCTGTCTTGAGAGCTCATTTGCAGGCATATGATCCAGTCTTTGCAATGACATTGCGATATTTGATAAGGTTGGTATTTACAAGAGTAGTTGAAACTCCTTTAGTGTTTGCTTGCTGAGAGTGTCGGGAGGCATCATGAAAACTCCTGCTCATAACACTTTCTTGTGCAGCATACACAAAACCTTTTGCTTTCGTCAAGGAACCACATCTCCGATTTCAGACCTTACTGAGAGGTTGCTCATGGAGGAGCGTGACCCTCCAGCTGTGCCACAGGAGAGTTTTTATGAGGCACCTCCATTTGATGAGGTGAGTACTGTAAGACTTTGTTGTTTTTCCTTGGAATTGGTTTGGAGATGGCATATGGAAGAGTGATATAGTGTCCTAGACACCAACTAGTAAGATCAGAATTATCTCCAGAAACATCAGGAACTCAGGGTGTGATGGTGGCATGTAATCCCTTAAGAAGTCAGGGTTTTGATCCGTGTCTTTGGGCATGGATCTTGCCCTATGGCCAGCCATTTACTGCTTTATGCCACTTCCAGTGGCAAAGCAATTTATTCACTGCAGAAAGCCTTCGGCAGTGGACACCCTGGTTAAGACGAAAAAGAAATTTATACGGACTATTGAGTAGTCACTAGGTAAAAATCAATAGTCACTCACTAGGTAGTAATCAATAGTCACTTCCAGGATTATTATTTTTGTAGAGAATGTGCTATTCTTAAGCAAACTGCTTTACCTAGGTGGACATTCAAGCTCTTGCACATGCTGTTGAGCTTACAAGGCAGGGAGCTGTTGATAGCTTGAGATATGCTAAAGGAGACTTGTTTCAGGCGTTCCAGGTACACTGATTTTGTTGCACACAGTAAAGTTGCATATGTATTGCCTTAAATGGTTCATTTGGGGTACTGAGGATTCAGATTGTCCTGTAACTCTAGCAATTGTAAATATGAGTATCGAAATGTCTACTATGTTCATAATTTGATCGTGCTTGACACTGTGGAGTCAGCAGACCCTGTAAGCGAGGGGAGAGATGGACTTTTGGCTGCTTGTTGCCTGGTTGTCTGTATTCAAATTTTAAGAAAGCTTTAGCTTATGAATTTAAGGAAGTCTGATATTATTTTGTACACACCCTTTTTATCCCTATTCTGACCCTTCTAGTCTCTTTTTTTTTTTGCTCCCAAGGATACGTCCCTCTGAAACTTAGCTTCTTATAGTTATAAAAAAAAAAAAACTTAGCTTCTGTCCCACTCAGAGCAATGAGGAACTTGAAATTTTCTTAGTTTCGGAATATTTAGTTCCAATGTGATTAAGATCTTGATATAAGTATTTAGATCGTGTAGTAATGAGGTTCTTTAGGTTGGCTGGCACAAGCTTGTTTATTTAAGCGGTTAAATTGCATACATTTGCTGGTACTATGATTGCTTTTAACATGATTACTCAACTGTGTTTGTTAAAATTGCTGTCATTGTACATTTCTTTTTTGCAGAATGAATTATGCCGAACGAAGTTGGACGTGCCCGTGCTAGATGAACTTGTTCGAGAGTATTGTGTCTATAGAGGCATCGTTCGCTCGGGCTTTGTGGCATCTGCTGGTGACTCCCTAACTTATGCTTGCACTATGCTGTGTTTTATCTAATTTTAAAGGTCGCTTTTTTTTTTTTTATCTTGATCTAGTACTCGTGTCTCACATTACATCCAACTCCTTTCATCTTAGAATGCAAAGTAAATCAATCCGAACCTGGTCGCTTGCCATCTCAAAACTATTCTCTTGAAGTGGACCAGGCTACCAGCATACCTTCAGATGGTGAAAATTCTGTAATCACAATGCACCTGGATGTTTCTTCAGAGAATGATGTTGTTGTCAATAGCAGGCCAGAAACTGATATTGAGATGAGATATGCTTCTGAATCAACTGGAAATTGTGAAGATTGCAGCACAAGTGAAATACAGCAACCTGACATATCAAAACTTCTTCAAAGAAATAGAAACTATACAAGCGGAGAGAGGAGCAAACGCAAGCGCTGGAGGGGTCGGCAGGATGAGCAGGAATATCTCTCTGGTGTAGCTTACAGTGCATGCAGCAAGCAAGACCTTGATGCAGTCATAGCCAGGGCAGACATCGGTGGTGAACACCAGGTATGCTGGTAGGTGTTCTTGTAGTTGGTTCTCGACAATGCAGCTATAATGAGAGATTGTTATGCAGGGAATAGAAAAGCAGTCCACAGAAGACCTAAATAACATGGATGATAGGTATGAAATTGTGTTGGGAATCAAGGATCTAGCAGCTAGAGGCATGGCTACAGAGGTTGTGGAACAAGTTAATGCTTTGGATCCAAACTTCTTCTCCCAGAATCATGCCTTGCTCTTCCAATTAAAACAGGTTAGAAACTGTTCTCTTTTGTACGCCTCGCAACTCAAATTACGAGCCAGTTTAGTTGCCGGGTTATTGGTTACAAGGTATGGTTTATGTATATTTACTGTTGTAATTTCATTTCAGGTTGAATTCCTCAAGCTGGTCAGTGCTGGTGATCAGTCAGGTGCTTTGAAGGTGGCCTGCTCGCACATGGGTCCCTTAGCAGCAAATGATCCTTCTCTTCTGAAGCCTTTGAAGGAGACTCTGGTTGTGTTACTCCGTCCACATGAAGAGATGCTTGGAAAAGGCTTACCTTTAAATGCTCTAGCAAATTCACTCCAGGTGTACATTTATTCTTTGAGTAACTGGTTCAATGTTCTTCTACAATAAGTGAATCATTGAAGTTTCATCATCAATTTTGGTGGTTCTGGTTAGGTCGCAATTGGTCAAAGGCTTGGCATTGAAGAACCACAACTCATGAGGTTAATGAGAGCAGCCATGCACACACACAATGAGTGGTTTAAGCTGCAAATGTGTAAAGATCGCTTTGAGGGTCTTATGAGGATAGACTCTCTGAAAGAACTCGAGACACCTTTGCTCTCTGCTTGCTCCATGTTGAGCTCGAATGCAGATAGCTCTACTCAGGGTTCCTCCCAAGTTACGACATCTTCAAGTGCGAGGTTGCCTGAAGATGGTACAAGTCCGGCTCAAGTCTCGTCGGGAGAAGTCTGTGATGAAAGCGCAATACTCAAAGTGATGGTAGGTTTGGAAACTCATTACAGACTTCACTTGCAAATTGGGAATACCTTGTAGCTGATTTCATTTTCCGAAACTAATAACAATAATAATACTAATGCAGGAGTTTCTCGCCTTGCCAAGGGCTGACGCCATCCATCTTCTTGCACAGTACAATGGAAATGCGGAGACCGTCATCCAGCAAATATTTGCTTAGCTTAGAGTAGTAGGTTCAAGCTTTCATGTTTTATTCTTTCATTTATTTGCAGAGGGCATTGCTTGCTGCCCATCCCTTGTTTGTGACACTTATCATAGTATTATATAGATGTACTCCTTTATCACTCACCATTTGATGTCATCTGCTGGATACCGCCATGGCCTGCTTTTTTATTGGTCCCATGTTCTTTTCATTTTGATTCTTCTTTCTCGGGGGCAAGTCTTTAGTAAAACAGTATATGTCCATGCCATACCCTATGAAAACTAATCTATGATTCTTGTCTCAAATCAGTTATTGAGTACAAAGAATGACAGCTTTAGCGCAGGGGAAACTGAAGGCTTGAGTATATGTCTGCTGAAAAGCATGCTCAGGCTGCATTCCTTGGCAGCGACCGCAGCCGGTACTTCCTCTCTTCTGAAAGTAGCTTTGCAACCCTGCATTTCATATTGATTTGCTTTCCAAAATCAGTTCATATTCATGGGAGTTTTAACAGTACTAGAATGCTTGTGAAAGAAGGAAAACATGGGAGTTTGCTCTGAACCTTTGAAGTGCTTCTTCATTGGTGCCACCGTTCTCAACAGGTTCGTAGCGTCCAGTGTCTAGATTCTTCCGAGTTACAGGGCCCTTCAACAGATTCTCTCCCACTTTCACTAGATTCTTCAGATTCTCCTCTGTAGCCAAGTCTGCGGACACAGTATCTCCTTGCAGCTTGTCATCCTGCAAAAGTATTTGTAACAGAATTTGGGTTTGAAGATGCCATATATGCTCGTAGGGTATGGAATGATCCTTTGCAATTTTGACAGGCCACTGTCCTGATTAGATATTATTCTGGGCTGAACCGGGACCTTGCTCCTCCCTACTATGGATGAACTAACTACACAGAGGTTAAAAAGAGGTAAGAAGTAATTCGGTGATTCTCACATCTATTCTCAGATAGTTGTCCTCTGATTCCAGAGCTTTGAAAACAACACAGTTGTGGTAATCAACCATATCTGAGATTGCATCAGAGTAGCAACTGATCAATGGAGAAGATCCCTTATGGTACAACCAGCTTATGACGCCCCATTTCGAAGCAGTTTTGGCATTGTATTTCTCTTCTGTCTTGTTGGAGCCTGTCCCCAGTGAGATCACCAGAAACCGGCCGTACTCCATTGGCTTCATCGAGCATCCACCTGGGTTCTTCATGATCTGCTTGGTCACTTCTGTTATGGCAACCAAAGTCTGCAGCAAAAGCATGAAACGGCAGAGAAGTGTGATTTAGAGTTGGGATGTGAAATAGTAGTAAGCTTTGAGACTTTTGGCAGTCAGGAAGCGTTACAGGGTTGTTGGCAGCTATGCCGCCATCGATAAGATTGAATTCTCTGACGTTTCCTTGTGAGTCTTGGTTCTTGAAGTAATGAACTGGGAAGAAAGTTGGGGGCGCAGCTGTGGAGATGCATATGTCCGAGAGCAGAGCATCTAACGTTGGCAGTGTTTCCACCTGCAATGATGAACAACCATACCAACTTCAATAAAATTTTGATTAACCATAAAATGAAAATGACATGGAAAGACAAAAGGAGAAAAAAGACAAACAAACGAAACCTGATAGGAAGAAAAGATGACTGGCTGGAGCTTCTTGATGTCGAAAGTAGGGATGACCAAATTGGTCAAGCTGTCATGCAGCTTACTGCTCCCCAACATCTTTCTTATCGACTTCCTCAAATACTTGCCATCATACTGCGGCCCAGTAAGAACTTTCCACAGCTTCAACACCCATGCAAATACACTCCTGCCACCACCATTAAAAAAACCAGACAAACAAAATCCAAGCTTTCAATACATCCATCAAGATCAATCATATAGCTTCTGCTGTTGGGGATTGGTTACCTGTTCTGCGGGAAGATCTTGGGGCTGTGCTGGAGGTAGAATTGCACAATTTCCTTGGCTGCAAAAAGTGGGCGCTTGTTCTCATTTGGTGCAGCCAGCATTGTAGCCACCAGGCCTCCAGTGCTCGTTCCTGAGATCACATCGAAGTAGTCTGCAATCCTGGCTCCCTCCCCATCAAGCTCCTGTTCATGTAAATTACACCGAACTGAATATAACTCGTATTGTTGAGAGAGGTTCAATAATGTTATCTTATACTACATACTTAACATGCCCTCCTCAAACGAAAGATCCACTGATAAGCGCGGCTTGAAATTTGTACAGATCCGAATACCATATTTTTAACAAATGATAGTAGTGATGATTCGAAAACAAGACCTCTCGGTAACAAAAAAAAACAAAAAAAAAAAAAACTCTGATATACAATGTAAAGAACCAATTGATCCAATAACTCCATTTTTTTCAATCCTGAATCTTATACATCATCAATCAGAATCTCCAGAGCTTCAAACAAAAAAAATATTGAGAACCCAGGAAATGGAATGACCTGAAGTTTGGACTCGAGGTAAGCAAGCATTACACCTGGGATGATCCCTTTGATCCCTCCTCCATCTATGCTCAGGATGGTTGCCAGTTTCCCATAGCTGGTGGCTGCTGCTGCAGATTCTGCTCCAGAGGAAGATGCTGTTCCTTTCTCCATAGTTGCAAAAGCTCCAAGGAAGCTTGCAGAGATTGCCAGCCAGCCAATCCAGATGAAACCTTTCTTCAATTTTTGAATGTGTGTGGGTTTGCTTTGGATGGATGAGTTGTTTTAGCTTATTAGTAGGACAAGTTTCCACGTCTTAATTAAAACAAGGAAATGGATAATGTGTCAACCATGGCATCAAATGCTTCGTGCTTACTTGTAAAGCTGTATCAGCTGGTTCTTGAATTTTTAAGTAATTATATCGTCATAGGAGCTAAAGCTGGATCGACACTTCAATGGGTTACTTGTGGCGATGAAACATTTTATTTTGGAAGAAAGAAAAGAGAAGATAGATGAACAGATGGACTTAGCTCTTGGTTGTTACATAAGGATATGATTTTTTTTTTTGTCGTGTTAGTTTCCCAACAATTGGGTTTGTTTTCCATTAAACCTAGAACGCCATTGATATTCTGTGTAGGTTATTGGTGGAGCCAAATATTTCTCCATGCACAGATGTTTAAAAAGGCTTAAAGCTGTTGAAAGGTGTTTTATACATCTTTATAGTTCATTAATTATTTTTAAGAAATTTGGCTCCAATTTAGTTTCTTTTGTAACAAGTAACCTATTGAATCTAGAAGGATTTGGGCTTGAGATGACTGTTTGAGACTGAGATGGTTCGGGGTTTTTTTTTTCAAATGGATCTGATCCCACCGAATTAGAATGAGTTGGTCGGTGGAATTAGCGCAGACAGAAGCTCTTTTCTTAGCTCGAAACCTAGCTAATTTACACCGTCTCAGTTCGATGATATTAATAGAGACAAACTGTTAATTAATCGATGATACAGAAATTAAATCGAGAAGAAGAAACGTCGGGCAAACTTTGCAAAGTGATAAAAGGAAAAAAAAGGCTCAGGAGATGGGAAACATTTGCTGGAATTTGCGGGGAGGAATTGAAAACAAGCAGCATACTGTAATGATTTGATTATGCAATAATGAGATTTCAAGCAAGTTATTAAATGTTAAAAAAAAACATGCTGAAAAATTAATTTAATATAAGAAAATTCAACAAGATCCATATACTTTTCCATCTTTACCGTATAGTCCTTATTAAGTTATTACCGCTTTTCTTTGATCAGGCTGATACGGGGTCCGACCTAGCTCGTCGATTCGGCCCAATGGCCCATACCGTGAATAGCTAACTGCAATGGATTGGGCCCAGTCGCGCTAGCCCACTTCCACCTTCGACTACTTTCTCCCTAGAAGACAGCTCTTGTTCTTCGAAGCTCTTGTTCTCCAGTCCAAAACCTTCGCCCAGTGCCCGCCATCATTAGCTTCAAGCTCGCCTGCCTTGGCTTCACTGTGCTCGAAGGTTTTCGCCGGCGGCAACGTCGGCAATAGCCCCATTGCCAGTTCTTATCGTTGGAGGAGCTCGATCGTTGAGCCCCATTGTCAGTTACCGCCGCCCCTTGCGTCTCCGCCATTGCTCGCCGCCGTCGTTTCAGGTCGCCGACCTTCGGCTTCTAGGTTGTCTCTCCTCTCCCTCTACTTCTTCTCTCAATTGAATACACCATCTCTGCCGTCTCGCTCGACTTCGTCAACAACCCTCGCTATCCAACTCGCCCTAGGGTTCGTATCCGTTTTACTTGCTCTCCTGCTTATTTGTTAGTCTCTGTGAATTTTCTTCAGTTCGTCTGAGGCCTTTAGCCTGCCCTGAATCCGCTGGCAGTTGCATTGCAGTTTCACGAAATAAGCAGAGGGGAAAAACAGAATAGAAAAAGATGTTCTTTCTGAGCCTGATTGAGCACAAACTGCGGTTGCCGCCTGAGGATCTATCCCTTCCTCTCCACAAAGGCATCAAGAAAGTGCTTGATGGCATCTTCTTAGACAAGGTATGCCTGCTGTATCTCCATTTGTCTCTCTATGCCCATTTGCAAGCAGCTCTTAGAATTCTGAACAAATCTATAATGGTTCTTCCTTTGTGATATGGCTTGAAAGGTTATCTCGAACTTGGGACTCTGTGTCTCCATCTATGACATTAGAAATATATCTGGTGGCTTCATTCAGGCCGGAGAGGGTGCTCCAACCTACACCGTGAGTTAAAAGCATGCATCTTTTGTCACTTGGGTTGCTTTTGCTGAAGTGAATCAATGAAGCTTGAGTAATGAATTGGTGTGATGTTTTATTTCTGTTAACCCTGGGGTGAACGAACCAATGCATTTGTGCGGATGATGCTTCACTGTGATTCTTGCAGGTAGAATTTAGAATGGTGGTGTTCCGGCCTTTTACAGGAGAGATTATTGTTGCCAAAATTATAGAATCCGATAACGATGGTCTTCGCTGTAAGTTCTGATTGCTGTGTGCTTTAACAACTCCTCCATTGCGTTTACTATGGCTTTGCTGCGATTCATCTGATACGCCTAACCCATTTGTCAAGAAGATTTGTCTGAAGAAAAGAACATGATTTGATGAATTTTAAGTGGAAATCTGTCAATTCCATTGGAATTTCACTGGCGTAACTGCTAGTTTAGGTGGACAGGATCGCTTACATGCTCTACTTCATCATCATGGAATGACCCTTCTGGATGCTTTATAATCTTTCTAGTAACTGAAGAGTTGGCTAATGTCATAAGCTGGGAGGAGGTGGATAATATCAGAAGTCTCTCTGTGTCTGGATTCATTTTTTAATTTCTTGTCTATCGATTGATATATTGTAGTTGTAGTGCCCTGCTCTGAAATTGCTAGTGGAGGAGTTGAGAGCATTTGTCAAAGCCAAGAGATAAATAAGGATCTATTCTTAGAGAATAGCAAAGGAAGACTAATCCTTAGAACAATTTTCTCCATATGCAAAGTAATTTGGGTAGTGGAATTGGGTGATCTCAGTCATTATATGAAGGATAAGCTAGAATGGATTGCAGATATATCTCGTTGTCTAGCTGAGCGTTGCAACCTTCATCTCTTCTCTTTTTAGCCCTTTCTTGTGTGTGTTTATGTCTTACTCCACTTGGTAATCTGTTCCTATTACATTATAATCAAACCACTCTCTTCCTATTTAACTGACATAGAAAGCATGGTTTACAGTATCACTTGGATTCTTTGACGATATCTATGTGCCAGCTCATCAGCTTCCGCAACCATGCCATCAAATTCCGGATCCTGACCGCAGGTACGGTCACTCTTACTTGCTACCTGAATGTACCCACGGAATTCACCCTTTGTTAATCGCAGATGAACTGAAACATGATTAGGAATGGAACGTGGCCATTCCTTAATGAATTGATTGTTCATGTAATGCCATATTTATAGTGATGCAATCCTTGTTTCTCTCACTGTCCCTTTTACCTCACACAATTTATTCATGGAAGTTGACTAGATCCTCTGTGAGAACTGCAGATATAAAGTCAGATGGATATGGGAATATGACATCGAAGATACAGGAAACCCAGAACAGTATAACATCGACGGCTTGGATGAGGTTTACATTGTCTTCCTCTTATTGCTCCTCCTCACCAGCCCTATTCGGTGGTTCTGAGTTCTGATTATTTTGGTTTTGCAAAATGGTAGGTTAAACTTCAGGTCCTGAATGTGAGCTTCCCACCACTTCCAATTGAGCAGCAAGAGAAGCCTTTTGCTCCCATGCTTGTTACTGTAAGCCAGCCTTCAATGTCCTGTGAACCACATCTTTCTATATTATACTGATTTTCTTACAATGCATGTCTTGATGTGGGTAACTTATGTCTTGATGCCAGGGATCAATATCTGAATGTGGTTTGGGGCCAGTTTCATGGTGGTGATTAGAAGGGTTCAGAAGTTGAAGAAACAAAGGATTGCTTGCTTTGAGGGAGGTCAACAGAAAGAGTTAGAGAGTATCATGTTCTTGGGACTTATGATCCAGGGTCGTTTCTGTCTAGGTTGCCCTTGCAGGAAGATTGGATGGCCTAGCCTAATGTCATCAGAATGTGCTAAGTAGAAGCTGTGCATAAAAACCGAGAGAATGCTAGTGCTGGCCTGCTGGGCAGAGTTAGATTAGGGTCTGAGCTGAACTTAAATTTTGCAGGAATCATTTGTCTACCGCGAAATGGGGCAAGTTTCCTACTAGGCTGCTGAGGTGGCAAAGTAATTTTTAGGTGAATGCAATTTAGTAGCCAAATATTTCATTTGCTAGTCGAACCTATTGAAATAACGAATTAATAGCAACACGAACAAGAGCTTGGTCTAATAATGGGAATACCACTAACTTCAGCAGGTTCGAATTTTTTAAGTGGTATCTTAATCACAAAAAAGTAAATCTATATCACACAATTTAATAGTCACACATTTTTCTACGTTACCAAATTATAGTTGCAATCCATCTAGCATATTTGAGACAATATAATATGAAAATGATGATTAGGTTAATTATCATGGAGACAAATTGAAATAACTAGAAAATGAGTCAATCGAAATAATTCAGCCCTTGAATATTCCCAATGATTCTGATTATCACAAAACTATCCCCAATTGCTTATATTTTTGCTCTTTTTTTCTTCTTTTTCTCTCCCACGTCTCATATTTCGCATTGTACTTGCCGTCCGGTTGACCGGTGAAAGTGAGTTGCTAACGAACTCCACTCATTAGTCTAACTTCAAAATATAAGCATTATTACTAGTAACATCATTTTATAAGAAAAACTTTGAATTGGTTGGTTCAATTAGTTTTAATTAACATAATAATTTTAAAATGAAAGCATATGAGCGGTGGGTGTGACCAAACTCTTCATTACAATGTGGGCCTCACGTTTACGTTGAATCTTTATAATGATGTGGTTCAACAACGTAATTAAAACTTTGCCATCTATTCCTTTTAATTGTAAGGGTTAGTTGCATTTTTAGCCAATTTAATATTTTGTTTTAGCGAGTGTTTATAAGACTGCACCGTATCAGTGGTTGGATCGGAAAAATCTATTATTAAAACTTAATTCCAAAAGCGATTTTTTTAACATATGAAAATGCTCGAAATATCATTTTCCAATTAGAACAATGCAATTGTCAAGATGAGTTCGTATGTACTAGGCTCAAAATACCATTGATCCTTTCTAGAGGTGGCAATTTTCAATCCAATCCATCAACCCATTAAAAATATCCACTTAATCCAATCCATTTGATCCAAATCCAATCGGACTGGTGGATTCATGGATTGATCCATGGATCCAATTGACAAATTACGGTTTGATACCCATACTTTTAATATTTTACATTTTGGTACCCAAAATTTAATTTTTTATACGAAAATATCATTGTAAAATTACGTTTTGGTACCTAAAATTTTTCATTATGGCATTTTAGTACCTAAACTTTTCACATTTACATATTGGTCCTTGGTTGAGGATGTCATTTGGATTAATGGATAATCCACCAATCCACTTGATCCATTCCATGAATCCACCAATCCATTTGATCCAATCCATTTGATCTATGAATCCACGAATCCAATCCACCTATCCATGGATCAATCCATTTACCACCTCTAATCCTTTCCAATACATTTTCCTTTTTCTTAATACATCGTTTACAATCGTTTACATCATTGACCTAAAAAAAGAACATCTACACTTCATTCCATAAAGTCCCCCTTTGGCCCTTTGGAAAATTGAGATTGGAAAATGACCAATAATTTGTGCCTTGTTTTCTCATACGACATTATTATATATGGTGGGGAAAATCCTTCTACATCTTTTTTATTTGTTGAATTTTTCATATGCTTGTTTGATAATAAAAAAAAGGTTTGGACAAATTAATATCAATCCGACTATGGTCGTCACATCCGATAAGTGAGAACCATATTTCAGGGGCTTGAAATCGTTTGAATAGCGTGAATGTGCTTCATGTCCATCATATTGATGTAATGTCATCTCATGTACAAAATTAGCATTACATCTATCAACGAATGCAAAACCGCTTACGAGCTTATCCAACCATCCAAAACACTTGTGAGATGGTATTTCACGTATAGGCTATATGAGCACTCCTAATAAGTTGAAAATCTTTTTTATTTTTTTTTGGGTAAGAAAAGTTGAAAATCTATGATTATATGTATTCTTTTTTTATTTTTTGCGCCACTTAGGTCATCATGATGGTTACTTTACTTGCATAGTAAGGCTAAACGGTGTAATTCATCGTCAATAATGAGTTTCAGAGGGAGGGGGCAGCATCTGCCTCTGGCCTGCCATAGTGCCATCGATGACACCATCTCAATTCATTCATATTTTATCATAAAATCTCCACTTCTTCTATTAGATGGTAGAAACTTGTTTGCCTAATGGAAAAACTCTTTAGGATCATTTGCTAGGTCAGTGAATTCATCATATTAGGAGAGCGAGTCTCGGAATTCCGTCTTTTGACTAGTTTTTTGGATTAATTCCAAGAGTCCAGTCATCCGACCGATAAATTTAGATTGAAATCATCACAGTACTAACAGTGATGACAATATTACTGATTCACATTAAGGCGGGTACAGAACACAGTATATGGAGTAAGTATGAATGGCAAAAATAATACATACGTTATCGTACAAATAAGATCTAATTGAGTAGATTAAAACTCAAATTCAAAGGATTTTTAATGGGTATGGATAAAATTTGAGCTTGAATATTGAGGATGTTGGGTGGGGATGATTTTCTTGCTATCCAACTCGAATCCGCCTGATTATACGCATGCATATGTACTTTGTTCAAATTATCATTATTTTCTTCCAAATGTTTGATATTTATTATACATATATATATATATATAATATTTTCATTAAATTGTGTTGCTTTTAATTAAATTTCTTCGTCTACGTAATTTATTATTGTAAATTTTCACTTATGTAATGTCTATATACGTGTAACTGTTAACATGTTGGTAAAAGTTATAAAGAGAAATTATTATTCATGAATAACCATGGATATCCGAAACTCAGTCGGTTATGAATATGATTTTGATATTATATCTCATTCTGGTATTGGTATGGGCAAAACCGAACTATTTTGGATAAGATAATGGATATCCAATATCGGCCCCGACCCATTTTATTGCCATCCCGAGGGGCATGACATGAGTAATACTTCTGCTTTGCCTCTCCTATTCGCCCTCTCTCTCTCCTTTCTTGACCCCTTCTACATCGATTTTTCTCAATATATGTTTTAATTTCTTCTATTTTGATTTATCTTCTTAACTCATATTCCACCGAATTATTCTTAAGATAAGTGCAATACTTCATCTTTCAACTAATTGGACTCAATAATCTACTTATTATCTCTTTTTATTATTATTTGTGAACTCTTTTCTCTTTATTTTATATTTAAAAAACAAGTATTTGCCTCAAATAATATATCCGTCTACCTGTTCCAACTCGTACTTGCTCGAGAATTACCCAATCCGAGCCGCGCTTGGTGCAAGACGAATATCAGAGTATGAATATTGTGATCCGCCTCTCAAGTTGCATCACTAAGTACTAATCAAAATTGATTAGCGATTAATCCAATATTTAATTATGATGATTATTATTATTCAATTAAATTCCAAGAGAAATCAGGAAACAACAATGCCGTCCCCCGAACAGAAGTCCAAAGTCAAACGACGAGCCTCCGACTCTCGAGCCAACCAGCCAGCCAGGCAGCTACACCGCTCGAGCCTTTCCAATTTCCATATGTTTGTTTCCTTCTTGAACTCATAATTGTGATTAACAAAAACAAAAACCCACCACACTAATTAAGAACCTGACACAAACTTTACGGCATCTCCGCCTTCTCTCCCTCTCTCTAATCTAATCTTCTTTGCCTTTCCTCCTCGGTTCCGGTCTCCAAAATGCCGTGTTATAATACTACTACAACATCCACACCTTTCACAATTCCTCCTCATAAGAATCCAACCATAAAGAAAACAACAAAACACAAAAGCAAGCTCTCTCCACCAACGGCATTAATTATTAACAACCGAGTAGCCGGAAGGAGCAGAGCAGCGGCCACCGTTTGCTACTTGGAAAGTGTTTGTGGGTTTGGGGTTTCTCCCATTTTCCAAAATTAGCAGCGTTACTTTTTTCAATAGACTGCTCAGGGCTTAGAATCTCTCACTCACTTTTGGGTTGTGGCCGCCAGCTGATTCCCCTCTCTTTCTTTGGTTCTATCTCCTCTGTTTTGGGTTTGGCTTTTAGTATTTTGTCTGCGGAGGAATTTTAGTGGTGTGTGGCTGATCTTTACGAGAAGGGTTACAAGGAGGAAGAATAATGTTTCGATGGGAGTTGGGTTCAAGTGACTGCCGTAGTTTTGGATTAATTATATAGAAAGTAGTTGCTTCTTGTCTCGCCTCGTCTGTTGCTGGTGGGAAACAAGCCTGGAGTAGCATTTGCAATGGCGGAATATATCTATTTGCTCAGCAAGGTGACACCTTTTTCCTTTTTTTTCTGGGTTTCTGTTCTTTTGTGGTAAAGCGACTGGACTTCAGTTCAGATGCTACTGATTTTTTGCTTGGAGGGAAGATTGGGAAATTTCTTTCCTTTTTTGTGCTGGGCTTCTGGGTTTTGCTCGTTTTGTGTGTTAGAGATTCATGTTTTGAGGGTATGATTTATGGGCGGGTTCACTGAAGATTCATCTCATTGCATGGCTCGATCTGGGTTTCCAAGACCTGGCTGGGGTTTAAGAACTTTCTGCAATTTTGGCTGACTGCATTTCTACGCTTGAGTTGAGCTGGAAACCCACTTCGCTTTTCAGTTTTCAATCCTCATATATTGACCCACACCAGTGTTTCTATTTTCTTCTCTTGATTGATGCTGAAAGCTTTGTGCTTTCAAGTTTCGGTTCTGTTTGCTGAGCTCAGATTTCACCGACAGATTTGAATGTGAAGCTTTCGGTCACTGACGTGGATTGATTGGTTTCTTCCTTCTCACAGGACGCAGTAATCATTAAACCTCCGAAGAAGTCTTCTATGTTATTGAGGATGGTGGTTCTAATGTTTGCCATGACGTTTGGTGTCTACATCTGCACCATTTGCCGGCAGCAGATTAGCAGCCTTAGCAAAGTGACGATTAAAAATATACAAGTGATTGATGAGCCATCTAATACTGCTGACCATAGTGTCTTTCATGTGCCTAAGCTGCATTACCCAAACCCTGAAAGTTTCAGCAGGTAATAATATATTGGATATTTGCATTTGATCTTTGGTTTGTTGATATCAGCTTTCTGAGCATAGTTTTGTTTAATTTTCAGGGAGGAATGTGTGGATAACCCTGTACGTTACTTTGCCATTGTATCGACCCAAAGGTCAGGGAGTGGATGGTTTGAGACCTTGTTGAATAGTCATGTTAACGTGAGCTCGAATGGGGAGATCTTTTCGGTTTTGGATAGGAGAAGAAACGTCTCGGCTATTATTGAAACTCTGGATAGGGTCTATAATTTGGACTGGTTCTCTAGTGCTTCGAAGAATGAATGCTCTGCTGCTGTTGGATTCAAGTGGATGCTGAATCAGGTAAACTCAAGTGTTGAACATTGAAGTTCAGTGGTTTCCATTACAATTCAAGTGTGATTCCCTGTCTCTCAAGTCTAGACTGTAGTAAAAGTGAGCCAGTTGCATTCATACTATGTTTAGCTTCGTGGAGCAGTTGAAATTCTATAACCGAGTATCTTTGCATAGGACCAAAAAGTGTGACTGCTCAATTTCTGCAATGGAGATCTATAATTGGCCTGTACTGTATGGTACTTCCTGTGTGGTTTTGATGCTCTATTAATCAGGTGATATGAACATATATGGACTGTTTGCACCATGCAGAAGTTTCCTTTTCCAGTCCCATTCTATAATGCTGGTTGCACAACAATGCACTTAGGTCTATTTTCCGTGGGTCTGATTGGAAATACTATTTTCCTTGTCTCCTATCTGGTATACAAGGGTACATTCATAGGATGATCTTACTACTTTCATGAATCATTCTATGTGTAGCTTGCCGGAAGAGACCAATCTTTCCTTTATTAACTATCACCAGAGAACTGAAAATGGAACTCTTCTGACCAGTTCTGTGCTTGGTCAAGGGAATTTTTAATCCATTGTATGGTTTCCAGAACAGAACTTTCTACATTATGCTTTTGTCTACTGCTTTACTAGCTTTTATCCTTGGTTAAACGGGTAAATAAAGAAGACGAGTATAAATAATAAAATTCTATCATATTTGGTATAATATTGGGCAAGAGAGGGTTTTGTTCCTGCCAACAATGTACTTATTTCTCACCTTCTTTCTGCAGGGAGTGATGGAGCACCATGAAGAAATAGTGGAGTACCTCAACCGCAGAGGCGTTTCTTTGATTTTTCTCTTCCGTAGAAACCTACTTCGACGGATGGTTTCACTGCTTGCAAATTCCTATGACAAGTATGCCAAGTTATTGAATGGAACTCACAAATCTCATGTCCATACCACTGAAGAGGTTCCTCTTCCAGTCCCCCATAAACTCTCTTTCTCCTCTTTTGCATCTGATTTACACCATTTTTATGCTGATGGCCAGCCACTGTTTTGTTGCAGGCTGAAACGCTTTCCCAGTTTAAGCCCATAGTTAACTCCACATTGCTGATATCCGATTTGAGACAGGCAGAGATCTTGGTTGCCAAGGCACTAGAGTACTACAACACCACTCGGCACATGGTTGTGTACTACGAGGATCTTGTTAAAGACAGCAAGGTTAGTTGAAACATGAAACATTTTCTTCAGAACCATGGATAGCTCCTGGTCAGAACATAGACCTGAACCAATGATAGAAGTTCTTTTAGTGTAAGAACAAGACACCAAGTACTCTTAGGATGAGAAAAGAACACGAGTCTTCTCTTAGGCTGAGAAAAGTCGACAGGTTTTCTGTTTTTTTGCTGAGAGTTGAAAGTATGGATCTTTCTAACACATAGAGTTTGACATCGTTGTATGGCTTTTCATTGGTGCTGCAGAAGCTCGAGGAGGTGCAGGAGTTTCTGAGGCTTCCGGTGATGGAACTGAGAAGCCGGCAGGTAAAGATCCACAAGGGGCCATTATCAGAACTGATCAAGAACTGGGAAGATGTGAACAAGACGTTGTATGGAACGGAGTACGAGAATTACCTGAGGGTCGACTATTGAGTCTGCGGAAGGGACTGATTTCGGAATGGTTTGCTAACTTGCAGGAAGTGTGAATACCAACTACTCAACTGACATGTTGTCCACTCTCTCCTCATATGTGCATTTCATGAGTTAACAGGCTAATAGGCTTCTCAAAATTTTGACTGGCATGAGCGGAACTGCGCCATAACTGGTTCTTTTGTTTTGTTAATGGCTTTCTCAACTTTGCGTTGAGATTTGATTCCCATATAGCTGAAACCTGTGTTGTTTGATCACCTTCTGGTTGATCATGCAGAGATCAAAGTTGTACATGTAGCCTACTCGCTTGCAGGAAAAAATTATAATATATGAGCAATTCATTCAGTTTCTAAGTGTGTATCTCCCTGTTTAATCTATAAAAAAAAGTGTGTATGTCCCTCTGTTTCAGTATTTGTTTTACTATTTTCATATTTGAAAGCGAAAGTTGTCATATGTTGTTGTGGTAAAAGGAGTTAGCAACACAACAAAAACAATGAAAGTTAGCTACTTATTAAGTAGCTTACTTATTGATTTGATGTTTCTCGTGGAATTTGTTTGTAATTATGTCATTTAAAAGAGTCTAATTTCATTCAAAAACTTGTTAGACTTACTTTCTATATGTTTTTCATAACTCATCTCCAAAATCTCATTACAAATAATATTTTCATATAATTTTCACTTAATTTTCTCATAACTCGTCATACCAACACTATTCCTCTCATTACTTTCCTAATTTTATCTTAGTCTCAAATTTGATACTAAATGGAACTTAAACACAAAAAATTGTCAACTTCCATGATTTTTTCCAGAATCATCGACTAAACTTTTGTTGTCACAACAGTATCGCAACCACCCAGTGGCGGACCTAGGATTGTTGGAGAGGTGTGTCGCCGCTAACATAGAATAATAATTAAATAAAAATATTAAGTAGAAATTAAAAGAAATTAATTTATGAAGTTCACAATGTCATTTTACAACGAATCACGACGACTTTTCATCTGCTGAAATGTCTCTAAAATACATTCATCACTTATGCTGCAAAGCAAATGGTTTTCAATATACACAACTTAACAATCACTTATAAACAATGATATTATACTCTAACCCCCAATGTGTGAACCGCAATCCACAATTCACTAACCTAACATAAGATTCATTTAATCTTGAAAAATGAAAATCAATGATTCTGATTCGTCGAAATTATTGTTGAGTTTCATTTTAAGATTGACCAAATTTTGCCGTTTGGGTTAGAAAATTAGGGATTGGGGTTCATCCATTAGAGGTTAGGATATAGGATCATGCCCCAAAGTCCGGTTAATTATTTATCTAAATAGCAAAACCCAATTGGCATACGGTGGTCAGACGTACGCTAGCCTGAACTTATATTTATATATTTTGATAACTTATGACAATAAATTTCCATAAACACAATTGAGTTGTGTCGGATACAATTATCAGAGGTGTGTCGGAAATCCCGAGATCAAAATTTTAGTACCGACGAATTAGGGGTCTTTCACAAAATTTTCGGGCGGAGGTGTGTCAGATGACACACCTCCCTTGTGTCTAGGTCCGCCCCTGCAACCACCACAAGACTTTTTGGTTTTTGTTCACTTTCAATGGGTTTCCATTGGTATAGTCAAGTTTCAGTATCAGAAAACCAAATATTCAAGACCATCTTCCATTCTTCCTTATCCTTTCAAGCACTAGGGCAAGGTTCGTTGGCCTTCCTAAATCATGATTGAATGTCTCTAGAAGTTTGGGTTTTTGTTAATACTTATATGACACTACTTTAATTAAGGAACTAAATTATATCTTAAGATAAACGCATGAATCACGCTGCACAGCCTACCAGGAGCATTAGGACCAACATAAGCTTTTTAATATGATTATGAGGTTGGTCGAGCTTTGACCTTTTAGTATGTGTATCTGTGTCCATCAAAAGAAAGATGAAGTTAGTGCAATATGAAGGAACCCTTCAATTTGAATTAGTAAGTTTAATTTGAATATAGTTTTAGGGGGGAAACAGTCTGATTTCCAACCAAACCAAGGATGCTAACTTATTAACAAATCTGTTGTTAGTTGGACTAGTTGGCCTTGCAATATCCAACAAGAAACTTACCCTCCTCACCCAAGAAATCAACTATGATCAATACGTGGATCGGTATCGAAGGTTTACTCGAAGAGAGGTTTTTCAACATGGTGGCATGACAACAGGCGCGATGGTAAATCGAAATTTAATTTGGGTTTTTGTCTTGTCCCCTTATGTTTTACTTGAGAGTTAAGTATCATGTTTTTATCAAATTTGATGAGAGTTAGATTCCAAAATGTTGGAGTTAACCAAATTTGCAAGGTACTTAAATTCCATGTACTTCAAATGGTGTTTAAGGTGTCTCCTTGACCTTGAGGCCAAACATTGAGGCAAAATGCAATTTTAAAAAAAATTAGGCTTAAACAGTGATTTCTTTGCAAACCGTGTATAATAAAACAACTATAAGAGCATAACACGGCATGGGACAAATTTATGCCATAAGCACCAATTTGGGTTGATTTTTTCCGGATCCATTTTAGGCAGATTCCAAAGAGTACCATCACAGATTTAGGGAGTTTTTTTTTCGAAATGTCATTTTCTTTCGATTTTGGAGACTACAGATTACGGATTCAGCCCAATGCCATTCTACACCGATAATGAAGTCTATTAATCTTATTCTCCACCGACTACGATTAAGGCCTAAGTTCTGGTCTTTAAGGCCTATTTTTTAAGGAAGAACTTAAAGCCTTGTGATTGGCTAATTCAAGATAAGGTAGTTAGTAGGAGTTATTAGTTAAAAAATTGTTAGGGGTATTAAGGAGAATACAATTAAATTAAAAACATGTCTATTATTTTCAAAAAACCCTAAGGGACGGTTTATTTTTGGTTTTCGTCTTCGTCGGGTCTTTTATTGTTGCCGCCGCGGGTCCGGTCGAGTTTCCCGTCGTCCCTGCGTCTCCGTCAACGGCGAGTCCGTCGCATAGTTCCTGAAGCATGAGCCCGTCGAGTTCTCCGTCAAACACGAGTCTGTCGTCCCTCAAGCACGAGCTCGTCGACTTCTCCGTCAAACACGAGTCCGTCGTCCCTGAAGCAATCATCTTGAATCCAACCCCCCGGTCGAGTTATCCGTTGTCGGTCGTCGCTGTTCGAGTTGTCCATCTCTCGTCCCTGAAGCACTACTACCTCATGTCCATCTGTTCGAGTTGTCCATCTCTCGTCCCTGAAGCACTACTACCTCATGTTCGTTATTAACATTTTCTTTTGTATTGATCGTTATTAAAAAATCTATTATTAATCATTCTGTGGACATATGGAAAACGTGTTGTGTCTATATTATTAATTAATACGTGCTCGTTTTCAACTTTTTCGTTCTATATTATTAATCAATTTGTCATGCAAGTCAATGTGTTGTGTGTTCATTGTTAATCAATCTGTGCACGTCAAATTCATTTCGAATTTGGGAAATATTTTTAATTTTTTTGTGTCCATTGTTAATCAATTTCTGCTCGTTATGAACCTTTCTTATATCTATTATTAATCATTCAGTGGGCGTTTACAAGCTGTTTTGGTCAACATTGTTAATCAATATGTTCTCGCTCTCAACCTTTTGCTTTTTATTATTAATGAATATGTGTTGTTATGTAAATTATTTAATTGCATTGGTAATTTTATTTTTTTGTAATGTTCTTTGCCAACGTGATATTTTGTGAACACCATAATCAATTCTTGTCGTGTTATGTTTTTTTAGTATTGGTCGTTATCAACACTACTACCTCATGTTCGTTATTAACATTTTCTTTTGTATTGATCGTTATTAAAAAATGGATTATTAATCATTTCGTGGACTTTCCTTATAATTTTTTACAGTGGTCCACAATATAATATGGCACGTACGAAGAATACTTCGCGTAAGTCTGCACCGTTGAGTAAGCCTATGAAGAAAAAGGCAGATGGACCCATAGCTGATGACAATCGCTTACCAATCAGGTGCAGTGTGTCTCAGGTCCGCAAAATCGTTAAGAATATTAGCCCAAGTCGTGCGGCTATACTTCGAAGTTATGGGTTCGGCTTCGTTCTTAACTTGCAGATGCGTAGTATTGACCAGGATTATTTGCGCTTGGTAAATGTTAATTTTGATGGTGAGTGAACGCACAACTAGTATCTTTAATTGAATTTATTTCCTGTTGTGTTTTCAACTTTATCCTTAGTCATTATCCATAAAATTTGTTTCATTATTAATTGTGAGCTTCAGTGATATTCCTGTTAGAACGATGGAGATGCTTGGCCGATGGGTCATGCATCTCATGATTGTGCTCATCTACCCAATCATCAATGTAATAAAGGTTGGTTCGTTTATCCAACTTGAAGTTCATCCTCGCTGGACACCCCCATCTATTCTCTGCCCTACTCCTTTTCCGAACAGTATTATCAATTCGTCCTCCATTCTTTGGATTCTTCGCGCTTTTTTTTCTGTAGCCTCCTTTCGTACATGCGCAATAGATGTAGTGAGCCGTCTCACAAAACTCATTATTTGTGTTCCTCTTAGGAGCGCCTTCCTTCCTCATGCCAAAGCCTTTGTGATGTGCATACTCTTTATAGAATGACTCTGCATGATCCCTGGACACAAATCTACGCTCTATCCATGTCGATTCATTTGCAGGATCAACCAAATCAATCTCTACACAAATTATCAAGAAATTAGTTAATAATGGTGCATTTTTTTTTACTTGTTAATAAGATTGTTATAAATTCGACTTACCCATGTTATCAATATTAAAATCACGAATGTCCATGACAGGTATAACACTACCATCATTCGTATGAACATCATCCACCACTCCTGCAACATTGAATACATTACGTCACTGGCACGAGTTTTATCATTCCACATATATACAAGATTAGTCAACTAACCTTCGCCTTCTGCATATAGATTTTCTACTGTAATCTCGTCTTCGCTTAAGTCATTGTTATTGGAAATATCTTCACCTTCCAAGTTGACATCACAAGGTACTTCATTCAGATCTGCAATGTTGACAAATTAAAAAAACTATTACCTTTAATTATTAACAACTACCCACTTCATTATTAATCTTCATTCTCCGATTATTAAATAAACAATTACAAGGCACTTCATTGTTAATCTTCCTTCTCCTATTATTAACTTGTACACTTTAACTTTTAACAATTAACGATAAATTAATAATCATTCCTCTCGGATTAATTATTAACAACCATCAACATCTTTACTAATCTTCCCTTTTTGGATTATTAACCTAAATCGACAATTAAACACTTCGATTATTAATAAATTGGTATTATCAGTTAACAAGTATTATTAATAAATTGGTATTATTGGTTAATACTCGTTTATGAAGATATTGATAATATGTTTAAAAATAGTAATGACCTGATTACATGCAACGTTGATTATTAATTAAAACACCACAAATATTAACAGTTAACGAAGGGATTATTATTAATCCCACACCAAGTAATTAACTTAAATTGTTAACAGCACTATTTTGTTTTATTAATAATTTGGTATTATCGGTTAATACTCGTTTATGAAGATATTGATAATATGTTTAAAAATAGTAATGACCTTATTACATGCAAAGTTGATTATTAATTAAAACACCACAAATATTAACAGTTAACAAGGCATTATTATTAATCCCACACCAAGTTATTAACATAAATTGTTAACAACTGTGGTCTGTTTTATTAATAAATTGGTATTATCGGTTAATACTCGTTTATGAAGATATTGATAATATGTTTAAAAATAGTAATGACCTGATTACATGCAAAGTTGATTATTAATTAAAACACCACAAATATTAACAGTTAATTGAGGCATTATTATTAATCCCACACCAAGTTATTAACATAAATTGTTAACACCTATGGTCTGTTTTATTAAACAACGAGGCAGCCAAAGATACGTCTGTTTTATTAAAAACTTACCAAAAATAACGTCTCTTGGCCTTGGCGATCCCATGGAAAACGAGACTAGAAGGACACACGACGACCCCGACGACGCCGGAAAGCAGACGAGAAGGAGACGACGATGTCACCGGCCTTCTTTGCGATGACGACGACGACAGAAGGTGACAGCCGAGACGTCACCGGCCTTCTTTGAGACGACGACGACAGACGAAAAACGAGGGAACGGGACGACGACGCCGGAACGCAAGCGCCGCACAGCAAACGAGAAAACGAAGACGAATGGGTTTAGGGTTGGGAGGAGTTTCTTTTTTCTCTCGTTCCTTAATTAATGATGGCATTTAATTACTTTTTATATTCCTAACTAACCCTTTAACGTTTTAGGTAGGTAGTTAACCAATCATTACTAATCACTCTCTCTCTCCTTCTCCTATTGGCTGAAAGGGGGTTTAAGATTTTCCTTAAAAAAATGGCCTTAAGGACCTGATCCAACCCGCTACAATTAACCAAATTTGCCAAGTACTAAATTCCATGTACTTCAAATGGTGTTTAAGGTGTCTCGTTGAGACCAAACATTGAGGCAAAATGCAATGTTTCAAAATGTCATATTCTTTCGACTTTGGAGATTACAGATCACAGATTCAGTTCAAAACTATTCTTTACCAATACAACAAACAATCGGAATGCAACATCTTTCGATGGCTAACTGAACTTTCATAGTCTAAACCTCTTAGTAGTATGAGTGTAACCCACTTGTTTATCTTTAGACAACATAAACAATGATTTTTCGAATCTTTCAAATTTCAAACCATATTGAAACTACGTCAATCCAATACATAAAAGTCCATCTCCACTTTCTCTTGTAAGATTCCACTGAGATTGTAGCCTCTGGCTACAATCCGGAGCTAAACTCATTAAATCGTTTAGACTAGAGTTTATATTTCCGAAATGTCATTTTCTTTCGATATTAGAGGCTATTGATCACAGATTTACCCCGAGGCAATTGTCCACCGATAATGAAGTCTATTGATCCTATTGTCCACCGATGATTAAGTCCATTAAGCACAGATTTAGGCAAATTTATTTTCAGATGACATTTTTGTAATTTTTTTGTTGATTTTCTTCGAAAGACCATTTTCCTTGGATTTTGAAGTCAAAAGATCGCGGATTCGGCCTGCGGCTATTCTGATTTGGGCACCGATTTGAGTAGATTTCTTCTTGATCCATTTTTGGCAGATTCCAAAGGGGTTACCATCAAAGAGTTTAGGCAATTTTTTTCGAAATCTCATTTTCTTTTGATTTTGGAGGCTACATGTCACGGATTCAGCCCGAGGCTATTCTCCACCTATAATGAAGTATAATGATCCTATTATCCACGGATGATTAAGTAAATTAAGCATCGATTTGGGCAAATTTATTTTCGTATGGCATTTTTGTAATTATCTGGGCAATTGTTTTTCGAAATGCCATTTTACTTGGATTTTGAAGTCTACAAATTATGGATTCATCCTGAGGTTATTCTTTAACGATGATTAAGTCCTTTAAGAACCGATATGGGTGGATTTCTTTCGGATCCATTTTTGGCAGATTCCAAAGGGGTTACCATCACAGATTTCGGGCGATTTTTCTAAAATGTCATTTTCTTTCGATTTTGGAGGCTAAAGATCACGGATTAAGCCCAATGCCTTTCTCCATCGATAATGAAGTCTGTTGATACTATTCTCCACCGTGATTAAGTCCATTATGCACCGATTTGGGCGAATTTGTTTTCGGATGGCATTTTCGTAAATTATTGGGCATTTTTTTTCGAAAGCCATTTTCCTTGGATTTTGAAGGCTACAGATCACGGACTTGGCCTGAGGCTATTCTTCAAAGATGATTAAGTCCATTAAGAACCGATTTGGGCGGATTTCTTCTGGGTCCATTTTTGGCAGATTCCAAAGGGGTACAATCACAGATTTCATGCGATTTTTCCCGAATGTCATTTTCATTCGATTAAGGAGGCTGCATGTCACGGATTCAGCCCGAGAATATTCTCCACCGATAATGAAGTCTATTGATCATATTCTCCACCGATGATTAAGTCCATTAAGCACCTATTCGTGCAAATTTATTTTTTACGTCATTTTCATAATTTTTTGGGCAATTTTTTCCCGAAAGACCATTTTACTTGGACTTTGAAGGCTACAGATCACGGATTCGCCCTGAGGCTATTAGTCAACGATGTTTAAGTCCATTAAGCACCGATTTGGGCGGATTTCTTCTGGGTCCATTTTTGGCAGAGTCCAAAGGGGTACTATCACAGATTTCGGGCTATCTTTCCAAAATGTCATTTTCTTCCGATTTTGGAGGTTACAGATCATGAATTCAGTCCGAGACTATTCTTCACCAATACAACAAACGATCTGAATGCAACATCTTTCGATGGCTAACTGAACTTTCATAGTCTAAACCCGTTACATAACTTCCAAACATTTTCAAATCTCAAGATAAGTCCATCAAACGCTCAAGAGGCCATACACAATAAATTTTCTAATCATTCAAACCATATTGAAACTATATACGAAATATTACAAGGCCAAGGGTAACCCTCTTTTTTATCTTTAGACAACATAAACAATGATTTTTCGAATCATTCAAATCATATTGAAACTATATCAATCCAATACATAAAAGTCTGTCTCCACTTTCTCTTGTACGATTCCACTTAAATTGTAGTACGCTACAATTCGGAGCGTTAAACTCATTGAATCGTTTAGACTTTAGACTAGAGTTTCTAAATTACTCTTAACTCTCCTTACGACCCTTAATAATTTTGCTGGGCCGAGTTGACAAAAGCCCACTCAATAAAATATTTAGCTCAATGAGCTTTATTTGATTGAGAGCAGCCCATAGTTTCTCGAAGAAACGTGGCCTTCGATTGTACGCCTGCTCAGGCCCAATTAACTAAACCGATACAGGCTATACTACAAATGGAAATTTGTGTAACCTTTTTATTTTTTGGTTTACCCTAATAAAGAAATCTGCCAACAACTATACATTACATACAGCTAGCTATCACATTACATAATTTATTTTTAAGTGTTGATGAGAATCAAGTCCACATGCACTCTCTCTCTCTCTCTCTCTCTCTCTCTCTCTCTCTCTCTCTAGAGAGTCCTCTATAAATAGCTGGTTTGAGCAAAGACCAAAGAGCACCAAAACAAAAACTAAAGAGTGTTAGCAAATCAGAAAGAGCCTATTTCCTTTTCAGTGTGTCTGCAGTTCTACATTTCCAACAATCTTCCTTTCAGCCATGGCCCCAAAAATGATGATCAAGCCACAACCAGCAGCTTACTCCACTTGCCTTCTTCTCCTCTCCATCATCATTCTCTCCCACCATATTCACTCCATTGAAGCAGCCAGGGGATTCAAACTTACCCAAAATACCCTTGACAACAGCAGCAACACCAGTACTAAAGGCTCGGCCACCGTTGAGGTGGAAGATGCTGTCGTCACCGGTCCACCACCGCCGGTGGTGGCTACCGGCGAGCCCCAGCAGCAGCAGCCTCCGTCGGCAGCTGCCCCGGGGCGCGGCACCGACGATTTCAGGCCCACCACGCCGGGACACAGCCCCGGCGTTGGACATTCTACGCATAACTAAGCTGGCGTCCATTGAAGTCGCGTTGGGGAATGTGTGTACTTCTATGAAGGTGGTTTATTATTCGTTAGGGTTTATATTGTCATGAAATTTAATGTGTTTTAGGGGTTAGGATTAGTTCAGGAAATTTAAATATTTGTTGTTCAGTTCAAAGTTAAATAAAAAAGATTTGTATGGGAATACCGTAAATGGGGAGTTCTGTACATTGTAAATTGCTTCAATCCAGTAATTTAAGATTTCTTTTTTTTTTTTTTGCCCCCCTCTGATTTCAAGTAGTTTGAAAAAACATTTGATTGTTCATCGACATCGTGGCAATAGAGTGATTTAGAACTATAGTAGTGGTGTGTTTGAGTCTTGTTGACTCTTTATGGAAATTTTTTTTAATACTTCTTTTAATATAGTAGTTGTAATGGGAAAAAGATAAGTTACAAAACTCTAATCCTATAAAACCTCTACAAAATTTAATCATTCACCTTCCATCGTATTTTCCTCATTTAATAACTCAGATTAATTCATAACAAAGGAGAAATTAAGAGGGGCAGTTGGTAATTTCATCACATCCAGTATATTTTTTTTTTTGTCCAGACACTCTGACACAAATCCAGAAGAAAGAAGACACTTTTCTTAATCTCATATTATCTACACAATGATATCCACTTTGTTATATTTTGAACAAAGAAAAAAAATTAACTCTTTAAACCACGCGTCAATAGTAATGTTATCACTTTCATATCTATTACATTATCATGATATGACAGCTGTATGATGAGCCAGCTCCTTCATTTTATGTCATAATATAGTCATAATATAATAAAAACTGTATAGAAAGAACGCAATGCTGAAGATCTATACAACGATATTCATTTTGGTATGTTTTGTCAAACATAAAATCTCCTACCAACATCATATCAATGTCATACCCACATCATATCAGTGTCATATCATGATATTATCGCGATCACATAGTGATAAATTTACTCTTCAAACCATGTGTCAGGACTAGTATTATCACTGTCATATCTATCATAATATCATGATATGACACTAATATGATGTCATCAAATTATTTTGACAAGTATTAGACCTCATACCAACACCATATCACCATTATTATACCAATATCATATCAACATATACCACTACCATATCAATATCATGTCACAATGATATCATATCATCATAGTTAATGATAATATCGTGATATGATTGTGGTAAGATGACATAAAAAAAATTATACGTGATAACTGATAACTCTTTTTTTAATAATACTGAAAGAACTCGTTAATTATAACTTACCTAATGACATCCATTTGTTATGTTTTGAGCAAGGTTTAAGAAGTTGCTAGGCAAGGTTGGCACACTTAAGCAGCGCCTAAGCGGTGCCTACACGTTTTAAGAGAAAAATTATATTGCAATTGTTAGTAGAAATAACACTTTATATAACTTTTTACTCTAGTCCAATTTCAAACTATTAAGAATTTAACTAACCCTCAATAAAACTTATTATGATTTCCTAGAATCACTAGTTTATAGAAGTCGTGGGTTGTGACTGCTCTATAGTCGATGATATTGAACAGTAGGGCATATGGTCGGGTCGATGCGGAGTTGGAGAAGAACTAAAGAACTCATTAGTTGTGGCTATGGTCGACGATGTCGAAAAGTATGTCATTTATCATCAAACTGTTTTCTGTGTATTATTCAATGCTATGTATAATTTATAAATTGACCAACCAAACATAACTACTATGCAATGGGCGAAAAAAAACGACTACAACATACTACACAAAAAGAAGAAAAACGGACACAAAATAAAGCTCATGTGCTACACAAAAGGACAAAGTAACGTCTGCTTTAGTTTGTTTCAGATGATTTTTCTTCAGCTTGGGTGCTCACTTCTTGTGATGTCCTCACGTTTGTTTGCTGCTTTGCTCCATGTTTCATTTAATGCAATTGACCATCATAAAAATCCTTTATTTAAAAAAAAAAGAATAAAATTGCATCAGAACTTTGTTTTAGAAAATAATAATTGACCATTACATAAAAAAAAAGTCTGTTTAAAAATGAATAAAATTACATAAGAACTTCGTTTAAAAAATAATAATAATTTTTTACAAAAAAAAAAAAAAACGGACACAATAAAAAAATCTCAACAAAAAAGACAAAGTAACGCCTGCTTTTGTTTGTTTCAGATTATTTCTCTTCAGCTTTGACACTCGCTTCTTGTGATGCCCTCGCTTTTACTTATTTGCTATTTTACTTCCTATTTCATTTAATGCAATTCAATGGATATTTATCAGGTATAATTAGAGTTGGTATTCACAGAAAACCAAGTTCACAATGCGCGCTCTCTCTCCAGTCTCCACGACTCTATAAATAGCCGGCTCGAGTAAAAGACCAAAAGAGCACCAAAACACAAACTAACAGTTTTAGCAAACCCAAAAGAGCCCTATTCCTTTTTTCAGAAGTTTTCTACAGTACAACATTTTCGATCCCCATCTCCCCATCGCCATGGCCCAAAAGATGAAGCCACAAGCACCTTACTACACTTGCTTTCTTCTCCTATCCATCATCATCATCCTCTCCGGCCACCAGATTCACTCCATTGAAGCAGCCAGGGGATTCAAACTTAACCAAGAAAACACCAATTCTGATGAAGGCTCTGCCACTTTTGTAGCCGTGGTGGCTCCACGCCGCGTCGTCGCCGATGCTTTCAGGCCCACTTCTCCAGGGCACAGCCCCGGCATTGGGCATCACGCATAACTAAGCCGCATGCAAGAACGAATAAATTACATGCAGCGGACGTAGCTAGCTTATGTATAAAATCTCGTTGATATGGTGTTGTTTACATCAAAATAAAAATTTCTCGATTAAAATTTTTATGTGGGTCTACTTTGGATCGATGGTTGCACCGGTTTATATAGATAGGGCTCGTAGATAGCAGATTGTCTGAGTGGGTCGTATTTTAGTGGGGTAATAGTTGGGCGCGAGGTGACCATCTAGTACTTGGTCACCATCTGTCCGTCGTCTCATGGATACTATCAAACTCCGTAGTGGAAGGTAGTAACGTCATATTACGTACATAGACACCATCCAATCCCTTAGTGGATGATAACATTCATATCACGACAGGGGCCGGAGCCATGATTTAACGACGGGGACCCCGAAGTTTTCGTAATACGTTGCCGCAAAAGACTGAAAAAAATATAATTTTGTCTTATTATAACCACATATAAAAAAATACATTAAGTTCAATATAAATAAAAAATTATATGAAATTTAATAATACATTTCAATTATTATCGTTGTATCGCGTGATCTGTTTTCGTAACTAAAAATCGAATATATATATCAATATTAGCATAAGAAAACAATTACTGGTTATATAGTCTAATCGTTACAATTGAAGAACTTAATTGATAAATTTGAAATTAAGGAATTTAAATCGTGAAAGTGAAATTATTAAAAAAAAATTAGTCAAATGAAAACATAAAGGGGAATAAAATTACAAATACTTCTCATGTATCTCGAACAACCCTTAAAATTGAATAATTTAATTGACCTAGCTTGTAATAATAGATTTGACCAAAAAAAATTATTAAAGTTTGTTATTAAATCAAATTATAAATTTAATCTGGCTAAATCGATTGATTGAAGTGCTTAATTAATTGATTTCACTTAAAATAAGCACTTGGCCCATCCCAAGGATTCTAACGAAGAAACAAAATTGTTTAAAAAAAGGAGGGTAAACAGAAAGAAAAAAATTGTAAATATCCTTCCCATGGCACTATTGAACTAGGGAACAGAAGCTAGATTCGCAAAATAGTCCCCTTAGTTCCCGTTAGAATAAACCAAGCTCATTGCCATTTTATTGCACGTCAAAATATTAAACCTTTAGTTTAGTCGTATAATACCGAGCACATAACTATCAAGATTCTCGAGGAGGGAGGGGTAGCTCCGCCCCTATATCAGGGTCACCATCCAACCTCTTAGTGGATATATGGTGTAGCATCTCATATGATGGGTATCTTCGAAACCCTAAATGAATGGTGTCATCTCATATCATAGGCACCATCCAACCTCTAAGTTGATGGTATTATCCCATTCTACATGGATAGCATCCAAACTCCTAAGTGGATGTTATCATCCCACAACATAGATGTACTCGCGAGCCTAGTTGGATGGTACCATCCAGTCTCATGGTTTTCATCTAACTTGATATGATGACTTTGTACATGGATGTTCAATAATTCGACCTCATTAATCAATTATTATGATTAATCAATTATGGAACCTAGGCTGGATGGTACCATCCAGTCTCATGGTTAATTATCATCTAACTTGACATGATCAATTAAGTTGCCTAACCCTTCATATATGATAAACGACTATACTGTTAGCGGTGTAACCGAACCGAAATTAGTGATTAACAGTTACATCGCTAATCGATAAATAGTAAATAGTCGAATCTCGACAACAAAATATAGCTAATTAATAATCGACGGTTAAACGGTTAGTAACCAACCAATAGCATGTGTTTGCCGACCCTATGACACAGGGCCTCTATCATTGTAGCGAAATTACATAAGAGGTTGGAGGCATTGAGTTTCCGAAAATTTTATAATTTGATCTATATGATGTGTAGCACAAGATTAAAACATTAATTTAATTCACATTATATGAACATCCATTTATTTAATATTCAAATTAACGGAAATGCTAGTTTAGTCTCTCAACTTCAATATTTTGAACATTTTAGTTCTTAAACTTAATTTGGCTTTGATACATTGGTAAACATATTGCTAGCACAAGATTAAAACATTAATTTGGCTTTTATATATTGGTAAACATATTGGATAATTCATATATACTCGGTCACGTCTTCGAATCTCTCTTCTTTGTTTTAGCGAATGTTTTACACACAAATTTATTTAATTTAGCTTGACAAAAAATTTCAAGTTTAGTGTTACCACTTTAACATTTTGATCTTTTTTTTAATTCTTAAGTTTCAAGTTTTTCCATTCAATTCACATTATTTGAACATCCATTTATTTAATATTCAAATTGACGGAAATGCTAGTTTAGTCTCTCAACTTCAATATTTTGATCATTTTAGTTCTAATTAAAACTTGAAGTGTATCCGTTTAGCTCCCATTACATGAAAATTTGTGTTTTTTTTTCTTAGTACACTTTGGGAAATGAATACTTGTAAATTTAGTCTTTGAACGCAAATTTAACTCCTATAATACGATAATTTATGTTTTAAAAGACAATTTCGAATTGAATAATCAAAATTTTATTTTATTAAGCATGAAAAAATTAGTCCACACATCTTCCTTTTGAAACGGGACCTCGCGAGTATCGATAGAACGGTCTTACCTAAGCGAGATGTTTTGACATTGACAAGCACCTTATTACGTAAGATCAACCGCACATTTTTGAACCATTCTACTTACTCACTAAGCCATAGGGAAGGGAAAAAAAAACTAAAAAACCAAAAATAGTACTATGAAACAAATCACCTAGGAAATTATAGTGCGCATGCAGAACAATGAACATGGGCGCTCCTAGCAGTTAAGATACAGCAGCAAGCACACCTGCAGGAAAAAAGCATACCTCCCAACACATAATATTCAACTAATATTCTGACCGTTTGGATTCCATGGCAGACATTAATATGGGGAAAGAAAGATTCCTAATGTGATGCCAAAAGCAAAGCAAAGCATGCACCCTGAAGCCAGCCAGCCAGCCAGCCAACGGTGGAGAAACGAAGCTCGTGCACTACAGCCTAGCCTAGCCTTGCTACCCATTTCCTTCCTTTCTCTCTGCATTTGCATGTGTACGTCCATCTTCAAATTAAAAATATGGGTATGTTGTTAATTATTCCTTAGCATATACCTCTCTGCGGTTATCGCGATCGGTTGGTTCACAGTTCCACAGGACTTCACGAGGCCAAGTTGGCAACATTGCCGCCACCTTTTTCAAGTAGGTCTAGTTGTTCATCAATGTTTAATTACCTCTTTGTCTTAGTGTAATAGTTTAGTAATAACTCTGTTTGAGATTTATATTCAAAAGCTGGGGGGACATTTCGACGGCTGGGAAGTACGTACTACCCTTTGATTGATTCTTTTTGTGACCATTTGTGGTCCAAGTTAGGTTCTTCAACTAGCCCTCTCTGTTAGTGTTGTGGTATATGATCCACGATTGAACCTCTCCCAATAACTCGAGTTATTGGGAGCAACTGGTTCTTGACTTGGTATCAGAGTCTTCTGTGACCGAGAGGTCTTGTGTTCGATTCCCGGTGACCCCCATTTGTTAAGCACATGGTATTCTTGTCTTCAGACCTGTGCAAACTTTAAGCCCTTGTGAGTGGCTTTCGTTTGAGGGGGCGTGTTAGTGTTGTGGTATATGATCCACGATTGAACCTCTCCCAACAACTCGAGTTATTGGGAGCAACTGGTTCTTGACACTCTCGTGGCGTGAGAAGAAAATTGTAAGGAAAAAAACCCCTACAACTAGCTAGCTATATAGTCTTTTTGTTTTCATAAGTATCTATGTAATTAAGGACTTCTTTACATGCTTCCTCAAATGTTAACTTATCTTCTACAAAAAAAAATTTTTTTATTAATTTATGAGTTTGAAGTTTGTATAGATTCTTCGTACCATGTGCTGAAATCAACTGATAATATTGAAGATCGTGAGGAATAATACACGAGACTTCACAATCAAATCAGCTCTGCTATCTTTGACGTAAACCAACATATCTCAATAACGTAAATTGTTAGAAAATGCTCATATACGAATCTTATACAATTTTCTTGTACATATATAACTTTAACCTGTAATTTACCTACCAAACCGTATTGCCATTCCAACTCCATTGTGCGGTTTTGCGATGGTGGACTTCCTACACCTGGGTAAATAACAAGAACAATACACAAATAGTTAAAAGTAAAAACATCAACAGCAGAATTAGCAGAATAAGGAATGTTTTGTTAATCCTTTTCTCCTTTTCGCCGCCGGCCTAGAATCTTGGAATTGATAAATGGAGGATATTAGGTGAGTGGAGAGTACTACTTCCTTTCTTCCTCCCCCCAATATGAGGAGCCAACCAACCCACCTGGATTCTGTCCACTGAATATTCCAAACCCAAAAGGGGATCCAGCACTTAATGTTGCTTTGTCGTTATTTGACTTTTTTTTTTCAGTATCGAAACGAACAAAACTCAAACTTGTTTTAATCTCCTGACAAAGATTCATGGGTCGACCCCAACAGGGCTTGGTGGCTCTCTCGTGCAAATATAATTTTGACTTTGCAAAGTTTCTTTGACCCATTTCCCCCTTTTTCTCTTTTGTCAAGTCTTGTAATTAAGTATCTGTTTAATTAGTGCATGGTTGGGGTTTACACAGCTGTTTATGAGATTCAGAGGTGGTTTTGATCAATGGAGAAGTTACAGTAAAGTGTCGTGTGAATTGCATGTGTAAATTTACTTAATTAGTGGTTTCAGATGTAAGCAGCTATTCATGCTTACGGGAATGTGTAAGAACTTAGATGGGATTAATGTTTGAAAAGAGAAATATCTGCCTCTGTTTGAGGTTTCTATTTCAATGTATGCAGCAGGCAGCAATTTGTGGACATTACAGTACTCATGGCAAAATGATGGATGCATGCGTGAGGTCAAGGGTTGTTTAGTAATTTGATAGGCTTAAGTAACTTAGGGTTTCGTATAAAAGTCTATAAATTGTACGTTAGTAATTTTTCGTCTGGATTATCAATCAATAAATAATCAACGAATAGTTCAACGTATCTTCCAAACTCTCTAAAATCCTCTCTTCTCCTTAAATCGGCTACCAGCAGGTTCTTTCTCTTTTTCCTCAAATCTTTGTCTGAATCTCCCTATTTGTGTTTTGTAATCACATCCTATTACGACAATCTCAGGCGTCAAGATCCATACCCCCATCACAAGAGCCTAATTATGATTATCAATGTTCAAGTGAATTAGGGTATTTGCTAGAAATCAGGTAAAAGTTTCCCATTTAAATCCTAAAATCAGTACTTATACGTTTTGGGTTTGATTTTTACTAATAAATTTTTACACTTAAAAGTCACATAACATTGGTATAAAATCTATGATTTTTTGAAAAATTATATGGTTTTTGAAGTTCGAATCAACTGAGGCAAACTGAACAGGCAGGGTCGGGTTCTAAACTATGCATAAGAGATTGTACTATTCTACTTTGTAAAATGACAAATTCTCTCTATAGCTTGCAAAATTGTGTTGATGCATTGCGATGTGGTGTCACTGGGTGATTTATTTTTGCATCACTTGTATCGTCACCATTTTGTGATTATACTTCAATATTTGTACTTCTGATTTTCTGTGTCTAATTGTGGTATAAATATACAAGAAACTACAAAAGCAAAGAGAGAACCCAACAAAGTTTAATCATGCGCCTGACTAGAAGAATAGCGTAGAGAGCCTTAAACAAGTGCCCAAAAGAGCTCTAACATAGTTCCAGCATATTCTCAAAGCTACATTCTGCATATCCTCTTTGCTAAAAGTGAAATCATTAATTAGCACACCAGTGAAGGTATAATACAAGTGCAAATCATTGCAATCATGTAATATAAACCCTAGCTAAAACATCTTTTTAACTACCACAACCCACCATGCGGATTGCGGAGGAGGAGAAAAAGAAGGGTCGCGTGTTACAAGCGTTGAAATGATAATTTATTCGTTCAAAGTTACGTACGACAATCACTCGCGACTAAATCTTTGTTGGTAATCACTCCGACTAAACCACAATTACTATACATGTAAATTACCAAAGACGCATGTTTGAATTTAGAAAGTTTTCTATTCGAGTTCATAGAATATTTAGGGTTAGGATTTGCTGTTCTTAACTCATTTTTCTTGTATGGAAAAGAAATATTTTAATGAACCAAAATATATACTCATTATTACCCGAAACCAAACAAGAAGATCATAAATGGACATAGACTTTGCAGATATCTTAAATATAATAATAAGTTAATTTAATAACGAAAGCACTAAAGTAAGTCAAAGGAAAATGGGAAAGAAGTCAAAACCTCGCACTACATTAAATTTATTATTATATGATTAATAATTAATTTGCAAGAAGAAATTAAAGAAGGTCAAAATATAATTTTTGTTATAAAACTTAAGTACTGTCGTTATCATTGCCACACCATGACGACTGGTCACATTTGAGTCAAATGTTATGGGTGGGAAATTCATAGAAACCGTAGAATTAGCAAAGGTTTCCCTTCCACCTTAGTTCAATGCTTTTTGTAATGCAAAATGTTGACGTTTGTCCACTTCAAAAAAATTCATATTTCTTTTCTCTTAAGAAAAAGTTTCATGCTCATCGAGCTTGGTTTGAGAAGATTCGATCGTGCGATTCTGAAGCCGGTTTTTCTCAAAGTCAGAATGAGCCTTCATTGTTTTCGAGATCGACAATCCAAGGTGTTATTATCTTACTTATTTACGTGGATGATATGATATTTCACGTGATAATCGTGCAGGGCGATAGATCTCTGCATATCTTAAAGATAAAGGACATGATCATCAGCTCTTTCAAATTTCAATCTCATCTATGTATCTTTCGCTTCAAGTTCAGGAAGACTCAATTACGAAATAGAGAACATAACGAATGACTCTACATCGGGAATGAATGGAAATTTCTTTGATCTCATTTCAGTGGAGCTTCCAAAATAGTTAATGCTCATCATCAACAACTCTAGGTTATGGTGCTACACGCATGCTGTTAGCCTTGCTAAACAATATTAACCAAAATTATGGCGGCCAAACATGATATCAAATCTTTGTGGGGGCCGACCGTGAGATATAGAGAATCAACGAGCAATTTGGGAGGTTCGGAGGGCTTCGGCCCCAAACCCTAGCTGGTGGATCGGCCAGTTGCCATTTTATATGTTAGAGGTGGGAGAAAAAAATTATACAAACAACAATAATGTCCAAAGATGGGGAAAAAGAAAGGCACTTTGCAAATAAAAAGCAAAAAATGGAATTCCAAATCTGTACGTCTACCATGGATTTTGCTATCCTTCTCACAAATGTGAGAAGGTGTTTGTAAGGTGTCTGGTGCTGTTGGATCGAGCGCGTGCTTTGTTATTGTTGGATGGAAGTGGTGTGACGTTCTTGCGAGAATTGTAAAACCGTATTTGAAATTGCATAAAAAATTACACATATTTTCACCCATATTCTTGAGCCGTTTGAGAGGTTGACTCTCGGATTTCACGCGAGGTTGTGTATTTATGTCGTATTTCAGGACCCGGCGTTGGAATCGAGGCGAAGGAACGAGATTTGGGTCGAAAGGAGCAAGTGAGGCTTGAAGTGTGCTGGAGGAAAAAATACCCGGCCATGACCAAAAATACCCGGTCGGGTATTATTCTGAGGAGGCCGGGTATTTATTGTTTTGGCACCCGTGAGAAACAGGAGGGGTCCCGGGCTGGAGGCAAAAATCCCCGACCGGGGATTATTGGGACAGACCGGGTATTTTTCCTTTCCTCAAAACGTGCGTTTCAACAATACCCGGTCGATACCCAAAATACCCGACCGGGTATTTCGACCGGGTATCGCGACAGGCAGCTGTTTTAAAGGAAAAGAAGGCCAAAGATCAAGGGGATTCGAGTTTGAGAGAGAGAGAGAGATCGATTCCTAGAGTGAGAAAGTGACGAACAAGAGTCTCCAAGTGCCCTAGCTTGATCTTCAACACCATTGGAGGCCAGCTTGAGCTTGGAGAAGTGCCGATCAACATCCAGGAGCAAGAATCCATCTTTCACAGTATGAATTCCGCGTCTGATTATGCTTTTGCTTCTTTCTCCATGGAGTAGTTCTCCCATTCATCTGGGTATGGAGAACCCTAGATTTGTATGTTAGGTTTGATTGTATGAACCCAAGTACTGATTCTATGATTTGATTATATTCAATTGAGGTTTGAATGATTGAATGGCATGAATCCTGATCAAATTCCTGTTGTTTATGCTTTAACCTAGAATGAGAATATCTGCCTAGGTTGATAGAGCATCATTGATTGAAGGTAGGGAGTTGGTGACTTTAGTCGAGGAGCCAACTCACTATTCTGTACCGAATTCACTTCGGTAGTGGAGGTTTTGTTGTTAGGGCCTCAATCTGTTTACTCCGGTGGAGGTTAGTCGCCCGCTAGAGACTCAGATTGAGAGGGTCTGAAGACCTTTAGTCGAGACTTCAGGCTGTTTAGGAACCTTCCGCAGTATAACTATCATAGAAACTGAACTTGGTAATTACAATCCGGCTTAACTGCAGTCTAGGGGGAACCATATCCGGGTGGCCTCTCTTAACCTGAATACAACCGTTTACTTGCTTTGTTAGTTTGTTAGTTTAGACTTGCATTAAAGTTTCATTGCTAGATAACAAGAATTCACTGAGTAGTCATCAAATCTAGGACCCGGGTTGACATTTAAACCCAAACCCGCTATACTACACTCTAGGAAGTGGTTTCACTTGGCCAATTCCTGGAGTGACAGTAGAAGTGAGTCAAGTTTTTGGCGCCGTTGCCGAGGACGGCTAAGTTGTTGAAGAAAAGTGATTTCTGTTAATTTAGCTTTTCTTTTCGCTTTGTTTGCTTTGTCCCACTTGTGCCTTCACGGGTTTGTTTGCTTGAGTGTGTGCAGGTAGTGCATGACCCGTAGCCAGTCGGGAGGTTTACTGCCGTTGAACCCAGAGATTGACCGCACCTGTTGACAACTCAGGAGACAACAGCGAGCTAGACTGGCTACGGAAGAGCGCATAGACGGCCACCTGAGCAGCGATTCTGAGGAAGAGTACGGGATGGACGGAGAATACAATCCACACCAGGGGAATCCTCAGCAGGCTCCCCCGGGGAATCAGGTCCTGGGGAACAACCCCATACCCCAGGATCATGGGGCTCATCATCATCCACCGCCGTCGGGTCCCACCTTGGAGTACTACTACACTCCACGGATTGCTGACATCCGCCCGGTCATCCTCTACCCGCCTATTCCAGCAAACAACTTCGAGATCAAGCCATGCTGGATTCAGCTCATTACATCCTCTATCCAGTTCCATGGCTTGAAGGATGAGGAGGCCAGAGTGCATCTTTCCCGTTTTCTGCAGCTGACGAACGGGTTCAAGCTTAATGGTGTCCCTGATGATGAAATCCGCCTTCACCTTTTCCCTCATTCTCTGGCGGGGAATGCTAAGAGGTGGTTGGAGACCCAGCCCCCATTGTCCATCACCTCTTGGGACGATCTGGCCGACAAATTTGTGCACAGGTACTATCCGGCATCGAAGACTACAGAGATCCAGCGGGAGATCACTCACTTCCGCCAAGAGTCAGATGAGTCACTTCGTGATGTTTGGGAGCGGTACATGGGATATTTCTGGCAGTGTCCCCATCATGGCTTTAGTGATGCATTCACAGTGGGGAACTTCTACAGTGCTCTCTCTCCGGACAGTCAGAGGGTGATTGAGTCTCTATGCCCAGGAGGGGATATTCTTACTAAGACTCCACCCGAGTAGTCATCAAATCTAGATCCCGGGTTGACATTTAAACCCAAACCCGCTATACTACACTCTAGAAAGTGATTTCACTTGGCCAATTCCTGGAGTGACAGTAGAAGTGAGTCAGACATGGTGTGACGTTCTTGCTAGAATTGTAAAACCGTATTTGAAATTGCACCAAAAAGCTTAATGGTAGGTATGTTGTGTTGAAATCATGGTATAAATCGTGGTACAATCATTTCGTGCCGTCAAAATCCCATACCGACCGTCAAAATCGCATACCGACTTGGATTTTGACAGACGATTTTTTTTTTTTCAGTCGGACCACGTCAAGCACCACCTTCCGAGGTCTACCGTCCGTGAAGAATCAGCAAGTGCAAGGAAGGTCTAACTATAAAAGAAAATCGTGGCTGATTGGAATGACCTTAATTAGCTACTGTAGTTGCATGGTGGATGATGAACCGACTCCTTTCCTTTCTTTTCTTTTCTTGATGGAGATTATCAACTCTAGCCTCTCTCTCTTTTTTCCCCACGTTATTGAGTTAGTCGGTTCAATGATTTAGCTAGTTTCAATAGAAAGCTACATATTATCAACACGTATTATAAGATCTCTAGTAGCTGCATATCGTTTGAAATAAGGAATTTGTCGAATATTCACGAGAGATCAGACATTTGATACAGAAAATGCAGTGAAAATTATGTGATTGCTACTGTTTTTCTGTATACTATTTCTACTACTGTAGTGTAAAGAATTGAATGGGCAGACATTCTAAAAAGGAAGAGAAGTGGGAGGAGAATCACAATGATGTGACAAATATTGATTAGGAGAGTGTTTATATATTGGGGTTTAATTAAGCAAATAAGTACTTTCAAGCACTACACGAAAAAAAAAAACAAAGCAAAAAGGCAACCAACATACTTGACTTTTGGCAATTCAAACGACCTGTAGACCGCACGAGGAAAGTGTCCTTTTCTCCCCACCAAAAAAAAACCCTAATTTTAATGAAACAAGCCGAGAAAGGCAACATATAGACAAATTTTAATTCGACATAGATGGAGGAGATGAATAAATATAAAAAAAATATTGCCTAATAAATACAAAAATAAATATATGAATGAATGAGTATGATGATTTGATTGATGCTTTTCATCCTTAGCTCCCATAGACTCATCTGAATTTGTTTTTATGTAGAGTTGTGGTTAAGATTTATATTTCCTTTTGCCTATTTGAGTTATTGAGATTAATTGATTTATGACATGGTATTAGACTTTGTTTGATAATGAGGCTACCTTTTTCAAACTGTTAATACCGCGAATATTAACAGTTGCCTTGAAAAGCATTTTGATATAAATGATATGATCAAACTTCAAGCCCATAAATTGACTTTCGTTTGAAGGAGCGTGTAAGGAACTAAGTAAGTACAAACTGGTTCATGATTCTTATTTTTGTTTGAATTTGAAAATTTATACTCAGTATATAACTCTTATGTAAAGTTTAGGTCTTCTTTAGTATTAAACCTAAAAGATATATTTTTTTATCACTAAATAAACAACTCATTAGAGACAGAGTGCTTTTGCAAAAAAAAAAAAAAAAATTTGGGTAGATTGGAATCTCTGGCTTTCAGGGCTGTGGAGGCTAGCTAGCTAGCAATGATGCCAATGCAATTGGGAAGTTTCCCCATTGAGGAAAACCATAAACAAGGTTGGCTGAAACTTGGGAAGATTGAACAGAGAAAAAGGTTGGCACAAGCTAGGGACAGATGGTATTCACTTGAAATTGTCGAACAGAGAACTTTTCATGCAAACCATCAACATTTCATATACTGCTGCAATTGTTTATGGAACGAGTGGACAGTACAGAAGGAATCTCTATTACTTTATTTCTCTACTAAAGAATCCCTATCATTTTGGAGTATTCTGAGCTGGTGGGGAGGTTTGATTATGATATCATGAGCTATACTTTCCAGCCGACTTGTTGTTTTCATATGGTTCTGATAAAAAAATCGCTTTAAACTATAGGGGAGGGGAGCATACCGTAGGAATAGAGGAGATTGTATTTTGATACAGTCAGTTCATGGTTTGTATGTACGAGTGATATGCACTAAACAGTTTTGAGCTAGACATCTTTGAATGGAAATAAGAAAGGTTGCATGGTATGTATGTACGAGTGATATGCACTAAACAGTTTTGAGCTAGACATCTTCGAATGGAAATAAGAAAGGTTGCATGGTATGTATGTACGAGTGATATGCACTAAACAGTTTTGAGCTAGACATCTTCGAATGGAAATAAGAAAGGTTGCATGGTATGTATGTACGAGTGATATGCACTATACAGTTTTGAGCTAGACATCTTCGAATGGAAATAAGAAAGGTTGCATGGGGTTGAACTGGAATGTGTTTTTTCATATGGCTGAGACCGAAAGTTTGGTAATTTTAGTAATCCAGTTTATTATGAATCAAATCAAATTTGGGTAATATCACTTTTGGGATAGATTCATACCCGACATTTTAGTTTGAATCAAAATTAGACCTATCATATTGGGTACCCAATTCTAGTGAGGTGTTTTGGTTTTTCTTTGTTCTAAAACAAACATAAATATGAAACACACGGACACTGAAGGAGTGAATTATATTGGGTTGAATGCCGCAAGTGAGCTAGTACGATCGATATTGCCTTCTTGTGTGTAGAATCATGATCGCGACCCAATAGACTCATTTAGATCCGACCCAAATAGATTGACTCAACCCAACTCCAAAACTATTAAGAGTTTATATCAGTATATTTGAATAAAACTCAATACCATTATAAATCTTATTTGTCAAGCCAAATCCAAAACTATAATTAAGAGTGTACATCAGTTTATTTGGGTCAAACTCAATACCAATATAAATATAAATCATAACAATTAAGAGTAATTACCAAATGAGTCTATTGATTGTATTCCTAATAATATATAAGTGTTTTCCTTTAAAAAAAAATCAAACATATGGTATCTTTTTGAATGTACCATAGCAAAAGGAGCCATGAATAAGCATCAACCCTTTAGTTTATTTATTCTTTTTTGTCTGTTTTAACAAATTCATTTCTGGCCAGCCCAAGTGCCCAATCTGCTAATAAAATTGCTGTACCATTGCTGTGATCCTTCAATGCCCTGATGCCGTGGCTATGAAAAAATGGAGGGCTCCAGAGAACTACCACTTTCCTTAAGGACTATTGGCGGCAGTCAATGTGACGGTTCAATTTGATGTCCAAAACAACAACAATTTGTAATGTCAAAAAAGTTTTAGAGAGTCACTTTCTTTTGCTTTTGAATCAATGGTGAAATGCATTCATGTACATGAATGGCATTGTCAACGAAGGTCAAAAACCACGAGGCAGGCAAAATGCTAAGTACCCGACGCAAACAAATTCTTCAGCCATCACTTAGAAAATGACATCTCTTCCCAACCCACAAAAGAAAATGATGAGGACATCACTTCTATCCTAAATTTGAGTCTTATCGCCTCCACAGCAAATAGTTTGTATAATCACGAAACTAACGGTACGGATCGTTTAGAAGTTGAAAATTAACGACAACGTAACAAAAATCCAAATGTGTCACATATGTATATATATAACAAAGTAAAGAGAAGAACTTTTTAACCACCAAACGGATAATCTGATTCTCTTAGCCAGCTTGCAAGAGGGTGGATTCCGTGACCCACCTTGGCTCGGGATTAGTACACCAAAAATAACAATATTTGTACACAATTTATAATACTCAAACCCAACACCTCATGTTCAATAGTTTTACTTGTCTACAAACATATTGTAAAAAATATTTGTGCCACACATTAACCTTGCTTATTATGTAAATAACTCTAAATTTGACATAAAACTATGTCTCTAGTTATCTATTTTGAGTTTACTAATTCTTCATCCTCAAACGAAAACAAGTTGATAATTCAAATTTTAATAAAATTTATATTATAAATTTTGGATCATAATCACTAGTGAATTACTACAAACAATATTGTTGATCTTCCTTGATGATGCATTAAAAAGGGATAAAAAAAAATTAACAATATAAGACATTAAAAAACAAATAGATTTACGTGGTTCATTAACACGACGTGTGTTAGTTAATCTATGGACAAGAGATACTAGTTTAACTATACTTATAGAGATACAGGTTACATAGGAATGAGAAAATATATATAGCACATTCTCCATATAGTTTAACCCTAATCCAATATGAAAAGTACAAAGGTTACAAATTAGACACAAAACTAATAATCCTGTCAAAGGCTTTTCCTTTCTGCATCCAAATACACAAAAGGTAAAAATCGGTAAGATCCGACTAATCTCTATTATTTGTCATAGTTGGACATCTGTGATTGTAAGAAAGATCCTTGAATCAAAGGAAGATTAAGAGAAGAACGGTATGAAGGTAGGTAATATAAAATATAAATAGAAGGAAATATCAAGGGAAAAGAACTAAATGTGACAAAGCAATTCTATGCAAAACAAGATCAAACACTCTGTGATTAGCTATAGGTGTGAGAAATTATAGGTGATCATTCTCTGTATAGCTTAAGTTATTGTGAGCTAATGTAGTTTCTCTATTTAGCGTGAACTCTTACGAGGAAGGAGAGAAAATGTTATATTGTTCTATTCTTGTCCAGTGTTTGAATTCCAGCCAAACAAACCAACTTGGAGTTAGATTGGAATAAGGTCAGATCAAAACCTAAACACTATAGGTAAGCCACCTTTGAGCCGCGAGACGTAAACAATAGGCTGAACTCGGTTAACAAAACATCTTGTATGTGTTCATCTCTTCACATTACCTTACTCTATGGTGTGAATGAGTTGATAGAGGTTCTCTAATCTCTACGAGATAGCCAAACAGCAAGTCCATGAAAGCCCAAGACCCCAGATCCAATCAGTAACCCGCTCGAATTTCTTTCATTAGATCTTTATTACTAGATATATATGTGTGGTTGTGTTCTACAAATCCGACTTCCAATCAACGATAGATAATCCGACTTCAAATCATAACTACAGTTGTATTGACGTATTACTCGATAAACATTCACAATAGATTTTCTAGTCATACCCTACCTACTAAAAGAAATTTGCTACACAACGCAACCTTATAGAATCCCACTTAGCCGTCTAATATCGAGTATAGCAGCCAAATAACCAATCTTAACCCAAACCATCCAATATTTATCAATCATCACCCCATTAGAAAAATCATATACTACACTACCACTCTTCCCCTTTTATTTTCCCTCCCTTTTCCTGATCCGCCTATAAATACCACCTCCCATTTCAATTCAAACTCTTCAAACCATTCCCATCAATCAAACTTGCCTCTGCAAACTTACCCACAAAAACAATCCTTCTCCTCTCTCAAATCACACTCTGATCAGCCACCATGGCGAAAACCTTGTACCAATGCTCCATTCTCCTCACACTCCTCGCCTTCCACTCAATCCTGCTCACCACAGAATGCAGGCAGCTCCGGTCCATTACAAACCCACCTCCGGCCGCCATACTTTCCGATCACGACGAAGGATCGAAGGAAGACTTCCGCCCCACTGCTCCCGGCGTCAGCCCCGGCGTCGGACACCCCAATTTGAATGACAGCTCGCCCAGCACCGGAGCAAACGAACAGAGCACCAAATCCGAGGACGCCGAAACCGGAACTAGCAATGCACCGGGTGAATCGGACAATTCGGGCGGGAAGGACGATTTCCGACCGACGGCGCCAGGGTTCAGCCCCGGGGTCGGCCATTCGGTCGGGTTGCAGAACAGAGGAGGCGATGAAAAAACAGGGGAGGTGATTATGGCGGCAGAGAGCTACAACAGCGACGATTTCAGGCCGACCGCTCCTGGGTTCAGCCCGGGAGTCGGGCACGCCGTGCTGACCGACGACAGCGTCGACGCTTTCCGGCCTACGAAGCCCGGGCAGAGCCCCGGAGTCGGCCATGCGTCGGAGCTCGAAAACAGGGGTGTGAAAAACAGAGGATACTCTGTTTCGGGAGAAACAGAGGATTTTAAACCCACGCAGCCTGGACACAGCCCCGGAGTTGGACATGCCGCCGTGTTTACGAGCAGCAAAAGGAATGGCAGGAAACGAGAACCGACTCAACCTGGACACAGTCCTGGAGTCGGGCATGTCGCCGCCATGAATGATGATGGAGAAAGTAGTACTACTGCTCCTCCTTCGCAGAAGAACGATTTCAGGCCTACTCAGCCTGGACACAGCCCTGGGATCGGGCACAAGAACTAGGGGAAAGAAGTATATGATCATAGAAAATTAGACATTGATGATCAAACTATGCACATTTGGATGATTATTAGTTATTATTGATTATTGATTCTCTATTGTAGTATGGTAGTGTTTGAGGTAAAAAGGTGGGAGAGATATAGCTAATCCCTAATTAGTCTGATGCATATTATATGTATGTGTATTAAATTTTTAGTGTTCATTTTCTCTATTAGAAAACCAAAATTTGTACTTGCTCCTTGAGTAAAATTATAAAAAAAGATATATTGGCATTTTGCACCAAGTTGTGTATTTTCTTTCTTATCTCTTTCACTTTGAAAAAATAGCATATGTAATAGAGTGATTGTATTACAAAAATAACAATTGAGTGGTGTTGATACACCCCTTTTCAGTATTTTGACCACCCTATAGTTTAATGGGTTCCTTCCACTCTTATTAAAAAAAACCTATTGTATGCCCTAAATAGAAATTAGAAAGCAACTTTGTATGCAGATTATTTCTACTCTAGCCTAGAGGATTTTAGCTTTTGGGTTTGTTTATTGGGAAATCAAGCTTGGTTGTCCTAATGAATTGGGCCAAAATGTTGGCTAGATTAGCAAGCAGTAATAGACTAATAGTAGTTTGATTTAAGAGGTAAATAGTAATATTCACATGTTCTTAGAGTTATTGACCGGTAAAAGTTATCATCTAAATTTTTTGCTTGTAAGTAAAGAAGCGGATGATCTCGATAATTTGAGTTATCTGAAGTGATGTCGACTAACATTTGAACTTGCAAATTTGTGTGGAGACATTGAAGATAAATTAGATAATTTGATATTGGCATGATATGAAAATGTTTGATGTCTGAGATCTAGTTTATACTAAAAAATTATAATTATACTCAAATTTGAACTCTTCATGTCAGTGGTTTATTTTTCAAATAATAGATTAACTCTTTATTATATGCAATGTATACAAAATGCATGTGAATTTTTCTTTTTAATTTATGATGACATGTAAAACTCATTATTTCACAATAGAATGCTTTTTTTACTATGCTCCAAAACCTGTGGTACATTGTTGACGTGTCTTAAAAATATATTGCACGACCTTTCTCGTATGTTTTTTTTTTTACTACGCTTTATAAATTTTGTGGTGTGGTGAGGTTTTAATATGTTTTATAAGTTTTTTTTGTATATTTTTATGATATTCGTGGTGTATTTTGTTTTGTTTCTAGCAAAGACTTAAAAACATTAAGGTACCGCCAGTTTGATAAGAATAATACCTTCTACCATAGGCTAAATCTGTAGATGGTATTTAATGGTATTAAATGATTAGACCATGGTTTCAACATAAAATTCCATACTACTAACTTTTTCGGTACAACTTCTGGTACGGTTTTACAATCCTTGGTTTTTATTTTGTGGTCCCCTGATTAATGCACAAGACACATGCGTGTGCCCCACACTTTTAATAATGACAAGCGAGCTCCTCCCTATTATAAATTCGCATTAATTGTGTTCAACCCATTCGAATAAAAAAACAGTAATCAAAATCAAATGTCCTTATTGGTTAGAGCAAGTTTTAACATGATGCTAACAAATTGTGCATTTGTATTATAAGTGTATCCACGAGTGAATCAGTGAAATCTGTAAAGAAAGTCATTTCAAATTTAACATCATGGTTACTAGGAAATAGAGGAGAAATGGTATCAAAGGAGTGATGAATCATTGTATACAACAACATTGCAGTTGCAGAGAAAGTTTTCTAATCCAGTTGGATTCAAGGATTGCTCGTGTTAGGCTCAAGGATAAAAGCCCAACGGGCTGCCTCCCGACCCAAACGAGTTTAAAAGTTTACAAAGTCATAACCCAACGTCACATAGAGTAAAATTTCCGCAGAAATAGTGACAGCCTAAAATTTTGCACTAACTACGTTAGTAAGTTTTTTTTTTTTTTTACAAAAGATAATCATTTATATTGATTGGATCAAAAGATATTACATTCTGGATGCCAGCCAGGCCTGGAAATCATAACCACAACTAGTAGCCGGAAACAAAACAAGGGCCTTTCTAGCCACCGAATGAGCTACCCTATTGTTAGTCCGACCTACAAAACGAACTTGAAGCGCACTATGATTTGCAAACACCCCAACAATCTCTTCTAGAATCGCCCCAATCTGAACATCATGCACATCCCTCTTAGTCACCTTGTCAATGATACTCTGAGCGTCCGCTTGGAAACAGGCCTCCTGAAAGCCCAACTCCAGACACCATGCCACTGCTTCCCGAAGAGTCAGTGCCTCAGCCACCAAAGGGCTATCAAGACCCGGAAACTGCACACCACGAGCTAACAGGATATTCCCTGCGAGATCCTTAAGGACGATCCCTCCCGCCGCATGTGACCCAGGCTTAGTTGCACCATCCCACATACAGGTAACCGACTGAACCATAGTGGTCGGACCCGGAGGAGAGAAAGGATTCTGCAAACCTAGAGCCGGGTCCACCGGAAGTCTCACCCATTCTTGGTATTGCTGAAGATACTGACGCAGCAAAACTGATATCCCAAATTGCTTTCCTTCAAAGACCACCCAATTTCGTGACCGCCAAATACGCAAAGGAGCGCAGTCACCACCATGAACAAAGGGGGCTGATTAATAATGGACATCAGCTTCTTCAAGAAGAGGGGAAAAGTGTGCCGGGGCAAGCCTTGAACAAGATGTTCCAGTCCGGCCTGATCCCACAGGGCCCTGGCTACCCGACAATCGAAGAAAAGATGCTCCAACGTCTCCTTCTCTGCCCAGCAGACAGGACAACGGGGCTGAACTTCAATACCCTTCTCGATCAAAGCTTCAGTAGTCGGAAGAATTTGGCAGAACACTTGCCAGAGGAAAACTTTCAAATTAGGGGGAATATCAACATTCCACAACCGGATCCAGCTCGACCTATCCATCCAGCTAACCACATATCGCCACCTCCCCTCTTGTTTATCAATCAAAACAGCGAGATGGTAAGCGGATTTAACTGAAAAGAGCCCATCAGCAGTCATGTGCCAAATCAGCCTATCCTCAACATTCTGTCGAGGGAGGGGAATAACCTTAATCGCACGGCAAACTACCGGATCAAACCGTTGCTGGAGCTTCTCATCACACCACCTGCCTTCTCCCGGACAGAGAACCTCCTCCACCTTCGGATCCCCCCAACAGGAATTACCTGAGGATTATAAACCGGGCTATTAGGGTGAAGGAGAGGAACCCAATTAGAAGATACAAGAGAGGCAGTCCGCCCATTCCCAATATGCCATCGAAGGCCACGGAGCAGCAAATTTCGACCATAAAGGATACTCTGCCACCCCCAAGAGGGCCGAGACCTTAGGGTAGCAGTGAGAAAAGTACCCCTAGGGAAGTATTTTCCTTTGTAGACCTGAGCCAGGAGGGATTGGGGATTAGACAGGATTTGCCACCCAATTTTTACCAACAAGGCCTGGTTAAAATGTTCAAATCTTCGAAACCCCATGCCACTCTCATGCTTACTAGTGCACATATTGCGCCAGGACACCCATCTAATCTTGGAATACCCCCCTTCAACTCCCCACCAGAATCGAGCGACATGCCTATCCAGGAGTCGGCACAGAGACAGGGGGAGCTTAAAACAGGACATCACATGAAGAGGTAAACATTCGGGCAGGACTCCCCAACTTTTGAAAAGCAGTTAACATGCACATACCTATGAAACGTGTACAGATTCATAGTAGCGGCGGATCCAGGAAATAGTAGAGCACTGGGCCGGATTTCATTAAAAAATTAGATATCATAAAAGAAAAATAACTCTAATTTTTCTATAATGTCAATTTTATACGACTGTATTTTAATATAGCAAACTCATCAATAATATAGTCTACATCCATACCAATAGTATACTTTCTTCCAAATGAAATAGTTAAGCAATCACCGAGAAATTCATCGCTCATCTTGTTGGGCAAATAAGTTTTCACATGTTTCATTGTTGAAAAGGTACTCTCCGTAGTATCAACACCGTACAAATCAATTGACTAATCAATTTGTATTGAGTGTCCAAACCCTATTTTCACCAGCTGCTCTAGTAATTTTTAGAGGGAACAAACCTCATATTTCTATTTCTCTTTTACGTTTTAGACTTTAAGACATTTAGGTTCATTGTTTTTCTTTGTAAGAAAATCATTTGAGCCTAGAATTTCTAGGCTGAATTAAGAGTTGTGGTTTGAATATGTTTATCTGAATCATTTTTCAAATTAAACACAATCTTATAGTAAATTAACACCAGTCCGAATATCTTAAAACGAAAAAAATTTATAAGTACTATACTAGCTTTGAATCCAGGGCTCGGGCGGGGCCCGGGATGGCCACACCTGAATCCGCCACTGATTCATAGTAGCCTAGCATAACTAGTGACAGTCATTACAGATAGTAGCTGCTTAAACATTGCTTAATCACACTATTAAGACAACCCATTATAAATTACATGTATTTTTAAAGGTAGAGACAGCCCCAGCTTGACTCAGGTTGGCAGCCGCAATATTTTTCAGCCAGGCAAAGTATCGTGCGATTCACTCTGGTAACCACAATGTCTTGCAGTTCCTACCTAGATTCGGAGATTCCCAAAAACCAAAATGAACAGTATAATCATAGCCCGTGTGTGTTGGGACAAATTTGACGAGCTATAATAAGTGCAAGTTGTGAAAATAAATAAGATCAAGCCTAACTAACACCACCCATGTGCAGTCCTTTAATTTAGATCGTTTTTGGCCCCCAAAAAGTTGAATTTGGAGGGCAGAGGTGTCGAGAATCAGGTGGTTCTAATAACTCGAGTTCCTGTGGCTCTGTGCAGAGCACTAGAGCAGCCGTCGCTGATTTGTTGAAAGGAGGAGGACGACGTACGGATGGTACAAAATTAGAAATGGGGTGTTTGATGGTGGGCTGGTTGAGTGGTTGTGGAAGATTTGAGATTTTTTTTCTTCCTAACTTGATCAAAATGTCATCGTCTTGACGTTGTAGAACTTCTTTTAGTTTCCTCGGTTTGATTTGAATCGCGGTCGGCGTATACCGCGATATATTGGTCCAACCGCTAAACACCGGCAAATCACAATCTTTTTTGCCTTCTTTAATCATATACCGTTTCAGTCTTGACTCCTATACCAATTTTTAGCGGCTGAACCGACGGTACGATACAATTTTTTTTAGTTCCTTTGGTATAAACTAATGAGAGGGAGCTCAGGTTTTTGGTGGGTAGTGGGGTGGGTGGTTATAATGAAAGAGCCCAATGAGCCAAAAAGCTGGAAGCTTTTAAAGTGAATATGAATCGCCATATTTGTTGAAGCCATTGGAAAGGGCAAAGCTGCTCCATTCTTTGCCTGTACTAAAATGAAGCTTTTGTGTTTCTTTGGCTAATGCGCTGTATGTCGTCTCCTACCTTTTGCTGTTGTTTTTGGGCAGTTAGTGGGCACAATGTAGGCCAAGAGAATCTGGAGCCAATTCCCTCCGCCACCCACTTTGGCGGGATCATGATTATGAATGTATATTCTTTTGGGACAAAGAAATCGGAGAAAAGGGCTTAATGTGCCCAAAAGTACCTCACGTGTCAAAGGGCAGTAAAAATTTTCTTGAAGGGCTTAAGGACAGTTGATGAAAAGATTAGAAGGTTGATGATGGCGTGTAATTAATCTTTGATGGGATGAATCAAACTTGACTGACTATCATAGTAATAAAAAAAAAAATGTGTGTGCAATGTTGATGATATTCTACTCGTTATTTGTGATATCGACTTAATTACTGCATGAATTCAAGAGGTTCCTGATGAAGAGTTTCGAAATGAAAGATTTGGGTGACGCCCTCTTTTGTATTTGGGTATTGAGATACTGAGAGATCATTCTTGAGGTATATTCAAATTTAACACACAAGATAATAACTAAATCGATAGTGTTTTGAGAGGATTCGACATGAAATAGTATAACCCAGCAAATACGTACATCAATAGAGAGTCTACATGCTTACTTATACTAGCAGTTAGTAGCTCAAATTTGAACACAGAGACAACTGGCTAAAAACTTGAACACAATATTTTCACCATATAAACAATCAATTGGTTCAACTTGGAGTAGGTAGAAAATGAAGTTCTAATATCGATCGTACTATATATCACCACTGTTATAAAAAAAAAATTATATGATATCTTCCCCTCCGCTACTATGTGCCTTTTTCGGGTCGTGTATTATATGTAATCAACATTTGTTTTTTCATCTCTTTTTAAATAAACAAACACTAACCATAATTACAAAAAAAAAATATTATTTAAAAAAATTGTCGTCTTCCTTAAAATTATATTAATTGAAAAATGTCCTCTGTACGATCCTTCCTCAAATTCTTTAACTCCAACTTTCCTGTACCTATGGAATAAAAAGAAATACTAAGATAATTAAAAAAGAATACCAAGCCAACAGAATGAAGAATCTCTTAGCTTCCTTCCATGTGGGACACTAACTAAAATGCAAGTGACCTTTCAGCTACAGTTGAGGGCAGATTATCATCACTAATTATTAATTAAGCTAATTAATTAATTAGGAATCGACAAGATAACCACAGTCGCTAAAGCTTTTGCCTTTGACCGAACTGCAAGTAGTGCTTTTTTAACCATTAATAAAAACACTTCAAGTTGGTTGAAAAAAACAATTCTATGTTAAAAAGGAAAAAGGCACATTCCTTGGAATCTAAAAGTTATTTAATAAGTTTTATCATAAAAACTAATTATTAAAAAGAACTTAAAGTCACAGTTAACTCTAGTGCTACCTTTACATATATACATGCCTCTCTACCTTTGACCAAAATACCTAACATATATATATATATATATATATGGTGACTACTTCGGTGCACTCACAAAAATGAGTGCGTTCAATGCACCCAACTCAAAAACTAGTCTTAAGGTGTCGAATTTGAATTTGAATTTGTAGATTAGTGTAATATGATGATATAACATAAGATAACAACTAATTAGCGGATTACCCTATGCCCTAGACCTCCAATTTTGAGTTCTATCCCTAAACCCCAAATTGTAAACCCTAACCCTAACCCTAAATCTCTAAACTCTAAATCCTTCAAATTAAAGTAAATCTTTGGTGGTTTTTGTGCAAATTCATGTGCGTTATTGTTCATCACATCATAAGTGATGATTGACATCATTTTGACATGAATCGCATGTTTAAAATGACGGTTATGAAGTGAGTGCACTGAATGCACCCAAAAAAGTGGGTGCACCGAATACGTCACCATATATATATATAGCAATATCACAGTAATGTTTTAACTCTCTACGGTGTTGGACTCGAGAATTAAAGAATTCGCCCTTGTGTGGTACAATCGGATTGCTAAGTCCTCGTGTTCGTGCCCTGGTAGTTGCTCCATCTTCTCGACCTTGACAATTTGCGGGTTTTAGATAGGGATGATGGTCACATATCTAAGAAGAAATCTCGATATCTACGTTGAAGGTATCTATCGATCTGTCGTTGTCTTGTGCATAATCAATATTGTGACACATACTATATGATGTCCGCGCTAATAAATTTCGTCATACTTCCATCGGTACAACCTTGTGAGTTGTGTCACTCAAAGGACAAAATCAATCTTTTTTTTCTATATTCTTGACTACAACAGTCCAAGGCCAAGTGAAATGTTGCATGTTCCAGCCTATACTTCACTTACTTATTAATTTATTATTATCATATTATTATATGTAAATTTATAGTTTCACTAATTAATTACCTACAATGCAAGGAATCTTCCTTCAAGTTGGGAACTTTAATTGAACTTCATATGTTAATGGTTCATGTAGTACTTTCCACAGCTGGAGAGGGAGGGAGAGAGTAGTTGATGTTGCTAGGGCATCACATGCATGCAGGCTAGCTTCTATACACTGTACAGCCACCACCCTAAAGCTAGCTAGCTACATGCACACAGCTCCAAGCCAAGGCTGTCAAACCGGTTCTAATCGTTACGCTGGTTTGGTAAGTGACATGATCTGATCGGTTTAATATATATCAGTTTATATATTGGTTTTGCTAAAATTACGCGAGGAGAGATAGAAAGCATTAATACCAAATGAATTATGCACATATATGATCTATCTTAACACATGCAATCTCCCTAAAATCTACAAAGGAAGGAAAAATCATCATATTTAAACGGAACATTTAACGTTAAATCCAACGAGTAACATCAACATTCAAATGCTCATACTTGAATTCTTTTTTTTTTTGTCAATCAATTCCACCAAAATGACATCATTTGTTTAGGGACCAAAAAATTGATCATTCTAGTTTGACCACCGATTCCGATAATTTTTTAACCGATTTTAATTACTGAGGAACAACTTCATGCCGGTAATATTCCAATCAGTTTATGTCCAATGCCAATCGAATCGAGTTGTCCTGGCGGTCGACATACCAGTGGTTTGACAACCATGCTAGCTAGCTCCATACAATACTATATATATCCTCCATACACCATTGCTGCTTCATCTCTCTCTCTCACTGAAAACTAAGCCTGCGTTCCAGCCCATTAATTTACCATTCAATAGTTTCATCCATCGACATTAACAAATGGCAAATACTTCATCGAATATTCGGGTGTTCTTCTTCCTCTTGATCCTCTCGTCTGCTCAACTATTCCGCTGCATCCATGGCGCCAGGCATTTGGAGCCTGTAGCTAGACAAAGCAACAGCGCGACAATCCTCCACAGCTCGTCGTCGCCGACGCCGTCGAATATTTTCGTTGCCACAATTGCAAACATGAGAGATGTGATAAAGACGGCATTATCAATCCATTATCATGTTCATATAAGGAAGCATATAAAAGATGGGTTTGTGGAGGCTTTTCGACCCACCACACCTGGTCACAGTCCTGGAGTTGGTCATTAGTTAATTAGTTATTAATATATCATGCGTATTTGTATTATTTGCTATTGTTATTTTCATGAATATTGTAGTGTAACCCAATTATTTCTAAATTTTATTATTATTTTAAATCGCTCGGTTTAACTATCATGGGATGAACCGTTGAGATTTTGAACGAACCAATTTCATGGTTTGGGGCTTTGGGCTCAACTTGTTTTTATGCATTATTTCCACAAATAAAAAATGAGTAGGTGTGGTTCTTGCCCATTCACTGTGTTCTTTGTTTTCTGGAGTTTGAGGTACCGCTGGAAAAGATACGTTTTTTCTATCATGGGAGGAATTATTTTGTAACGTATAGTAGAATAAAATTTATTAAGAACGGACAGTGTATTCTACCGACTATTATGATTGTATGTACCTGCGTGATTTCATGATGTTGTATATAATTTGTGTTGCAAGAAATTCGATATAGTGACGTTTCGATAAAAATTATAAAATTGAGAAGGAAAATCATGCAAATTGATTTCAAAAATCAAACTAATTGAACTATTGAAAGCAGCAATTCGACCTAGGGAAGAAAAAAATGAAAAAACAGAAAGAAAAAAAAAAAAAAGAAATGAAACGTGGAGTGAGTATGAGTATGAGGATCCACTAGTTCTTGTCCGGAGAATTTTTAATCATTTGAAATCCGCGTATTCCCAGATTTCTGTCTTTCTTTATTGATTCTTCATTAAGCCTGCAACAGAAGGGGAATAAAGGCATTAGTATTTCCCCTTTTTCTAGCTAATCTTTGCCATTAACTGCAAGCCGCAGGAAGAGAATCCTAACTTTGGTTGCTAATTAATGATGGGTATGGGTATTAAGTTCTTAATAAATCCTGATTAGGGAAAGGACGAAAGTTCGTAAGTTAATGAACAGTACATTAATCATAACTTCAGTGGGGACAGTGGCGGAGGCAGGATTTCAAACTACCCTTGTCCTTTATTCAGAATATATATAATATTCCCCTTTACTATGCAGTTTTATCAAACATGTCCCTCTGCTATTTTTTACATCAAATATGCCCATGTACTTTGTTAAAATGATCAAACATGTTCTTCTGTTGAAATTTCCTTCCAAAAACCGTCAACCATGGTCGAACCTTGGCTTGGGCGACACAAATGTCTAAAATATTCCTCTTAATTTCCCTTTAGAATTTTTTTTCTTTTGTATACCCAAATACCTCTAATAATTTCAGCTTAATGAGGTCTAGAGAAGTAAATGAGGGGGAAAACTGACATTTACCTCCCCAATATTGCCGATGTCGCGGGTAGTGTGAATCTCGGTTCAACCGCGGTTGACCATTTCTTAATGAAAATTTTAACATAAGGGCATGTTTCATAATTTTTCTAAAGTATAAGGAAATGTTTGATGTAAAAAATAGTAGAAAGACATGTTTGATCAAATGATATAGTAAAAGAGCATATTATACCTATAACCCTAATTAAAATTTTAAGCTCACTATTCAAACTAATAGAACTGATCCAACTCAACCCACTATTCGCACTGATATTGCAAACTCATGTTTGATATATTTTTTACCATTTCAGTAAATTATTTTCAGACTTTCTGGTTACAAAGTTGATAATTATGTGACCATTCTAAGGGAGAATAGAAATATATTACGGATCTTGTTCGAGCTGCTTTCAAAACTTTATTATATGAATCAATTCTACATTTCCAAGCATCCACCTAACTCAACAAATCTTAACATTCACAAGAAGTAATCAACCAAAATAAACAATAACATGAAATAAACGGTAGACGACTCACTCTCAACTATCGCACACACGCTCTATATAGGTAGGGAAAACTAGTAAAAATTTGTACCTCCACGCACAGGGAACAAAGCATGCAATGTCTAAACAATGAGAATGTTGAAAACTTTTCATGTATCCATGGGCCATGGAAGGCAAATAGAATATGAGACAACGAGCACAACCTCTTGGATGGCTATAAGCTAAGGTCTAAGCCACACCTCTTCCGCCCATTCTCTCATTTCCCTCTTTTTTTTTTTTTTTTCCCCACCTTTTGGGCTTTCAATAGTCCCACTACCCATGATATGTTGGCCTGAAATCACATATGGTCATAAACTAAATGGTCTTTACTAATTCAAGTTATTAAGATAGGTTAAAGATTTTAACCACTTTCTTACACTTCGTGTCAAATGAAAGTTCACTCATCGGCTTTAATCTTGTGCATGCACAATATACCATGTGCTTTAGGACAACTGTTAATATTGATAGTCGTAAGGACTTAAACACGAACAACAAACCCGTTTCGTTATCATGTCCAACGGCGGATTCAGAACAGGTTAGAGCACTAGGCCGCATTTGAAAGGGGTGTAGAGGGTTGGGCCGTAACCCTATAAACATTGAAATATATACCCAAAATCAAAAATTTACAAGTATTATACGAGCTTTTTATCTGGGGAGGGCTGGGTCGTGGCCCGGGGGCGGCCCCCTTAGATCCGCCGCTGATCATGTCATAAACAAACCGATTCTAATAAATCGAATTGTTAGGAAAGATGATCTATATGGATCTTAACCACGTACTTTCCTTACACAAATCACACACATGTCATAACCCAGTTAGTCTCAATAACTCGAGTTGTTGGGAGAAGCGGTTTATGACATGGTACATCAGAGCCTACTGTCATCAAGAGATCTTCTGTTCGAATCCCGCGACGTCCCCATTTATAGAAGCACATGGTATTCAGACATGTGCAAACTTCAACCCCATATGAGTAGGATTTCATTTCTCTCAATATAACTCGAGTTGTTAGTAACAATTTTTTCTTTTACAAAACAAACCTATCAGAATTGAATTGCTATCTCATAAAGGAATCCCTCTTTACCTCCACTACCCTGTTCCCCAACACATGCTTGTGCCCTCTTTCAAATCAACCATCAAACAAACAAACAAACTGATGTGTACAGTGTACCAAACCCGTTGTTACCATGTTTCACCATTTGAAAAAAAATAGACAAGACATGAGATCGAATAAGGATTTTTGTTTTAAGTTTTTTCCCTTGGGCCATCCAATCGTACTATAAATACCAAGGGTCTTAAGACCCATTTGAGAGAATTAAGACAAAGAGAGATAGAATATTCTTCAGTTCTTCTTCTTGTAGCTTTGCAACCCAACTTATAACCATAACCCATACTAAACCTTGTAGCATGGCGATCAACAGAGTACTTAGTGTCCTTCTAATCTTCCTCATGATCATCATGTCACGTGACCATACATCTATGTGCGTACAAGGCCGGCATTTGAGGCCGCCGGCGGTGAGTGATCCTTCTACCAAGGTGTCGTCCGAGCTACTAGGCGGGAAGGTGGTGGCGGCGGCCGGCGGCGTGGAGAGGAAGATGGATTACAATGTGGATGATTTCCGACCAACCACGCCGGGGCATAGCCCGGGAGTTGGGCACTCCATCAATAATTAAATTAACAGAGATAGTTGCCATTTTCCAAGTGATCGAAACCCCACGTTTCCATTCTTCTTTGTTTTTTGTGTCTCCATTGTTTTTTGGTCCTTTTGTTGCCGTTGGGTGGCCGGAGGCAGATTTGGCTTTGTGTTGGTTAGTTTCTTTTTTTTTTTTTCAAGTGGAGATGGCCGTGGGGAAGAGCAGAGGAGATGTGGGGAGTGCTTTAGATTTGCATCTTCTGAATTTTCAAATTTTGGTGTATAGAGGAGGCTACAGATTAATATGTCGAAACTTTGAACGTAGTTTCAAATGAGTTTGCTCTCTTAAAACTTGTGTTTGAGCCTCCCATCTGCTGGATTTCGAGATATTTGAGGCAGGATTCGAACAAAACACCTCTCGACCAGAGAAGTTCTGATATCATGTTAAACACCAGTTGATTCCAATAACTTCGAGTTGTTGGGAGAGGGGTTCAATAATGAATCTTGTACCACACTCACTAACACAAACATCATCCTTGTTTTGAATTTTGACCTTTTTATCTCCTACCAATATGAATAATAGTTACGTATATCAACAAAGGAATGAATCGGCAAAATATTATCTGAAAATTTATGAATCATCGAAAGTCTACGATAAAGTCATATATAAGGTAAGTCAAAATCATGCTTTAAAACTTAAAAAACTTACGATTTGTACAAATGGCAAAGGTCTCGACCCAACTCCCACCATAAGACGAATGATGTGAACTAAACTAAGTCATGCCCTCTTTGCAATCTCTAAAGAGACCTCTCATTTAGGGGCACAACCACCCTTAGGGTTGGCGTAGTTCCTTCATCATGAAAAGATAGAAAAAAGGGGAGGCAGAGCATGACACATAACCATGAAGGAAGAATTAGCTAGCACACAATGTTGTGTCGAGTTTAAATAGGCCAAGCAGCAAGCCGCAAAATTTGGCCGGCAAATTGAACCGGCCGGCAGGACTGTAATTTTGTAACCCCACATTTTGTACTGTTTGTCCGATGCCCTAAAGCACCACTAATTAGCACCATTGCGCCAACCTAAAGTACTCCGTACGCCAAAATCCTTTTTCATGATCTATTGTTATCTCCCATCGCACGATTTTAAGGTGCATAATGATACAGAACTATCATCATCGCGGCAGAAGCCTTTGTTGCGAAAATAGATGGATGAGTTGCGCCTGTCTGGTATGAAAGTTACGATTGTTATTACGGTCTCCTACTCTTCAAACACTGTAAAAATGAGGGCGTTTGATACATACAAATTCAGAAGCCTACACTACCGTTACCCTACTTCTATGGAGATTCCTTCAAAAGCTCCGCGATTACAACTAAGGCTACAGTTATAGAGGATCATTCATTGAGGAAAGCTCCGTAAACTACAAAAGAAAAGGGGTAGTTGAAACAAGTTATGGGTGTGTTAGATTGTGATTGTGTCGTTTTTCTCTAGAAGCTTGCTTCAAGTTTTGTTACAAAGAGTCATCCAACTCCTCTCTCTCATCTTTTCGAAAAGTAGCTCCATATCATCTAAACTAGTCAGTTGTCATCAATGGAAGTCTATATGCACATTATCGTGTCAAAATAGTCATCCACATCCACCATGTTGTCATGTTATGTAACACCCATATCTTCTTCTTCTTCCTTACTTCCTCTTTTTACTCTTCTCTTATAATTTTTAGATCCAATCCTTACCCTGGATCCCTCTTGTTTCTCTAGTTTGATGAGGAAGAAGGAGAGAAATGGTGGAGTCGGTTTGGGGGGAGGAAGAGAAGAAGAACAAAGGTGATCAGCGGCGGATCCAGAACACAGAAGTGCACTGGGCCGCATTTTATTAGAAAATTAGAATAGTAAAAAAATATAATGATTATATTTTTATACAATGTAAATTGTACACGACGGTATTTTAATTTAGCGAATGCATTAATAATGGAGTCCACATCCATACCAATAGTATACACTGTTTCAAATAAAATATTTGAGCAATCGACTAGAAATCCATCGCTCATTTTGTTGCGCAAATCAATTTTCACATATTTCGTTGTTAAAAAGGTTCTATTCGTATTAGCTGTTGAAACGAGCAGCATCAACACTAGACAAATCAATCTACTAATCAATTTACATTGTGTTTCCATCCCTATATCCACCAGCTGCTCTAGTAAATTTTCCAAGGTAACAAACCTCATATATGTTTTAGTCTTTTACGTTTTAAACTTTTTGAATTTTTAGGTTTCATTGTTTTTTTAGACGAATAACCTTTAGGGTTAGAATTTATAAGCTAAATTTAGAGTAGTGATTTTGAATATGTTCATCTGAATTATTTTTCTTATCATACCCAATCTTATTTTAAAATAACAACGACCCGAATATCTAAAATCGAAAAATTCATAAGGCATATACTAACTATGGATCCAGAGGAGGGCTGGGCCGGGGCCCGGGGTGGCCACCCCTGGATCCGCCACTGAAGGTGATAATGAAGAAGAGAAGGGGAAGGGCAGATTTTGATCTCCCTTCCTCCAGAATTTTTTTTCTCCCAAAATCCCCCTTCAATCCTCCAACCTTCCATTTCTTATACTTAGGTTTCCCAACGGTCCTTTTCTGACAGTTAAGTCCAAAAACTCAACTATTCACTTCCTTTTCGGTTCAAAAGACCAATTTTTATAACCCGATCACAAACACGTCATTATGACGTAATAATTAGTACGAGGGTAGGGATGTTACATGTTAGATTTTCATTTCTTCTACCTCGGAAATTTTAGTTGGTGTTCCCAAGAAGTCACAGACGGTAGGGGTGGGCATTCGGTCGGTTCGGTTTCGACCGAACCAAAATTATGAATACCGGGTCCCCGAATTCTCCCAAACCTCAAACCGAACAAAACCGAATTTGTGAAGCTACTTGTATTTTCTCACTTTTAAATAATTTTTCACTCCTAATATAAATAATAAATATCAATTATATGCATCATCAATGATAAAATCAAAATTTTCAACACATAAGTCATAAAATATTTCAAATATTTAAGTCTAAAAACAACTACACACATAAAAATCCACCATTTGGAGCTTGCAATTATAGTATTTCGGTTTTTCGGTCGGAAATTCGGTTCGGTTGAAAGAACCTTGATTTTCGAACTGTTCATATTTTCCTTCCGAATTCCGAACCGAATAACATTAATTCAGTTTCGGTTCGGTTTAATTCGATTTTGGTTCGGTTCGGGTTTACCGAACCGTTTGCCCACCCCTAACAGACGGCAGCATAACAGGACACTTTTCTTTCTCGTAGCAGGCCCCGGTCCAGCTGAGTGGGCTCTTCAACCCTAGCTGTGGCCTGCCATTTTGAGTCACTTGGTCCATTGCAGTATAACGACATGTCATGGGCTTTTTTCCTTTTCCCAATAGCACGCCAGCAACTATGGCCTTGTGCGGCCCACCGAGGAGATAGAGGCCGCAACAAGAAATCTCATTTGCCAAAAGAAACGTTTTTTTTTTAAGTTACAAGGTGGTATAATGGTGAATCAAATCACATGATTTTTCCTAAACTAATGAGATAATTTCCTAAAAATCTAATGCACAACCTGCAAAAATTATATGTGTATTTCTATAAATTATTTTATCATTTGAATATCCTTTAAAAAAATTTAGGGCGGCAACTGGGGAAAGGGTGATTACCGGCACTCCAAAGCATGAATATTTTCTGAAAGTACTGGTAAGCAAAAAATTTATCAAAACAAATCCATTAAAATCAACTTATGGCCCAAACTAATTTGTTAGTTGGTGATAATCCTTCATTTTCCCTTGGACTTCACGATTATTAAGCTGCGTGTTTGATAATTAATGCATTGCATATTATTATTATTATAAATTGTGCTGGAATCTTACAGACAATATGCATAGCGAGGAATCCCCAGGCATTATTGGTTTGATTAGAGCTTTCACATTACATTATGATTCGGAATCTTACAGTTGACTATTGTGGCCAATAGGGAGATATCATGAAATATCATACACTATTTCCTCCAAGTGAACCTTTCACTACTCCAGAATACAATGGTGTGAAATTAAATAATAAATGATGAAGTCTAATATTAATTTAGACGAGATTACCCTCCTGGGAAAAGCTCTTACCGGTGGTGGAGGCAGAAATTAAGACGGAACGGATAAAAGATATAATCTTAAGTGATTTGAATTGTGGTACTTCGAATGGAGATAGAGATTTATCGATTACTTTCTTTTAAAAAATCGTTACGAATTGAGTTTATATATTTTTCAAGTGGAGAATGACTATAACCCCCAACCTTTAACCTACCTCCGCCATGGTCTTCAATGTCATTTGGCCTTCCAAAGATTCGGGACGATACAGGGGCGAGCCAAACCATCATAGCATTCATCCGATTTGGTCAGATACAAATATCGATTTGATCCGTTTTTTTTTTCAGTGTTTATAAATTTATGAGACTAAGAACCGGGCAACACTATATTCGGTCTATTAAGGTCCAGTTGAAACGTTGATAAACAAAAAAAGCATTGCACACCCCCTGAATTGATAAAATAGAAAGAAAACATCTTTTGGTACGTTTTGTTGGTGTTTGTTTAATAATATAGTAGACGATAAGAAAGATGATAATGGGAAGTGAATATTGCCTTGTGTTTTGTGCTGTGCCCATAATAAATTAGAAAAGGGTTGCAACAAAATGAAAAGGGGGAAAAGGGTTCTTCTCTGAGTCATTTACCACTGCAGGGTAGTGGTACTATTGTTAGGACAACCGACCATTATTTGCCGAGTGTCACCAAGGTAAGAGGCCGAAAACAACAAAAAAACAAAAGGAAAACCATATTTTGTCACACAAAGCAACTAAGACCAACAACGTATTTACACCATTTTGTGCTCACTCACGATATTTTATGTATGTTCATTCACGTACTACTATGATGATTTACGTAAGAGTATAAGTTTTTTAACGTAATTAGTAATTCAGACTTTTTCCCTTTGATAATTTGTATTGGCTATATGTTATGGTCTTATGGAATTAAATTTGGATTATCAATTAAACTGTAAAAATATGTTGCATTGATAATAATAATCTACATAATGACATCTATTTTGATCTATTTCAAAGTTTAAAATGTTCTATAATAAAAAAAAAAGTTTAAAATGTTATTTTACAATGACGTAAATAATTAATAATATGCGTGAATGAACATCGGGTTGCGTGAATAACGCAAATATAACGTGAATGAAATAAATATGATGTGAATACAACAAATACTGCGAGAATCACCCAAAATCAGGTGTTTTGTCAGCTAGGGGACTTCACTATCAGAACAAAATAACACTAAGCGAGTATATTACGCTAATTGTATTATCTATGAAAAATAATTATTTTATGTGGTTAAGCTTCAATTTTGAAGAACGATGAACGGACGTAACTAAGTAACACGGCGAAGCAAGCCGGCGTTGAACGCAAGTGAAAAGGATTGCTTGTCCCGGCGAACAAGTTGGGAAATTGGGTCCACAAATATAAATGTGGGTTTTTAGGGTTCGTTTGGAAGTTGCCGATTGTTTTGTTGAGATTGTCATTATGCATGTATTGTTTACAATGCATTGTTTTTTTTTTGTTTTTTTAGCAGAAACAATACATGGATTGTTTCTATAATGTGACAGAAACTATCACTCATTTTGAGTGATTGTTATATCTCAACTTTTAGTTGTGATTGTTGAGATAGTTGAGTTGTGATTGTTTTGTCTCAGCTTTTAGCTGATGCGACATACACAATCACACATACCAAACGTTGTATTCTACAATGCATCAAATTCGACAATACATGTATAATATTATACGTGCATTCTCAACAATACATCTATTTAACAATCGCAACTTCCAAACGTCAAGTTCATATTTATCCATTCTTCAGAATCGTTAAAACCGTCAAGCAAGGCCGACGGGCGACGACAAAGCGGTTGAGATGGACAAGGTCAAGGTGAGTGTGACGCCGCCGCCGCCGCCTTGGTAATCAATTAGCGCTTTCTCTCCATCAGGCGGTCCCAATTGGATTCATGGAATCTACGACGACTGTAACGCCGCCGCCTTGACGTCGCTCTGTTGCTTGATCGTTGGCCGTTAATTCGGTACTGTGTTACGTTGGCCATGCTAGTGGCATCGCTATGGTCCATCTCTTTGAATTTTAATTACCCTTTTGTTGTCTTTCTTTTATAGAGGCATGAAAGTCTAATGAATGAAAGAGATTTTGAGGTTGCAAAGGATCGTTGAGTGGAGTTTTGATCTAATTTGGGGTCTGCGACTTATTGATAAGCCAACTGAGTTGGACTTGTATTTACTAAAGTTTTGGCTAGTGTTTAACTCGAGTTCGGCTCATTGATGAGCTCGCGAGTTTGACTAATCAATTAGTTCGTGAGATCGGCTCGTGCTGCTAAGGTGTCATGTTTCACTTCATGTTTATTTAATAGTAATTAATTAGTATTTGAGCAGTACATGGTACATAATTTATCTTTTGGGCTTGTTCATTATAGTCATATATCGCATGCTCAGATTCTTAAACATAATATGTGGTGAGATATATATATATATATATAGAATCTAACAAAACTATGAATTATATTATCTACGAACCAATATTAACTATTAATCGGCTCGTTCATAAATTGCTAGTTGAGGTAGCTCGCTCGCTCGCTAAAATTGTCAAACGAGGTCATTGCTCAAGATGAGCTAGCTCATGAGTTGAGCTCAGCAAACCACCAAGTCGCGCGAGCTCTGGCTCACGACGAGCCTTGCGAGCCTATTGAATATGACTTAGCTCAAACTCGGTTTATTAGTAAACGAGACGTGTGTCGAACAATTTAAATACGAATTAGGGGTTTTATTTGATGGAGCGGGTAGTTTAAATCGAGTCAATAATAGAGTGAGGGCTACAAGTAAGGTGTTTGCGAAGGCCAAAACTACCCCTTCAACTTCAAGCTTATTTTCTATCGGTTAACTTCAAATCTTAGTCTCAATTTTGAGATATATATCCTTGTAAATTTGCCACAATTTGTCAATTTCACATCTCACACTTAAAGTCACTTAACATTTAAGTTGGACCAATGCAAAAAAGAAAAAAAACAGTCAAAATATAAGCTCACCTACTTAGTGATACCAAGAAAATGCCAAAAGAATGCCGCTTGCAGTGACGAATAACGGTGGACAAATATGGCTCTATCGCTTTCAGCTTGGTTCCATTAAGTCAGTCAGGGTCATTTTAATATATATACAAATCTTGCCTGAAAGTCAAGGTTAAACTTAAGACAACGCACACCACATCAAAATAGTTTTTGTGTCCATTGAATACTTTGATGCATACATGTGGATTAGAAAGGGTCAAAATTTAGCATGTTGTCTCTATGAATGATAATGGAGCATGACGGAGTGGTATCTCAATACACATATTTATTTTATAGTCAGTTGGGTACTGTATCTTTAATAACTTGTTGGAGCAGGTCGACTCATATAGTTATGTAATTTATAGAAAAGATATTTAAAATATTAAATTTTCATTAAAAAATTGAAAAACTGATAAATATAGTTAAATTATTGGAGGAATTGAAGTTATCACATATTTACAAGTTTATTATAGTTAAAATATGATGTAATAAAAGTAGAATCCAAAGTTATTTTAGTAAAATCTAGAATTATTTGAGTAAACTATATCTAATTCATGCACAACATGTCAATAATAGGACTGGTAAGGTTGATGATAGTAGGGATGGCAATAGAATCCGAATCCACGGGTACCCTACCCGACCCAATCTGGTCAACACGGGTAAAACTCGCTTTGACAGATTGCAGGTCAGGTTCGGGTTTAAACCCGCCATACTTTTTGCGGGTTATGTTGGGTTTGGGTTTACCCATATCCAATCCGTTGATGTCCGTTCCGAACTCCTTACCTCCCACGATCCACGGAACCCTGAACTAATTAACTATAATGTCTATACTAATTCCTCACATGTTCAATTAATCATATTGTTTGTGGATGTTTATTTTTAATATTGAACAATTAGTATGAATGATTGTGAGTTAGTGTGTATGTAGTAGACAATAGTATTGAAAACTAGTGTAATTGCATCTTTCTACATGAATCCATGAGTTCCCATAAACTCGCGGATACCCAACGAGTAGGTTGGGTTTGAGATTTCCAAATCCAGTGGGTTTTACCCCGAATTTTTTTGGTAGATAAACTCATGAATTTGGATTTGAGTTTGGCATAACCCGCCCCAACCCGATCCATTGTCATCCCTACATGCATATTTGTCCCGTATCGCCTACATGACGAGTATTATGCGCTCCAAATTAAATCAAACAGACCAGCTAAAATTGATTGCGTCAAGATTGTTATCTCTAATCATCTGTTTATGCTTCATGAGAATTAATAAATTTCCAGTAGAGGCTTTTTTCTCTCCAAAATAGATCAAATCACCCAAATAATAATAATCTTTATACTTTATAGTAAGGGGTAATACCACTGGAAATACCATTCTTTAACGAAAGTGCTATTTATAGTACATGCTTTCAATAAACACAAAAATATTCCAACCTATTAGGGGTTTGCGTCATTTGTGTTACGCAATTTTCTGTTGACCGTTAGAATTGATGGTTGACCTGACGGTGGCCAACATTGTGTCCACGTAAGCGACAAGTGGATGCCACATTGCAAAAAAAAAGAATAAAACTTTTGAAAATATTATTTATTATTTATTTATTATTATATTACAAAATTAAAATAATTTTAAACACCTCCCCCCCCCCCTCCCCCCCGCCCCACCGTGAATTCGCCCTCCGACGACCAAACTTTCACCGCCGTAGTTGCCACCTTCCTTCTCCATCGATGGTGACGACTAGCCGACTTCCTCGAAGTAGCTATTTCCACAATCCTCTATCTTTTTTACAGCATCAGGCCTCTCCTCCGAAACTCCCAATCCCAAGCCTCCACACAGGCCGCCGCCGCAGCATTACTCTGCCATTCCTCCTCCCCAATCGCCGTCGAATCTGATGAATCTGCAGCCGAAGGAGCCGATTGTTGTCCAGGAGAAGGAGGCGGAACAGTTGGTTTGATTCGATAGCAGTGGCGGAACTGTTGGTTTTGGAAACAATGGAGCTCCTGGGCCGAAAGGAGATCTTTCTACCTGATTGAGGGTTTCTAGATTCTCGAGGATTGCAATTGAACTGGGTATCCTTCCTTTAAGCCTGTTGCCCGAAAGATCCACACGGGTGAGATTCTCGACCAAATGCTTCGGAATCGAGCCCGTGAGATTCCCATTCGTGATGGTGAGCAGGGGGCGAGGTCGAGATCTGAAGGGAAACGGATAGCGGTAATGGGGCAGTCGGTGAAGGAGAGAGACTGGAGGGTGGAGAGGGACTTGAGGGCGGTGAAGGAGAGGGAAACGTCGTCGGAGCAGTTGGAGAGGTGGAGGGAGACGACGTGGCGGAATGGGGAAGGCTGGGCGCTGGGGTCTTGGAAGTGGAAGGAGATGGGATGGTCTTGGGAGGAGGGACGATGACCGGGGAAGAGGTTGGGGTGACAGCTAGAGCGACGGCGGCGGTGGGCGTGGTGGATTTGCCGGCTGCAGAGGCGGAGCTGTGCTGGCTTTTTAGGGGGGTTGGGGAAATTTGGAGAAGAAGATGAGATTAGTGGAGGGGGAAGGACTGGGAGGTGAGAATTGTTTTTTTTTTTTTTTCATTTCATTAAATAAGCCACGTCAGCGAGCCACGTAGGATCCTATTAAGCGCTGACTGGGCGTTGAGAAGTCGCCCAGTTATGTTTAACGACCCAACTAACGGAGAAAACATTTTAGTATACAAATGGCATATCGAAAACGATGTAATATTAATGGCACTTTCGCTAAAGGATGGTATTTCCGGTGGTATTAGCCCTTATAGTAAACCCCTCCTATATCAACTTACAAGTCTTAAGATCACTTTTTTGGTAGAAATCTTAAGATCACTCTGATTGAAGCAGTTACATTTTTACTAGAGTCGACTGCATAATAATAAGCAATAACCCAAAAGAAAGACAACAATTGTTTTTTTCATACATTGAAACTACATGAGAAATGTTATTAATAAAAAAGGAAAACAAGTAAATCACCTAAAAAAAATCTCCTCTTTTTGTGTGAGTCAATAACAAATTTTTTCTCAGATATGAAAAAATCCCGAAATTTACGTTAGTAAAAATCTAAACGTAAAATTCTTCCCCAAATAATATATAAATATATATTCACTCTCTAATTTTAATTCTCTCACTCAATCTCACATTACACAATTCTTCCACAATAATACTACCCAAAACCACTCACAGCAAGTCACAGCAAAGCCAAATCTAACAATTTCCAAAAAGAAACCCATATAATAACACTCCACTTCCAAATTCCAATCCCAAAATTCGTCTGAATTTCCATATACATAATATATATTTTTTTCCCCCATAGAAATGGAGACGAAGAGGAGGAAACCCCTTCTGATTTGCTCTATAGCGACCGCCACTATCGTCGCTATAGCCATCCTCGTCGCTATAACCCTAGCATTCACCGTGTTCAAGCCCCGAGACCCGACCGTCACAATCTACCTAGTGGGTCTGCGCAACCTCGGCGCCGACGATATACTAACGGGCCAGAACGTCACGACAGATATGGTGATCGGAATTAGCAACCAGAATTACGCCGGTTTCAAGTTCGCTAACGCGACGAGTTTGGTGACATTTAACGACGAGTTGGTGGTCGGCGAGGTGCCCGTGCCGGGGGGCGAGATCCGGGCGCGTTCGGACGTGAACGTGACGACGTCGGCGGTGCTGATGCCGGCGAAGCTGATGCACAGCCCGGCGGCGCTTGAAGAGGTGTTTGAGAGCAAGGCACTGAAGCTGAAGGCGGCGGTGATGTTGTACGGGACGTCGTCGTTTTGTGGGGTGAAGGTGAAGACGTCGGTGTACACGGAGTGCCATCTCACGGTTGTGGTTGGGAAGGTGCCGAGAGGGGAGAGTTGGTGTTGGAGCAAGCTGAAAATAAATTAACTTTGGGAAGTGTAGGTTAGGGGGGGAAATGGTGATTAGTGATCACTTGTTTTATTTGGATAAATACATTGTGTTGTTTTTTTTTTTTTTGGTATGGTAATATCAATTAGGCATCTATAATTATTGGTATGAGCTGGTTTATTGACATGGTATCGGAGCTGGTTTGGCTGAGTGGTCTCGTACGTTCGTATCCTGACGACCCTCAACATTAACAATTGATTAAACCGCAATGTATGGTGAGTCTATGCAAAGTTTAGACCCCGTGAGTTGGCTTAATATTTGAGGGACGGGTAAGCGAATAGCATATGATCCATAATTAACTGTTATAACTGCGATGCTACGGATCGGGAATCGCTGGAATCGAGAATGCGAGAATACGAAAGCGAGAATCGAAAACAGACATGCGATTTACGTGGTTCACTAACACAATGTGTGTTAGCTAGTCCACGGGCAGGAGAGAGCCAGATTCACTATATCGAGGAGATTACAGATTACAGAGGAGATGAGAAGTATTTATACTTCTCCATGTGGGTCTAAACCTAATCTAATATAGTAAAGAAAACGGTTACAGACCTGGCTCAGAACCCGAACCTAAATAACATTGAGCCCAAAAACCGCGGGCCATGGGCGTTGCCCCTGGTCCCCACTCGCTGACCGGACAGTGAGACCCCGTGACTTCCAGCCGTAGCGGCTGATAGTTCGATTCAAGTCATATCAACATTAACCTTTTTTCAACAACTCGAGTTATTTTAAGGAATTGGTTTTATCAAACATCTATTAGACCACATTTCTAACTTCCCGGTCTTGGAATAGCTACTGAGGGAATTAACAATTAAGTCAATCAATTGATCCTCGAGAACATATTCAAGTTTAGGAACTTGCAACTAGCCTAAGCCCTCCTTCGCGAAAAAGGAGGCCAAACATCATGCACATCCTCCACACACACTAGGTCTCAATTTCAATTTTAGAGGTTGTCGAATCGGATTAAGCCATCATGTCGGTTTGGCAAGTGAGTTGAGTTTAATGGTCGGATTAGATTCAATCAATTTAAACCCGATTAACATAATAGGTAGGAAACTCTCTGATACCAAATACATTATACATATATCTAAAATATTTTAAAACAATCTCACTAATCCGCATTCAGATATTATCAACTTATTTCTTCAACATAAATATATATCACCAAATATCAATCCTCATCTTCAACTTGTTTTGAGTGGTTTGATCTAATCTTTAATTTTTTTCAAAAACCATCCAAACGGAACATATTCCTACCATTCACTCAATTCCGATCGGCCCAAATTGAACCGACCAGCCGAATAACGGGTTGACAACCTTGCCTGCCAAACTAGGGGTGACTATACGGTCCGGTCCGGTTAAATTGGCCCAAATTGATCTGGTCCAGTCCGCTCTTTTTAAAATATAAGGACCAAAGATTGGATTGAATACAGTTCGGTCTTGATCCGGTCCGGTCCCAACTCAGTCTTGGTTTTATATTGAGTTTGTGGGGATTTGAGTGACCTAAGGCCTGAAAGGGTGAGGAGTTTGTTAAGTTTTGTACTAAGTGCTAAGGTTTGTGACCGTTTATGCAAATTACCCTTAAGTTTAGGGTGTTGAGCTCTCTTATCTGTAGGAATGGCAATGGGGCAGGTCCGGGGCGGGTATCTCGATACCCATACCCGCCCCATGGCAGGTCGGGTCTATAGTTAAGTTATTGAAAAATTGAGGTTTTCACTTATTTACAACTTTATTAAAGCTAAAATATAATGTAATAAGTGGAAAATCTTAAGTAATTTAACTAATATTATATGTAATTTAGGCAAGAACGGGTAGAGAATGAGGCGGGTTAGGGCAGGTCAGGTCGATGAGAGGTACCCATGCCCGCCCCGCCTACGAGGCGGATTTGACCCGCCACAAAACAGGCCAAACAGGTCGGGTAAATCGGGTCAGGTCGAAATTGCCATCCCTACTTATCTGGTCTTTATCCAACTTTCAATCCGGTCCAGAACGATTTTTTACCTCAAATCTAAGCTTAGAGATTGGATTGGATTGTTTATAATCTGGTCCCGATCTGGATTATACGGTCCGGTTTCAGATAAAACCAAAAAACCGGACCAAATAGCCAGTCCTATGCCAAACCACCTTTACCCAAGGAACAAGCCCAAAAAGAGAGTTTTTGGTCCAATCTCTATTCCTCTCCATGAAAGCTCCAACCCTAAGCTCCCACCACCACCAGCACAAGGAACGAAGCCATCTTTAGCTGATGGAGCTGCATAAAAATTGGAAATTCCCTCTGCTCCCAAACTCCCACTGCTCCCAAACTCCCAAAACTACCCTTGTCGAGAGAGAAACCGCCAAACGAGGAAGAAGACAATTTAAAATAAATATATATTTTGATTGGGTGCGGTCGAGGTCTAGAAAGGCGAGCCCACCCAGCGGGCGGTGCGGTCAGGCTCGGACCACAATGCAGCCAATATCCCCTTTCTCCCCACGTCACCGGGGGGTAATGCGGTAATATCACTCATGGGGTTTAATTAATTGACGATATTAGCACCAGAAGCCATTTTTTTATTAATTTTTAATAATGGTTTGTGTCGTTAATTTAATTTAGAGAGGAGAACCATGCACCGATTCCATCGAGCTGACTGTCCCCATCACCTCCCCCATTAAGTCACTAAACCAAAATTGAAAATTTAATTAACTAAATAAACGTCAAGACTTTGATAATAAAATTAACAACGGAATCGTTTAGAATAATGACATGATTATCCTTAATTAATTAATTAATTAATTTCGGAGGTCGGACTATCCCATAAGAGCTAGCGTTGTTTGTTGTCTTCATTCTCCCACTGGGCTGAAATTCCCATTTCTGCCCTTCTCTGTTTGATCGACTTGCTATTGTTATTGTTTTTGTTGTTGTTGTTGTTAACCTCCCCTTTTTCATTTAATTTTCTTTTTGACTCGTGTGTTTTGCATTTTCGTTAACTTAAAATGCATCCGAGTGGATAAAATTACAGGGATCATGTAAGTTTGATTAATGGAGAGAAGTACATAAACAAAATTGTTAAGGGAGAGAAGTACCTAAACCTTAGTCATTGTCTTTCACCAACTCTCAATGTGCATATTAGTTCTAAGGTAATGTCCCGGTTGATTGCGGATCAGGTACTATCGGATACTCAAGTTAGTGACGGAGAAAAAAAAGTGTAAATATCATAGATTCGATTATAGTTCTTTGATTTTTGCGAGTCTTAAAAAGAAAGATCTTATGACATGTTCTTAGCTCGATGTTTAATTCTCTTGATTTTGTATATGTGTCCCATTTTTTTTTTGGATTCCCTATTTTGTATGAGCGAAGACCAATTCTTATATGCCCCAAGTATAGTGTTTGGAGAGGAGGGATCGAAGTGCGAACGTTGACAAAAAGGCCAATCAAGATTTTGCAGATGTTTTGTTATTGGCTCGAGCCCAATACTCGAGGGTTTGATGATAGTGAAATGTTTTGGCAAGGGATATAACTAGCTGATGCCTAGAGTTGTCCAGGACAATCTCGCAAAAATTTGTGGTTGACGCTCTCTGACATGATCAGCTAATCTGGAACCTACTTGTCGTCGATCACAACGTACAAATGAGAACTCAAGTCTTTCGAGGTGCACACGATTTGATTGTAACTAATGGAACCACGAGTGATAACATGTATTTCTTTACATTCTCAGTTGAAAAGTGAGACATTGTTGCTAGTTTGTACAACACTATAAAATTTATTGAAACTAGTTCTATCTACAATTTCAACTACTTATATTATTTTCCGGAACAAGTTAATGACCACCCTTGTATTCTAAAGCAACAACAGTTTGGGAGAAAGAGGAAGGTGAGGAGTGATAATACACCTTACTTGCAACCGTGAACAATCACCATATTTTTCAGAACACATATTAAAATTACAAGAAAAAACCAACATGAAAAATGAAAATCATCTTTTATGTACACCTTTGATCATCCATTTATAATTAGTATTACTAATTACAAATGGCGAATTCCATTTATTACATCTCTTATCAAACAACAGCGACTCCTTGTTCTGGAAGCTCACCGCCAATGGTCTTTTCAGTGCAAGATCAGCCTTCGAAGCAAACAGCCCAGAACCCAACCAGCCCATCTCAAGCACTTGGCGGCGGATTTGGAAATTGCATTGTCAGGAAAGGGTAAGGTTCTTTGTCTGGTTGGCAGCCAAGGAGAAGCTTTCAACCAACAGCCAGCGCAAGCTTCGTCATCTAACCAACGAAGATAAGTGCCCCATTTGCGACAATGCCATAGAAACAAACATACACTGCCTTCGAGATTGCCCAGCAGCTAGGAAGATCTGGGAGGGTTTGGTTCCTGCTCAGAAGCAGCAATTTTTCTTCGCCAGCAGCCATGGTGAATGGTTTCACAAAAACTTAAAGGGGGTGGATAATGAAGGAGATCAGGATCATTGGCCTAGCCTGTTTTCTCTTGTGTGTTGGTATATTTGGAAGTACAGGAATGACTTTATTTTTCAGGGAAAAAGGCTGGCTGAATCATCGTTCATCAATTACGTCCGAACAAAAGCAAGGGATTGGCTTCAGGCTTGGGAAAGAGCAGACCTACAGATGCAAGTTAACAGCAAACCTGAGAGGGTCGATCAATTGGTTGGGTGGACAGCTCCATCAAATGGCTGGATTAAGGTGAATACAGATGGTGCTGCGCAGGACATCACAGGACTAGCTACAGCAGGGGGTTTACTAAGAGACAGCAATGGGGACTGGCTAGGAGGTTTTGCTTGCAAAATCGGCACTGGTTCTGCGATTCTCGCGGAATTGTGGGGTATTCATCAAGGATTGACCATGGCTCGGAATCAGGAAGTCCAATTCCTCATCTTAGAGACAGATTCGAAGATTGCTATAGATTTGATAAGGGCGAGGGACGACCCAGTTCATCCGCACTCAACGATTCTGGCAGCCATTAGACGACTTCTAGCTCAAGATTGGGTGGTGCAACTGGTTCATACGTACAGAGAAGGGAATAGAGCCGCGGACTGGCTCTCGAAGCACAGTCTCGTCTACCCCTTCGGTACGCATGAACTAGTAGAACCGCCAAGCGAGTTAGGAAGGATTCTTGTTGAGGATATCTTGGGAGTGAGCTTTCCCAGGAGGGTTATTCAGAATACGGATTGAGATAGGGTCTTTCAGATGGTTACTTCCTTCTTGTTTGGTCTTGTCTTCCTCCTTGTTATCTCTTGTTGATTGCCCTTTGTAATCCTTGGCTTTCCGCCTCCCTCATTTCAAAAAAAAAAAAAAAAAAAACTAATCAATTACTAATCACAAGCGGAAATTTATTGATCTCGTAATCACTGAGATGTCATCAACTATTTTAACACCACCTATACGCAATTGACCGAAGGCCCAAGCAAAGAAACCAACAAAGGTAAATAAATCATTCAAAAATTCACACAAAAGAATAAAAGGAAAATTCCAGTAATATAGGGCACCTAAATTATGATTAATCACGCTATCTAAACGTAACCATTGAATCCATTTTTCCTTTACCGGATGAGTTAATAAGCTCATAATTTTTACTTTGTTAATTATTGCAAGGGATGACAATTCACACTTGTTTCTATGGATATTCATATGTCTATCCATGATAGACAAATAAAATTCAACCTGTGCTAGAACGTGGCAGATCATCGCCCGAAACAAATAGAACACGACATATATGAATATTGCTGATGATTCATGTCGAGCTAACCCACCCTACTTTCTAAACCTTGTGGATAAAATAAAATTATTTTGTCGAATCACTCACATGTTGCTGCTAGTCGTTGCAAGAACACTTCATATCTCTTCGTGTACATTATTACTTATAAACCACAATTTGTTAGGTGGTTATAACTTTTGCTTTAACACAAACTAATGAAATACAAGCCTTCTACCATAGACTCGAGTTTATGATATAATTTGAAGTTCTATTTTACAGGATGCTTGAAATCGAGGCATGAAATTTTTTAACCACTTGGCGTGGAGCAAAATTTGGGGTGAAAATTTCCGAACCGTAGAAACACTGTGGGTAATGAAAACATCTTAGAACCCAGGACCAAACCAACAATACATTATGTCCATCTTTTTTAGTATTTATAAAATCCATAAAATAAAAAAATCAACATATCATATTTCCGATTTATATAATCCAATGCGATCTTGTACGATCCAAATTGTTGCAAACTCCTACTTGCTACCATGGTCATTCCTAACTATTGGAGAGAGTAGTAGTCCCTCTTAATTTTCTTAATCAGAAAACGACACCGTGGACTTGGAAAGCAGGGAAAAGTAGCGGGAGGGATGGTTCCGTCATTTCAACTCATTCCACCATTACACTCTCTCTGTCCCTCCCTCCTTCTTCCCAATTTCTTTCTTTGTCATTTTCTCTCCTCTGTTTCAGACTTTTTTTCTTTCTTTCTCTTATTTTCTCAGTTTCTCTCTCTAAGTTTCTGACGGTCGTTTGGCTTCTGGAGGCCATTCGTTCCTTATTATCAGGCCCCTGTGTGTGCTTACGTTCTAAGCAGTAAAGCGCTCTGTTCCTCTCTCTCTCCTCTCCTCTCCTTTCCCTCTCTCCGTGTGTGAAATCAACTAAAACCCTAATACGTAGGCGCAGCAGCGGCTCCAATTTTTTTTTTTTGTTTCAAACCAAACCCATCCGTCTTTCTTTCTTCCTTTTTTCTTCTGTCGTTCTCCAGATGATTTCTGCTTCGTCATGTCTCTGATGGACTCCGATGCTTCTTCACCAACCTCAGCTCCCCCGGCGCACCACCACCTCCGTCGCCGCCGGAGCAGCACTCGTCATCATCGCCACCCGGAGCTGGAGGGGTATGGTTGCCGGAAGAAAAACCACCTCCGGTAACACTTCCCTCTTCTCTGTTTCTTCCTCTCGTCGTCGCCTCGACGCATTCCTCGATATTCCCGAAACTACCCAGAACCCGGTTCTTGGTCTTGAGGGGGCTGGGTTTCTTTTTCTCAAGCTGGTAGATGGTTGGCTGTTTGTTTGTTTTTTTCCCTCGTTATCTCTTTTATCGGGTTGGATTTGGCCGGAGAAATCAGACCCTTTTGCGATTACTCTGTTTTTCTTTTTTGGGGGGTTGTTTGATTGATGGTGGTGGCGATGGTCTCTGGTCAGTGTAGAAATGGCGGCATCGGTCTTATCATTAGGCGTTAAGCTCTGTATATCGTTAATTTTCTTTTTGGGTGGACCGTATTTTGCTGTTTTAGGGAGTGTCCACTTCTGGGCGATTGTTATTATCGCAGGGTTTTTGTTGGTATCAAAGACCTGGTTCTTGAATTAAATGCCAGATTAAAAGGAAAAAAAAAGGAGTTTACACGAACGAAGGATGATATACATGATGTTGGACTATTTGTCCTTGCTTAAGGTCATCGCAAAAAAGGGGGGAAAAAAACTCTTTTTTAAGAATATAACACAGACAAAGAAACAAGTAAATAAATTGCATAAAAATCACGGTTGATAGAAAAGTAATTTGTTTTCCATGTTGATTTTTAAAGATCGTGTAGGATTAGAAGGAAGACATCATTTAATTATTTGGTGTCATAATATATAAATATACATAGAGGGTGGGGAAGGTGTGCAAATTTGGTTTGTGGGGCTGGTTTAAGCAATACATTTCCCTTGTGCTTGACGTATTTGCTCTATGGATAATTGACGTAATTGGATCCGTTGCGGCTGTAGAGAACATTGAATCACATTTGGGGTCTCTATGGTTTTCACAGAAACTAGGAAATGTTGAAGCTATTTCATAAAAGCACCTCCCTTTTTTTTTCTTCATTTTCTCCCTTGTGACTGGAAGTATCTTTTGTTATTGATAGATTCGTTGGTTATGGCCATCATTTCTTACCGTTTGGGTTGTTTGCATGGTGTTTCAGGGGGTTGTTTAACAGAGGCATGGAATTCCATCTCTTTCTGGTTCTCTTGTGCTCCTTCTTGTGCCTGGTAAGGTGTGAGCCATGTCCCGTGAATGCAATCGAGAAAACAGGACTTTCCGGGTGTGGTTCCTATGAGGATTATCGGTTTGAAGACACTATTGTTGCTGATGCTGGTGCACATTTTGATGCTGGAAGTTCAACGGGAAGCATGAACTCTGACTACAGTTGCACCAATGCTCATTCCTTCTGCTTTATGTCAACGTTGCCTGGCTATGTAGGGGAGGAACACAAGGTTAGGGAAGAAAATTTAGAGCTGTCTACCTATCGGTCAGATTGTCCATTATCCTTTGATTCAACTCAGCGTAGTAGTTTAACGGGCAACAAGAGCTGGATACCGGACTATGGCACATTTGAGTTGATAAATGGCCGGACAGTTGTTTGTTCTCTGAATTCGGAGGAAGGCTTTCATGGACTGTCATCCCTTGTCAATCAGAAAGATGATTCTTCTTCTGGAAAATTTTTGGAAGGTTCTGAGTTTAAGCTGAGCAAGGACTCTGAGATGACCAAGTCTATCCCTGATTGTATTTATCCTTCACCCCATGTAGAAGTAAGTCCTTCTATTCTAGACTGGGGTAGGAAGTATTTATATTTCCCTTCAGTAGTTTTCTTGACGGTGGCAAATACTTGTAATGACAGTATTTTATATGTCTATGAACCATACACTACCGACGTGCAGTTCTACCCCTGCAATTTTAGTGAGGTTAAGCTAGGACCGGGTGAGGTAGCTTCTCTGTGTTTTGTCTTTTTACCTAGATGGATGGGCTTGTCCTCAGCTCATCTGATCTTGCAGACAAACATTGGTGGTTTTGTGATCCAGGCTAAAGGTTATGGCATGGCGTCCCCTTATGCCATCAGTCCTATGATGGGCATTGACATTCCTTCTAGTGGAGAGTTGAGGAAGAATTTGTCTGTATTCAATCCTTTCAGTGAAACCATCCTGGTGAAGGAATTAAGTGCATGGGTGTCACTTTCATTGGGTAATGTCTCACGTCAGTCTGAAGCCACCTGTTCTGTAGGAAATTTCATGCCATCTGAGAAGCTTAGCAAGCTGAGTGCTAAGGACTGGCTAAGTGTTACAAATGGCGAGTCTAGCTTGCCACTGCTGTCATTGAGGCCTCATGACAACTGGGAGGTTGCTCCCAACAAGAGGGAAACAATTGTAGAGATAGACTTGTCATTTGGATCTGAAGGAAGAATTGTTGGTGCATTTTGTATGCATTTGCTAAGGCCCTCGCAGAATGAGTCTGAAACAGTTATTGTTCCTCTTGAAGCTTCTCTGAATGGAGGCAGGGCTCATGATAATGTCGTGGAGTCGGTTACAGTTTCGCTTGAGGCTCTGCCCTGTTATTCCTGCAAGACTCCTGTGGTTGCCATTTCTCTTCACAACAGAGCTTCTCATCTTCTGGGTGTTGTCAAGATTAGTGTAGAAGGGTCCGGAATTTTCCAGATCAAGTACACTGAAGGCTTGCTTCTTTTTCCCGGTAGTATGACTCAAGTAGCTGTGGTTGGCTGTCCCCAGCAGCAATATGAATCAAGTGACTCAAAACTTGACGATTGCAAACTAATTATTCTGAAAAATGACTCGAGTATTCCGATTGAAGTCCCTGCCCAGGATATCGCCCACTTATGTTACAGACATAAAAAAGATTCGTCCATTGGATATGATAATGAGTTTGTCAGAGCTGATACTAGCAACCTAGGATCAGGGTCATTGGAAGCTGGGATGGAAGGGCACTCGGAAAGTAAGGTATGCTGATTCTTGTTTACCTTTTCTGATTGATTTTTTTTTCTGTTTCAGCATTTGCTGCTGGATTTTTGTGTCATGTTACATGTGCTTCTTCTATTTCAATAGTTTGAATCTGAAAATCATTTTGTCCGGGTTTTCGAATAGTGTATGATGCCGTCTGTGGAGGAGTGCTCTTTAGCGGCTGTTGGTTTGATTATCTGATAAATTATTCCACGCCAGGCAAATTGTTCCTAGCATGCAATTTTAGGGAGTTACTAGTACTCTTGTCTCATTGGTCTAGCTACTCATGATCTTGTCCGACTTGCCAATAGAAGGTTGACTACTGTGTGTAGGTTTCTTTCTGTTCCAGTAGCAATATGCTGTCTCATCTATAATTACATTTGTTTTTTCTTTTGTAGTTAGACAAGCTCATACTGAATGGGGTTCTCTGTTTCATTTCTTTTGTGATTGTCTTTCTTTTTATTAAATTATGAGTTCAAATTCATGTTAATAGAGTAAGTTACTTCTTTGAATTATTTTTGCAGTTTCTTGAGACGGCAAAAGCAGATGAATTCGTACTTGATAACTGGAAATCTCATCGTACCACCAGTGGGTTGTCTGTCATCAGTGATCATGAGATGTCGTTTCCTGTGGTAGAGGTTGGAAGTTATTTCTCTAAGTGGGTAGCGGTGAAGAATCCTAGTGAGGAGCCTGTTGTGGTGCAGCTCATTCTTAACTCGGCTGAAATTGTTGATAAATGCAAGGGAACAGTTGGATTTGTACTGCTGTCTGCTGGTGGGTTCATCCCAAATGGGGCTGGTACTACTAGGTACGGGTTCTCCTTGGTGAAGGCAGCAGTCACAGAAGCTTATATTCAGCCTGGGGATGAAGCATTTTTGGGGCCAATTGTATTTCACCCGTCAAATAGATGCTTGTGGAGGAGTTCAGCTCTGATAAGAAACAACCTCTCTGGTGTGGAGTGGTTCTCTCTGCAAGGATTTGGAGGCTCACACTCTCTTGTCCTGCTTGAAGGCCATGAACCCGTTGAGAGTGTAGAGTTTAACCTCAAGTTGCCCCTTCCTTTTAATACGTCTTCTTCAGATATGCTTATGGAGATGGAAGAGACATATGAAGCTTGTCGCGAGCCATTAACAAAAAAGCTTTTCCTGAAAAACATGGGAGACCTGCCTCTGGAAGTAAAAGGAATTAAAGTTTCTGGGAAGGAGTGTTCATCAGATGGTTTTCTGGTTCATGCTTGTGAAGGTTTTTCTCTTGAACCAGGAGAGTCGACCAAACTCCAGGTATCTTACCAGACTGACCTATCTGGAACATCCATTCACAGAGATCTTGAACTAGCCTTAGGTGGGGGGAACTTTGTTATCCCTATGAAGGCTAGTCTTCCTTTGTATGCATTGAACCTTTGCAAAAAATCTTTCTTCTTGATGCGATTGAAAAAATTCTCTGCTGCAGTCTTTCTTGTTGTCTCTGTAGTATTGTTGGTGGTTTATCTCATGCTGCACCAAGCGACAACTGTTGGCTCTCAGGATTGCTCGTACAAAAGCAAGAGGAGCTCCTCTGTCACCTTTGAAGGAAGTATAGAGAAACCCTCACGTACGTGTTGCAAAGAGAGCAACATTAAGTTCTCTGCATCCACTGATGTGGATAATTTGGGATTTGGGGAAGGCAAATCACTGAAGTGGGAATCTCTTGAAAGGAGCTTTGCCGATGAACACGGGGGTGCAAATTGTGGAAAAGTCGTTCAACATACGAAATCGACCCTAGAGCCTGATGTGTGTTTTGGGTTTTCATCCTACACGCGAGAGGAAAAATCAACACCTTTACTGCAGAAATATGTAGGGACTGAGACACCTAGTGTAGTTGAAGCTACAGAACCTTGCAAGCTTACTGTCAGGACAGCGAAAGAGAAAGGAAGGAGGAGAAGAAAGAGAAAGGTTGTCCCTGGTGGTATAACTGGATTTGAAGTTTCAAGCAGTCAAAGTGGGAACTCTACACCCTCTTCCCCTTTGTCCCCAGTAATATCTGTGATGCCTGATCGTATGTGGTCTCCCTCTCCTGCCTTGGACCCTATTGAGGTTAAAAATCCTTTCACTCAGGCCTCCACCAGAGACAGTCAGAAGGCTCGTGTTTCCCCAACAATGGTGCTAGCGCCGAAGCTTTCATTTCAGAACTCCATTAGCGATGGAATTTCTGGCACTGAAGGACAATCTTCAACAAGGAAAGTCATGAGTAAACCTGCTCTGCTTCCTTCCGCTACTTTCCCTTGCACCAGTAGGCCTGCCTCGAATCTGCCATATTTTACTCCATCTCTGACGTCTATATCTGCAGTCGCTCCTCATGCTCGAGCTCCTGGCTCTAAGCATTACGATCAAAGCAATGTTAAGTTGGAGGCTGATACAGGGGATAAATATGCATATGATATTTGGGGTGACCACTTACCCGGTCTGCATTTGATGAAGAACTCAAAGGATGTAAAACCCATGAGTAGCATAGTATCAGAACCTAATTCCAGTAGCTTCTTTGTAAGGGGTCCGCAAGCCCTCATGAAAAAGTCTCCCCTGCGACCTGTAAGTTGCGTTCTTCAAGAAGGTTAATGAATGAAAAGTCACTAAAAATAATCATGAATATTTTGCATGCCTCTTATCTCTCCTTGAGCTCTTGCCAAATTTCTATCTGCTCCTAAGTGATGCGTGTGGTTATGAGTTAGTATACAGGTAGAGGTGTATCGGTGGAACATTTTTGTTGTTTATCTTGCAAATTTTATTTGAGACGTGTTTAAGCAACCTGTCTCACTAGTAGTTTTGATTATGTCTCCCAGTAATCTGCTGGTTAAAAGGGGTTTCTTGTTGCGTTTTTCACCCGTCTTGCGTGTAAAGTAGAGGTCCAAGGATGTAAAAGACCATGGGCAGCGTAGCAACTAGCAACAGAAACAAATGATACTAGCTTCTTTGTGAGGGCCCCACAAGCTATCACAAAGAAGCCTTTTGAGTCTCGAAGCTCTCATAAAAATCACTCACTGTTACGAATATTTTCAGCTTTCTCTCTTTCAAAGATCGCAGTTATGATCTCATATGCAGGTACAGATGCGAGTTCAGTGTCATTGCTCTAGGAAGTTTTGCCTTCGTTTCAACAATATCCTATAGGAGGTTTCTTGTTAACCTGTTGATTTTCTTCTTACGGCTGTTTCTTTCCAGTACATTTAACGGGGCCTTGATCACCGTAATCTGTTAGAATGACTGTCTGGCTTTGTTTCTTCTTTGATTGTTGTCATGGGTCAACAGAAGTCCTGAAGGTCATCGTTCTCTCCATACATTTACCCTTTTGTTTGAGTTTGGTGACCCTAGTCATTTTTGGTTGGACATGATCTTGCTTAAGCTGTGGCGTTAGGTTGGACTCAGCAGTTGATTTTGGTCTTTAATCCGCATTGTTGAAATGATCTCATGTGATGATAGACAGTTGCAAAGGTCTTGTGAAACTTTGTCCTGGACTGGAAACCAGGGGCATTATTATTTCCTTGTAGATGTATGAGATTTGCGTTCCAGCATTTACATGTCTGGAATGCCATGGACTTGTAAAGAATGATCATGGAAGATGGTGATCTTGTTATGCATCGATCCTCTTGTCATTACCCTCCACTCTACAACGATGGCGGGGTCAAGTATCCTGGTCTAGATAGTAGATAATAACTCCTTGTTGGCAAATTGAGTGTATAGATTATATGTTCTCTCTGAAAAATGAATGGCCGTAGCATCATGCATATGCATGTATGTGTACATTAATGTTTTCCAAAGATCTTTTCACACAATTCTATCTAAACTTATTTGAACTTATTCACTGTGTGATATGGCCTATGTTCCACGAAAGTACTGAAACTGCATGATGCGAGGGGACTGCAGGTCCATTGCAGTTGCTTGTAGCCATGCCTATATCTTAAGAAATCTACTGGTGGAACCCCAATTCCTTTTAATGACTGTGTTGGCCAAGCTGGACCATTTATGTGGTATTTGTTCAATACTGGGAAAGTTACGGGGAAGAGACAGTAGACAGGAACATGACAGATGTATGAGGATTCCATTCATCATTCTTGGGTATCCAAGAATGCTAGAGGAGCCAGCATTTCTCCAGCACAGAAAGCCTTGCAAGCTGGCACTCTGCAGTTGCTGAGTAGTTTGTGACCCTCGTTTCTTCGCTCACAAACAATCAGTTTCAGCTACATATATGTCGAGTCACAAGCCGGTAAAAGGTACTTCTTGCTCTATATCAATTTTTGACATTGAATAAGTTTGGTTGTCTGCAGTTATTTCAACTATCCTATGCAGTAATGCGATTCTTCTAAGCTTGAAACAGAGGAGCAACAAATTAGATGTCTAAATTCAGAAGGTTTATATACAGGATGTGCATTGATAATTGCTTTAATGTACCATGATTCATCCTCCTGTCCTTTTTACGTGAGCAAATATCTGGTCTAGTATGCAGTGCTGTCGAACTCATCCAAGCATGGTAAAGCACGGTGCAGTTGCAGCTTGCTGTAAAATCTAAAACCTGTTGGAAAGTTGGTTGCTTTCTCTCTGCATGGTGGAGGATGAGGTTCACTCAACTGCCTAGCCATGGGTTAACTTATGGTAGCCATGACTGCAGTTGAGAGGACATGATACGAGATAAGAAGGAATTGTCCCTCCAAAAATCTTGATGTTGACGACGGCAAGAAAATGGCTTTGTCAATACTCTGGAAGGCCCTTGTAGTCTCAGCAGGACAGGGACACACCCGATTGTCCAAGATTTTCGTTCATTTAATAGGCTTAAGAGTTGTCTTACTTTCTATTTACTTTGGCTTATTATGGTCTTCCTTCGGCAGCTGCAGAAAGAAACAAGAGCTTAAGACAGCGATGCTGCCCTAAGCCGGACGCCAACAGAATAACAATTTCCAGTTGTAACAAGGTGTGGCAAGTGGACTTAACTCTCACTCTCTCTTCTCTTTAGGTTCGTATTATCTGCTTCTGCAACCTATCCTCTACTAGAATTACCTTAATTGTCCTTTTTGACATTGTTGAACTATCCTTCATAAGTTTCGATATGTTGAATTGCAGAGAACGTATAAGAGATAACCAAACGACACCAACGCGCACCGAAAAACGCACAAATGCAATTCAACGACATCAACACATGCTCCGTGCACTCCCTCAACACAACAGGTAACAATCCTTCATACTTGCAATGTGTCAGAGCGTAGGAATTTTTGGTAAACTGCCCAACCAATCTATCGTTGGAGTGGTTTAGGTATATATTAAATGGCAAAGACAGATGGACGTGTTTATGGTGACTTTCATTGTCTCTCCAGTGGGTTTGTCTTAGTTGGAAACGATGGAAGAAGTGGTCCTGTAGAGTTTTTTGGGGCTTCTGTGACCACTTTTTTCCCCTTACAACAGCAGGCCAAGACCGTGACTAGTCTTTGTGGCAATGGGGTCGTTTCCTGTTTTTGGATAGACTGTATCCTTATTTCGGCAAGATATGGGGAACAATCAAGGATTTGGACATGTTTTACAACCAGTAGTACCAAGTACACTCAAGAAAACCTAACCCATTGGTCACATGATGCAGTTATAACTTATAGCCTGTAACGTAGTTTTGTCTCTTATGTAGGTGCTGATCCAACCTAGCCTTCACGAGCTCGATCTCCCTCCTTTCTGGAAATGGACCTTGTTTCCCTATGTTGCTGGATTTTCTTAGAGGAAGAGCTTCGTTGGCTGGATTTTGTGCTATAAGTGGTTTGTGTGTGCCACATGTGTATGTTACCATATTGGTTACTTTGTTGTGTGGTTGTCGTTCGATCATTTCTGGTCTAGTAACTTCCTTCTTCACAAGTTCATATTACTATACTAGTTTGTTAGATCGCATCATCCAAACCAATCGCAAAGCCTGATTTATATAGTTGGACATGGATGGAATTGAAGTCTTCTTCACCTTTCATAGATATTATTTGTGTTTTACGACATTTAGGATATTATCTTGCGAGTTATTTGACATTTCTGCGGTAAGGTTAATTAGGAGTTGTTGATAGGAATTATTCGGGTTCAACTGTAAATTAGAATTTACAGAATGACCTAAATCTAAGTTTTCTCTTCCTCTCCCTCAACTCTCGGCCGAACCCTCTCCTCTCTCCCCCTGCAACTCGGTCAGAGCCAGACTTTCCCCCTTCCTTCTTTCCCAAGTCTCGCCTTCTAATCCCTAATCCTATCCCCAAATCTCCTCCAACTCATAGTATCTATATTTGTTCCCAATTCTTTGATCCGAGCATCGAGACCCTAGATTCGAGTTTCCATCATACATATGAGTTCTTGTATTGCAGGAAAGCTCCTAAGATGAGCGACAGAAGCAAGTTCCAAGGTGGGAATTGAGGTTCCAATTTTCTTTTGTCATATGATGCTATGTGTTTGTTATCTGAAGGATATATGAGTGGTGAAGAATTGGATTTGCTTTGGCATCCAGTGCTTTTTCAGCTCAGTGTTTGTTTGTGCCTTTTTCTACGGGCTTTACCTTTACCCTTTGATTCAGAACCCACTGAGCCCTAAAGGCCTTGGTGGGCCACCCAACCCGCTTTGTGCTGCTGGGACCATATAGGGCCCAATAAGGCCCTAGATTGAAAGAAACGAATGTAAGTGCATGGCTTCTACCTAGACTTACATTGCATTAGGGACCATTTATCTTTGTGGATTTGTATCCTTCTTGCATAACCTTGCTTTAAACAATTTTGGAGATCAATTGATAAATTATATTTTCGGTGTCGGATTCCATAATATTTGGTTTGAGTTTGTTACTAATATATGGTTCTAGTTGCTGGTCACCTGAATACTTTTGATTGTCGAAAGGGTCCTCCAGATTTTAGAACCGGGCTAGGTTTCGCACCTGGTAACGTGAAGCTTATAGCATCCTATCTTTTTTCGAGCAGTTTCTCACCTGTTAACATATTATCAGTCGAACTTTTAGAACCAGGGAAAGAAACTTGCAATTGATTGAATTTATCGAGAATCGCCAACTATTTTTGAGCATTCTGAATTGATAAATTAATTTAACGATGATCATGATACATCCTAAATTTCGATATTGCCTCGTCTCCTCCATGAAACAAATATTGAACAAATGTAAAACTAAGTGAATGATTGTGAGGATGGCATGAGGCATGCCTAGACTTCATGAATCATGATCACAACTCATCATATCCTCAAAGCTGTCCATGATTTAGGAGAAGAAAACTGGAGAGAAAAAATGTGAATGATAAGTAGTGGATATGACATGAATGCTCTGAAACTCACAACTATATAGCTAGTTAGTGGAGGCATGTCCAAACTATAATGATTGAATGAAATGCCTTGAGCTTTGGAATGACGAGTTATTAATTAGAAGATGATTAAGCTTTGATCTAATAATACAAACAAAATCCTCATTAATCATTCCTTGAGAAAATTAGACATAGTTTATAGCCTACTTGGGACAAGTCTTTAGTGGTACAAACAAAATGCTATCAAACAAAGGTAAGGAGTAATGCTTTGGGTTTTAGCTTTTCGTCCGACATAACAGCCACCATATGCAATTGATGCCCCCATCAACTCGTCCTTATTATGTTAGAATGGGGAAACAACACCATTTGATGATGTTTGTTTATATGCTCTGAATTGGCTTCATCTCAAGAGGTGCTACTCGATTATATATGGCGCTCACAACCCATTTGTGAGAACATGCTCGTAAGGTCAGTGCTTTACTAGCTGGTTAAGCATCTGGCTATTTATGTCTGTTGGATGAACATGAAATGCTAGATGATGGAGGGTACATTAAACGCCAGATGAACATTTAACTGCCATCGCATCCATCCAACACTGACGGAGGGTACAACGCTCGTTCCCGTCGACGCCCAACTCCTATGACCTCGTTCTCGCGATTTGGGACGTGAAGAGGATAGCAAAAGTGAAAGAAAGTAAAAAGAGAGAAAAAAGAAAACAACTAATCAAAGAGGGTTCTTTACCTTTTTTTATCAAGTTACATAATGCAAAAAGAAGGTGATGGCATGTGTTGTTGAGCCCACACCACTTAGATTGGTCCACAATATTGTCCCTAACCTCACGTGCTTCGACCTTTTCTTTGCACTCTTTTTTCTTTCACTTTGAGATAAATGCATATTTACTTACATATCAATGGTGGAAAGAGGAGTGACTATCGATTCGTTCTATGCTTGCCATTTAGCTTCGTGGTGGATGAAATCATTCCTTTCCTTTTCCACGCATGTCATCACACAACAACAGAAAAGAGCCCAATTGTGAAGATGGAGATGTTGTTGTAGGATCTCTTTGCCTCTAGCAACAAGCTACTTAAGCAACCAACTCTGCATCTTTAGGTGCAAAAAAGTTGGATAAGGAGCATAATGATCTCCACTTTATGATAACACGGTTTTCTGCAATCACGCAAGGTAAAAAAGATCACATTAAGAACTTATCATGAATATAACGTAATGGCTGTTGCGTTCTACATATCGCAAGAAGCCAGTTTTAAATATACTGTGCATGGTGTTGAGTCTTTTGGCAGCTGATTTTTAGATATTGAAAACTCTGTTGCGTGAATATTACATGTGCAGGAGATAGATATGAAGATAGGCTTGAGCACTCAAACCATCCCCACTACTTTTTTTTTTTGGGCAGTACCTGATTAATACACGAATTATTCTTATTGATTGGGCTTAAGAGAATCATATATCACGATTTTTCCTTGAAATGTAGCTTTTCCCCCTCCACCCAAGCCAGAAACCAGGAGGGGCTAGCATTAAGAACGGGGATTATCATAATTGCATGTACTTATCTAAAAGTAGCATCGAGTCCATGCATCTTAAGCACTCTTTTCCCCACTTTCATAATGCGAGTTCTTAATCCGATCTTCCAAAATCCACTTTTTAAGCAAAACCCCCTGATTATGATAATGACGCCAACTGCCACATAATTACTTCAAATGAGTTGTAGAAAAGGAAAGACTACAAAGTACAAACTATGCAGGCAGCGTGCATCTTGAAAGTGTGGATCTATAAACTATATTTAATTAATTACACACTTAATTAATCAATCAATGTAAGAATAATAATTCAGGAGTCCATGGCATCCGATGGAACTCATTAAGCAGAAACGGCCAAGACAAAAAAAAAAGAAGAGACTACAGTTAATTATTTTAATTAATTTTTAACCAACATTTTCAAAGTAGTGTGTTCCATACAATTATAATCATTTGACTGGCTTAATTAAGGCTGTTGTACTGTACTAAAAGTACACTCAGCTTTATATATACGTGGCATGTGCTGTAAGAGATAACTAAAGATCACAGTTTCACCGTTGAACTCCGGCAAGCCTTTCCCGGTCCGGCGAAGCTGAACGGCGACGGTAAAAGGCGGTGCACTGAGTCTTGTCGTGCGCCTGCCCACAGACTAATAAACCCCAGAATGCTAAAACAGTCGCTCCCTGGCCATTTTCCACTATCAAACCACTCCCACTTTTCCCCTTTTCTCTTCCACTCCCCATTTCTTCCCTTCCTTCTGGTAGCTAGCGGATTCACAGAAACGAGCCATGAAAATAAGCTAACAGCACGAAAGCTTCTCTTACAGATTTCCCATTTCGACCCATCAAAGTTCCAAAACTCCAAAAACCCAGTACAACCCTCGCACCATTGCCATTTTCAAGTAAGTTCGGCATCTCTCTGTTTTTCTTCTACGGGGAGGAAAAAAAAAAAATCCCCCGAGTGAAGACAGAAATGGGGAGCCAGCGAGTTCAATTGATTACTATATATGTTTCCATTGTAAATCAAACTCTCGTTGCTCTCTCTCGGCCTTCCTCTAGCCTCGATTCCTCGTCGTTTTTCTCCCTTTTCGCTGCTGTCTCTGTCTCACTCTTCCACACTCTGTTTTACCCCTTTTTTTTAATTTCTTTTGTTTTTGCTTTCTTCTTAAGCTTGTCTCTTCACGCAGCTCGAGATTCTTCCATTTGTTTAACAAAGAAAGATCCTTTCTCTATCTCCTTCTTCAATTGGGTTCGTTTTAAACCGCAAAGTAATCGAGTTTGAATAAACAAAGAGTGAGAGCAATACAGACCTTGCTGGCTGTGGAGGAACTAGAAAGCCTATTTGTTTCTGCGGTGGTGATTTTCTCTTTCAATTAATTTTTTCCCCCCCGGGGTTCTATAAGTTTCCCGCTCTTTGTAAATACCGAGGTTACTTACTTACCGCCAATCTCTTTTTCCTTTTCTCTCCTGCTGCTGCTGCTGCTCTGCTGCCTCCCTTTGTCCTCTCTTCATTTCCCTCGCCATTTTTTGTTTTCTTCTGATAATTAGAGACCGCTGTCATTTCTTACTCTTGACCTCCGATTCCAGGGTTTCTGCAATAAGTAATTGATTCGAAAATTTGGATTGATCAGTCGGGGAAGGAGGGAAGGAAGGAAGAAGATGAACACGAGAGTTCGCTCTGCTCTTCAGGGCTTAAAAGCTCCATTGCACCCTGATAATACCAATGAGAATAACAATAAGAACCACAAAGTAAGCAATGAACTGTTCTTGCCCTGTTCCATTGTGTGTTTTCTTTCTTTCTTTGCCATTCTCTTCTTGCTCTGTTTTCCGTTTGCTAAGTGATCGATTGGTTTCTGGGGAAATTTTGTGAGATGGGTTCCTTTGATTTTCTGCAATGCCCACTTTTGATAAAGAGTGAAGGAATGAAGGGGTTGGTTCCTTTTACTTTAAAACCTGAGAAAGGATTGATCTTTAGATCCAATCCTCCATTGGGGCTTCCTTTTCCTTTTACCACTCTTCTCAAGGAAAGAATATGCTTTTACATTAATGTTTCCTGCAATTCCACGCTGGATTTAATGCTTCATTCCCTTATAGTCAGATTACTGACACCCATGTTGAAAATTGGCATAGAAGGAGAAAATGCAGAGCCACGGCGGAGGAATAAGAGCAATTGCTGCTCTGAAATCAGCAGCCATTACCAACAGGCGAAAATTGAACAGGGAAAGGAAATTGGCATTGCTAGAAGATGTAAGTAAAAAAAGGAATCAAATTCCTAACTTTCAAGTTTCAAGTTCAGTTATTCCCCCAAAGGGTTCTCCAATTTGAGTTTTTTTTTGCAGGTTGATAAGTTAAAGAAGAAGCTTAGACACGAGGAGAATGTACATAGAGCATTGGAGAGAGCTTTCACTAGACCTCTTGGAGCTCTCCCTCGCTTGCCGCCTTATCTCCCTCCTTATGTCAGTATCTCAACTCTTTCCTTCCAAAAATTTATCTTTAAAAATTGCAGCTGAGATCAAACATTGGTTTTCCTTCTTCTTTCAGACATTGGAGCTGCTTGCTGAAGTGGCTGTCCTAGAAGAAGAAGTAGTTAGGCTAGAAGAACAAGTTGTGAACTTTAGACAAGGCCTCTACCAAGAAGCTGTCTACAACAACAACTCCTCTAAGAACTGCAATAATGATGGAGTTTCTGATCAGCAACAACAGCAACAGCAACCTTGTTGTTCTTCCTCTAGTACGAGAACACCAGCAAGACATTCGAGATCAAAGTCAGTCTCGTCGGCCCACGAGCTCATCAATTCATCACCATTTGGATCAGCAGCTAAACAACAGCAGCAGCCTTCTCTTGCTAGAAGTACCTCAAGTAGAAAGCTCTTGTCAAATGAGAGTCCAGTAATAGGTGATCAATCAAGACATAGAGGGCAAGGCTCTAACAAGGTGATTTCATCCTCTCCATATGACGAAAGAGGGAAGGAGAATCGGTCATGGAGTAATTCATCGAAGGAGAAACAAACTCCTGAGAAGAGAAATGGCAAAGCTGCAGCCCCTCGTAAGAGACTGTTCGATAACAGGCGGATATCAGAAGATAAAGGCTCAGTTGTTCCCTCAAAGTCAATGGTAGGCATATACTGTTTGTTTTAAGCCAACACAAAAATTCTCCTAGCTTTCAATTGGGTGAAGCTCATTGGTAAACAAACCTTCATTATGCAAGCTCATTGTTAGTTCTGTTTTGTTTCCATAAGGTGGAATGCAAGTTAGCAGAAGAAGAAGCGACTTCATCTTCTGGTTTCTTGGATGAGGTTCTTGAAGCTAACAAGCTATCCGAGGATATGGTGAAGTGCCTATCCACCATTTTCATGAGAATGAGAACATCGAAAGACAAGGCAGCGGCAAACATGGTCACCATTCTAGAAAGTGAATGTGGTTGGGACGCTTATTACCACGGTGAAAGTAGTAGAGATAACACGGTTGGTCCATACAGAGATATGTGTGCAATTGAAGCTAGCTCAATCGATCTCAACCGGGCAACAACCGTTGTCTTCTTGTTACATAGGCTAAAGTATGTCTCTCATCATAAATCCATCTTTGTTTATGTTAAAATCCAGTCGAGTTGTGCTGCCATGCTGAAGGGAGTGAGCATCAACAAGGGCTGACATTGTCACATTTGCAATATTTACAAAAAATGTCACCTTTTAACATCCAATAGCTGAGATCGCCTTGCCAACTGTTACAGCCTGTGCTGTTCACTGTTCAGCATGTTATTCAGATAGGGCTAAATTCATTGACTTGAATGGTTGTTCAGAGACATGATCAAATGCTGGCTTGCTTTTCAGGTTTCTGATGGAGAAACTTGGGAGTGTGAATTTGGAAAGGCTTACTCACCAGCAAAAACTTGCTTTCTGGATAAACATATACAACTCTTGTATGATGAATGTGAGTCTTTCTAATTCCTTGTTAGGATACTAACTATTTAAGTATGACGAATAAGTTCTTATTTTTACTTCTCTGATTTGCAGGCCGTTTTGGAGCATGGTGTGCCTGAGACGCCTGAAATGGTTGTGGCACTAATGAAAAAGGTAACTAACTACATCATCACATCAGTCAAGTTGATCATGTTTATGACAGTGGGTTTGGACTCAAAACCGTGATTAAATTGCGAACTAATCGCAGGCAACGATAACAGTGGGGGGTCGTCTGCTGAATGCCATCACAATTGAACATTTCATATTGCGGCTTCCTTACCACTTGAAATTTGTAAGTTCTCATCATATCCAGCTCAAAGGAGAAAAGAGGGGCAATTACTAATTACCAATCTGCCAATGTAGACATGCGAAAAGGTGTCGAAGAACGAAGAGATGAAGGCACGGAACAGCTTCGGATTAGAGTGGTCGGAACCTTTGGTCACCTTTGCACTCTCCTGTGGAAGCTGGTCCTCCCCTGCTGTAAGTACCTTTTCCACTCTGTCGAAGAAAAGGAACATGCACAAAACTTGTAACACAAGCAAGCTATGGCGAGTAATATTCGACGACAAGCATTCTTATCAAACCCACCAAACAATTGCAGGTGCGGGTTTACACGGCATCAGGAGTCGAAGAAGAACTAGAGGCAGCAAAGAGAGACTACCTGGGGGCTGCAGTTGGGATATCAAAGACAGAGAAGAAGCTGATGATACCAAAGCTACTGGACTGGTATCTGCTGGACTTTGCCAAGGACATGGACTCGTTGGTGGACTGGGTTTGCCTGCAGCTGCCCAATGGGCTTAGGGATGAAGCAGTGAGGTGCACTGGAAGAAAGGGGAGAGAGCCTTTGTCACATCTGGTTCAGGTCATGCCTTATGATTTCAGCTTCAGGTTTCTTCTGCAGAGGAATAATGGATTTTGATAGGGAATTGGGTACAGGGGAAAATAAATGGATACTAGATATAAAAAAAGATGGGCTTGGTTTTTGGTTTCTTTCTCTTTGGGGTGGGCTTCTTGTGGGTTGGTTGTGATTATTCTATAATGGGTTTCTAATGTTCTGCAAAGTATTTTTGGTTTTTGATTAGTTTTTTTTTTGTTCCACTGTTTTGTTTCTCTAAGCAAGGAAAGAAAAAGAAAAGAAAACATGAGGGACTTGGAAAGAATGGAAATGGTGCAATGGGCTGATTGGTTTTGGGGTTTCATTGTGAGAAAAAAGGGTTTGGTTGGTGACTGTTTAAACACTCTCAAGTGAATAAAATATTTCCTACAAGTGTTTAGCATTACATTTCTATAGTTTTATGTTGATACAATTTGAGCATAAGAAATTATTGATATTGCATTGATAGAGATCGTAACAAGATAGTCCGTTTAATGGCCAGAAAGACCCTCTCGTAGTACCCTTGTTTTTGCTTCTTGCATTTCCTAGGTTTTGTACTTATAATGAAAGAAGAGAGACGGATAATGTTGAGATGTAATAGCAAAATAATAATGGACCAAACGACCCAAAAGACAAGAAAATCCGCAGAACACAACTTTCAAGAAACACCAAAAACGCAAAAAACCACTTGTGTGCAGCCATCCATATCACAGGCAGAAAACACAAATCCAGCACTAATAATAGCCCTCACAAGTAAATAAAATCACCAGAGCAGCCCCTTGTCAGTAAGATACAGGAAAAACAAACTATCTTATGTATTGTACACTTTATACATGCAACTCTAAAGCCTACAAGGAAAGCACAAACTCAAAAGGCATACATTCAACAGCAAAATTGCTATCTCAATTACAATGCCAGGGATCGACTGATGATCGCACGAATAGGATGGAATGGCGCAGAGGAAATGATCATATCACGATATATAGAGAAATCGGCGAGGAAGAATTACAACAAACCGAATGAATGATGACATGTACACCAAACAAAGCGGGGTTGGCAGGTCGCTCCTGCTTTGGGAGCAGGAGATTTACCTGAAAGACGACCTAAAGGAAGCGGATGAGACAATGATGCCTGGCAACGGTCGAATTCTTAGCCAAATGGCGAGGGAACGGGCCCCGCAACAGCATCCGATCTCTTGATGCTGCCCATGCCGCAGATAATGCATCCTGGAGAAGAGAGCGCGGAGAATTTGGCACCACAAAGATCACAGACATCATACCCGATTGTCGAAAGACGGCCTAGAGTGGCAGCGCAGAACTGGGAAGGATCTTCAAGAGGGTCAATGGACTTGTCGGATGAGCCCCTCTGGACACACATGTCGACGAGGCTCCTCAGTTCGTCTTGCTTGGCCTGGGGAGCTTTGGAAAGCAGGAGCTCCAGCATCTGTTTTGCGTAGGCGAAATTCTGGACTTCCATGTTCCTCTTGATCGCCGTTCGTATGCAGTTTATTCGGTGCTTTGCAAGAAGAGGCAGGGAGCCCAGGTGTCGTGCGAGCCTAGCCATTTCGTCCTTTGCACTCAGCACGTTTGGTCCTTGTACCTTCTGCAGCCGTGTGATTTCCTATCCCCAACAAATAAATGATTGTTTGTGAGCATTCTTATAGTCTTGGAATGCAGGGGCAAAATGGATGACATCACAGGAAAAATCTTAGTCAGTGTTTGTTTTTGGCTAAAACATAACTTAACTAGGCTGGCTTAAAAGCTAAAACGGAGTGCAAACTGAAGTTAGTAGTTGCTCGCAGCTGTATCAGTGAACTGACGGCAACCAGAGTACAGATTTCAACTATGGAAACATCAGTCAATCTTATCTCAGTTCAAAGAGGCTGACCGACAGCAAAATCTACGATTTGATGTAGCCTAATAGAAGGTATTCCTATTTTAGTAGAAGCAGTGGTGTAAAGTTTTAGCTTCCAATTACCTGAAGCAGCGTAACTGCTATCTTATACTGAGCGCAGATAGTTGCTTGGGCTTTGACATCAGCTCCACGAGAGAAATCCTTGGCCAAAGCCAAGAAAGCTTCGTCAAAGCATGACAATGCATCAGGAAGCTGATTCTGCTCGAGGTGAGCAAGCCCAGTCTTGAAACACATAGAAGCAGCTGCTCCACGGGGAACCTATAATCAAACAAGCCAAAGAAGCAGCAAAACTCCAACAAGGTTAGATTTCAAATTGGAATTCGAAATGCAAAGCTCCCCAACAATTCCAACTTTTGAAAATATATATTCTTTCCCAAAATACGGAAATTCATGCATTTCTTAATTATTAAACGTGCTATAATACGGAAATTGTTTTATTGCTAAATAATATTTCATTTGCGTCACTTCAACTATTTTCCTATAAAAAAAATCCCCCGAGTCCCTGACCAAACATATTTTCCCTATACGGTACAAAAAAAAAAGGGAAGAAACCCACTCATCTTTTCAAGCAAAATCTATAACAAGCACACCCAACAGACTACCGTTCCCCTCTGGGGATATCTATGGCAAAAAAAAAAAAAAAAAGCACACCCAACAGACTAAAAGCATTTCACCTGTCCAGGACGCACAGATGATGGTGGAGGAGGCCCTGGAGATTTCCCAGGGTCATCAGTATTTGGAACTCCAAGCACACTGAGATCAAGAGGCTGTGAAGAGATTGGTGGCTGAGAAGGCTGAACAATGTGGGGCTGAGTGGGGAAAGCAGCCTGTCCAGTAGCTTGTGGTAGGATGGATGCCTGAGCAGAGACTTGAGGTGGCACACCGCCATCAGGAAGTCCAAATGAATCAATAGGGAACGCTTGTTGCTGAGCGGCTGGAGGAGGAACACCGCCGCCAGGAAGGCCAATATCAGCAGATACAGGAGCACCAATTGGAGTAGGTGCCATTTTCGCATCACCTTCTGTTCTTTGATCCATCTTTGAAAGGAAGGTACCTGGAGGGGGCAGGGTCTTTGCAACTTGAACGGAAGAAATCGTGTTTTCAAAGAAGTCTTCTGGGATGGGTCGAGGTGCTGGAATTGCAGCACCTCCAACCACAGGAGCTGGTTGTTGCGATGCTGGTTGGATAAAGGAAACTGGACCGAACAAATCCATAGGTGCTGAAACTCCAACTGCTGCTGCAGCTGAAGGAGGAGGCTGTGATAAGATCTGGCCAAGGTCCTGAGAGCCACCTGACGACCTTGCCCTTGGGGTAGGGCCTAATAATGCTTCACCAAGTTTAAGCTGTTTAGTGGCTTCTTTGATTTTATTGACATCTACTGTGGCAGAAGAAATTGGTTTATCTCTTATCCTAATTTGGATCTTCTTGGTTTTCGAAGCTCCTTCTTCATCACTGCTGCTACCATCACCAGCTGCACCACCATACATCGTCTTCTTGAATTCCTCTTCAGCTTTGGCTTGTTCAGCAGATGATGTACCAGCTGCATTTTGCCTTGACAGAGCTTCCAGGCCGTTAAAGGAACCACCATTCGGATTAGTACCGGTTAGTCCCTTTGCACTGCCAGAGATGGATTTGGCTAAGGAATCTGGAATTCCATTGTTCAGCTTATTGTCAGCTGAAGGGATAAGAGCTTTCACTAAGCTATCTTCTCTCACTTCCACAACGTTTCCTCTTCCTTTAATGGAACCTAGATAAACACCAATATGATCAACGATAATGTGAGGGATTGTTCCCTCATCGGTCCTCATATATGGCATCACTTCTCCAGCAAGCTCCCACTGAGGAATGCTCTTCAAGTTAGTAGGAGTCTTGATTTCCCAGTTGCCACCACCCCATTCGGGTCCTTTCGGAACCATGCTCTCAGCAGCAAAGTTTGCGAAAATGCCTTGTGTCCATCCGGTAGACCTAACTCTCAAAATCCTTTCACAGTATCGCCTCAACTCTGGATCCACAGTTTCTTCTTCCAGTTTTTGAGCAAGACGCCGCATAGCACTAGGGTTAAGGTGGCATATGAATAAATCTAGCAAGCTTTCATAGTCTGCAATGACTTCAAAAGTTTCTTTGGCGCTGTCGAATTGACCGTATCTGAAATTTGGAATTTAGTTAATATCACAAAATTTAAAAAGAACTTGGACCCATCACTATATAAGACAAGCACAACTTCATCAAGCATCGGAACTCAAAAGAATCCAAATTCGCAAACATGCTCACATCAGCATAGATTTGGGTACGGAATTGTTTCTGGACATTAGGAAGTGGGAAATTGGGTGTGGTTTGTAACGAAAATTTATGGGCAAAAGGGGATGGGAGGTGAAGAACAGGTGTAAGCTCCCCCATACTCCCAAATAACCAAAAATGTAACTTTCTCACATTAACCCTCAATTTTCCTCCCCTTTTTTCACATCCTCTCCAACAAGGGGCAAGTCTGGATACACAAAAGATCAGACTAATCATCAGAAGCTTCTATTATCTCAATTAATTGAAATCCAATGAAATGACTATTCATAGAAAATGCTCCATCACCAAGGTAACAATCAATAGAAATTGCAACATATAGCAGGCTGTCATTATTCCACTCAGACAAATCTCCAAAATGACGAACATCATAAGCTTACATTTAACAACCCACGTGTGATTATACAAAGCAAGCCAACCAAATAATTAAATAGATAACACAGACAGTCATATGCAAGAATGAGGTCCCAAAACTAAAAGAAATCATGAGTTGCTGAGTGCACTACTATTGAACATCTAATATTTGTGTACCTTATACATGCATATCCCAATTGTCGAAACCGGTGGAACAAATGTGACGTTGGAGGACATTTAGGATAATCTCTGGACCGCAAGAACTCATCTTTGAGTACAGACAATGCTGTTGAAAAACGAAGAGCTTTGATAGCATAGATACAGCGCAAGACCTGAGTTTTTTAGGCGATATGGTGAAGCATTAGATGGGAAAACAAGCAATTCCGATTAAAGTGAACAAGCGAACTTCCACTCACCTGCGTAAACTGAGGACCTGCTTGAGATAACGACACTGCAAGATCTCCACAAACTGGAGGACCCCTAGCAAGAATGTCCAGTGCCCTTGGTGTAATCCGCAAGCTGTCAAACCTTCACTCAGACAACAATTTGGAGGCTCAAGATATCAGTATACCGCAATGACAGGATTCAATAGAAAATACAAAGAGAACAAAAAAAGATTGCAGCCCTATACTGAGAATTTTAGGGAACTTGAAGTATAATCGCTAAACAATTCAATTTCCTCAGTAAGGGACAGTTAACCTTGAAGTTATCTGGTAAAGTGTTTCTGACAGGTCAAGCTTCTGCTCAAAAGTTTGTTGCATGGTGGCAAATCCAATAAGAAGAGGCTCAAGAAGCCCAACCAAACAGCTTCTAATCTCAATCCCTTTCTTTTGTCTAGGATTTATATCTGTAGGGTTAGCGAGTAGCAATCGATCATTCAATGCACCAACCAGAGCTGCATAAAACGAAACAAATGGTGTTATTAAACATGAAAATATCTTGGTCTTGAGTTCGTAAGAAATGCTCATTCAAAAGAAAAAAAATTGCACCTGCATAAGGCATGCTAATGGAGGCAACGGTCCTTACTATTCCGTCCCATCCAAGCATACTGATAGCAGTAGTAGTGGAAAAAAGAAGTGCAGGGCCAACCCACAAAAGGGATCTAAAGTTCACAGAGAGTTAAGCAAAACTTGAGTAATTTTCTTTCTTATAGGTTCCCAGTTACCATTATGTCAAACCCTTTGAGATCTGTTAGTAAAACATGTTAAACTGCTGAAACCAAGAAATGATATTAACAAAATAAACAAGTTCCAAAACGTTGTTGTCAGGATATTGGAGGAAGTCCTTTATCGAATTTCATAGTGCTGCTTGCCAATATCTCAAGGTCTGCTGATACCATGAGCACCCTGCGAGTGGTCAATATTCCTGCAACATAGCCCCGAGGAGTTTCTTGCCAGTGGACCTACAGATATCCACAATTGCCAGTCAATGTATGTAATACTCTGCATATTAGTATTCGGTCAAAAGTATGATGGTCAACAGTTTGCTATGCATGATGTAACTCAAACTAATGTAATGCATCTACATAAACAATGGCCAGATGAAGTTAACATGGCACAGCCATCTACCATATTCTCACAATTGACTATCCAAACTTATCTTGTACGAGCTATTAGCTTCCAGGCAGCAAACATTACAGAAGAGTTATATTTAATTCCTCTATAGCATCTAAAAAGAGAGAGTAACATCCAAAAAGAGCTTTCGGTGTTATTTTACCATCCACATAATCAAGAATGAGTTACTCATTGATCCTAACCATAGTTTCCCAATTTTTCCACAAATGCATGCAGTTTCGTCAAAGAGGTCAATTTTCACAAGATAAGAGCTAATGCAGAGGCCAGGAGATAGATAGCTAACGCCAAAGGTATATCTCAGTCTACACTATACTTATTTAACCATGCGCTAGGGTAAAAAACTTATACCTGGAGTACGATTTCATTTAATTTCAACTTGATTGACTTTCTTCCTTCAGATTTCGTCTGTATGTAATGACCATCTGATTTTGAAAGACGATATCCTTGTACCAACTTGGCCAGACTAATCTGAATCCCATTCGACACATACATCAAAGTTGACTCTGCAACCACAATGTTTAAATCAGTATGATGGGTATTTCTTGATGCAATCACAACGAGAAGAAGAATCTCATTCATCAAGTACCTATTGGAGTGGAGAATATACGATCGACTTCACTTTCAAACATGAACTGTATTGGGCCCTGAAGTGACCCATCTTTTGTTTCTTCAGCAGTAGGGTTCTCTTCTAATAATAATTCTTTATTATCTTTGCCTTCTTTTGTATCTCCTCCCGGCAAAATATACAATGACAATCCCGTTTTGTCTTCATCAAGAATAGCAAACTGGAATTCTTTAGGACCAATAAATGCCGCATCACGCCCTATAAAGGAAAACAAAGTAGGTCAAAGAAGATCAGGTTCCCATGTCACATGTATTCTGGCACGAGGTAGCAAAGGATAAAACTTTTGACAGGCATACCTTTCAGTGTGCTTCCTTTACTGTTTGCTGCCTGGTAACTAGTATTCTCCCAGTAAAGCACCAGTTCAGTTGTAGAACCACTGAATTCATAAACAACAAGGAACAGCTGCTGTATTTTACTGTACACCATGTGCTTTGGATGATATTCCACATTTCCAGGAATCTGAAAGTGTACAAAAAACTTTAGAGCCTCAAACTTGCTAAGCAATGGCTTTTCCCTAAATGGCATTGTTCATATATTCATTATCACTAGTACCCATTATTTCCAATGGAGAAAAAGGCAGAAACAGCAATCTTACCGTAGTATATAGTTTTTTATATATGCTGTCTCCTCCAGTGCAGAGATTGTATGCCATAAGATTCAAACCCTCCACATAGAAAGCCCTAACAGGGTAATGAAGAACTCGATTTTCTTTGTTGAAGAAATTTAGCTCCAAGTGAAAAGGCTGTGAATCAAAACGACACTTCAAGTGCCACACAAGTAACAGAGAAACCAAACTGACCAAAAATTATTCATCTCAGTACCTGGCACACAGGAATATCCTTCAGATAATGCTTAGTGTCTAAAATTGATATGAGAGGTAATCGGGATATTGGGGTACTTTTGGAATGACCTTCCATAAAATGCTACAGAACAAAAGAAGTTGGTGAAGAGAACATCAGATTGGGAAATTATTCAAGTTCGAGCACACACAAAGAAGAAGAAAGAAAAAAACAGATTACTGAAGAGATTTGAAGGAACCAATCCATGGCACAGCAAGATTTTGAAAATTTTGAATTTTGTTGAGCTACTTAATATCTGTAACCTTCAAAATAGTGTTGAGGGGAACAGTATGACTTCTAGGTGACATCATGTCACTCAAACTTATTAAAGTTCAGCCCTCGCCTAATAACTCAGTCTTGTGAAACAATACACATGATCTAACTATTCAACATCTAGCCTCTAAGAGTGATCCCAGAATAGCTTTCAGGATATGACCACTTCCGTTGGATCAGGAAATTTATGCTATTGGCAGGAGACATACACTGTGAAGGAAAGCCTTCCTAGCAATGTCTGAAATTGTTGGCTGCACGTGCCTGCAAGGGAGTAAGACAAAATTAGGCACTAACATTGAAGATCAGGATGGGGGCAGAACGAAAGAAAAAAACCAGCATACACCATTTCCATCTTCAGAACCAACTAAAAAGTAGCCACTTCGATAACTGTGGCCACCCCGAGATTAATTTTAGTCATTAAATAACCTAAAGTAAATGGAGAGTGAAGAGAAAAGATCTAATCAACCAAGAAATTCTAACCATGATAGCCTCAAGAACTATAATTTAGAACTGACCCTTTCAGATGATGCTCTTGCAGTTGGGCTTGAAGCTGGTGATCAGCCAAAATTCCTGATGCACCCAGGGAGGACAGCTTTTCCTTCAAAACAGATGCTGGAAATCACAACAGTCAATAGTTGAACACATATAAACTGTACGCAAGACATTCTACAAAGTAAAAAATATAATCAAGATAATTAACTTGTGATATGATAGCAATCAGAAATACGGAAGGTCAAGCTTCTCAACATTCAACTATACCAGCAGATGCAATACAAATTCACAGATCTTATAGACATTGTCGCAAGATCTGAATGGTTTACAATAATATGCAAACCAAGGGCGACAATTTTACCACGTTTATTTATATAAACAGTTGAAGCAACAGTTGTCACACAGCATTAAGATTGGAAATTAAATCTGGACTGTGAATCAATCAAGCAAAGCCAGAACGCAATTAAGCGCAATAGCAGAGTAGACTAGCAATATCCTATGCAATAGATTGCAGAACGATAACGATTCAGACTTAGATGGTTATTCACCAGATGATCCCCTTGCACTTTGCAGGACTGCGAAAAGTTGCTTCCTTCCTTCCCTAGTGTATGCAGCCCTATTCCTCATATTATCAGCACCTGCCATATTCTGTCACAAACACTCGGTAAAATAAGAAGACCTCCAGCCATGCAAACTGCAACTTAAGTCTGAAAATGAAAACCGATTCTCTTAACTGCAAATATGAGAGCTGCTAAATTCAATTTTGGATGAACTTCCAAGGCTTTAATCCTTGGTAGAGGATAAACTGCTTCTCCTCCCTGCTGAGACAAAATGCGAGGGACATCTATTGATTCGATTCCTACACAATCAAAGGCCAAAAACAAATGAATTAGACGCCATGCTTTCCATTACCTTTACAAGATTCTCTACAAGATATGTAAGTTATGAATGAATAACCATGCTGACCGCCATTCTATTAACCTAGTAAATGAGGGGCATACACCTGCAAACATTCCTTAACGCAGCTACATGGTTCTACTAACTTGGAACTATTTTTCATCATGCGGGCAAAGATAGTAGCAACCCCAGAAGAGGTTTAACTCCCGACATCACATTCTGTAAGGATATAGCATGCAAGCTGCAAATAATCTGAGCTAACCTAAGGCCCTAGATCTTACCAGCAATGTGTGGATGGCAAAAAACAATTTGAATTAGTCCCAGGTTTAATACTACCAATACAAAATTGCAGTAAGAATAACTGTCTAGTTACTAGATGTTTGGAGCTCTGCTGTACTTCAACAAGAATTCGCTTAAAAAGAATTAGTAATGATAAGAGCTAACCAGCTTGTTCGAAAAAGTTTGCTGGCATCAGTGGTCTGTTAGGGTTAACTACCAATCGTGTTTTCCATACTTGAAGTGTTCCATCTTTTGAAACAGTAACAAGTAGCTTCAACATCGAGAGCCAGGATATTGATGCAATTGGTTGTGAGCCTACCTGGGTTCTGCAATTTAGAAAAGAAAGTTAAATAATAGATGTAAAATCACCAATCCATGACTAGCATACGATGAGTGTTAAAACATACGATATTATTTTACAATTTTTTTGGGTGCCAGTGTGGTAGTTTTATGTAGAAGAAGCTGAGACTTTAAGTCAAAGGAGGATTGAAAGTCTGCTACATAAAGCAATTATTTATTATCAGCCATGCTAATGCATTTCCTATTTCAACAAATATTTAATCATGAGTTGCATACTGCTCCATATCACAAGATCATAGAACTGTCATCACCAGCAAAAAAAGTAACCTAAAGAAACATAAACTGAGAATTTTGGTTGACAAAACAATAATGAGCAAGCAATGTAGTCTACAAACCCCTTGCCTAAAGCTACAGGAAGCACATGCATTAGTAGGAATAATAAGATAGCCACAAAACAAACTTTATACCTCGTAACACACATTTAAAGTTTCTATTTTAGAATCACTCAAGAACAGACAAATTCTAAATAAATATGTTGTGAATATGCAATACTTACAAGTTACGAGGAGATTTGAGACGGTTGGAAGAGTGCATGAAGTTATAAACAAAACAAATCTCATTACAGTAGATAGATCAAAATGGGAAACTAAAGACATTCTTACATTCCGATCATACTGGGCCTCTCAGTAGACACATCCCATGCCAAGAGTGTACCACGTCTATCGCCAACAAAGATCCATTCTAATGTTGGATGAAAAGCAAAGGCTCCGGCACCAATGAGCTTGATGGTATTATCCACTGCATTATCACCGATAAATGGCAGTGTAGATATAAGTACATACTGCTTTTGAAGAAATGGGAAATTCAAACACTAGATGCATAGTAAGTGTCATAATCATCTTACATTGAAGTGTGTAATGAACAGCATATGTGTGAATGTTGTAGGCTCGAATCAAACCATCTGCATAGGCCACATACTGGGAAAACAGTAGATGACATCATCAGCTTGCTAAATTATTATAAGAACCAGCGAAAAATCAATGATTTATCTGGTTATTTTTCGATTTCATGAGTGGCATTCATGAAAACTGTAAAACAAGTTCACGATTGGCAGCACGGCAACTAGACGGAAATTCTGGAATACAAATTGCCCAAGCATTAGTCTGCAGTTTCTCAGAGACACCTAAGCAACCAGACACGTCCTTGACCATTATAAACACTTTTCACTACAACTGTAGATCGATAACAGCTAGGAAGTCAGCATGGAGAATGGAAACAACAATGAAAATTTAACTTCCTCGGTAGCCTACCTATCTATCACATGGGTTCATGGGACTTTGCTTCACACTGGATAGACCATATTATGCTCAAATGATCCCACTGTTTACTCAATTCATAACAGAGCTCAAACCACCGAGCAGTACAAAGTGAACGTTTCTTACCAGAACAGGAAGCCGTGGATGGCAAGCAAGATTCATTATTGGCTTCTTCAAGTCCGTTTTTATTTTTGTGGGCGCCCTACCCCCTTCAACAGTTCCAACAACTTCAAAGAAAACACATAAGCCACAGCGATAAGTCAAACATATGCATCAATTTGAGCAATATAACTAGAATGAAAACTATAGCCTAGTGCAGGAAAAGAAAAGAAAAACAAATCAAAGATGAGAGCCTTAAGGAGAAAAACAAACCAACCAACCAGTTACACTCATTCTGCGGCTGAAACCAAAAAAGACAACAGGTTGAAGAGGAGTCAATGCAAGATGAACTTCTGTGTCTATGGTTATACGTTCCGATCTCTTTTCAGGGGAATGCAATACGCAAGTTTGCTCAGTGTCAAAATCACAGGCCCGAATGGTACAATCCTGCAATGGTGAGTACATAAACAAGACGAACATAACTTTTCAGATAGCAAAAACAAGCATTTCTCAGGAAGCAGGAATAAATAAACTGAGCTACCATATTGAAGAAACTAACCTCTAGAATAGCAATTACAGAGTGCCCACTGGTTGGGCTGTAACCCATACGCACAACAGGAGCCCCAATGTTAATAGTTGAGAGCTTGCTGCCCGTAACTGCATCGAATTCTGCAGGTACCAAATTCGATACAATCGAAAAATGAAGAGAAACCTCAGAATTGTTGAAAATTGCTAGCAGAAACGAGTGAACTTACGAATTAAGATTGAAATGTCTTGTAAAGAAGACGAATTCGCTCACCAATTATGCAAGGCCCGATCGCAACGGCCACGAGAGCTTGTGTAGGGTGAAACGTAGCAGCATGAGGCTGCAATCTCCGGTTCACACCTCGACCTACATGCCGCAGATCCAGATGCTGCACCGTTGCCCACTCCATTGTTGAACCTCACAGTTCTTCTTCCTTACCTAGAGAACGCCAACACGCCAGAGCATGAACAACGAGTTTAGATCACAGGCCAGACGAAGAAATGGAGAGAAGCAGAGCTTGAATGATTAGATCTTAGTTGAAGAAGCTGCTGAACGGAAGTAATACAGGCAGATCGATTGAACTTTAGCTTCAGCATCCACGCCGCGGCAATTCAAGCGAGTGCGAGTTAGAAGAGGAGCGAAAGAATTTCCATTTGCCGAAAGATATCAATCCAACGAAGAGCGAGAAAGAAACTTCCCAAAACTTTGAAAAAGTGAAGACCAGAAAGCAGTGCAAAGCAGTCGAGAAAACAGAATAATAATAAAAAATAATAGAAACGATTACGGGCTTCCAGTTGGGCTTTAAGCCCTAATAAATAAGTATCTCCTTCAGATAGTCCACTAGGTTTCCAGTTGGGCCAAACCCCAATGCTTTTAACCCTTAAGTAGTGGCCTCCCAATACTCATACCCTACCCCATGCTATAATGGATCAGGCCGGGTAATACTAGGGATGGCAACAAAACCCAAACCCACGAGTACCCACCCGACCCAACCCGGTCAACGCGGGTAAAATCCGTGTTGACGGGTTTTGGGCCGGGTTCGGGTTTAAACCCGCTACACTATTCACCGAGTCGGGTTGGGTTTGAGTTTAGGTAAACCCGACCCATGAGTACCCGCCCACACACATGTAATTACTTTCCCGGTATATTTAATATTCTAAATAATATATTTTCCTCAAATAATTAATATTCTTTATATTTGTGGAGACATGTATAATTTGTTCTTTCTAATTGTTTAGAATGAAGTTGATATTATGAAGTGGAGAGTGAAGAAACTTAGTTGACGAGGAAGAAGCTTTCAATGAATCTTTTGTTTATAGATGTTTATCTTTAATTTTGAACAATATGTATTGATCATTTGCGGTTTGCTTGTTTGCTCTAGATTGGTGTTTTTTTGTATGATTAATTTGTATGAGAAAATTGATGTTAAACTTTTATTTTGAAAGAAACTTGTTATTGTAAATTTTTTACCACAAAAACCCACGGGTACCCATGAACCCGCGGATACCCAGCGGGTTGGGTTGGGTTTGAGTTTTTCAAACCCAACGGGTTTTACCCCGGGTTTTTTTGGCGGATAAACCCATGGGTTTGGGTTTGACAAAACCCGCCCCAACCCGACCCATTGCCATCCCTAGGTAATACCCACGCGGGTACGGGACGGAAGGGGTCAACCTATTCTTACATGTTATTTGAAAATAATGTACGCAAAATTTTATATTTTACAATAAAATAAAGGGGAAAACACTTTATGAATGAAAAATAGAGATAATAGAACAGATAATTGAGTCTAACTAATCGAAAGACCAAGTCTAACTAGCTGGAAAAAAAACAAAATAGGATAAATATGAATAGTAACTATAAGAAATTGTGATAGAATGGGTCAAAAACGGGACGGGGCAGAAGTAGATACCCATGCCCCGCCTCACGATATTGCGGGTCGGGTAATACCCTCCCCATCGCGGGTCATATCGAGTAATACCCGGCGGAACGGGTTCAAATTGTCATCTCTAATCTCAAGTGCTAAACGTTAGTCGTTAAGTAGTGAAATATATATTTCTAAAGATACTAGTTATTCCAATCATGTGATAATACCATTGTTATAAGAACCAAACTGCATCAACGATTGGGCAAGTAGAACCACAAAAGCAATTACAATAACCACTTGGTTCATTTGATAGGATGGTTTGGGATGGACCGAAGAGTTTTTAATGGTCAGCTTGCCACCCAACAAATTGTGTGACAAGTTCAACATAGTAGCTAACGAGGATAAGTTCATTAGCTCTGCAGGTATTTCCCCATCCAGTATGTTCCTACAGAATTCAATGAAGCTCAAGCTCTCACATAGGTGAATTAGCACAATGGAGAAGGAAGAAGAGCATTGCCCTAAATGGGATTTCATGGAACGTACAAGTGAACCCACCATCCCTTTTTCGAGTGAGCAATCTCCAAGCAGCCTTTTTTCCAGCTTTTGGAAGGATTTTCCATTCCAGTATGGTGGATTTTGATGGCATTGCTTTCCCCATCGAGATTCAGCCAGAATGATAAAGAAAGAAAAGAGGAAAGAACAGAGGGAGGGACAAGAGGGATCTGAGGACAAATACACTTTGTTGACTAGAACAGTGTTAAAACGGCAGAGGAAAGCAAATGATGAACATTAAAACTCTCTCTTCACAAATCATGATGATGGACAATCAATGGACACATTGGGTTGGGAGCCAAAGGTTAGATAAGCTGATGAGGTGAATTTAAGGGTTCCCTTCCTCTTGCACAATGCCTCTCTCACACAGGCTGGCTTGCATCTATTCTTAACACACAAACTTCCCCTTTGCTTTTTTTACTTTCTTAACTACAACTTTACATTGACAACTTCCAGAACACCACCCCCCCAAAAACCCCAAATTTCTGTGGCAAAGAGGTCGACTACAAGAACACATGTAACGGATTCCCGAATCCGCAGAGTGAAAATTTACCAGTCAGTGAGACATCTCATCCCCGGTGTGCCCAGCAATGTCTCCAGAGCCAGGTTCTGAGTTTATATGGAAAAATAAGACGCCATGCCTATGGAGTAACTCGAGGTTCGGATTCCTTTTTTCTTCCAGTGACTGCTGCTGCTGCTATTGAGCTTTCGCAAATGTCCGGCTAGACACACCATGCAACAACTTCACAAAACCCAGAAAGCTCAACTTCCCGTCGGTGTGCCTAAGCCAATCGTGCAGAACTGCGTGAACAGGGACAGATGGGCTGAGGCCAAGCTCCTGCACATTGTCAGTGGGTTTTGGTTACTTGTTCGAAGGAAAGCTCAAAGCCAAGCAGAGAAGTTAAGGAAACATACCGACGCAAGTTCTTCGATCATAATGGCCCTGTTCCCATCCTTATCGAAAAGTTCGTAGGCACAACGAGCGTGTTGCTCCCACCGGTCTAGAGCCTCAAGCTGATGGACACTTAATGCAGCTGCACAGAACTCTTCAAAGTCCATCCTTCTGTACTGGAGCGCATTCAGCTGAAATCTCAGACATATTAATAACAGTGAGCAAAAGGATGAGTTCCGTGAAACGACACCCCACAACTTTAAAACAATACTACAGCAAGCAACCAAACCACCTACCGATGCTAGGAAATCAGGGATCCGAGATTCCTTCATAGCATCTGTCGCATGTTTCATCAACGCCTGCCCAAGAGAGAGAAAAAAAACTCTATGAACATCAACATGTGGAGGAGATGATTTTCTCCAAACAATCTGAAAAAAGGGAAACTAACCGATTTGATATTGTCTAGGCTTATTGTCCCATTCTTGTTTGGTTCCAACAATGCAAACTGCTCTTTCAAAAAGAATAGCTCATCTACGGTCAATGTTTTAGATAAGGCCTGCAAAAATCAGTACCAACGAAGAACTATGCATTAGAAATTGAACCACCAATAAAAGGATGAATATTCATGCTTTTGTCAAGATAGCGCACCCTCAAAGCGGCTTTACGAAGAGATGACGAACGCATGTAAGCCTTCATGAGCTTGAATACTATTATATCGAGGGGGACTTTAATAACATCATTGGAACTTTTAATCCATGGATGACCTGCAGAGGAAAATATTTGTCACGCCAATGAGAAACAGGGAAAATGTTATGGAAAAACAACTACAGATGGCATTTGTCACTATACTTACTCAAGGCTTGGGCAGCAGTAATTCTTTTTCGAGGATCTTTATTCAGTAGTCGTTTAACAAAGTCCCGTGCTTCAGGGGACATGGATGGCCAAGGCGCTTCATCAAAGCTTGGATCGGCTTTTAGAACAGCTCTAAATATTCCTGATTCGGTCCGGGCCCAAAACGGACGGCTGCCACATAATAGAATATAAGCAATCACACCTATACTCCAGACATCAGCCTCCGTGCCGTATGATCTATGTAGAACTTCAGGTGCTACATAATAAGCGCTGCCAACAATGTCATTCAATCTCTCATCTGCATCACAATGAGATGGGGAGGCCAATTAAACCACGGGCAAGAAAAGAACAACCAGGATATAGTTCATATTTGTGTTTTCAGCGACAGACCTGGCTTAACAAAGTCGGACAAACCAAAGTCAATGGCCTTCAGTTGTGAGTCCTCGTCCTTGGAAGTGAAGAGGAAATTCTGATCCAGCAATTAGCCACACTTAGATACAAGAAAATGAACAGAGCAGGGAAACTGAAGTAAAATCCTCGTCATAACATAACAATAAGAAATTTCATTAAACATCATTGAGAGTTCATAATCCATGAAAGTGAAAAATTATTGCCGGACCAATCAGGTTGCAACATCCCACATACAGACATTCTAGTAAGTGTTCTAAAGCTGAACTGAAGCATGCGAAGGACACATCTACATGAGCCATGTGAGATAAATATATATATTTTATATAGTCTCTCTTTTCGCAGTGGACAAAGCTCATTTCCTGTGATCCCTTCAGAAAAGGAAAGCAAATAGGGACTAGAGCTAGTTTCAGATAGTCAATTTCTGGTGCAGTCTGCCCTAAGAAACTTTCCTTACTATATCAGAGTGTTATCAAAACCCCATGATAGGAATGAAAATAGACTTATAAACCGACACAAGCAAGGATGAGTGCGACGGAATCAGGACTATTGAGAATTCAATTGGCCATAACCTTGTACAAGTTAAACAGCAAAGAGAGAACATAATTCACCTCGGGTTTAAGATCCCGGTGCACCACACCCTGTAGATGGCAAAATGCAACAACATTTAATATTTGTATCATTACTGTCTTTGCGTCCTCCTCTGAATATTTTCCTCCCCTAAATAAAAAGAGCATCAGTGATTAGAACTTGACAACAGAACTCTCTTCTATGTGAAGCTCCCTTCTTCAGTTTAACAATAATGAAAATCGAACGATAAAACTGGCTTAAGAAGGGACTT